ATATTTACTTGTACGTACTGTGTCTTGTTTTTGTTGAAAATATTGACTGGATAAATTACGCTGTGCAAATATACGGAGAGAAATTGGGCGAAATGGCCCACAAATCGAGTGTGCATAGAAGAGGAAATGGCGAGAAGAAGAAATTAGGTGGAAGCAAAGAGAGTCCTTCGAGTGGGCACGTGGAGCGCGTATAGGATGCGAAGTAATTGAGCGGCATTCATTAGGACTGAAATTGTAAAGTCCCTTCAGTGCGTGTGAAATAGAGGTTTAGTGAAATTTTATTAGAGCGGACAGGCGTATTCTTCTGAACTGCATTCAAAGCGTATTTTACACCGATATATTTGTAACCCACAAACGTTTACACACGCAATCTACCTTTCATGTAGTTAATTTTGTGTTTTAGTGGCACAGCAGATTGGAGTGCGTGCGATACAATTTAGCGCTTTTTATTCATTTCCGGCGAGCTCAAGACTGAAATGTAACATTGTTGGACAAAATGTTATGTTTATGCATGATTTTGCAATTGATAAATGAGGCTGTATTTGACTTTTGTCAAGTGCGTTCAAGCAAGAACTGGGTCTCTGCTTAATATAAGCATTACGCGCCGGTCAGTGGGGAAATTGTTGTTGCGACGGCGTGAAAGAATATCAGAAAACGGATCTTAAGCCCCATGGTATGGGTGCGCGTGTCAAATTTTTAAACCCCCCTCATTAGCGGACCCAGCATCAGCTGTGTCGAAGATATATACAGACCCCAAATTGGGTCGTGATGCTTGATCGAGCAGACAAATTTTGCCCGATTGTGCTGTTGGAAATTGGCTTGTTCTTGAAAAATGTACTTTAATCAACGTTGCTCGTCCGACTGTTACCATATTTATGGTGGCTTGTTTAGGGTAGAATGGAACCTCCTTGCCGTGCGATTGCCATCGGTGATCGATTCAAATCAAACTGCACCGCAGTTTTGTAGCCCTGGTGCTAAATGGCGGTCATATGGTTCGCATATGGCTGACCCCTTGGCCGTTTAGATAACCCTAATGGACATTCTTGAAAGGACTTTTCAGTTCAATCCAGGCTGCTTATCACATCAAGATTTACCAGAAAGTATTTTTGCAATATTTAAGTGCACATATTATAACCGAATGTCCAGAATGCATTTTGGACAGCGTTCAGCGCATATAATGGTATCCTGTAATTTTCGTAACTGGTTCTGATGAACTTCGTTGAATGTTTCATTTTTTAAAAAATAACTTTCCAAGTGTTCTTAAGCCTTTTTGTGTTTGGTAAAGCCGATGAAATTCAAAATACTACGTTTGGCAGTTCATGTGCAACAGTAGTGCAAGTACAAGTGCCAAAGTCGTTTGCTATGGAATGCCAAACAGTGGTCGTCATCGGGTCTTTCCTATTCTTCCAGTACTTAACTGGTGTCATAATTGACGCCCGGAATGCGAACAGTGCATTTTTGAAGGGTTTGATTTCCTCAAGCCAACCAGTGCTCGGGTCGTGATTCCAATGCGACTTATCGGGTGCATTTTCAATCTGTCACGCTCAGATTTCCTTATCGCAGTTTTAGGTAATGAAAAACCCATCCTGTCACGAATGGTTGATCTCGGCAGCGTTGAGTGCAAAACGCAAATTACTGTGTGCAAGATGCCTGAATTACAGGATGGCATCATAAGCACAGAGGGTGCATGTAGGGACTTGAGCCGCTTGGATAATATATCGCAGTCCAGGCCTGACCGACGAAAATTCTTGATAAGCGAGTTCTTTAAATTGTCATTACGAACGCAAAATTATAGCCTGTCTGCATTAAAGGAACGAGAAATATGGAATTATCGGACATGCATAGGATGGTGTGCAATAGCAAATCTGTATTCGTTTAGGATCGGCTTATCGGGAGCAGATTCGATTAAGTACTGATGCATCAGAGCTCAAGCAAAAATCTTGCAAAGCCGAAAGCTTAGTACCGAAGATGTGTTTCAGCGTGTGATTTCATCATGTTTTTTTGGTAGCTGTATCTGTAAAAATTTAACGGCAAGTGTGTTTTGACAAATTATGGTTGTGAATTGGATTGCTAATGGTCCACAACCATTTCCGTGTCATAAACTTCAAAAATTATGGATTTTGCAGTGAAATAGCTGGTGTGTGTCTTTTACGTTCCACAGCGTATTTTACAGAAGCCAAACGAAGTGGATTAGTTTCGCATGATTGAATGGCAGTTGTCTTGTCTATTCTTTGGTGAAATTGGAAGAGAGCGGTCTTTTCCTCTTCGCGCGAAATGATGGTGAATAGAGAAGAAAAGTAGCAGACGGCGGAATCCCTGATGCGCGTAATGACATGGCCACCGTCGCTTGTGTCGGTGTGAAAGGGGCTTCCCGTTGCGCTGCACTGCTACCGTCTTTGGATGCTTATCTCGTGGGTCTGTCGTGGGGGTCAGAGCGAAAGTTTTGTTGGACGAGACGAGCACCTTGGCACTGACCAGTAGCATTTTGATCCTTTGACTTGATAAATGAATATTAACAATAATTTCCACCGGCGAGATCAGATTTTTGAGGCGTGTCGTTAATGAGAAAGTAGCCAGCGGTCAGAAAAGGAAATTCGGTATCGTTTCGGCTTTCGTTCTGATACGGGATTTGATAATCCTGTTAATAGGGAAGGGAATTCAGTTACGCCGGTAATCGGACCGCTACTTTAGGGATCGTTAACAAAGCGTGAATTTCTCATTATCCCAAAGCCCAAAGTCGATTGATTTTGGGATCATTGTTTGCAAGTGTGTGCTACGCCGACGTTTCAGATAGTGCCGATAAAAGACGCACTGATGCGCGCTGGGATGGAAAGCTGGTCAAAATGTTACAGAAATATTATAGCGACATTCATACCTGTATAAAAATGAATGCTCGAGAGAAAAATATGAATAATGCTTCTGTGCATTTGTCTGGGTTCTCTGTCGGTCGAAATAACGCCAGCTGTTTTCCTGAATAGAGTTGACTTTCATACGCAACCCCATGCATCACGGTTTTACGCATCACTGACCGTTTCAAAAGAACCAGATCCGACTTTTGATTACTACTTGCGCGGTAGAATCGCGGCGTGCAAAGAAATTTGTACTTACAGCGTTCTTGATTAGCTGCATTTGGAGTGTTTATGGAGATTGTCAAGAGCTGGTTAGAAATCGAACCACGGCGAAAACCAAATACACCGGTGGTTACTGGTTAGGTAATAAACTCATATCAGGTTTCTGTTGTACATTTAAGCTTACTAGGTGTAGTGGAGACGGCGGAGTTAAATATTTCATGTTAGACATGGATCTAATGGCACACACCAGCATATTGTTGTGGATCATGAGCTTGTGTCGTAAATGCGATTTCAACCGCAACTGTGTGCGATGGACGCCAATGAAGAACGGCAGCGCTGGTGTTTGGCTCATGAGAGCATGAACTTGAAATTTCCTTTCCAAGGTCTTCCTTAAGAAAAAATCCAACTGATCAACAAAGCGAATTATGCATCTATTGCTTGTCAAGTGCTTGCTCAAGTGCCAAGCAGTGTTTTTTATAAGCCGTTAATCCTGATTTCTGGCTGTTGACATATTCACTTCGATTGCTTAATACAACAGACTTCAACAGAGGGAACAATACACCTTATAGTGGCGAATTACGATAATTAATTTTTTTGTGGTTTGCTAAACAACCGAGGCGCATTACTGCAATTGTCGTTTGTGTTCGTCACGAAAGCTATCTTGGCATATTTATATTTATCCAGCAAGCAAGTTTGCATTATTTCGATTCCAGTGTGCATGCCATCGCAGGTGGTGGGATATCAATAGAAATTGCTCCGTTGTCCGTCCACCTTCCATATGTAGCACATATGCCAGGAATTAAGACTTCCATGGCAAAATACTTGGTATTTCCTCTAATGCGCTTTTTTAAGGTGTCATAGTAAAGATTAACGATGCATCATGCAGGAAGGCCCAGTACTTACTTGTATGAGGGCGTTAAACTAATAAATATTGTTATTTTTCCATAAATTTTCCGTTTTTGCAAGTCGAGTGTCTCTTATTGGACGTTCTTGTACATTGCCATGCGCTCTGCACTGAGCATGCGACAGTAAATTTTAGCAACACTTCATTTTTTATTCATCATCATATTGTTTATTTAACTAACCTGTACTGTTACCAATATGCATTGTACGCCGTGGCTCTGATGGGCCAGTATTGTAAATATTGGTCACGAACTTATTATTAGTAAACATTTTCACCTGGTCGCTTGATGGGTTGTTGCACCAAGCCGCCGCAGCAATGGCCAGCCTTTAACCGGCCATACCACCGCCCTCCATGTTTTTACTTAACCTAAAATCTTTAAGACACTAGCCATATTTGATCCATACTGAATAAGTGAAAATTTGCACAACGATTTTCCGCGCGCCGGTTTAGCGCTGGCGTAGGTGCTGCTTAGTGCTTACATCGACGGCGCGTCTTGCCAGCGAACAATCTGTTCAGTATATTGCGCCGCGGTTTTCCGTCTCTCTTCCTTAATAAGCGCTTTAAAGTTGTTGCTGCCCAGTGGTAAGAAAGTGGAAATAGGTAGACCGGGATGGACAAAGAGCACTTTATATACTGATCCGCGCCACTGCGTAAACTGTCTGACCGGTATCGGAAAGAGAATCCACACAAGATCGCTCTGGGCAGACAAATGCACGGTTTTGAAATTCTTAAATGTCTTATCTGAGTGTATGATGATGCAGCAGCCACAGCGGAGATGTTCTACGGTGAATTGTTATTGAGTTTCGAAGGATTCTATTACGGAGAGATTAATAATAATTTGCGGACTATGATAGACTGGGGTAGCGGAATTGTTCCCAGACAGTAATCGGCATCATTAAATTTGTCAGTAACGATGCATAACTGCAGTAGCAGTGCATCCATCATGCCTTCCTTATTATGGCCACAACAGCACCGATTTGTTCCCCTTGTCTTGATGATTATTAACGATTCGTGTTTTCTCTCAGCGGTTATACAGATGGCCTATTCCCAAGCATCGCCCCAGCAGAACTATCTGCCTGGCTCGTCGGATACGTTTGTGGATCCTTTTGGGAGTGTCCTTCTGCAGTGTCAAGTGAATCCTAACGATCTGCAAGCCAGGAACTCTGTAATGCTACAGTGGAAACGGAAAGTTACGGGAGGACGTGAGGAGAAGACCAGTTTGTCTTTGAACACGCAGCTGGATAGTAGCGTATGGGAGAAACCGTACTCCGAGCAGGATGGAGTGTTTCGACTGCTGGGAGACAAGCAAACGGGAACATTTAATTTGCAAATTACCAATGTAACCTACGACCAACATGATGGTGACTATTGGTGCGATATGAATGTCCCCGCTGGTTCCGGAAGTCCTTCAAAAGTTTTACGAAGTCAGGAGTTCCATCTTTATGTCAAATGTGAGTCAAGTGTTTTTCTTTGCCGAAGTCAACTGGCGAAAACCTGTTGCTTGCAGTCAGCCAGAACCGGCTCATCGTAAAAGATAGATATTTTTCAAAAATGTACCGGGCCTGGTCAACAGCCGCGGTGCCGGCGCTTATCTGTGCTAAGTGGTCGATAGTCGTAAAATTTACCTGGTTAATAGACTCCTTTGAGCGGATAAGACGAAGCCGCATATTAACTGTTCATTTCGACGAGGTGATATTATTCGAGAGGGAAAAGTAGGAAAAGATTTCTGTTTTGAACGCTATAAAAATAGTTAGTGTTATTAGTGAAAATAAGGCGACGAACGATGTTAAGTGGCGTATTGTTGGTACTATGGCGAACAATAACATTGCGTATAGTTTACTTTTGGCATTTCTGCATACCACCCCTTTATCCTCCAAGTTGCTTTTATGTGTAATAATTAGACAACCTTTATCAGCTATAAATACCTGGATCAATGGCTTAAACAAATTTTGCAGTTATTTCGCCTTGTGAAAGCAAAAGTCGGAAGCTACTTGAAAAGAAATAAGGTTTACTATTTTTTTCAGTGCTGAAACTTCATAAAAGTTTGAACAATTTGACATAATAAATATTTAATACTACTTCTACTTCAGTAAAAGCGGGAGCTTTTGGCTATTAGTTTTGTTTTTTATGCGATAATTTCTGTTGTAATATTTTTAGAAATGTAGTATTTTTGGAAATGAGATAAGCCGCGGCCAACTTCTGGATGCTTAAATGCTTTTTCGTGTCGATTTTATATTGGCTTAAGAATGAGCGATTTAAACTTGCTAACCCTTCGATTCGAAAAATCAATGAGGCTTTTGTGGAAGTTAGTTTGACTGTTTGAAAGTTGGTACTGTAATTCAAATGAATGTCGTAAAATGTGGAGATTATCGAAAAGAAGTTAATGCATCGATTAGAGGTATTCTGCTGTTCTTTAAAGTTGGGCCGGTTTGTGTGGCATATTTTGGCCTTTAGAAGCCAGCCGAACCGGTTTGCATGAGCTGTTGTGTGCATTCTCTGTGTGATGTGTGTCTGCAGATCAACCACAAGCGCCTCAGGTGGAATTCTCTACACCGGCGGATGATTTACGGGAGGGCCAGAAAGTGACCATTACTTGCTCGAGTCGGGATGGTAATCCGCCACCGGAAATCAAATGGATGCGTGATGGGATTGTTGTTCCCAGTGTCTACACGCCGGCCAAAAGCCGGGCGGATGTTACTAAAGCGGATCTCGTTCTGGATTTGACTAAAGAGCACAATAAGGCTGTGTACACGTGCGCCGTCAGTAATCCCGCTCTCCCACAGCCATTAGTCAAAACGCTTGATCCGCTCAATGTGAAATGTAAGTGGCCATAACTTGCAGATCGCCACCGTTAACTTGTTTACCGTTATGTACCGTACATAGGTGTTGTGAATGCACTACGAATTAATTGTTGTATATTCAATGATATAGCGATATTTGTTGTATAATCATTGATATTCAATGATCTTATTTTGACGTTATATTTCTGATATCCTAGTCTTTATTTAAGTTGCGCACTTTTTCGTATCACTTCTTAACTGAAAACGATTCAATAAATCCTAAATGAAAATTACGATTGAATTCTTTTTGTTATTACTTTTATGATATTGAAACGTTTGTGTACGTATCATTCTGATTCACTTTCTTACCCGGTTTTTATACCATTTTTCACCTGGTGTACCACAATCTTTTGCCCTTCCAATCTATCTTTTTTTGAGTTGTGATTTCCATCGATTCCGTTCGTCTCTTGAATGTGTCTGCCTTTTCTTCTTTGACGGAGTTCCCGTGCTTCTCGTGGCGCCCGGTAACGATGTGCATGAAGGTCCTGTCGTTTATCGTTCCCTCTTCTACTCGTTCCGTCATTGAGGCGGCTTTCCATTTTCGTGCAATCGTCTCTTGATTTGCACACATTACGGAATGGCCCACTAATGGCGCTAATGGTCTTTCATTATGGCCGTACCTGCCGGCTAGCGTTGACTTGAGCGACTTCAACATTGTAGACAAGCCGCGGATCAAGGTCAGCGCCTACGTCGGACCTATGGCACGCTTGATCGCTGAACCGGCGACGAGTGTGGCCGTGGAAGCGGGAACGGAAATATTATTAACATGCGACATTGATGCCAATCCGCCAGCCGCCACCCCATCCTGGCGGCGCAACAGTCAAGTGATCCAGCCCAATAGCTACAATTTCACTTTCCTCCCAGGAATGTTAACAAAAGAATCCAAGGGCGGGTACAGTTGTGTGGCGGCCAATGGGGTGGAGAACGAACAGTCGGGGGAAATACAGTTGGATGTGTTGTTCGCGCCGGTTGTCACGCTTGTGCCCGCGGTCGCTTCTGTAAAGGAAGGGGAAAACGGAAACATTTGGTGTCAAGTGGAGAGTAACCCGCCGGTAACAACGGTAGAGTGGTATGATCCGGCGGGAAATCGGGTTGGAACGTCCGATCCGATGCTGACCTTTAGCGCAGTGCAACGCCGACAGGCAGGGTTGTATGAGTGCAGAGCGAAGGTGCACTTTCAAACGTATTTGGCTTCGGGAATCGGTCAGGTGTTTCGGGAAGGCCGGGGTACAGGGCGGGTTGAAGTGCAGTGTGAGTTATTAAAAAGCTGACCTGATAAACATTTCATTATAAAATTAAAATCATCCAACAGCAATTTAATTATCGTTAATGAAAGGTCTTGATCGCGATTCGGAAAATAATGTCAAACTGGATTGTGGTCATTTATATGTTTTTTTAAGCTACGAGGTATTCAACCAAGTTTTCTCTGTAGATCGGCCTGGAGTGGCTACAATTGAGCCGGAAAATCCCAAGGCAGCCATCGGAAGTCGCGTGTCACTACGGTGCAGTGCAGCGGATCCCGGTGTCCCAGCCGCTCGTTTCAAGTGGCGCAAGCTGGACGGTTTGAACGGTGCTGACCGCTCCTCAACGGGAGAATATTTTAATATCACGGAAGCGCGACTGGATGATAACGGCGACTACGAGTGTACGCCAACGAACGATGTGGGCGACGGCCCCGCCAAAGTGGTCCGCTTAGAAGTCAGTGAACCGGTGTCCTGGATTACGCCGCGGCCGTACACGGACAATACGATTATTCGTAAGATTTCCGATGGGCCGCTGAGTTTGTTCTGCGAGGCGCGCGGCCGACCGGCACCCATTTTCAAGTGGTTTAAGGATGGCGAGGAAATACAAACTAATGATCGTCTGTACAAGATTACCAGTCAGGAGCCGAAAACCATTGACAGGTAACGGAGTAGTGTTGCTAAGCGCCCCGAGCGGTGATGATGTGCTGAACAGTATTGATGGTGGCGGCTTTGGGTGTAGGTATGCCTTTGTGACAAGAAGCGAATTAAAATTCCAAGGACCGGCACGTACGGAGCTGTTTTCAAGTAACGAGACACTCCAGCGAACCGATCGAGGGCGCTATATGTGTAAGGCCGTCAACGATGCGGGACAGCCAATAACCCATGACAGTCAAGTCCGTATTCAATGTGAGTAATTTTTGAAAAGCTTCTCATGCGTTAATTAAATTCCTATGGCTCATTAGCATAAGTTACGATGCTCATTAAAGCGGGTTCTGTTTGCCATTGTTATTGAGCATGGATTCCGTTAGAAAATCAATCAAAATAAGACTGTTTCTAACTTTCTGTAGAATGCTATTGTATTTTCAGTTGTAATTCGTTCCTTGCATTCCCGTTTTTATTGTTAATACTGTAATGATCATTCTTCATTATTTGTATGAATTTTGTAGATCCACCTGAATTCCGCAATCGATACAGTAAAGTGGCAACGGACCTGGGTCAGTCCATTTCCACGAAGATTGAGTGTCTCGTGGAAAGCCATCCACCGGCAACGATTAGCTGGACACGCAACGGACAGCCGATTTTCAGTCGACCTCGTATCGTGCCGACCGAAACGATGGCTGAAGAAATGTTCAAAAGTGTTCTCATCGTTGACTCACCGAGCGAAGCCGATCTGGGTGACTACCGATGCTCGGCAACAAATCTGATTGGTGATGTGTCAAAGAATCTGTCGCTCGTGCGCCGCTCGGTTCCGGATGATCCGCGCAATTTGAAACAAAAAGATCTGAGTTACGACGGGGTGACCTTAACCTGGGAGCCGGGATTCGACGGTGGATATGCGCAGAAATTCACCGTGGTTATGACGCGACCGGATGGCGCTGTGAAGTATTATCCCGTGAATGCTGCCAACATGTCGGAATTTCGGGTAGCGGACTTGACACCGCTGAATCGGTACAACTTCCGGTTGAAAGCCGAGAATCAACTGGGACCTAGCCGTGGATCTGACGAGAATTTGGATATCATGACCCCGCAGAAACCTATTCTTTCCGAGGATATTCCGCGACCGAATTTCCTGCGGTACGATCCTAACACGGGGGTGGTCAGTTATGGAGTGCGGCCGTTGGAAAAACCACTGAATTTATGTGCCATGATTGATGTGCAAAAAGCAAATCAGCCGTGGAGTCCGGTTGCTCGTTGCATTCCGTTCAGCGATTTACAAGGTATTTGCTAGAATTTGTTTGCTGTCGTTATGCACACCACGGTCCATCTGCTATCGAAATAACCATTGACTATTGTTGCAACATTTGTTACTAATTGAAAACGCTTCCTTCCGAAATTGACCTCTTTCATTTTTGTACAGGAACCTACACCATACCTGGCCCGTCTGTTGCTGATTTTCATCCGCGAGTGCGCTTCTGTTTGTACGAGAAACAGGATGTATGCAGTGAGCCGGTAGATGAGAACTCCGTCGTGCAAGCTTCTACGTTGCCCAACGCTCACCTGGACATCATTTTACCGGTGGTCATTATTGGTGCCCTGCTCCTTATCGTCTGCATGGTGACTTGTATCCTGTGCAAGCGCCGTGCTAAGAAAGTACCGGTAAAAATGGCCAAAACGTCAAACATGACGCTGACATCAAGCGGAAGTCTGCAGAATGGAAACGCGGGCGGTTATTATGGCGATGGGTACGCTAACAAAGCTCTGGATAACGGAGCTGTTAATTTTACCATTCCCAATGGAGGAGCGAAAATGGGACTGTATGGAACGGAACCGCATTATGGAAATGGTGAGTTTTTTCTTCTGGATACCAACACATTTGTTCGTGTTCAATTGTTTATACGTATTTTGGATGTTGTGGGTTTAGGCGCTCTTTATGCTCAAGTGGATAAGAAGCTGAACGGTGACACACTAGATGGAACGCAGTTCAAGCCACCCATAACCGATATACATGGCAATTTGTACTCGGATTCGCCACTTTATTTGCAGTCATATCCGTATGACGAGGGCTATGGACACCAGCATTCTCCCATGGGTACGTTTAGTACGAAATACAAAAAAATTTTCTTTCAAGTTTGATTTCTTACTTTTCCAATGTTGTACAAGATTTCTGCATGTCAGTGGCACTAATCGTTTTTTTTATAACAGATCCAAATTACACCCATGTGCCCGGAGACCAAGTGAGCGGTCTGCCTGATCCCTATGAAGAATACGAAAAGACACCATCCTTTGGTGAGGAGAGTGTGGAAAGCGGCTACTCAACCAGCAACTCAAGAGGGCGTCGCGTAATACGGGAAATCATCGTCTAGGCTCTTGCTGTTTGTACTGTATTCCCCCTTGAGAGTGGCTTGTGTCCACTCTTCCACAAACCAAATATGTCAGAGAGCTATTTTATGATGGGCACATACACAGTGTTTCTCCCTACGAAGGATGGGCTGTCTGCAATGGGGAATATTTTTGGGCACAGGGATCTCCTACGCGGCTGAAAAGAGAGTTGTCCTAACTTTTATCACTCAGTAATTTTTAATCTCTATGCTCATGTTGGTCGGTCCTCCCGTGTGCAGTCACCGGGAGACGGCAGCGAGGGATCCAGTAGGGAATGGGGCTGTAGTGGACGGGCTAGGAAAGGGATTTAGGGAATGTGGTTATTTTTGCGGAACAAATGTCTTTCGCACTGCTTGTTTTTATGCTCATCTGTTTACTTACAGTATGGGGTTGATTACTGGAATATTTAGCCTAATTTTTTTCAAAATGTGCGAGTGACTGTCTGCTTATAATTTTTGTATTGATTACATTTGCATGAATTTCAAATTTTGTCGCGTGCAGGTTTCATGTACAGTACCTAATTTTTTCGGTATGTCTCGATTGTGCTAGAAGAGCACATGTATACCGGGGTGTCGGTGATCTCCTTTCTGTACTATACTGGCTTGTGCTACAAGATGCAATACAGTGCTTGTACACTTGTTGGACCAAATAAAAAGCAATTAAATGCATGGAACTGGAAGTATCTACGAGTATTGTGTGAATTTGTGGGTTTGGCGTTAGAAATTGATAATTTACTCTGTACAAGCTAGCTGTATCATGCGGTAAATTTTCTTTTTACATTAGGTAAAGTAAATCCGAAGTAACATAAATTGAGTTAACCGTGCCGAAAAATACGAGATCGCTACAACAACATTGATACACTGTAACTGGATTTAAGGTCAAACTTTACTGAAACGCTTTGACGCAGTTTACATGTCCGCAGATAATGTATACGGTAACTACAGAAATATTCAAAGTAGATGTTACGATTAGTAGTTTAGTGCGAAACTGCGAAGTGATACTCGTACTGATCGAGTGAAACCAAACATTTAAACTCCCAAATCCTATTAATTTTCATATCTGTATAAGCAGATTTGTAAGTACTAAAATAACAATTGTAAGATTTATCAGCATGCAAGCTGATAGGTCGTCAGATGCGGCACGGGCAATCATCAATGCACAGAGAAAAGTAAAAATTAATCTAATTTGGACCGTGGAGCTGTCTCGATTCTCGAACCGTAGATAATTCAACTTCTAATTTAAAACAACAAAAGTCCGAGAAAATTAGAGCCTTTGCAACTTGAAACTTCTACATTTCATAAATAAAACTGATTCCGTCGAATTCCAGATATTTCGAAGCCACTGGAGCGCCACTATGAATACCATCAGATTTTAGGTTTGCACTTTTGTACTGAGTGTTGACCACAATCAACTCGTACGCTAACTCAGTATGCAGTGATTTGAAATTCGCTCGGTGCTCTAAGGCAGCTCTAACCGAACACTAATCCCAAATCGCAATCGGAAGCGCTCGCACACTGATGACGAAACCCAATATCTTCAGAGCACATTTATTAAAAACCCACTTGCAGATGACAAAGTTGTAAGGTGGCAGAACAGCTCCAGATAAGTCGAAGAACAAAGAATCAAGCTTTAACGGCGTACAATCGAGTGGGAAACAAAGCCGCCTTTCGTCGCTGCTTCCTGTTCTTGATGTTTAGTTCTGACTTGGTGAGGGCCTTGCGGATGGCGCGGGTCTTCTTCGGTCGCAGATCGTAGGGAACCCATTTCTTTCCAGCGTAAAATTTCCGTAGATTGCTTTTCTGCGTCTGACTAATCACAGTCAATATCCTGGCGATCGACTTCCGCACCAGACCACTGCAACATCGTACAATAAGAAAAAAAATAAAGCTGCAAATTCTCTGCAATGGTATTTGAACGGCGAACAAATCTAGATTCGTTCATCAGGCCTATCGATCACCATCATAATAGTATCAACATGCGTAAAGTTATCATCATAAACGAAAAAGATATGTGGTACTGAGTAGTTGGTGGTTTCCCTGTGCTGATGGTCCGTCAAGACCAGAAGCATACAGGGAACCAAGCAGGACAATTCACGTCATAGAGCGGAGTACTCACATCTTTCCAAGCTTGGCAGGAGCGCCTCCGGTGACTTTGGCGACTTTTAAACTGGCTAATTCCTGCTTCAGTTCCTCCAGCTGCTTGGTGAGGTCTTCCTTCTTCTTGCCTCGGAGAGTCTTCGTGCGGACCTTCTCAGAAGACTGAAGAACCAACGCGGTTAAAGCACAGCATACTTGCAAACTCAGATGGACTCAGAACAAGCAACCACTTCGAAATTCTAAGGACTATGTACCATGCGTTTGCTCACTCACCATGTTTGCTATCCGGACAGGAAAAATATATGAGAAAATCAAACGATAAACAATTTTTTTGATGGAACTATCTTCCAGAGAAAAACAGTTTTTCAAAATCCTCACCGGTCATGTAGACGTGAGAGGCATGGCGCAGCACCGCTAGGCTAGACGTGCCGTGCACAGCGTGCACTTAGTTTAGCTGTGGTGCACCACTTGGATCAAAACACCGGAAGTGTTTTTGTGACTTGAAGTCTTGAACTGACTTCCAGCCTCCGATATTAATGAATGACCAGTTCCGAGTTTTCCGACACGAAATTGTACGTACTAACGTAGAATACCGATATTAATCTGGATTTTAGCTGCATTTTCGCTGCAACACGATTTTGCTCAGTACTGTCACCTTCCTTACGTTGCTAATTATCGTAAAATTTAGGTACTGCATTGGATTGCAGGCTTGCACCCAGACAACAGCAATGGACTACAAGGAGAAGATTTCGCGTTTTTCCCAAGCTGTTTCCCGAGCAGTGACCGAATGTGTGGACAACGAAATCAGAATCAACGCCATGATAGCGCTTGGGGTAATTTTAAATCAACCTCGCAGCGAGGTCCTCGCTAACTTATTATTCCGAAGCCTGCCGTTTTCTTCGCTTTTGTACAACTCGTTGTAATTTTTTAGGTCACTTCTCCGGAAAACTTGGAAACTCGCGTCACAGCTTTAGCTCAAGCAACGGTCGGAGTTAACAGTCAACTGCGGCCGACCGCAGCGGCAGGCGCCCTTACACAAGAACCAGCGAAGCGAAGGACGACCACCGCTCCGGCGAATCCTGTGAATAATGGTAAAAAAGCGAAGCCAGCTAATAAAAAATAGTATAAATTGGTCGACTGCATTTTTTTATTATAATTTATTGATACTTCGATGTGATTTATTAAAGCAGTGTTAATACATTGAGTAACTGCACCGCAATCACTCTGTTCGAATAAAAAAATTAATATCCTGTACGTAAATCAGTCACGCTTCCTTTTGCGTCTGTACGTTGTATCCCGATCTACAATTTCGGGATGTTTATTAAGATAGCGCAGCGTTCGTATGGTGGGTACACAGTCTTTGTCCAATCTGACCACGGCACCGTCTGTCGTGGATCCCTCGTATCCCGGTGCGGAGAAAATGGTTAATACACTGGTGTCGGGAAAAAACGGGTAGGAAAATCCGCGATCCGCCGGCTGTTCATGGGCACGGACAATGGACTGCAGATTGTTCCCTTGTAGGAATTCGTGCACTTGGTTACGTCCGTAAACGTAGGAGACATTGCGCTGAACGTTCTTCTTCCAAGAGTATGCCATGGGATCAGGATCAGCCCACAATAGATCGCAGGCTACTCCGCGGCTGCTGCTTCGGTGCGGCCGGCTGATGTTGTCGATCTGCGCAAGGTCATCCAGCGTGGGACCTATTCCGCCGTGCGCGCAGAAAATTTTCCGACAGACTACCGCCGCTAAGGGCATCCAGTCGAACACCTGCAGCAAACACAACATAAAATGCAAGCCAAAAATAAACATCGAATATTATAAACGCGTATTTTATAATCTGCTTAAAGCAGCGTAAAGCGCATTATAAAATACGCGTCCTGTTTCGCTCACAAAGTATTCATGTTAACTGGATGTCTATTGTCTGGGTGAGCGCTTATCAAATGCTTGCCAACCTTTACCACCTCAATAATTTTTCACCGCCCTCCTTTAGTAATTTCCTCATTTTTCTGCTCGGCATCAATTAACCTCGAGGGAACATACCGGCACGATCCCACCCGGGCACTGTCGCGCATAAAACTATTATGGACGCTGACAGGCGCCCGTTTTTATTCATTTTATTAAGCGGTTTTACCGTATACGAAAAATCAGTTTTACGTATTACGTTGTACAATGCAGTTTCTGGTTAAGATAATCAGTTCACAGGTTACATCATAATGATATCAAGTAATGACTACAGACTACAGTATTATTCTTTTAAATGAGTATCATTGCACCGCTGGTCCGTTTGCACGTAGAGCTGCACTCACATATACTGTGACTGTGACAAAACTGCCCACTGGCCAGTTTGCTACGACTGTTGTAGAAAGGAAGAAAAGCCTGTCCCTCCTAAAACATGAATATCTACAACAAAGTTTTCGTCGTACAACATCTTTCTTACTTCTTGCCGCGTTCATATGATTACTTTCGAGAATTACAACAAAAATTGCTACAACAAAAGTGACTCGCGTACATACTTTTTCTGCGATTGTTGTAAGATTTGTATTATCTTCTGAATTGCATACGATTGAAGTATGGACCTAGCATAAAGTATACTTGACAATAGCGCACGATGCAGCCTTCGCGTTAAAATAAAGTGACATTTCAGAGTTCAAAGCAAGACTGGAAAATACGCCGCCCTTTGGCTGGCTGCCGTTTGTTCTAGCCAATAGACCACTGTCCCTAATTCTGAAGCGTGATACCTACTGGTTTTGTAATCTTTTGAAAACAAAGCGGTTAAATAAGTAAAAAATAGCCAACTAAAAAGTAAATAACTGTCGCAAAATAGAGTTGAGCCGATATTTCTAGTAACGGAAATTCGGGGCGCAAAGCCAAATTCTGTGCGCCCGGACATCGAGGCGCATAGCAGTCCCCAAAAAATTAAGTAACACGAAAACTCATAAAAATACAAAAATTTGTACTCTTTAATATGCGCCCGGTTTGCCGGGGCGCACAACCATTTCGTTAAAGAAATTTCCTATAAATCGAAAAAAATAATTTTCTCATTCATTTTTTGTTCAGCGCATTGATTTTTTTGTTCCAGCGTATATGTAGTACAGTATATATATATTATATATTATTATAGGTCACTTCTGTGCGCCCGGAATTCTTGGTGCGTAGTCAGTTTGCTATATATGCGTCCGGAAATTCGTCGCCGAAATTTGTTACAGCTGCTTACAGCACCCAATACCGTTACAATTAAATATTTTACAAATTTTTAATATTGTTTTTGAAGGTAGCATGCGACTGTACGATGAATGCAGTCATGGTTTTCTGTAAGTTACAAACAAAAAGAAAAGTTACTTACGAAACTGCAATTACCATAAAGCACTTATTGGAGTTGTAATGCTTCCTGATTTTCACTTTCAAAATTTCGAGACAAGCACCATTGAAATCAACGTTGATAGCACCGATCGAAATTTCTTTTTCAGTGCTTATGCTCACTAGAGTGTCCGCCTCAAAAGAAAATTCAGATTATGACAAGCCGCAAGAATTAATACAGAAAGGCCGGGTGGACAAATTTAAGGTCAAAGCGTATCTTAGCTGTTGGCAAGCAGTTTTACGCAAGATGGTTGATTTTCTTCGTGAGAACCAGAAGCATACCGAAAGTTCAGAACCACCAACAATTAATTAATTCATAAACACGCAATTATCAACGCGCCCGGAATTTTCCGGGCGCACAGCACTTTCGATAATCATATTGTACATAATGCACTTCTGCATCTATCTGAAAATGGATAAAATTGGTGACCTTTCTGTTAGTGCTGCTGTAGCATTTCAAGTAGCATTTCTAATATTATAAAGTTAATATTATTATTTATTTTGCTTACGCGATTGAATGTTGACCACATTTTGGCGCCGTAGTACGCCACGCACTCATCGCGGAAACCGTAGTATTTGTTCAGCGCTCGCTCCTCGTGATTGCCTCGAATAAGGTAGAAATCGTGGGGGAATTTGATCTTATACGCCAGCAACAGGCAGATGGTCTCGATACTCTGCGCTCCGCGATCGACATAATCGCCTAAGAATAAATACCTGTAATAAGTGAAACCCATTGGTGTCCACTCGGAACAGCACGTCTGTTGCTTCTAAGCTCGCTGCAGCCTGCTCCAGCGCACCTGCAGAATTGGTGTGGGGCCGCGGCCTGCACTCACCGTTGTCCGTCTTCCGGTCGGCCGTTTTGTTCAAAAAGCCTCAGCAAATCGTTATACTGGCCATGGATATCCCCGGCAATACACAACGGAGAACTTATCCGCAACAGAACAGGCTGTGAGCGAAATACACGAGTGGCAACATTACAAAGTGAGTTTATTTCATTGGGATCCAGGTGTGCGCGTACGACAAAATCATCATTACGACATTTCAATAAACGCTCAATTATACGATCCAGATGTCTACAACTGTTGTCGGCCATTCCGTGGCGTGTTAGTACAATCAGCCAAAAGATAGTGCAGAGTTTTCGGAAGAGCAGAATGTACGACGATATGTTGAAAAATGCGATTAGTGTCCCCATTAGCTGGGCGGAAAAACACCAAGGAACTGCAGCATTTCAGATAGTACGACAATAAAATTCTAGTATTACTTCGGTTGTACATTATGCGGAAATCATTACAACTGGCGACCGCAGTATTTGATATATATCCACCATGGTAACAGTGCACAACGTTTGTTTGTTTGTTGTTCGTTTGTAGCGTTTGTTTACGGTGTGTAACTACCTAAGCAATCTCAAAATCTCATGATGGCTAAATTTAAATGAGATTTAACTACCGGTACGTATGTACTTAATACTACAGTACTTAATTTTCGCGGTGGTGCAGTACAAACTTTGCTACATCTATCATAGCTAATAAAGAAGTACTTACAAATATGTCAAATCGCTGCACGAAGCTAATATTGTCAATTTTATAAGAATAACTAAGCATCGAAATTACTAAATGAAAAAAATGTAGGCATCATGTCAGTTTTTTTTGTTTCTTCCTACAGCCCAAGGTTGTCAGCATGAAAATTGTGCGCTAGGGTATTTCCCGACGACCATTATTGACGTCGGAATGGGCTAACGGTGTAAGGTCACCAGTAAATAATAATTTTTGCAAATACTTTGCACATTTCGTAGCTTTACTGTTTTATACACTGGTAACTGGCTCAGACTGCTTTCTTTCGTGAAGGAATAACAAACTTCCATTTGAATACATTTGACGCATAAATGAAAATATCCAACAATTTGCCAGAATTTGTATTCCCATTTTTATGGTTATAAAAACGCAGAATATCACCAGTCCACTCTGATACAGAATGCTTTGCAGGTGAATCAGCGATGCATATCCCGTGAACTTTTCACCATCCGAAAGTTTTATGGCAGATAATGTTAAGTCAACGACGGAGAAAATTAATCCCGCCAGATTTAAGATGAAAAACCTGCAAAGGGTGGTTCGCTGTGCAGGACCTCGCTGAAAGGTCAGAGCCGCTCTTCCTTGACGTCCCGCAACAATAAGAATTGTGATGTCCAGCAGATTAACTATGATGAGAGCAAGTCTTTGGCCATTTGGATAATGAGGAAATTCTGTTTTTTCGTAATGATGCTCTAGAAGCAGACAAATGTTTTATACATATTTTTGTAGCACACACAATAAGACGTGCAATGTACAGGACGTGCAATAATACCGAACATGCGGCACAGATTATTAGGTAAAATTATTTTCTATCTTCACGAGTATACTAATTACTCTACACTCTGTATGCTGTAGTCCTGACTCCTTACATTAATTCGGTGCCGTAATAGCCATTGTACTTGCAGAAAAATCCAAACCGTTTAATGCACAGAGGTACGTACACTGCGAAAACGATTTCATGAACATTATTGATCAGTAATCACACAAAAAATTAACAGGTAACAGCACATCAATGCAGACTTCACTTCGGTTAAAATTAAATTTTAGAAATGTGCATCGTGTCGGGGTACCGGTCAGTCAAGTTAAAATCTTAAAGATTTTCTGCACGCTATGGTATATTTTTCTGAATATGAAAAAATAATTTAAATAATGGTTTAATGACTTTTAATACTGGTTAAATGTTCGACAATAGATTTTTGGTGACAAGATGGTTTATAGTGTGTAGTTATTTCTCGATAAACGTTACGGAGAAGTACACTGCATAAAAGTGAGTGTTTTAATATGTTTGGTAGATCTAGAGTAACGATAATTATCGTAAAAGTTATGACTTACTGCATTCTTGGGAGCAAAAATACATTCCAAGACCAAACGAAAACAAAATAAATAGCATACAGCCAAGATAGACTTGCGTAGACGATAGTATTAAAAGGCTCCTGTGATGTTTGATGCTGTTCTCCGTCATTTCGTCTGCATCTTGTCAGCACTCCATTTCACTTCCGGACATCAGCTTTTTAAATTCCTTACGGCGAAAAAAGTTTTTTCCAGTGGTTGGTTAATTCAAGTGTTTATTGTGATAATGTACAGTACCAAATACGGTAATCGATGGTAAAGCAAATCTTGTAAACACTATAACCAGCTATTTTGCACTTCTGCTGCACAAGCAACTCGATTAGGCACCGTTTCACGACCTAGGAAAGCGCTTCTTACTTGTTAGCGTGCGCAATCAAAAGAAAACCACAGATACATATTTAATTAAACAACGACAATAATTCGCATTTTATCAACACGGACAGAGATTGTATACCCGTACTGGGGAAAGTCGGACTGAAAGGCAACTCCAATCTTGATTCCATAGAGCCGCGGCCGAACATTTCTGGTTAGAACATATAAACACAATTTGATATGCACCACAGAATGCTTTGCTGTTGGCTGCAGCCTGCATTAAGTGCAAGTTTGTCACTAATTTGCTAGCTGAACATAAATTCATTTTGGAAAATGATACGGTAAGTACGGCATAACGAGCCGGCATCGCATGCGGTATAGCTTGAGAAAATCATATCTTTGTGAAAAATCGCAAAATCTACTACCAGGTGTTAAAGTTTCTTCCGTTCTACGAGTGCTATTACCAGTACTGTTTTTAAACTATGTATTATATACTCATGTTCATCCAGTGTTTGCATGTAGGACCATTTGTATTCATGGCTTTTTTTAACTGCGCTAATATTATAAATCTCAAAAGCCCAATCAATCCAAACTCTCGGAACATCAAAGACAGATTGACTATCACTGTCCGTGTGAAAAACAATTGCAAACGTCACGTGAGCTGTATTACTGTTTAATTGCACTTGCAGAGTGGACATTTGGCCGTAAATGTTCCCAACAGCCTTTTATAGCCAGTTCTTTCAGAGCGCAAAGCCCGATCGGAAAAATCCCAGACATTACTGTTATTTTACGGGGCATTGGATGCATTACGAAATTCACGAACATTTTGTATTTGCACAGACAGGACTTTTTGGATACAATAATATAAATATTTGTGCATGTATATCAATTCGGATACGTGCTCAGACTTCGCTCAAATATAGTCGCTGTCCAATGCTGTCAAACATATATGTTCAATGCGCGACCGCCTTTGACGCTTATTGTATACCTTTATTTTACAGCACTTAATCACTCCGTCCCACGCTACCATGCTGCTTTAAATAAATAATTGAATTACTTATATTAACAATGGCTTATGTTAAACGTCAGAAACTGCTTTCGGTAAAGAACTTTTCCTAATTCCATTCGAAATTGCAGAAATTTTCCTGTGGCTAGATATTGACGACTTCCGGTCACCTTTTAAAGCTGCCCCGTCAAAATCCAACAGCGTATGCGATCTCGATATGGGATGGGGAAAGACGCAGTCAAAAGAAAGTAAAAGCGATGCGGCTTGTATGCCGATTTTCATGACTATGAAAACGAAAAAAATCACAGTAGCCGGTAAATAAAAGTCGCTTTTAGCGTCAATGATCCATATGTTGCCGGCCAGGTTCGATACGTCCAGTAATATGCATATGGTGGTTATCATGTCGCTAATTGAGATCATCAGTCCTATCACATTCAGAGCAAAGAACCGGCGGAGATTGCGTTGCTGGCATTGGCCATGCTTAAATGCAATAGCGGATCTGCCAATCTTTCCCGCGATCAGCATGCAGATGATGTCGAGGATTTCGAATGTCATCAGTGTCCATCGCCTCCAAGAAAACAGAATTTCCGGATGTTCTCCATGGTGCGAGGTATCTGAAACAGCCGCAAAACAATAAAGCCAACCTTTTCGGTGGCAATATTTTTCTGTGTTTTAAGCGGTAGTTTTTCCTGTTCGGCTGTTCCCATCTCACAGTGTGCGCACCGGTTAATTTATTTAATGAACTTGTTTACTCCAGATAAAAATATCGTCAGATGACTACGGTACTCTGCACAGGGGCTAAGAGACCATGACTGGACAATTAAATTCATTCATTCGTTGAACGATTGCACAATATCGGAGAGTACAAACAAGGAAGTGACATAACTTGATCCTATCGGAACCAGTTAACGTAAGTATTGCAGAACGTAGATAGAGATGCACATACCAAAAGATTATTTTCATGCACCATGCCAAAGAAAACAAATATGAATTCGAATTTAAAATATTATAATTTTAAATAGTGCTAACTTTCTCACGATAAAAAAAACTAATAAATTACCATAAGCGCGAGAATAATTAACATCTCAGAAAAGTATATGTAAAATGCTCGCAAAAATGCAAAACTAACATGCAGAGTAATAACAATAAGTTAAATGATCTACTCGAGTTTGTCTGCGTGGACTGTAAAACTGTTGCACCTATTTGAAAATTGAATAATTAACATCTCAGAAAAGTATATGTAAAATGCTCGCAAAAATGCAAAACTAACATGCAGAGTAATAACAATAAGTTAAATGATCTACTCGAGTTTGTCTGCGTGGACTGTAAAACTGTTGCACCTATTTGAAAATTCCATCTCACGTTAGTGCTACACTGAGTTTCCGCCGCTCGCTAATAACGGAAAACTATAACTACGGCATCGTTAAGCATTCTACTTACGACATTCCTGCTGTCCAGAAAATATTCCCAGCCCGAAGGCAAGCAGCAGTCCGAACACAGATCCCAGATACTTTTGAATACTGGCTAGAACGACTATTGTGCGTGGATGCTTAGTCTGGTATCCCATTTCGCAGTCGGCTACGGTAATATCGTTGGCAAAATCAGTGGCGATACTCCATATAAAATAATATGCTAATCGCGCATAACTCCATTAAAAACAAAATTTCTCTTCAGTTGGAAAATGCTTATATATTTGAGGGTGTTCTTAATGATCTAGCTAAGTGGATTTCATGCTTCTGGAAAACGGTCGCAAATTAATCAGTTTGATGTACAATGGTAGTATTATCACTGCAGTCCACATCCATGGCAAGTTTCCCGGGTGGTCATTGTTAACTGGAACCATATATATTAAATTAATCGTATGAAGTACCTAGGAATGGAAGGAAATGTCAAGAGAATAATGGAAAAAAAGCTCAAACGATAGCATGGTCGCGTTCGTCAATTATTACTGTTTTGTAGATCCGTACAGTAAAATATGTGATAATATGTTGGTACATGCCGGTGGGGAAGAATTCGGCGAAAAACCCAACATACCCCCAGGCAGTGTCAGAATGAACACCACACCAGACAAAATTCAATACAATCAACAGTGCATCCGCTATTTACATTTAGTTACCAAAGTAAGTAGAAGTGAAAATTAATTACAGGCTTTTGTCAACACATCATTCACAAATAAAAATATAAAAAATATTATCCACGAGCCGCGTTTCAGGATTCGCGACTCTTACGAGTGTTAGCGTTATACCTGGTACTGGTACTAAAAAACTGTGCAGTCAATAATGCGGTCAGTGGCTTTCGTAACAACTCCGACCGGCAAGGTGAGTGCATCATAATTCAGCAAAAAGGCAGGGCAGAAATTTTAAAAGCTGAGTGTCTATAAATTATTATTGTCAGCGTTTCGCTGATAAACGCGAATCCAGTATACTGAATTTAAAACCATTGCCTGGAAATTTCCTATTTGGCTGTTTGCTCAGTTTATAATCTGTTCTTCCTTACTGTTTGCGCTGCAGTGATCTGGTATCTCCTGCTTGCATGCACTTTATGAACAATTAAACACCGTACCGGTAAAATGTTTTCGTAAAACAGCAAAGCTGATATATAATTACTTGTTAACAGCAAAGTGAACATCAAAATTAAAGGTAATGGTGCGGAAAAACACGTCAATAAAAATAACAATTCGCTGTAATCGAAGATTTTACTTATAATCCAGTGACATACAGCCATTATAACACTCCGGAGGAGCGTAATGATTCCCAAATTAATACCACTTGTTACAATGTGCAAATAATAACTTGATACCTCTGTCGCAGATTTTCTACAGAAATAACAGCGAGTTTACCATACAGTATTTAACAGTAGACCGTCTAGACTTATCTATACGAGTACGTGAAACGATACAAGAATTTGTTTGTACCACGCCGGGTCATTTTATTCTGTGCTTATTCTGGTAATTTTTTCTTATCTAAGATCTGGTTGTTTCATCAAAAGACATGCAGGTATTGCAAAACAGAGATTTTACTACGAGTACTTCAAGATCCCAGCGAAAGTCAACAGTATTGCAAAATAGTATTGCAACGATAATTCTAAATTTTGTTCATCGTTGCAATCATGCTCGTTCCAGTAATTCAAATTTGCTTGTAGCCTCATGACCTTAATAATAATGTTATAATTTTGTTACGTGTATGACGTCGTGGTTATTAAGTGCAGTCGATATGAGTGTGCCAGATAATAGAAAAGCTACTGAAATTAAGAATAAGCCGATTACCGAAACTCTTTAGGTTTCTACTTCCAGTACATCGCTGCTTGCGACGGTCAAACTGGTTTGAGCCGTCGTCGGCACTGCCGGACACGTAGACGCAATGGACAGTCGGGAAAAACCACTCCGCCACGCCGGATACACTCGCCACGAAACATTTCTGTACCACTCCGCTACACGCATACCGATCTGATCACTACACCACAAAGTCCGCTTTTCACAGCTGGTCCATTTGATTAAATCCAAACTGACCGCTGCCATCTGGACGAAGAGAATTAGCACCATGGCAATGGACGAGGCAATGATCAACAAATTTTTCACCGCCTGATCTGTTTCCGGTAGTGCGGTGGTATATTCGTCATTATCAGGCCAGGAAATTTCCACCGTTTGGATGATGATCTGTAGGACCGAGATAATGGCGCCGACGGTATTCCAGGACAGGAAGTCCAGATAAAAGTGATGCAGTTCTTTTCCGATGGGCGGGTTTTGTGCTCGGCATCCGTATCGGCCAGCTGTGATTAATATGCCATAATTGGCGAATTCCAGTACGGTTTCCGACCATTTTTCCCAGGACCAGTGCCGCAGATATCCACGCAGATAGCCTACGTATACCAAACCAAAGGACAGCTGATCAAACACATTACGCATAGCATATAACCTGCAGGCCGAGCAAATTACCAACAATATCGAGACGCAATGTTCTCGTGTTAAATAGAAGCATATATAATTTATTTGAAGGCTGATTTTTCATTTAATCTTTGATTTATCACGCTTCAACTTGTTTAATAATTATTTAACTAGTATACAGTGAACTTACCTACAAGAACACCGCACCCGAACATGGGGAGAAAAACTAGTCCCATAACATATTCTGTGGTGGATATGAGGTTCAACAGCCGAGGATAGCGAATAGGTGGATCAATCGGCATCTTTCCGCTGGCTAATGATCTAAGCAGCTGCAAAACGGCGTTTAGCCACCATTCAATCTCGTCCCCGGTCATTTTTGTTAGATTATAATCACAATTATAAATTTAAATAATATAAAACCAACTATAGCAGAAAATGCATAAGTTAGGATATTAATGCATAATATGTAGCTGTAAAGCGGAATCTTGTGTAATTCGAAGCAGTGTTTCTATGAAGGCCCTGTAATACACTCCCTGCCTAACGCATTACATATAATGATACCGCAGACAAGCGATTTGTTTTGCAGGTCACGAAAATAAATTCTGATGCGTTTTGAACCCATTTTAAGAACGGCAACGGTACATCAATTGTATTTAAAAGAGTTATCGGCATATGGAAGTGCGTTGTGTGTCCTTACTCGGCCTCAAGTGGATCCCATCATCCCCATTACGTATACCATACACCGATTAATCAAATGCTTATCAATAATTAAGGTCACGATTAAGCAGTTGTTACCTGGTAAAGGACAAGGATTCGGTAAAGTGAGTTTGACCGGCATTATGGAAGAACGTTCCATCAGTATTGGAAATTGGTAATATTTGGGAAAGATATTTGAGTTAAATGATAAGTTTACATTGAAATAGTTAAATTTTGGAACTTTTCGCAAAAAACTCATGCTGGCCCTAATATATGCTGATACTGCTTCAGATTTTTCCCTGACGCTGTGTTTTGGATCGGATCTTACGGATGTTTTGGAATAAACAACAGATCTCGCACTGAAAGAACTCTTGAGAATGTTTGTTGTTTCTAGAAAATCACCTTCGGGTATCATTGCTATTTCGGTTCAGAATCGACATATCAACAACCATGTTCCGGCAGTTAAGACATGAACCGGGTTTTTATCTAACGACATTGTTTGTTTTATAGCGCTCACAGTTATCTACAGTTGAAACTAGAAAGCTAAATTCGAATGCGTTGATCTTCATTAAACCTTGCACCAAGCATCGTGTTTCATCGCATTTTTAATACAGAAACGAATCGTGGAAAAGAGAAAAATTTGACTGCAGCATAAACCATGCAAGCACAATCCAAGCGAATCCAAAACAACCGCCCCGTGAAGTATATGCTACAGTGAAAATAAACAACAACAAAACCGTATCTAGCACCCGTACAAATCCCCGAAAAACAAATGCCGGTCAGTATTTATACCGTCCTACATAGCTGCTCCTCTCTGTCCGCTGCGAGTACCAGCTGGGATAGTAGTTGGGACGCGCCGTACTCTGATTCCCGTAGGATGCGGCATGCCCGAACATGAAGGTGGTCCCGGCGTTCACGGCGGCGGCCGCCTGCTTCTGCTGGCTGACCGGGCGTTGTGAGGGGAGATGTTCGCGTGACAAAGTGGCCGAGTGGGGTATGTTGCTGATCAAGTGGGGCCGCGGTAGGGTGGTGTGTGCTGGATAGGTGCTCGTCATGAACTTGGATGTCAAGTGTTGGTTCTGCTGTAAACAGACGATTGTGTCATGATTATACTCCATTTACTACTTATCATGCGGCGTGAAGGGCAAGTGGAGCGGCAGTTATGCAGGCAGGGAGAATATGTATTTATCTACCTTGTTCCGATTACGGCAGGATTTGCTCAAACACAGACACCAGATGACGATGGCCAACAGGATTGTTCCTCCTACCACACCCAAAATGCTGGCGATCATCAGGACGGTGGTTTCGGATGTCTGCATTGCTGCCTCTTCTAAGATAAATCCATACACAATTAGATACTGTCAATATCATTTTTTAACACCTATACATATAATGAATCAACAAAACACAACTCAAAACAAAATAAGTACCATCAAAATTGTTAACAATTTTCGCCGAAAAAAATTTATTTTACTATGTAACGTTGCATCTGGGTACCAAGAACAAACTACACAACACATTTTATTCAATAGTACACTGACAGCTAGATCAGTCAATGATTTCTTTAATATTATGAATATCTTGTGTTAAACTCGCGGCTTTTCAAATATAACGGGATTTCAAAATACAGATCAGTCTTAATAGTTGTAGAATAAATAATGGGCATAGAGCAGCATTTAAAAGCTAAATTCTCGAAAAAGCTAGCATTTAAAAGCTAATGACAACAGTCAGTTCAGCGAAAACCAAAAATTAAAATATATACTAATAAAAACATTCGTGCATCTGTAGTTCTGTACTGCTTTATCTTTCGAACAATAACAAAATGATTATTTACCTTTTTTTGTCAGTGTGATGGATGCCGAGTCTCCTTCTCCGGCTCCATTGTACGGAGCACACGTATAGCTTCCATAATGTTTATCTTGTACAGCGCCAATCGTGTATGTGTGCCCTCTGGTCAAGAACACTCCATCCTTCCGCCAGATAAACGTGTATGACGGTGGATTGCCAGGGTCCGCAACTGTACATGTCAGTGCCAGCTTTTCTCCTTCTGCTGCATGGATTTCGGTGCTCGCCTGCTGTTTCGCCGTTCGCGCTGGACCAGGTTTATCTGCGAAAGCCGAAACCATATATTTCAACAACAAATGCGATTGGTTTAATGTATTTCATTACAACAATTTTATTGCATTACTGGCGACACGCTACCACCCATTCGTCGCTTTTGCAAAATTATGCAGCTTGAAAAACCCATTGCGTTTGTCCCAGCCAAGCAAGAAACACATATTTAATTCCATAAATAATTGCACAATTTCAAATCAAATTTAGTAACAAATAAAAAATTCTAATGATTAAATATATCGCTAAGTTTGTAGAATACTTACACTGCACTTTCACCTCAACGCTGTTGCTCCGTGGTCCCCATCCTAAGGAATTATGCGCTTCACAGGTATATGATCCAATGTCATTTCTGGACACTTGCAGTATCCGCAACGCATTCGTCTGCACGAGATCCGACCGGCCCGATGCAATAGCATTCGGGCTGTTCTCCGTGGCATTGGGCGCCTTAATCCGGTCTTCATATACCAGCTTATCGTTGCGATACCAGCGCACCTTGTCCACCAGCGGATTGGACTTCAACGAACAAGGAATGTGAATGGGGCCGTTTTCTTTCGATAGAATTGTCTCGTTCTTTCCGATTTGCGTAACGGGCAGATCTGCAAAGATTTTTGTTCGTTAGGTAGGTAAACAATCCGTAAAAACAAACGCAGCGCTAAATCAACACATGGATATCACTCATGTGGAATGCTGCAAACGTTTGTTACGCTGTCTCCATAACAGTCTGCTAACTAGTACCTAGGAACGCCAGCTGCATAACACAAAAGCCAAGCCGCAGCATTCGGTCAAAAAAATAAACATAACGCTTATCATCACATATCGGCGGCAATGCTTAAAGTATGCCATTTTATTTCCTACTTTGAGGACGCATTTAAAGATTATATAGAATAGAACTTAAGCAAAAATCACGTATTCGTGAACTTAATATTTGCCTAAACCCTTAAACATAAACTAAACTTACTAAAAAGATTACTAAGCACATCAATCAACGTAATCGGAAATAAACACATTACACAATCAACGTACATACTAAGTACCAAAATTCTTGAAAAAAATCAGGAAGCCGAAAAAACCTGCCAAAGTACATCTTCAAAACGTTCATAAAAGTTAACAATAAGGTGCAGCGCACAATTAAAGATTAAGGAATCTTTCTAACCGAAATTCTACCATTTCAAAGAACTAAGTCCGGGAAAACTTTGTCGCAAAGTGCCGCTGTGTAAGCCGTAAAAACATTAATTGGCGCACCAAAAAGCCCCTTTCTTAATTGCAAACTGCAAGCCAACATCGCTAGAGCGTTTTTACACAAATAAAGCTTACATAATATATCCAGCTTGACCATCGCTTCTGCCGTATTATTATCGTGCATCTGCGATAAGGCGGAAATGGCCCGACAGTAAACAGCCAGTCCATGATCTGCCAGCGTAACCTTGAAGGTCAAGCTGCTTTCAGTGCTAGTGATGCCATTCCTCGTCGTTATGCCTGCAATCAAGATGCGTTGGGCGCCATACAAGAGTGTTGACTGAAATGTCGCATAAGTAAATATTGGATTGATTAGAAAAATATTTATTACAAAATAACAACCATGACAGTCAAGGAGAAATCCACCGCCGCACATACTGCATACAGGTAGGAAGCGGTAGTCACATACCAGGAGTGGCTGACGAGATGCTCGTCTCGTTCATCAGCCGATCACCCTTCCACCATGTTATGATGGCTGGACCGCGCGATCCCTGAATAATACAGCGCAATGTGGCTGTCTCGTTGGCTTTGAATGTCCCGTTGGCCGGCAGGATGCTGGCGGAAATTGGCAGAACGGTTGTTGGCTCTGTCATCACCAATTATACCATGTTCGCAAAGTACAGAAGAAAACTTTTCGACAAAAATACAGAGTACGAGTATATAACTTCCTACTGTTCTTACCGGGAATGTCTAGATGCACAGTTTTTTCCACAACAGGATCAAATCGCAAATTTAATCCGCGACATTTGTACTCCAAAAATCTGTCAGCCGGATTCAGTGTAATTCTCAACTCATTTTGCAGAAGACCGTCGCTGAATCGGGAAACTGAACCGAAAAATTCTGCTCCATCTCGTGACCTACAACAGTTAAAGCGTAAGGACAATTTCTACCATAACTAATGCTATCCATTTCAGTGTCAATTCTTCCTTTCTGGGAAAAAAATAAATATTATCACAGAGAAGTGCACACAAAATATCAACATATCACATATCAACATATCACGGTACAAAATATCAACATATCACATTTGTCGGCAATCGCCAATGTGCATAATTACTAAAGTGCACTAGGCTTTCTGTAAAAATGCGTGATAAATTTTAGCATGCAAAATTCTTTCCAGACACAAGGACGCCGTAAATCACAAAACACCAGAAAGAACATGCAGCTTGCGGGTAAGTGTACTTTGGAATACGGTGTTTCAGAACAATTCGCTACGCACCGGTGATAGTCCAGCGCCAATTGCTGCGTAGTCAAGATAATAAAATGCTTCGGTAGACTATCGTGTGAAACTTAGCGAGCAATTTCTGACCGGAAATTGACCACACTGCATGCTACACGTCAAATCAGGCATGAATAATTTAATCACCGAAAGCATGCACCGCACATCGATCGCGTCGTACAGAACTGCATTTAACAGCAGAAACATGCAACAGAGTTTTCTAAAACAACCTAAAATAGTAAAATCTGAGACCATTAAAGGAAGAAATCCCCAGTACTGCCAGCTTAGTTAAATTGTTAAAAATTCGGGATAGATCCAGACTTTCTCTGAACGAAATGCCGAATGTACAAATTTTGTTACGGTAAATCAACAACAACAAACAAAACAGGATTTTCAGAAAACGGTAAATCGAACACCGAATCGAAAAAAAAACAAAATGCAAGAAAGTGGACGAAAAAATCCCAGAGAAGTTGTATGCAGTGCAAAAATGCCTATTCAGTAACCAGCGCGCTTACCAGGCCAGATGCGATATTCCTGGATGCTTGGTCTCACAGAACAGCGTCAACGTGTTGCCTTCCGGCAGTGCCGGTGGACCGACATACGGCCGTCGCGTATCGATTTCCGCACCGGCACCATCCCGAATGGTCAGTTCAAAGGGACGTTCAGCCTGCGGTATCCCGATAATATTCACCTGAGATCTACAGAATAATACTAAACTGCTCAATACAACCAGATAACGGAGGAATACGGCAGGCACAGGCGCCGCAAATGGCCGATTATGAGCCATTTGTAAATGATCTGCTCCAACGGTCAAAAGTAATATCTATGCGCATTTCGTTATTAATGTGCACACTGGTCAACTGTATAGTGTTGTGCACATGTTACAACATCGGCAATTATCCGTTAAGATCACCGGCTCAAGTGGATTAAACATTTAACGACAGCCGCGATGTGGCATGAACAATGCTGCACCCAAGCATCGTTCAAACGGAATAATCGCCAAAGAGTTCGTCCCTAACAAAAACGCAGCGCTCGTAAAGCCGTGTAAAGACGCGCGCGCACACATTGTACGTACATAAAGCATAAAAAGCCCTACTCGTACCAACGCCAGCGTAGTGGCTGATACCGAAGCAGCGGTGAGATTGCTGCGACCACCTTGGACGCAGCAGTGAACCTTGAATTGGCGACATTAAAGAGAAAGTCATATATAAACTAGCACCGAGAATATTATAGGACAATCAGTGAGCAGCCCGCTTGTTTACACTAGGATCAGAAGAAATAATTTTCCTTGACATGCTAATGTTCAGCTCAAGTGCTGAACACAATTCGTTTACAAATGTTGCATGTGCTAAGTTCCTGCAGCGCCTTGACTCCTGGACTTGTAGTCTTGTACATGCGGTCAGTATGACGCCATTGCAGAGTACTGACCGACAGCATCAACATTCAACATATACCCGGCTGCATAATAATTAAAGTAGCATGACTTATTTCAACTTTAAGACTTATGGCAGTTGAGTTTTACCAATGCTGCATTAATTATTACTTACAACGATGGATGGTTTTTCCTTACCGGTGTGATAAGTGCAAAATGTTTAAGAGCAAAATCATAGTTGTATTTACGAATTGTACTTTTATTAAACTTCGTACATACCAGTTGGGCAGTTATCTCTGTCATGCACCGCTCTTTCTGGAGTTTGCAACAAGTACGGATACGCGGATAGCATACGCCGAGGAGGCAAACCGCTTGCGTCAACCGGGAAGACGTCAAAAACAATCGATATCCGAACGGCGAATTCGCAGTCGCATTGGGCCAACATATTAGGGTGATTTTGTTCGTCTTGATTCCTAATTGTATCCCTACTATAAAAAAACCAGAAATGCCATAATTTTAAACGTCTATAAATATATCGGGACATATTTATTAAAAATAATCAAATCATGTACGCATAAATCATAGCAAACATTTCTACAGTGAGCGGCGAGGGCATAATTCGTCGCAGTCCTAAAGGCAGGCTAAAACATACCGACGCCGTCTAATATCGGTGTCGTGGTTTGATGGCGGCCACCCTCGGGGATCAGTGTATCTACGAAATTGAAACTCGTATACTCGTATTTTAACGATTCGCATCGCTCAAACAAATCATCTGATCAAAGCCTGTGGTCAACTGCCAAAGCCGTGCATATTTCAAAAGCATGATAATCATTCTTATTGGTGCCTAAATGTTTCCAAAACATTAAAGTTGTCCAAGAAAATTAAAAAATTAGCGTACTTAAAAATTAGCTACAGATAAAATGGTATGAAAAAGCCGCAATTCTTTCAGGAGAATAATTAACCGACGTTTTTTACAAGTTGTATTCGCCACCCAAAATGAATCAAATGGCATACAGTAATCTGAAGTCCTGGGAAGGGAAAAATTATCCATGCAATGATGCATGGATCTAAATGCCGTGAGATTATACCTAGTTAGCCTTTCAATTAATTCTACACACAAAAATATTTTTCAGTAAATCTTATCGATATGACATTTTTAATATAAAGCCTCAATGTAGGTCTCTGAACTTTTTTGGGTCGGATGCTGAAGCTAGTGATTAATTTGACAATGAGCGTAACTTGTACAGCACTCATATGCAAAGGCACACAGTGTACTCGCACTGTATTGCGTGACGGAATTGTGTTCTTTTAAAAGCGGGAAAAGTGGCAATTTACAATGAAATCTAAGACGTTCCGTAATAACTTTCTGCGATTCTCGCGCGGCTAAAGCATAATTATGAAAATGCTGCTTCAGCATTTAATCCAGATCCGTATTGCCTACCGGTGACGGTTTAGAATATTTGACCCGCATGCATATATGCTCCACGCAGACCGTGGAGATCGAATACGGCTAATGGGTGAGGCGACACTGCACTGGCGGCAGGGTAAAACGCTGAACACCGCCACTCGTTATAATCATGCGATCAGAGCATCCTAATCCCCATGCAGAGTTTGAGGACGCCATAGGGGAATGGGATGGGCGCGGTCGATGGATGCTGGTAGTGGTGCCTGTCGGGGAGGCGGTACTGAAATGCCAGAAATGGTCGGGTCAAGCCTAGAATGTGTGTGCACTAATACAGGCACACACACCGCACCACACGCACACGGTATGCGAAGCCGAAAGTGTGCTCGGCAGTGTCATGGCTACAGGCGCATTGGCCGCGATTAACGCTGTCGACGCAGCACAGACAGCCAGGGCGCAGGCAGGCCTCCCAGTGGCTGCACATCTCGACGGCATGGCCAATGCATTGTGCGGCGATATGCATGCGCCAAGTTCGGCTCGGTGGCTGTGATGCGTGTGTGTGTGTGTATGAATGCACTGTACAGAATTAGTCCCGAGCTTGGAGCCTCACACAGAATTTTCGATCGTTCTCCGACCCTCTTAAAACGCCATTTTGACCTCCTACTGCCTGTGCACTTCCTGATAGACATTTTGGGAGTTTCGGTTTTGGTGTTTTTCATACCATGGACAGCCAATCGCTGCTACATGCTGCTGGTCTGGCCATGTGCGATCAGGAATTAACGGGGTCCTCGGAGAAGGACGTCAACGGTGAAACCAGCCACAACTCCTATGGGAGCCATGGCGACCAGCTGGACGGCCATCACAAGGTAAGGAACACTTTTTTGGAACCCCTACTCAGTTATGCACTAGTCCAGAAGGGGTTACAAAGGGAACTCGGCCTAAAGAATGCACGATGGGAACCCTCACGTGTCACGTGACCACATGTGTGTACCGCACACAGAGGGCGCTACAAGCCGTCCCAAATGTCTGCGAAGCACTAAAAGGATACTGTTTCAGCGTGAAGGAAAGCTGGTAAAAAGTGGTTGCTAGTTACCCCGAGTATCCTGAAAAACATAAGTGCCTAATCCGATACTCGGGTTCTCAGTAAGTACTGTAATCACTAAATCTTAACTACTGCAGGTTTTGCTAAACGAACACTGGTTACCTGCACCTGGTACTCAGACTCTCTTCACCATACCAATACGGAGAGACACACAAATAAAATAAACGGAAACCTCTTTTATAATTAGGTTGAGACTTTAAACTTTAGATTTTAGTCATATTATGATGTTGATAGTTTGTAAATGAACTACAGCATGGTGCGTACGGTTATACGGTACCTCTCAGGTTTTTGGAAAATCTGTTTAAAGCTCGTTGTTGATTATGGCAAAAGGATCCTATATTTGTCGGACCCTTCAGCGATAGTCCAATGATAAATAATCATAAATTTTAAGAAAATTATAGTAGCAAAATTATAAGCCTTAGAAAGAGCCTTCGACAAATGCGACTAAAAGGGAAATAAACACTGGGATGGGGAAGCGAAGTTCCGCAGCTGTCGCTGTTGCAGTCGCCACCACAGGGCGGGCAGTTTCAAATAACTCTGGTGGTTTTCACTTGTCAGTTGTCAAATGCCGGCAACTGCAAAGGCCGCAAAGCGTACAAAACAATTATTTTGTTTCGTGATCTGGTCTTTTTCTTTTTGACCGTTTTTAAATATTAATAACCTCAGATTGCTTGATTAAATTATGAACCATATGAAGGTAGTCAGGTTTCCGTGCTATAATCGTGCAAGCACTTGTGTATACGATGGAGTTGCTTGCAGATTCCCTGCCCATGGGCATGCGGTAGCCCAGAATTTGCCAGTGATGAGGATTTGTACGCACACGTTCGACTTAGCGGCGACACCGTGGCCTGCCCGAACCTGTCACGCATGGTGTGGGACGCCACGACGCCCGAGCTGATCCACAATCTGTCGCAGATGATGGGCATGGAGACCAGCAGTGGGGCGGAGTCGTCGGCTTCTAAGCGCATCGATCCCCATGGTCGTTTCCTGTATTTCATCTCCGGATTTCTGACGGCGCGCGGAATTGCCCTGCAGACGCCCATGTTCACGCTGCCGTATCCCTTCTCTAAATTCATGTGGGAATGGGCCACCACCGACAAACCGGACTCACAGACCGTTGTTAACTCGTTCCAAATAAACCCTGCATGATGCTCATCAGGCTCAATGCCGACTGTACGCTTAATAGCGTGACTGTTGGATACGCTTATGCTTCGTCCCTGGAAATGTTGAAGATCTGTGAATGATGAAAGTGGCAGTTATTGAGCACACGGAGTACTTGTTTGAGTTGTTGACGCTGGCCTTTTATAATCGCTGCACCATGCAAGAGTCAAATTGCTATGAAGACCCGCCCACCGAATCGATCCCCGTCCCGACCTTCTTTCTGGAAGCCGTCAGCGATATTGTGAGTCTGCTGTCTACGGCCAATAAAGAGAACGGTGATTTGAAGGATGAATTTTGGCGGGAATTGATTGAGTGGGGTCTCAGCCGCACAACGTACGAAGCTGTGTTCCAAAATGCACCCGACACGGCTGCACCGATCTCCGAATTGTTATCCCAAAGCTCTTCCGTGGTAAGAAATACTGAACTTCAACTCTTGAGCATTTCAAAATTGGTAACTTATCAGCTGATGTTATTCTCATATATTGGTTAAATTTCTTGGAAATTAGTTTGTAAAGTTGAATTATGTGTAGAGGTAGTTGGTGTATTCTGAATTGTCCGGATCTTAATTTTCGGTCATGTACTGTTTGCAGGTGTTGCATACGTTTGCAGGTTTATTTCTTGTTTTTAGGGTAAAAGCCCACAGATTCCATCGCGTCTACAGATGTCGAATATGGAGCACGAGTTTCGTCTGCTGGAGGATGACATGATGATGGCCGACAGCGAGACTGGCCATGAGCCTTCCCCAGGACCGAATTCCATTCAGGACGGCATCACGAGTTCGTTGAAAAAGGACGGCGATGAGCCGCACATGATGGGAAGTGATCGTAGTCTTCGTCCAGTGGCTGCTCGGAAATCGGTTCAGCAGTTCCACATCCCCTATGACCATCCCTATCACATGTCGGGTTCCAAGCGGAAATCCACAGTGCCGACTAAAAGCGGTAGGATGGATTTCGTTTTTTGAAAGTTCAATTGGTTGTGCCGTTGCGACATTTTGTCGCCACCAGGAGACATAGTTTTTAAACTTTGAAATTTCAGTAAAGAAGTATTTTTACGGCCCGAATTTCAAAAATTCGGATTGTAGAGTGAATCGATGCGTAATGTGGTTAGTGCTGTAGGGGTTCCAGTACATAGACTTTTCTTGTTTGTAGCGCGGTCACCTGAGATTGAAGGTATTACAAAACTCTGGGAAATACTGCAGTTAAACTTACGGATAATTTTCCTGTGCTCCGCAGATGTGTAATAAACTCCCTGTGTTTTGTGTAGTTCCTTCTCGGTCTCTGGATTATTCGCTGTCAAGTAAGCGTCGCCGGGGGGACACCGTTCTTCCCACCCAGGCTCCAATGACATCCCAGTTGAACCTTTTAGACATCCAACCGCTAAAGATCAGTCTTCCGCGTATGAATGGCCATCCTAGCGGCACGAAAGTGAAGAAGGAATCCGCCGCCGATAATTTCAACATGCCGCCGGCTGTCCCTATCCCCTCCGCCCGTCCCAGCCAGGATCATATCTACCAGAGTGAGATGCTGACCAAGATGATCCAGCCCAAGACGTCCCGGCAGAGCAGTGTGGATACGCATTCCGGAATGTATCAGTGCCTCCAGTGCCACAATTACGGTTCTTCGGATCTGTCGGTGATGAAAGATCACATCCGGGAACATCTGGGATTATGTCCGTTCCAGTGCTACCACTGCCATCGGGCCTTCACGTGTATGCGGGCGTTCAAGGCCCATGCGGACACACTGGGTATTCCGTACTTCCAGTGTGTGGTGTGCACATGGCAGACCTGCGACGAAGCCGACATGCACCGACACACGCAGGATGAGCATCTCGAGCTGCCGAAATGCCGGCGCGAGGACCTGTATGAGCTGCTGCATTTTTATAAGATCGATTCGGATCTCAAGTCCTGGGATGATTATGTTGGAACCGGCAGCAGTGTGGGCAAGCAGTCGGGGAGTAGTATCGGTGGGAAGAGCCGGCTGGAAACGGTCATGAACGGGAGTGCCAAAAAATGATGGATGTTGTTGGGGGTTTTACAGTTTACGGATTGTTTTTTCTGATTTTTTGTTGCACCGGGTCTCATGACGGAAGGATGCTCAGGCTGATTCACTGATATAGGCCACAGAACAGTTATATTACTTTAACGTGGATGTGGTTTGTACAGATTTCGTAGGTGTTTCGGTGATTTTTTGATTGGTGCTGTTTTCCTGTTTAGACTTGATTATTTTGCTTTTTTGTTACATTCGGTGATGGTTTCTTACGTAATGAGGTTTTTCTACGGTTACACAGCTTCCGACTATGATTTTGTTACTTTTCGATTATTGTTTCTTCTCTCGGGAGGCGTCTCGATTATTTGCAGTACGATGACTTGTACTGGTTGTTGGTCTTACGGTCTTACCTAATAAAATTCGTAATAGCGAACAATTAATTTTGAACGGAACACTGACAGTGAAAGGATGATTAATTAATACATAACTCTGGATGTTATCGGCGCAGTTCGTGTCGTTGTGGAAAGTTTAAACTCGTCAAGAAGCCAATGAAAAGTGTTTCAGAACTTTCCCCAAAACTGGCAAAACAGGGGAAACCACCTAGGCACCTACGTACTCCGGTAGTATTAGCGGGGAAAGTACATGATAATACGAGTATAACTATACATGACACTGGTGTTAGTGAGTCTAGTGACCTTTGGCATAATATGGTATTTTTATTTCTGTAAGCTTATCTCATAGATAACAGCCTTTTTTAATTCACGGCCAGGTGCTACGAGTTGCCTTTAAAATCACAGTTAAGGTTCTGTGGAGTTTAGAAATATTTTAATGTTTGGAGTGTGGCGCACAATATCCGCAAAATCCGAACCTTTTACTGACAGTCAGTTCATCGAAACAATAACGCGTGAGACTGTACTAGCAAAACTAAACAAATCTTCCGTTTCATTTTCGAAAAACACCCTTTCAATAATTTCACCGAATTAAACGAAACTGTATCAAAGCAACACAACCAAATAAAACATACAGTAGTTTAGTACGCACTACGTACATAGCACTCGTCCTCCACAATCATGGAATATTACATAATGCCGGTGCTGAATGGGGTCGTAAGATTTTAACCTTAGAATTTAAAATTATTTATACATTAAGGCTTAAATTATTTTTTATGCATCCTTAGTTCGATTAAGTAATCATTTTCAAAGGTGCCCTTAAGATTGCACTTAAATGACGACACTGGCATCTGGGAACCAGCTTCGGATTAGTAAGGTATATACTTATAGATATGCATGCATATGCCTTACAAAATGCATATACCGACTCCGATGTCGTTAGCAGTTTTAGTTTTTGGTTTGTTCTATCCCAAGGCTGTGGGACTGTTATATTATGTTGCAGATCGTGTTCCTTGACAGACATCCTCCATTACGGGTCGTTAAGAAAATACATATCATTATAGGATCAAACCATCAACGCATTAGATAAATTAGGTTTCAGACTACGTTTAGAAATAATTTTTTTTTCACAGCTACAAAATTCCACAAGGATAAAATTAATAATATTATCTTTTTCTTTATAAATTTTGCAGTTGTGCTACTAGTATCATCCCGTATGCTTAGTGCAGTCAATCCAGCACATCCACCGTGCACAGTCAAGAAATGCAATCAGAGAGAGGAGACAACAATAAACAATCAAATCCCACCCAAGATTCGAAAAATTAATATGCATATGCAACGTACGTTTCTAATTGAACTATGAAAGCGCCGGTTTATCAAAGCCATCTGTAGTACCATTAACAGTACCCAGATTGACCAGAAAACCCTCACCACATACGAGAAAAACTCAAAAAACAAATGTTCTTCATAACAGGCCACGGACAAAATAACACACAAAAAACAACAAAAATATATATCTGAAACAGAGAGATAGAGAGTCAAGGGACAGAAGGATCATTCACTAATTCCAGGGACTGTAATCACTTGTGTCCATGGTTTCGTCACGCTCGGACTCATTGTTAGTCGACCAAGCAGCAACTGCAAAACAGCAAACTAATGAAGACGCGATGTAATTAAAATTAGGCAACTGTTGAATTAACTCCAGATTACAATTTACCTAAATATTGACATAATAATGAAAAGCGGACTGTATTCACTATTCTTGTCTAATAATCTGATTTCAAGGTCATCATAATCATTTTCCACTCGCAGAATGCGCCTGTAAATTCTGCATGATGAGTATTTTTTTACCATTTGGCAGCAAAGCATCAAGCGCCTGTGTGTTGGACGGCTGATCCGGTCCCAAAATCTCCCTCAGCAATTCATCAAACACCGCCTGCTCGGAATCCTCGGCTGTTTGCGCGGTCTCTGTCCTCTCTGGCCGCTCATACAGCTCCGCGTCCGCCGATGTCGACGGGTAATCACTAAGAGATTCCGCTTGGGACGACTGCAGGTAGTCCACCAAATTGATGGTAGGTGTATCGTAATCGGCTGGGGTATCGTCTTGGAGGGCGTAATGGCGCTGCTCCATGCCCGAATGACTGGCAAAAGGCGGTTGCTCGACCGCTGATACAATGGGTGGATGCATAGTTGCACCTTCCGCGTGGGGAATAGTTATGATTAACGGCTGGAGAGATCCAGGAAGTTGCAAGCAATAGTGCACACAGTTACTGGTCATGCCCGTCGTCGGGCTGCTGACGGTTGACACTGAAGGTTGAAAAATTTGAGCAGATTGAGTAGACGAGGGCGACGATAGAACCACACTCTTGGGAATCACAGCAGAGGTTGAGGGAAGCACACTGGGTGGAGGAGGTGGTGTCGGTTCTCGCAATAAATTATCGTCTGAAAAAAATTCGAAATTTACTAAAAAATAATGGCCAGTAAAAATTTAATTACTAATCCGTAAGTGCGAGAACCAGCAGCGGTATCTTGTCCAATTTTCCATATACAAGTACAGTAAATTGTCAGATATAGTAATATCAACCCTATGCAAATGAGCAGGCCTATGCAGCTAGATTATTTTATTATTTTGAATCGAAGACCATAAAGATTACTTCACTGGATTGTTAAATTTGAAGAAAATTATTTTGCTGCAAAAAATTGCAAATGAAAGTGCCGAAAAGACCATAATTATTGTTTATTCGATACATTTTCCGTCCAGTAAGAAGCTCGATTAACTTCCTAGATCAGCGAAGTTCGAAATTCAGTTTCTCCTAAGGTATACCATATAGAGCACTGCAAATCAAATCACAAGTTCGACTTCTACAGATTTTCACCTAGGAATTCTAGAAAAACCTGCAGTTTTTTCTTTTGGACTATGCAACCAGTGCGAATCGCTTTCGTATTCTGCCTGAGGTACAATTGAATCCACATAAAAATTTCTAGTAAATGAATTCTGCTCAAGGCACTGCTATTCGGCGTTCAGTTTTCCAGTAAATTCACATCAGTTAATACTGCGGGCAGAAGCAAAAAAATAAAGGTGTCTCCATTAGCAGCAATTCGCACTAGACTGCCGGAAACAAAAGTGACATTACTTTCTCTTACACTCAGGTCATGATTTTTCAATTGAATTCACCTTTGCCTGTTAAGCAAAGGAGTAGCATCATCTTAATGGTAGCAGTTTAGTAGCGGTACTGTTTTAACAGTTCCAAAATTTTCCCTCGTTTACAAATGCAGTCTAGTCAAGCCACGGTCGGTGGTCTCGTTCTCCCTATCAATTTATAACGATGTTCGCCAATTTGCGCCATAACTCACCACGAGCAAAAAATTTAAAAACACGATTTATTTTCAACTTCGCCGCAGAGTTTTTTACTCACCTGGCGTATACTGCAGTTTGTGCGGTTCGCTTTGTTTACCATCCCCATTTTTCACCACCAAGCACACATCGACCGGCTTGGAAATAGCAAGGTCTCTGTAGGGCGGAATGGATGCCACAAGATGTACCGGATTGAATTTATCTTTTCTTAGCAATGCCTCACTTTGCCATACAACGTCGTCATCTGTCGATAAGATAGGCATTAGTGCATTACTGATAGAATGCTAACCCGTAAGATACTGAGACTGCAGATACCATACCATTATTCTTTTCCATAACAATCAGTTTGGTATCGTTCTTGATGAAGTTCTTGCCAATAACGACCACATCCACGCCTCCCACCACGGGACACGTTTTATGAGAAACGAAGGTTATTTCTGGTAACCCTGGCGTAGCACCTAGAAATGTTAATTCCAGCATGCATGAGATCAGGCAAATTTACTAAAAATTCCTGACCCAGACAACAGCATTTATTGTACGGTAAATCAAAAACTGCCAAAAAATTATCTGACAACCGATGCAGTTGCAAAATACTGATAAATTATCGAAACAAAAATTACACAGGATTTCTTACAGCATGAGATCGGTGACGAAGCCACTTGTAACACTTGCACTTGACCATTTTTATTCGCGCATATGGCTCGAAAAATCAGACGAATTTTAGGGCTTCCGGCTTTTCGTTTGGTCTTCTTAAGATCTTCGGGATCGGTTGTCATTTCCTCAAAGTCAGCATTTCGCATCTTCATTATGCTAACGCAATCCACACTAAAATGAGGAAACAAAGAATTAAGAACCGCAAGGCACTGTTCACTACAGATCATCGGTGCAGGCAGTTTCAAAATCATCAAGTTGCAATACCGCCGCAGCTTACGATAAAGTCCAGTTATCTTTGGCACTGAATGCCATTTCCAGAACAGTTGTTCTGTTATCCAGTTTCCGTATGATCGCTGGCGCTGAATGTTTATTGTTCACCTTACAGACTTTGTAAAGTGGATGGGGCGCAACGGGATCCCTTTCCTCTCCAATGAAAACGTGCAGAATTGCAGAATTTCCGTTAAATCCTTTCAACTATAAAAAAAGAACCTTACCACAAATTACTGCAGCCATATCTGCGAAATCGCCCAGAAATACTGCGGTTTGCACTACACCAGAAGAACGTAAAAAAACGTTAATAAAATTGCCGAAAAATACCTGCACTGCCGGTGAGGCTGTTCCGGTACGATCCTTTATCCTACCACGACTGCCCTCTGTTTCATATCGTGGTCGATGTTGGGCTTCTGGTTGCCGAACGATAGCAATTTCCGTCTGGCCTAGGCGAGAGGGAAATTGTGGCCATTTCTTAGCGGTAGGCGTAAACAAGCTAGCGAGCCTAAAAGTACAAAAATGTCAAACTTGGATGATATTATGTACCATCTCGAGTTAGCACAAAATTACACGTTAACACAACAGCAGCGATAATAAAATATTATATTCGCTTGTTTCTATCAAATTACTTCGTAATTTTGACCCATGCCTTTTTCTTCGTTACTAAAATTCGGTTGTATGTATTGTCATGCTCAAAGTTCAATGATCACATATCCATACTGCACGAATTTTTCACTTATGATCTTCCAACAACAAAGCTTCACTCGCCAAGCAAAGTTCGACGATCAAGACAAAATGCAATAATTAATACAAATTACTCGATCTCTTCACGTGATCACGCGAACCTTTACACCGGTAATCGTAGTTTCTCGGGAAACCTATTTTAGAAACCGAGACTCATAGTCGTATTATAATGTCAATGATAAACTGCTGAGCGCGTCCGGACACACAGCACGTGCAAGATAATGCTGCAACTAGCACATGCAGTGATGCCGGAAGCTCCAAAAACCTGCCCATTTAAAATTTTATTGGCTTGCGCAGTTAGCGTAATTCAAAGAACTGCCATCTCAAGCAACTTCAAAATGACAAAATCGGTAAATAATCTTTTAAAATCCAGACTCAGATTACGCGACCAGTTCAATAGCTTGAAAATGTTTTTATCTTATCAGCGTTGCATTTCAGAAGAACAGCATTTACAGTCTTAATTTTTTTATTCTACTGTTCAGCAATAAATAAATCTTATCACTATACCACTACATGATAGCATTTCAAAACCGCAAAAAAATCCGAGGTAACGGCAGTAACATTTCCTTTAGACTAAAAAGCTCTAAAACTATGAATCTGTTTTTCAAGTAAAGGAAACTAACGCAATCGCATAATTTTACCGCAGAAAAAACCGCAAAACAGTAAATTTATGATTAACAATAACGAAAAGTGTATTACGCAGCAAGGCAGTATTGCGTATCTCGCAGACTTTCTGCGTTAACACACAATTCTATTTCCGAAACAGAGCGAATATCGTAAACTCTACTGTTACACTGTTACGTTTTTTCGCCTTTGACAGTCTTCGCTTACATACCTGGCTGGCGTAAGAATTTCAGACTCCGTGTATCCCATATCTAAAACCACATTAACGTTATTTATAGCATGCCAGAATTCAGCTTGTCTATGAATCACTTTTCTGAAATTTGGCAATAAGAACCACTCTGCACAGTGAAAATACGGAGAATATTCACCACAAAACATAAGGAAGCAGGAGCTATTAAATCATATCTTAAATAAAGGCAAATCAAGCTTACTTCAGCAATACTAAGCGTAAAGCGTAAAAACAAACCGTGACAAACGATACACAAGTGACAAGGCCGGTCCAGGAATTATTTCAGTTTTACCTTCGCTGTCAATATCCGGAAGCGTATACTGGCGGGTTGGCTTACCAGTGGAAGCCTTGAGATTCAGATTTTCAGTGCTATTGAATTTGCGCTTGTAGGCTGCACCGAAGACTGGATTAGGGCTGTCGGGACCGGTTGGGGAGGCCAGCTGGTCGGAGTAGCCCGAATCGGGCGAGAAGGTCCATGTGGCCAGCCGAGCGCGGGGAATGGGAGGCAACGGCGGACTGGATGAGCCAGGCGTCACCGTCGTACCGCTGGACGTCTGCGGTGATGGTGGGCCTGGAGGGATGACGGCTGACGGTTCAACAAAAATAACACCACCCTGACTGCCTGTCATGGCCTGCTCGAATGGAATGCCTGGTGTCGTCGTCAAGATCAGATAAGTATTCGTTGGCTCAGAATTACCGCGCTGCTGTGCAAAGGGGTCCATGGGAGTACGGCACAACGATATCAAGATTGCTCGGCGATCATTAATCTGCCTGTAGGGAGGAAGACAGTGGTATGATTCAGAAAAAGATTCAAACGGGCGCAACCTAACCACGGATCACAACAGGAGACGCCAATCCTCCCTGCATTTTCCTCCCCTGAACAATGGCTCGTCTAGGTGCTGGCAGTCCAGTGATGACTGAGATCGATAAAATTTAGCAGCATAATAAACACCTGCGGAAAATTATCACAGTTTGCATACTCCAAAAGTATGACGATGTGAAAGAAACAGAAAGAAAATAAACAGAAAAAGACAACAGGGCAGAAAACCTAACCTGTGAATATTCAGGGTAGGCTGATCAGTTAGCATGACTAAAATTTCAAAGTAATGGCAGATCTTTACGGCACGCATAGTTGGATGCGTGTACGCCGTATCACGTAGCGTACGCTCTATTATGCAGCATTTATGCTCACCAAAATTTGCGAACGATGACGAAACTTCGAGACACGGACGTCGACACGCTACGCGTTACGTGGTTCCCGTTTCTTGGTATCAAAGTTTGACTTTTACTTTTTAGCCTGTACTTCAGCTTATAACCTTCCTGTCCGGTTAAACCGGTTCAGAGCGACTAATTTGTTGACCAACGGTCAGTAATCGTAAACAGCTCAGGAAATAGTGGGAAAATCGTATGGATAAGAGTTTTTGCATGTTCGGAGAAAATTGTCAGCTGCCTGTAGTACTCGTATCGGTACTTGCACATTAGTACATTACTATTATATATTAATTATTGTATTCTGATGTCAATTATTACGCACATTGCTTAACGTCAAGTAATTAGTATTCAAAATCATACTGAATTTGGAATCGGCAAATAAAGTGTAACTATTAACAATAAGAAATTTTTGTGCTTACACACAATCCTCCTGCTGATACGCAAAATACAGTTGAAGAACTGTTAGTATCACCCATATTATTGCAAAAAACTTTACTTGCATTATAAACAAGAATTTATTTCTGTATTTCACATCAAACCAAACTAGCAAAGGCGCCAGCGGTCTCGTCAAACAATCTGCAAATCTAAAAACCTGACAGCAATAGGCCGCTTGCAACTAGGTCCAACTATTTTTGATTCCTCAATGCGCAAAATAATCTAAGACCACTTGCAGAAAAAGTATTGTAATAAACAATATGCATGCAGCTTCAGTTGTCACCTTCCGAATCGCTTTCGGAAAGGTCGGGTATATCTTCCTCGCTTTGTTGGTAGACATAGCCCGAAAGTGCCAGCAAAATTTGCTTGTAGTATCCAGACGTGTCACCCTACGAAGCACACAACAATACATTTTTCTAGACTGATCTGATCATGTGAATCCGATTTACTATTTGACAGTATCGTAACTGTACAGTTCATAATTAATATATCAAATTATTTCGTGTAATAATCTTGCTGTATTATAGCGTACAGATACTGCCTCACAAGGTTGTCCGCATCGGCGCATAATTAGTAACCTTATTCACATACCTAATTAATATAGATATGAGCTGTGCAGATAGCACTGCTGGGGTGTGCTGGCAATTTTTTGTATCTTCTACTTACAATAATAAATGACTCCAGTGTTTTACGATATGCCGCCTCAAACTGCTGTTTAATATTGTCGAGGTCCTTTTCGCATCGCGAAACAATAGTGTGGATGAGTTTTCTGTTGTCGGTCCCCAGTCCTTTCATGGATTTGTATAAAATTTCCGCAAAAAAGGCGTGCTTATTCTTGACAAATTTGACTAAAACATAAAATTACAAAAATAAAAATTATGGTTATGGGTGTTATAATCAACAGGTTTTGTATTGCATATTCTACGTCTGTTCATGATTTTTGTGCAGACGTCCGGCTGCATTGTTCTGCTGTCATCTATGGTATGGACACCACTATAAAGTGAAGTTCAACGCGAACTTCATTATTAGTAAATAAATGTATCATTATCGATATCGTGGGGTATTATAAGGTCTTCGTTTTTATTTTGCACGCGCGCCGCTCACCAAATCTTTCCAGAAATTTTTCTACATCTCCATGTAAATGCGTGGCAAGAACTTTCTCCAAAGGCATATCAAGGAGTTTCTCCAATTCCTGAATAACTACGCGAAGGTGTACTAGACCTCTTCCGGTGAATAAGGGAATAAAAGTACTGTCAGATGCCCAGCGTTTTGGTCCCGCATCGTAAAGGGCTCTCGCATCCCACTGCAAAATATCGGACACATCTATGTTTCCAATAAACGTTATTGTCGCCAAGCTAATGGTAAGCTACAAATATGTCACCATTTTTGGTCTTAATTTGTTATATCGTACTATGTGGATATGCAGTAGGTGCAGCAATACGTATGTAGGGTGTTCCACTTCCTGTCTCAAATTTATGCTTAATTTTTCGTATATAACCTTATTTTGCAGAAAACTTGGGATATATTAATTAGGGTTTGTAACGCTAGAGTTTAGCTTTGAATGCAAGCAAACAATCATAATCTTCCTCAAAAATTTCGTTTTGTAGCACGATCAAAGTATCTGTAGACTGGTACGAGGATCGACTCTAGTCCTTATACTGACCTTGGCTTGCTCCACCGCGACCATCACGTGTTCCAGATCGTTTTCTTCGGAGTCAAAATCATCATCACGATTTGCCTATATAGCCAGGTGGGATAACAGTTACTGTACTAATAAATATTTTTTTACGCTGAATCTGCATATGATACCACGCAGTATAATTAACAAATCCAGAAATTTTTGAATTGCTGGCTATCTTTTGGCATGCTCATGTACAATTGTGCACACTACAGAGTGTGATATGTGAATTATACGAACTACGAAGCGTCCTAAATAACGTCTAATACTAGTAATCTATGCATGAGGTCACGGCTAGATAGGAAACAGCAACACAGTGCCTACTTTACTCGTACCTATTCATGACAATTGACAAAAAACTCCTTCGGAACGCTTCCTACGGAAGCCTTACGCAGGCGCGTGGATTGATTAAGAATAAATGCGAAAAAAACCAAAATACTGCAGCCGTGCAAGAGAATTTCGGTGTGCGTAATGAAAATTTGAATTTCATTAAGCTAGTCAAATCGGAACAATGCGTTATCTCCCACTCTGCGTACGAGTTGTCCAGTTCTAACGTGGAATTTCTAGAATTTGCGAATGTCTGAACTATTTTGATGCACAGCAAAACGTTTTCTTGACCTGCATTCCTTTTCATTTCATATTCTCCTGCTCAGCCTGGACATACATTCTTGTCCTGGGAAACGAGAAATTAAGTGTTCTAGTTCAGCGGTTTTTTTCTGAGCGCCGATACATAGAATGGAGTCATTCACTGATACTATCGTATTACAGTACGAATGCAAGCCTGCTGCCCTACGATTGTGTGATTGCTGTTGGAATACCGACAGTCTATATAGTTCAGCTTTGCGATACATGTACAGCATCTCTTCGGATGGGAATCCGACAGAGAATCGGCAGCTGAACAGGCAGGATTAAGGCTAACCTTTAGTGTCCTTTACTTTCCATCTTTTCCCCGTTAGAGGATAGACAGACGCAAAAGCTCAGAACAGACAGAATCATCCTGACCTTTCAGTAACCTTTCAGTTACACGTTGGATCCTATACTAATATAATATATAGACAGACTACGTCTGCCATATGTTATATTAGGCTTGCCCGTTTCACCCGTGCAGCGCCTGCGTAATAATACCGATTAGCCATCAAAAGCTATATGCAACTCGCAACAAAACATGAAACACAGTGATATTCAAAATTCAGTTAGTACTGTAAATCGCGTTCACATTACTCGAGACGTAGGTATAATCGTAATTTTAGTTTGACGCAATTTGACGCAATAATCGGCTTGTTTAAGTTTAAAAGCGAGAACATTCTCGCTGAAAAGACTGCCGAACACCGTGAATGCAAAAAAGTTACTTATATGGATCGGCTCATTATTTTGGGATTTGTTATAAGAAAATCGTACTGGAATTAGGTATTTTGCTTACCGCCAAAGTTGTGGTTATCAAGTTTTTAAAGAATGTAGATGAATGGACATGGGAAGAGATATCAAGAGCAAGATCCTTATCATAAACTGTAACAAACGGTTTTGTGGTTAATTGTAGTGCCATAATTACGCAAGCAAATGTGCAATACTACATGTTTATATATAAAGGTCAACTTACGGTTTGTGTAAGCCTTTTTGATTGCGTTGAGCTCCACATTGTTTCGAGTACAGACAATATTGATGACCATGTCTTCGTCCGTAAGTGGTAGCTGCACAGCAAAAAGTGTCAATGTAATTGATCACATTCTACGTTCAGCAAAACGTTCAGTGCGTTTATTATTTGCTCATCAGTACTGCGTCATATGGAAACTATCTGGATAAAGACGATGGTCGTCTCAACTTAATGCAAGTAAAACGTACATGAATAGCATGGTGAATTTGTTCGGCGTCATAAACTTCCGGTGGTTTAAGGAGAGCGATAAGAACATCCTCGAAATGTCCGCTTATGAGAATCTTCAGCTCGCCTTTCATTGCATTTATTAGTTCCTGATGGTAGCATAATTAGCGCAAGATTAAGCGTGACTATGTACTTCACACATTCAATCAAACATTTCAAGCATGTGTTACAATAAGCACCTTTCCGTAGAGCTTTTTGTAGGCTCCAGCAATATTTCGGCGTTGTTGACTGGAGCGATGCGTCAACAGATCGATAATCGCTTTTTCTCTTGTACCTGCAACAGCAGCAATGCTTTCGTGATCCCTGCATAACCTTTCATGCTTTTCATCGACATTTACTGTGTCGCATGCATTGCAAAGTGAAACGTATGATTAGTGCGTGCACTGTTGGTAAATACAAAATTCCCGATGTTAGGGATGTTTAAGCATGACTGCGCGCCGACGCTGTTGAAGATAATCAAGCACAATTAATTACTGCACTTGAAGTACCTATGGTGTATTAGCGAACAATAGTATCGTACAGGCTCGGCAGGTGTATAAATAACGAGTACGTCACTGGCAGTTCTTCACATGCTTATAAAAGCCAGCAAAAAAATCAAAAGACATAGAAGGCAAAAGTAACGTACGTAACGTAAAGTAACGTACAGTAGTAACTGTCTTTATAGATGTAAATGTTGCCTACAGAAAGCACTCCACTTATTCATAGCTAGAATAACCAATACAGTCGATCCTGTTTATTGTGCTTTGTACTCGCATTAAAATAGTAGCTTCGTTATAGCCTCATTGAGGAAAGTTTCGTTTTTGCGTGCAGCAAAAGTGTGAAAAACGGAAATAACTAAAATCTTGATTTATCGTCCCGGAGACCAGCTAGTGTCATGCTTCTGGTAACCTGAAATAAGACTATGAGTGCCCTTAATTCGGCAAACATTTTTATTCTTAATATGATTTTGTGCATATTGCAGTTTGTATTGTAGTTGTACTCTTATGGTTAATGTTTTAGAGAATGTTGCATTTAGGGTTGTTTATTTTATGAGAATATCAGCGAATGTGGTCGTATGGACAGCAAATTCAATATCATCAGTTGATAAACATTTATTTGCTTTGACAAATGCACGAATATTATGTAGAAATGTATGAATGTTAATTGTTTTTGATATGGACAAATTAAATCAACTTAACTTTTAAGTCAGTTTAACTTATAAAAATTAAAAATTATAATCTTATTAAAAAATGTCATCGTTTATGCGGTTACAGTAATTACAATATGACGTACATACTAATCACTGAATTTTGTGCTACCGTACCCAGTCCTTTCATGGCATTGTACAGCGACGAAGCATCTGCTTCAGCACTAAATTCATTATCCGGGCATCCGTAAATAGTCGGTACATCTTTGTTTTCAGACTGTAATGACGGATCAGATAACTCCAATTTGTTTTCCATCTCCAGCAGCCTCCTAGGCTTTTCAACATCCATGATATGGCAAACAAACAATCCCAGGGCAAATGTGAACTGAATGTGTCCAAAGGTATCAAGTGCGGTTAAACTTTAGCTTGAACATGCACAAATCAGAGGTTGCCACACTGTATTGTGTTACAGTGCTACCTCGTGGTGCTACTTTGTTTGCATTTCAACATAATTATTGTCGTTGAAACATATAATACCTGTACCGCTGTACGTAAATACATATGCAGACACGGGATTCAATTTTAAGTTATTGTGACATTGCAGTAAAGCACCATAGACGACATATTATAGTTGCATCTCGACAGTCGACTTACCTCTTACTTAATCCAAATAACCATGGAAAGGTGGATCGACATACAAAACTCCACTATGTACTGTATGTGACCGAACTTGACGTTTCCTTTATATGGCTCCGTGTTACTACGGGAATCAATTGATTGTTTTCCAGCTTGCACTTCCATTTCGAACGGCTGTTTTATACGATTCAGCATTATTATACGCACACTACCATAATCAGGCGTATCGGAACACCATTGATTTCTGACTGGCCTCCGCATGTTGCCATCGTTTGAACCTCATGCATAGATAACAAATAATATTTTAGAATGTAAAATAATAGTCAACACTTATCGATTGAATAACGAAAAGAGCCATGTGTACTTCATATAATAACCCTGGCAAAGGTGAAGCGGGGTGATTGCTGAAGCCACCCCACCTGGCTAACATGGGGTGCTGGGAATAATATTGTAAAAACGTGTACAGGACCATACCTCAATGTTACCGCACTGTCGAATATGCAGTTCTACTATGTTTGTACTGTATTTACTCTGTAGCTTGCTGTAAACCCTATTAACACGTATAATGCACGATTATTTTTCTCCCCAACTAAACATGTGCCACAGGCACGGTCTAAATTATTTAGACTAATCCAGCTTTTTGTGTTGCAGTCGTAAAGTGTGGATGTGTGATCGGGAAAACGCATGATCCAGGTATCATCTCGGTCAGAGAGTGTTGCATCACTATCGTGACCAGTATCATATTTTATTTCGGTATCAATCTTAATTAACCGTTCAAATTTTGATCAGTAAAGAACATTACAGTTAATTTCGCTGTTTTGACTGTCGCTCATGTAGTTTCGGTTTTGTTTCGTTTTCTTTTTATTCCTCATCATCATTGCGATTTGTCGCTTGCCGCTGGGTATTGGTCTATCGGTTTTGTCTCGGTGACCATGCACCACCGCTACCGATGCCTTCGAGCTAGAGTATTATAATAAGTTCCCGTATATATTCCGAATTAATTAGTATTTTTAAATAATAGATTTATCAAAAAACAAACTTTGAACTACTTTTTCAATCCAAATTTTTGATTTTATTATTGCACACATTTACTGACATTTAACTATGGGCGTAATGCGTGTTTACTGCTGTTCGCAGGCATTTACTGTGTACCAATTGTATGCCGCACTCCTTTTTAAGATATTCGGCGTTATCACCTGCCAAATAGGCTCATACTCCGTTTAACGCTATTTCCTGCAGTTTTTGTGAGCGAAATTTCTCTCTACCTCGCCCATTTCCCGTGTTGTGCTGTATTGTTTATAGTCTCCTGGTTGGAAAATATAAATGTACAGGCAAATACAGATATTTGCAGTTAGTTACTCGTATTTCTGCAATGGTTCGTAATACTCAGAATAATTAAAATTATCATATAGTATAAGCCCATGCCGCCATGGTCAAAACTTTTGTGACGACATTAGTTTTATAATTCCACACTTTTATTACATGTCAGATGGTTGTCTTATAATTACACAGCCGAACAGTTGAGATCGAGCAGGACATCAACGATATCCAGTATCGCACAATAATTATTATTATTCGAATTTGTGGTAACAAATGGCTAAAACCAGATACCTCCATAAATTCGTCAAAACAAATTCTAGCCGGACAGGGCGCACATCGTTCAAATAAGCAGCGTTAGACTTTTCCAACAGGTACGCTGCCGTGTTTTAACAGGACCGTATTTCAAAAAAGATTGAGACACTTAACAAATTTAGACGGCGGTGTAAGGAATAAAATCTTCGCCGGACGGATAATAAACAGTTGTAATAGTAATTGGTTTTCGGACTGGAGTCAGTTTTTCCACCCTCCGCGCTTCGATGAAATAAAACACGGCACAAATAAACACCAAACCATCTGCCGCCACCGCGAGCCAAAATGACCAGTATAGTTCATTATCCGAGTAAGCATTAATCCCAAATATCCATTCGGTATCCCTGTTAGACCACAGCACGTATTCAGTGGCTCCAAATATTATCAGCGATCCGGCGATTATTAGAGCTTCAAACAAAACCAATATCGGAATTAATCGTTAGATTTACACTCTGCTGTAGAGTTACAATAGTTATATAGTACTGCTCATGGTCATAAAGCTATGATTTTTATTTACTTACAGATACTAGGAACCAACGCCAAAAGGGACACTATTGTAAAATATAGTAAGTATTTCTTTTGTTTATAATGAGTCAGGTATTTGCAATTTTACTTTAGTTAGTGACAAAAAGAGTAACATTTGTCTCTTCTACTACGTCAGCATTGTGATGCATTTTTCATCAATCAGTGCACTGAAGCGTTTCTTTCAAAAATGCTGTTTCTTTGCCCGTCCAAAACCTTTTCTGACAATTAGCAACGGGGCCATCAGGCGAGCCGAGGGTATGTGAGGCGTAGCGCGCTCAGCGTTTGTCATTTCGGTAGAACGCATATCGCGGACCAGATGGACAGTGGCTTGCTTGCCATTTACACAGTACATACGAAAACGGGTTGATTCAATGACTTAAATCGGAACATTACAATCTATAATAATTTTTTTCGATATTCGTCTCACAACAGTTGAACGAAATTAAAAAATATACAAATTATTAATGTTGTAGAAAATGTTCCTATATGAAATAAGCTGCTTACAATAATGTGCGGAAAGTTACTTCTTTCAGTTGAACGTCTACCCTAGTTATACGCGAATCCGCGTTATATCGGTTACTCGGAATGATATTTTTATAATTATAATACACGTAAGTTTGCCAAAACACCGTGAAATGTATTGATTTTGGACACGGAACTGCATAATTTTTAATAACTGTGTACTTCCATGCAGAATCCATAGGGCATTCAAAGCCTGGCAAGGCTGGCATAAGGTTCAGGATAAATTTAGAGTTAATGTTATTATGTAGCTTGAACCAGTCAATTGCATTTAAAAGAAAACAGAGTGGTTTGACTAGCATATGAATAATAAAATAAACAGTTTCTCTTACTTATTTCTTATAAGATAGCAAACTCAGAAAATCGAAGGGAAAGAAGGAAAATTTTAAGACTGGGCGATTTGCGACCACCAATGCTTTGTTGGTCCAAAATTACGCGCTGTGTTTCTTACTTATCATAACAACGAATTTTTATATAATATATTTTATAAAATAATAAAATTTTTATTAACATTACCTTGTTATACGTTATACATGAAGTTCGACATGCGACATGACACATGATGCTGTAGCATCTACAGCATCATCTACAGCATCACGTGCAAAGATGCTACAGTAGGTGTAGGATCGGATTCCAGCATAAGAATGTAGTCGACCTGATTAATAACAGCAGTAAAAATGTATCTGCTTTAAATATACGAAATGACACAATAATAAGTAAATATAGCTATTACAGTATGTATGTAGCTAAAGCTCATCAGTTAGTGCTAACACCAGAATACGACAACTTGACGTGAAATTTTATAGAAGCCCTGTGAAAGATTAGTATCGCCAATCTGAATAAAATTCCATTCGACAAAAAAAGAGGTTGACTATAGTCTTATCTGTACAAAGCCCCGTCATACTGCGTAGTAGTACAGATAACAGTAAGCATGCGCACCTTTGCAGACACATATCAGCGATTGAATTGCCGCAAAGAACACCTCACTGTGCTTCAGCAGTTTATCCTAATTTTTTATAAAAAAGCATGTGCAGAAGAAAATTTAGTTTTGCACAATTGGTTTCTCTTCATGAACGTGAAAAGTTGAACTAATAACCACATACAGTTCAAAATCTAAACTAGGGTACCATTTTTCCCATTGACGTGTATGGTATACGTGGCCACGCGGTTCTACCGAAATGACACAAAGGAAGCCGAAATCACACCTCATTAGTGATGGCCCCGTTGCTAATTATCTATCTTCTGTGTTAACATTACCGTACATCAAAGCAGCTGTGTAGGCGGTATACTCATATTAGTACGAGCACTGAAAACAAATCATGTAGTTTATTACTTATAATTACATAAATAGGCACCTTTCGTCAGTATTCCCTTCCGGCATTTGTGTGATCTTTTTTTGCGGCATTAATTAAATAAATAATAATTTTTATGTGCAGCTATACAACTGTATATCGTATTCCCTAATTACTGCTCACCCTTAGATCGATTGATCACTCTAGGTCTGTTACCTTACTTGGTAGCTAACATTTAATAATATAAGATAGAATTTTTTTACATACCTCCAATAAGGAAAATCGTTCCCAGGGCGTACAAAAATCTCCGAGTGGCTCCCGCAAATAATGTTACAATCAGAATTATGAAACCAATGAAACAGACTGCCAGTCCAATTGTGTAGAGGGCTTGCGTTGCCATAAAAAATGCTAGAACAAAAAGTCCGTTCAACCACACGGTGTCGGTGAATGCTGATGCAAGTTTGTAAAAACCGCAGTATTACTGACTTATTTTAGACTTTATACTACTTGAAGCACTGAAAATAAGTCTGGTAAAACTATGCACTTTCCACTGCAGAACAACCGAAATTACACCATTATATGATTATACGCACCGTCAATCGAATCGAATTCATGCTTTGTTCTGCTCTGGGTAGTACAATACTTATATAAAGCATAAGTATATGTATATAAGTTAACAGTACGGAGAGTTAAGCTTTTTAGTGGTATCTTGAGTTGTGCAGTTTTAAATGCAGAAGTGGAGGACAAATACACGCACTTTCGAAATTTTGTGGTACGGCATAAAAAACACCTGTACATATATGCAGTGGTGCGCCCATGTTTCTACTATTTGATGGCTATTGCCTAAAAAAGTTAACCATACAAAATGCAGGCTGATACATGGGTGAGAATTAATCTTACGCGGATAATTAATTTGGTTCCGAAAGAATGTAAAAAATGACCGGCATTCAGTGTCATATCTTCTGTATATATCGCTATTGGGATATCCGCTCCGGTAACACAACATCCATAGTCCAAGCGAATCAAATGGCAAGGTGTTGTAGGGGAGGACAAAAATAGGTGGCCGGAAGGGATCGGATCGGTACCAATAAGGTGTGGCAAACGACACGATCAATGCGGCAACAGCCGCCGATACCAAAAATCCGATTAGATCCACGAAGACACTAATTCGATTTTTTGGGCTACACATGGCGAATACTGTAGATGTCCCGCAGTCTACATTTCACTTTTACACCTGCAGCGGCTAACTTCAATGACGCTTAACCATGTGCTGACCTGTAAAGTGAATTAAAAACATTGCCGTTTATGTCTGACGACTCCGGAATACGAACTCCATTAATGACATGCGAGCGCACTCAACGTACAGTACAGTTTACTTGTTAGAGCTCTATCCGCCGCGGTGCCATAAACATTTTTCCGACCGCTAATGACAAGTTCGAAAAAACCATGCGTCGAGTGTTATTTTCATACTTATCGGCTTCTGTGTATGGGCAATCATATTTGGCAATAGTGACATAATGGCTTATCAAACCGGCTGCTGTCGGTGCGATATAGAAGGAACTAAAAAAACAACAACTCTACATGCAGCCCTTATGCAGCGCCGTTACCGGTGAAGTTTGCCGTGGAAATCACGGGCATTGCATCTATGCGATTGTATTCGACAATAACTGATGAATACGAGTTGCGCTTTTTTGGCAGTACCGACACAAGTTTTAATAGCCACGATTAAACGTTCAAGCATTTGGCTGCTGTTGTGCAGATTGATTCATAAACGTAAAAATCAGGCAAAAAACGTAACAGTGAATACGCCGGAATATACAAGGAATATTGATATTTTGATTAGTGAAAGAATTATGCAGGAGGAGACAGTGTATGCAATTAATAAGATGTAAATTTTGGTAAAAGAACAACGGGTTAATTGTTTTAATTCGTCTTCCACAATGAAGGTCCATACGTCGTAGAGCGTGTACCGTAATATACCGTATGTTCGTTCCTGGGGACTTCTCAACCTTTCTAAGAAATTCCGCATTAAAGTGCGTTTGTTATAACATGTCGGCTTTTCAAGTTGGATCGAAAATGCCTGAAGCTGCAGCACAAGAATCATGAACGTCATGATTGCAGGGTTACAGCTGCAAGCAGGGGTATTTACGCTTACATAATTATAATTGTTGCATAACACTCAACTGCAGTCAATATACAATAACGCTTAGTGCGATGAAGTCTGGTAAGCAGCTGCGGTCAAGTTTATGTGCGGACAAATCAGATATCTCAAACCAGTAATTGTTCAACAAAAAATTAGATGGCTATGTTGCATAAAATAAGTATCTTTATACATTAGGAGAAGGAGTGTGTTAGGAGTCGATCATCATTTCTGATCGCGGAGTAAATATAAATATATATATAAACGGCCAGTCTAACGCGGACATATCTTTACAGAAAAAGTACAAGAAGTAACACGCCAGATTTCGTAACATTCCAGTATTTTACCTACCCCAGAGTAATAAGATGAATATCTTCCACAATCCACATAATCCGCGGTCATGATTATTCCGAAAATTTGCATATATAGCGTGTGTTCGTTACATATTATTTAAGTCGCAAGTGCCCAATATACCATGAAGCAAGCTGATTAGCGCTCTCCTTTCGAAAAATATAAAAAAACCTTATGCTGAAACAATGTTTTATACTATGTACGAGTATAAAAAAAACAAATATCAAAAGCTTCGCACGAACAACTCAACCAAAAGCAATGCAGAACGACGCCGGCGGATCTTGCATACCGCCACTGCAGACCGTATGCACATGCAGTATTATAGTCCATTTTCATGGACAGAAAGCCGGTACACACCGATCCACCTGCGTACGCATCATGCAGCGACAAGCTGTATTGTACATGTGCACAATACTGCATTTAAATTCATGATCCACGAAAACGCTCGACTTTCGATTTCCGATTTCCAGCGTTCCTGCTTTCTTTACGATTCCATCCTTTACAGGCTTGTGACATTAATGGCTAAAAATGGAAAGTGAAAAATCTTCAAGAAGTGGCAAAATTCCTGGTTACTGTTGGTTACTAACATCTGGCTTTGCACCAAAGTACTGTATCTACGTAAAGCTCATTGAAATTGTGGATGATAATTTGTTTTTATTGTTAGATCGAAGTGGAGGAGAGTAAATCCTTTCGGTCCCATGCTAACGACGGAAATTTGTAGAGAACACTTCGTGAACCAACTCTTGGTTTTCCTTAAAATCCGAGCTTAAATACATGCACCTCAATAAGCTCTATTAATATGCATTTGATCAAGCAACACGAGTATTGTCTCCATACGTGAATTAGCGAATATAGGCTTATGATTTGTCCAGTTTGGTCCGAAGTTTCCAACAAAATATAACACGCGAACCTGCAATATATGAGAATCTATATTTCAATATTGTTAAACGATAATCGAAACTTAACTAGGTCATCAATCCAGTCTCTGCCTCTCTGGAAACAGGAACTGGCCATGGGAGTGTGCAAAATAGCGTTTGTTTCACCAGTGAATCGAGTACTGTACCGATCCAGCATCGTGCACGCCGCACGCGTATCACTTTACTCGTACGTTGGCAAGGTATGCAGGTATCAGGTATACAGTTGCAGAAAAACAAAAACTGTCCGATGTTTTCGCAGTATAAAAACTTTTCTTCCATAAAATTAGTAATGCTTTAGACAAGCTGCAGTTGCGAACATATGTTCTTCTATAAATTTATGCAGTGAGAAAAATGTCAAAAGCCATGGAAAATATGCCTGCGCGCGGTTGGTCTGGCATTCCGGAGCACAGAATTGTAATTCGCACGTACAATATTTCATTTGATTTAACAAAATCAGGTGAATAGCTTCGACGTAAATATTCAAAAATATTCTTTGCGGCCTGTCGCGTAGACGTTTTGATTGTCACACTTCATCGTTTATATGTACGAGTACGATTGACTGAGTGTAAGTGATCGCTGTAGGTCTTACGAAAATATAAAATTAGTCACAGTTACACAGTAAGCTTACATTAATTTTATGACAAAACTAGTTTTATGACAAAATTGGCCACTGGTCAGCTTGTCGGTATTCTTTTGAGCATACGCAAAAGCACTTGCATGGAAGCACCAACGGGTGACGGTTTCCATAACCTCCAGCTTCCAAAATCGGAAATCCACGGCTTCGCCTGCCTTATAATCTCCCGCAGGCAGAGTTAAAAAACAAATTTTCCCAGATTTACCATCAAATTTCAAATCATATCATTTGGAGACAAGAGTACAAGTTAAAACCCAGGTGTTCTGTATAAAACTGAATTTATTTTGGGCTATTTAATGATAGTGATGTTTAGCAGTACCCGAAATTTACTGCGGTTCTGAGTTTCTGCTCTTGAGTTCCCCCAGCATAGTTGTCCCGTAATTTATCATCGGTTCTTCATATACACTGAGCCCTATGATTTGCAAATGGCGATTTTGGGATAGCGTTATCCGTTTGTTTTTGAATTGCTCTGGAATTTTTCGTGGAACATGTCTCCGTTTTGTCATGTTTTTGGGGCTTTGATTCATGATTTACACATGCAGCTTGTTTCCAGGTTCCATAACTGAGTTCAGCGCATTTCATGATTTCTTTTGCAACTGGAACCAGTCTGTCTGCGGGATTTCAACTGTCATTGTGTTTGTGACCAGGTGCGAATATGTCCATTTTTTTCGGAGCCTGCATAAAGATATTTTACAATTTTTACCATTACGATCGAAAGAAATTAACTTTACAAAAGCTGCAGCATTACGGTTACGCGTGGCGTACTCTGTAGTTAGCTCAGTAGGGGTTCTTAGGAATCGTTATTTTAGGGAGATTTCAGAGATTTGATTCATAAGTACTGACTCGTATTATCGTATAATTTGAAAATTGAAATATGAATCTTTAAAATGTTAATAACTTTATTTTAATAATTTACGGTAAATAATTGTTTATTGCAATCTACTTTAACTAATCCTAAATTATGCGGTTAATCGCGTAAGCTTTACAACTTTGTTAGTACGGTACGAATACATATTCTTGGCGTTGATGAGTATTGAGTCATTATTTGAGTGCAATCGTAACCGTGATGAATTGTTTTGATTTTTTTGAAGTTTGATATTTTACCTGTATGTGATACTGAATTTTATATGCAGATCAGCTTAAAATAGTTCGAATTACTTTCAGCTGGTTTGATGATGACGCGTTTCTCCATCCTAATTGCTGTTACATTTTTGTTATTAATTTTATTATTTTCTGTCGGTTCGGTGCTCGGATTCCAGAAGTGCAACCCAATACAAGGTGTAGATAGTTATATTTTTTTCCTTGCCAGATTCTAAAGTGCGCGTATCACTATTTTTTACTGGTTTAGTGAGTCATCTACCTAGCAAGGTGAGTGTGTCATGGGTCCAATTAAATTGTGGAGGTAACCAGCCTCTCGATGATGGTTTCCGTAGAATGTCGTACGAATCGATATCGATAGGTTCGTGTCAGATCAGCCGTTCGTCTGCATTGCTCATCTCTTATGCGGTCAATTGCTTTGTACTTTGTATTAATCATCCCCTTGTTAAAAGCCCAGCCAGATTTTCCGTGCCGCGTTCGTGTTTTCCGACACTACTAGTTTAAACAGCGAGACGGTTGTAAAATTATGTTGTTTTAAGCTGTTGCATAACCGTTGTACCACAGGTAATAAACGTACCGTTCGGCTGGGACAACTTGATGTTGGCGTTTATTTTGCCTGTCTCTGAATTTTCATAATTGCGTTGATTAACATCCGATCGGTCTGTGAGCGCTGAAGAGTGTTTATCTTCGAGGTGCGGATCGCAGGTCAATTCCCGAAGTTGAGATAAATATTTGCCTGTTGTTTCGTTCTTGAGAAATGATGAATTATTTTTATTTTTGCAAGTTATTTTATTTGATCAGAATACGGTTTTTGTGGTGAGATGGATTTATGCGGTGATGCAATCTAATTTTGTTATGTGATTTATATTTGCAGGAATAATACTGGTTAAATCTCCAGCGGTTATACGGTTGCTCGTTTGCATGGTTTATTGATGGGATGGATACTTTGTGGAAAAAACTCCGTGGCAAAAGCCATTCTGTGGATCAGGATGTCCGGCAAAAAGGACTGCAGCAAATGCTCCAGTACAAAAGGGTATGTTAATTAAGCAACCAAAACACAATCATCGAATTTCGTGCCTTGAATAATTTGTTTGGTCGACTAGCTGAATCTCAAATGACAGCTTGTAAATACCGTTTGAATTTGATTCGGATTGTAGAAATATGAGAAACCGAATCACAGAGAGTTGCACGAAACAAAAAGGCCTCTACTTTTACAGATAGTTCTTATAAGTGTGATTAATAATATTATTACTTAAGTTACACCATTATTATTTTTGGTTTTATTTGGTAAACAGATTATCCAATAATTTTAGTGACATAGTCAAAAAGTCAATACCACTCACTTTCATGTTTTGTGCTTAATCGTGACACCCTACCGGTACTTAGTTTATGAATTGGTGATTTGTTTTCGGATTATCGAAAAGGCTATGATTATTGTTTTCTACTGTTGGATTTCGTATGCGTGACGTCAGTGCGCTTTAAATGGTGCCAGAGTGGTTGTTTTTTGTGCTACTCCAACACGAATTCAGCGATGCATTAGCAATCGGCCGTTGTGCAACACCATGCTGCGATTAGGTCCGCATGCTACCTGTGCATGTGTGTTTAACAAAATGGACAAGCTAATGAATCATAATGGTGCATTTTGCCAAGATCACCGAAATTCTACACTGGCTGCTTTTGACGAGCAGTGAGGTGAAGCGTTGTGCATTGCACAGAAGTTACAGACCTTGGCATAAGATGGCGTAAACAGTAGCCTAGCTTCTGCTGGGTCGCACTACTCGCCGTTGCACCGAAGGAAAAGTTTTGTTGATTACAAGAAAAATGCCCATGTCCAAAACCATTTATCTGCAGTTATCATTTAATCGGGATATTAAACTGCGAACGGTCTTCAATTTTCAGACTGTGCAGCACGGATTCCCTAACCGACCGTCGGCGTTGGCTTATGATCCGAAGCTCAGAATCATTGCGATTGGAACGCAGAGTGGGAGTATAAAAATGTAAGTTTGAGTCGTAAAATTCGGTTCTTGTTTGTCTTTCGCTGCATGGCACTCTCTTCGTTTGTACTGTTATAAAAGGTTTATGGCGCAGTGAAGATTAGCGTGATAGTGGTTTTTGTTGATACATGGTTTCATGGGAAATTGAAAATAAGATCCTTAGTCATTTCTGCTTTCCAGAATTTTTAGTCGGCTATTTTAGATTTTTTCTTCCAAAGTAAAGTTGCTGCTTTAATGTATAATGCTGGGCATTCAATTCAGTTGCTTCAAAAGCGTATGGCGTAGATGACTGTCAATTTGCGGTCGTATTCCATTCGCAAAGAATGGAGGGGATTTGTTGCGGTATTTTGTTTGGTTAATGTTCTTTGATTTTCTTTAACACTGTCCAAACTCAAAGAATGCTTTCGGCTACGGTTAATCGGTGGCCTCATTGTTGAAAAATATAATTTTGTTTTGCGCTTATACTTTTAACGTTTTGAAAAATCTGATGCTTGTGGAATGTTATGTGTGGATTTGGCACACCGATGTGAAATTCCTGTGATAGAATTTTTCGTTCCCATTTTGGTTTTTGCTTACGCATTCTAAAAACTTCTTATAGTATTATTCTATTTATGATCTACAAACCTGGTCATTCAAGCGAAAACTGTGAGTATATGACATCGTCTGTATTCATGTTTATCACGTCTCTGGGCAATTCAGTCGTCAATCAACTCACGATGTTCGAATACAGATTGCACGCATGTTTGTGGTACGACATAAGTTCATTTAATATCATTAATCAGAAATCTCCGACATTGGCGTATGTGAATTCATTTGTGATTAATTGTTTACTGTCGTTGAGCACATCAGATGACCAGATGAAACCGACCACGGCAATTTGTGCTATTTTATGCATAATTAATGCGTCACATCACCGTTTTTATTCGTGAAAGCGCTTGATCCATCGTTTGCAACTTTGCATACTGCGCGAACTGGTTGTAATGGTGGATGTTGAACTTACAGATACGGTTCTCCTGGTGTCGAATGTTATGCACAGCATGAGACGGATATCGTTGTAAATCACATTGTCTTCCTACCTAATCAGGTTGGTACCATAATCTATTATTCACTCGACGAGTTTTTAAGTTACTTTACCGGTGATGCGTCATTTACTGTTTGCTTTTTTTTCAGGGTCGATTTGTCAGCATTTGTGAGGATAACACAGTTTATCTGTGGGAGATTGCTAGCCGAGACAAGAGCATCTTTGTGGAGTGCATTAACAATGTTAAATTAGAAGGAAGGTCAGTTGATCCGTAATTCTGTCGAAAAAGAAATTAGAACACTAGATTACGGCTCGGACAAGTTCTTCTCTTACTTCGTTACTCAGCTAAAATTAGCTTCGTTTTTATGAATATTTTTGTTTTTTGACTTGTGGTTTTTTTATTACAGGTCGAAAAAGATTTCGACAGTTTGTTTGGCGTCCGTTGGCGATCAGCTGTACATTGGCACGGAAGGCGGCAACGTGCACGTTCTTAATTACAATACGTTCGAATTCACCGAAGCATCGACAATTTATATTGATAATGCTACTCAAAAGTGGGTTTTTTATCTGTTATACTAACCGCCGTCTCTTTGTTCGTTGCAACATGAATTGTCCGGCATTGCAGTTCCGCCAGCCCATCAAGAGCCTCTCCGGGCGCTGTGGAGGCGCTTGCGGAAAACCCTGTCAACTGTGACCAGGTACGCGTAATTTGCAAACGGATAAGACGAATAAGCGGAATTTTTATGTGGTATTTGTTTTAGTTGCTGATCGGTTATAACAAAGGCCTTATGGTTATCTGGGATTTCAAGGAGCAAAAGGCTGTCCGTTCCTTCTGGGCTGGTCAGGTAATTCGTACGTCCTTGTCATTTTTTCAGAAGCAGTCGAGATAAAGCCAACATAATTACCTTTTATTAGCATTTGTCTTGTACACTTTGGGTTTAATACAGCTAGATTTTAGACTCGATTTTGGTTTTGATTTCAATTGAGTTGCAATTTTCTTCACAGCAACTGGAATCATTATCTTGGTCTAGCGACGGTGCTCGCTTTTATTCTTCTCACAACGATGGCAGCTATATTGCATGGGACCCGCGAATGTCGGAACCGGCGGAAAAGCCCAATTTTCCATACGGGCCTTTCCCATGTAAACCCATACCAAAGTTACTCTGGAAGACATCCGGAGGATCTCATCCTTTTATTGTGTTCTCGGGCGGCATGCCGAGATCGCGCTATGGAGACCACCAAACGGTCACCGTTATGCAGGGAGATAACCATGTTGTATTTGATTTTACCTCCCGAGTGGTGGATTTTTTTACTGTTGATTCCAGCGGGGTATCAGGTGAATAATGATGGTTTATAGTATTACCGTACTTTTGTTTCTCAAAAATAAGCAGACCGGTACTATAGCGGTACTAGTACTAGTTGCCACCCTTCCCAGTTTTCACTACTTTATTGTGCAGATACTGCGAATCCCGAGGCACTGGTAGTTCTTCTGGAGGAAGAACTGATAGCCGTCGATCTCACAACGGAAAAGTGGCCAATATTTCAGTTGCCTTATTTGTTCGTTATGCATTCCTCGTCTATAACATGCTCACATCATGTCAGCAGCGTATCAGAGGAGTTTTGGGATGCTTTAACGCATGCTGGTCGCCAGCAAGAACGAGGACATTTCTCCAGCAAACCTTGGCCAATATCAGGCGGACATACGTACAAAGAGAGCAATGAGAACCGGGATATTTTTCTAACTGGACACGAAGATGGTTCAGTCCGCTTCTGGGATGTATCGGGAAACCATCTGAGAATATTATACACACTGAAAACGGCAAATTTATTTAAAACGGATGATATGGATGGTGACGATGAAGAAATTGCTCCGGCTGAAGAAGAAGAAGCCGAAGAATGGCCGCCGTTCAGGAAGACAGGAAGTTTCGATCCGTTCAGTGATGATCCGCGGTTAGCAGTGCAGAAGGTGGAATTTTGTATGAAAACAAACGTTTTGCTAGTGGCTGGGACATCAGGACAGATTGTTGTTTTCGATTTTAAAAAGATCCCTAAGGCTGGGAAAACTATGGATGTAAGCATACTGAACATCGTAATTTCAAAGATTTCTATGTGTCGATATCTTTAGGATATGCTGTTTTATTTGTAGCATGTAACGGTGAATTTGGTCGGCGATCGAGACGGCTTTGTATGGAAAGGACATAGTCCGCTGAAACTGAAAACTTCCGTCATTAAGTCCGAAAGCGGATTTCAGCCCCATACAGTGGTTCAAATCATGCCACCAGCAGCTTGTACTGCGCTGACGCTTCAGTCCGAATGGCAGCTGTAAGATTCTGTTTTTTAACATTCTGTTTGGCGCACTTCGATAGGATGGTTTTACTGTTTTTGTTGTAGATTTGGCGCCGGTACGGCGCATGGGTTTGTTTTGTTGGATTATAATCGATGGAAGGCGGTTGTAACACGCTGTACACTCCAGAATCTGGAGAGTGTTAACGGGTTGGACCCGTCAATGACCAGAAGGAAGTCGTTTAAAAAATCCTTACGGGAATCCTTTCGACGCATGCGACGGGGCCGGTCGCAAATGGCAATCAAACGTGGACCGGATGGCGACAAGTGGGTTCTGTTTTTTCGCTCTTTAAATGTTCGACGTTCAAAAAATTACGGTGTATTAAAATTTTGCTGGTTTAAAGGGAAATCAGGTTATACAATCGTAATTTTAATATTCTTTGTTTGGGGCTTTAGGGCCAGTCCTTCTCGAGATGTGACAGCTCACATCGAAACCCGCCCCGTGGAACGGGAGATCGAAGCCCGCGCAGTTGACAATGAAATGGCTTCTGTGGTCCGCTGTTTACAATTGGTGTCATGCTATATTTTGAATAGTAAGTTTCCTTGATATTGAAACTGTCATAAAAACCTACGAAAACATATCTATTTGAATTTTTCTTAGATGTTGTTAGTTCTCCGACGTTTTGGGTTGGAACAAACAGTGGCGGAGTGCTAATTTATACACTCGTGTTACCGTTGGCGGAAAACAGACGAGAGGAGGAAGTCCATGCTAGTTTAAGCAAAGAGATTCAGTTGCAGCATCATGCACCGGTTGTGCACGTTGCTGCTATCGACGCACATGGATGTCCGGTTAATGAGAAGCCATCGAGCAAGGACAGTAGTATTGAATCGAGTCAAAAAGTCGTGATATGTTCCGAAGAACAGTTTAAGGTGAGAGTGTTAACACTTATGCGGCGCACAGGTAACATGACATTTTTCTTCGCAGATATTTCATTTGCCTAGTCTGAAACCGTACACGAAATTCAAGTTGACTGCGAGCGAAGGAGCTTTAATCAGGAAAGTTCGCATTGTTAGATTCGCCAGCAGATCGGGTATGTTGTAGTTTTTAAAAATTTTGGTGCTTATTCTATATATATTTTTATGTGTTGTTTACTGGATTTATTGTAGACGATGATCCGACAATGCGAGAGTATTGCTTGGCCTGTTTGACCAATCAAGGCGATATTCACATATTCAGTCTTCCTAGTCTTCAGCGACTCCTTAAGCAAGAATGCATAAAGCGGGAAAATATCCAGTGAGTCTATAATGATAGCAGTGATAACAGCAAGGTTCTTATCGGTCTGAATTGCCTTTACAGCGGTATAACGACTTTGACCTTTACCAAAACCGGACAGGGATTCTATCAGAAATCTCCTAGTGAATTTCAGAGGTTTACTCTGACGGCGCGAAATGTTATGGAGCCGCTGTGCGCGATTGATATTCCTGATAATATGCGGTTAGCGGAAACCCCGCGACCACCGCACAGTCCGTTAAGCCACACATCCAATAGTCCGAGGCTACGTTCTTTGAACAAAAGTTCCCCTGAATCTGGAATCAGTATCAATAACCATGTTTATGCCCGAAACATAAACAATTCCGGTATGCGGTCGCCGGATACATCGAATTTGAACGAATCTATCAAAAGCGAGACATCGGGAGAAGACAGCATCCGAATCTATCCGTAAGTTTTTTTTGCTACCCTTTCGGCGGTATTTGCGCCGTTTAAAAAACATTGGTACGCGATTTACACAAATTCAGTTCGATTGGTTTTACAGTGTTGATGGACATGTTACGGTAACGCAGCTACGCTCTCCCGACAAACAAGACCGTGCACCAAGTTCCTAAAATGTTTTGGCACCACTTTGTACTGATTGTATTCTTGTATGTACAATTTTTTGATAACCCGACACTTGAAAATTGTAGTTCATGTTGTGTGCGTTTCTTATGGTGATCTTCCGTGACAGCTTTCCTCTCCATTTTTGTTTTTATCGGCTTTTATGCCATTTTTATCTTCTGTAAGAGTTGCTGGGTTGTTATTTAAAGTTTCCGGTTACTGTTTTTAAATTTTCTATGGAGCAGACGAGCAGTGGTACATAAACTCATGCAAACGATACTAAAATGTCGAAAATGGTGCGTGAGGAAGTAGGACTCACGATTGGATGTTTTCCCTTTCCGTCGTAGTGCTTGTGTTGATTTTGGAAAAGCCATACGAAAAACGACTATCATAGTAAATCTTCAGATTGAGCTACAAGTATCGAAGGAAACAAGCACAGAAGGTGTCGTGTCACGTGTGTCTTCCTACAACGGGCTCGGCATGCATGGAATTTGCTATGACCTGCGTTAAGATAAGTAATAAATAATATTATGATGATCATTTTAGCGCACCTTACATTACTTACGTGTTAAACTTTTCAAAATACGTTGGACTTGATGGCATGCAGTGTTTGCATCAAAATTTGCAACGAGTTTTGTTTAAAAAAAGTTTTTTTTTGTGCTGGCGGCTGTTCCGGTGTACGGGCAAAAATGCCGGCATCAGGAGACACACCATACAGTAAGGGTACAGTCTATGGCCGTACGCACGCGGAGTGGGCGGAAATAAGACGGAATTAGTCACGCAGTGCATTAGCTATTGGATGTTCCCGCGCTGGCGTAGCCATACGTCTGATCGAAATGCCGCTGCGCAGTGCGCATACCGACACGTACCTGCATCTCTCGTCTGGATGCTACATTTGGCAAATTTCGCAAAGGCAACAGTTTTATACGCACCGACTGTTGTATTGGTTCCCGGCCATTTTTCCACCATACTGCTCGGTCTGGTTGATGACGTTCCTCCTGACGAAGGTTCCGTTCCTACAACCGCAAACGGTTTGTGGTTTCCGAAATATTTTATCGGTTCTGCTTTATTGGATCTCGTGTTTGGCAGTATTTACCCGTTTTGATTCTCATTGTTTACTGTTCCCGTTGAAGAGCCACGGTGGCTGGGTTGGTCCGTTTGTGGTACAAAACGCGACGTAATTCTGTTTCCTGGAGGTTTGTTTGCCGATGCGCCGCTTGATAAAACGTGCAGAATTTATTGTATTTTATGATGTTCTGTTTGCGATATGAGTGTTGTTGACGTGTTTATTTGTTTGGATAAACCGGGAGCGAGATTACAGTCATTGCGTTTTTACAGCAGTCGACCGTTAACACACGGATGTGACGACAACAGCGGAAATGGTATCAGGAAAATATGAACCAAATAAGGAGGAATTAACGCCGGCATCCAATGGACGCGACAGGGAGAATCTGCTGAAAAGCAAAGAGACGGGCATCGGGTCCAAAACAATAACGATTGTCAAGGATGATGTTGATGCGCACGAACTAGCGCCGCTCAAGGAGCAAGGTACGTTTATGCAGGAAATTACGTATTTAGTGCAGAGATATTTCCTTTTATTTTTGACGAAATCCCCCACTAACTGATCGTGCTGTTCTCATGAATATTTTGTTATTGATATTTATTTTTAATTTGCCGATCGAAAAGGTATATTTTCTGACGTTGTGAAGTTTAATTGGCGGGATTTTTTCCGCCCAGCATTCATTTTTACTGTTGCTATTTCTTGAGATTAGATGTTCGCCTAATTATAAAGCATGAATAGGAGAACACTTCTTTACAATCTGCCGTTATCCTTTCATTCTCTGCTTGAAAAGCGGGCTTTTGTGAAGGAGTCTGAATAGCGGCTTAGTGAAATACATTCACCTGTGATGCAATCAGACAGGGCTTGATTTATGCTCCTGAGACGGAGACTTTTGCATTTTCGATAAGATTAATGGAGTGGTGCAGTGTGGAAGCTATAAGCACTTCACGCAGACGGTGAACGGCGACTTCCCTATCACGCTGAGGCGGGAAATTGCGTCGGTGCGGTCTCTTGGGAGATGTTTAAATAAAGACAGGGTATAAATAATTATCGTGTGCAATATTCGTAGGTTGCGTCACCGTACTATTTCTGAACGTGCAAGATTGCCGGTGTTGTTTTTCGTTCTATCGTAGCTCAGTGCAAATACTGTTGCATTTTTCGGACTAGTTCAGGGATGAATAAGCAAGAAGCGATAAAAAAGAAAAATTGCTGGAGATGGAATAGTACCATGAATTTTGCCTTGAAATATTTGGAATAATTCAGCTAGAAGTTAATTGGCTCGATTAGCCTGGCAAGTGCCTTGTTTGTGCCGGTCTTTTAACAAGCGAGTCAAAATTAGATCACGACTCCTAAAGCCATAATTATGCCGAGTGCGCTCATGATCCTTATCGTATTACACAAAGTTCAATAAGTGAAAAGATGCTCCGTCGATAAAATTTTTGGAGTTTTTGGCAGGGGTTTTCTGGTGAAAATTTTTGTCGTTAACTTTTAAGCAACAGTCAGGTTTTGCAGCAAATTGTTTAGTTTGCTCATATTTGAACAGTTTTTTTTTATTTCTGGAACCAGGCCAAATTCGGGAGTAACGGCGCGGTAGCTCAGAGCTCCGAGACAAACAAGCAGCATTAACCTCTGTTGCATTACTTTTTTACAGTGATGCCTCAGGTGCCGGTTTATTATCGTGAATAAGATCCGCGTCGCAGTATAAATACAAACAGTCCGATCTTGTTTATACGGCTACGGTACGCGCGTAGTACGACCATTCATTGCCGAGTTCAGAAGCACAAAAACTGGTGAATAGATCAACATCGGAGCAAGAGTTGTGATCAGTTGCATCATGCTGTCTGCGTCGGAGTGCGGCCGCAGCAGGATGTTAACGCAGAAGGGAACAACCTAATGTAGTCCATGTTTAAAGGAATACAATCTGTTTTTAAAGGCCTGTGTCAACATGGTGGGATGCGAAGCGTTAATTGTAACCCAGCAAACAAAAGCCGCCTCTCTTCGGCGCCTGCTAGTGATGGCATTGATACCACTGTGAATAGCGGCGAAAAAGGACAACCAGGAAACTGGGTGTGATTGAGTGTACGTATTTTAGAGCGTTCATGAGATAAACCTTGGTCTTGAGATACGCCGGCTTGCCATTAGTAAGTATTGCGGGATGCAGGGAATACAGTTCTCGCTTTTGGCGGGTGTGCACACGCGGGGAAAATCAATTTTGAGTGGATTTTATATGACGCTGTTAGTGTATATTTTGGATATTGATGGGAAGACGTGGCGGAAATGACACGTTTGCACTGTCGTAGTCGGCCACTCAAGGGTATGAGGAGGGCTTGGACGGGCATCTCGTGTGTTCCTTGTAGCTATGCGCTTTTTTCAACAAGCTTAAATGCTGATCTGGTTAATTCGTAATAGATGACAGGCCTGCAAATGCAGAGGTCTTCACATCCGGATTGCGATTGCGCCTTCAAGCCGAAATAAAATATGTATCTGCATTGTGTTGCGCTTATTGCAGTCTTGCAAATTGGTTTTTTTGCACCAGCTTAATATACGTGTTAATCCTCTCTTGCGTGGCTGATTTATGCCAGCCTGCCGACATGTCGTTGGAGAAAACTGACAATTAGAAATGCTAGTGTAGATTACGAATTGTCTGGAATAAATAAAACAGTTAATGAGCATTAGTTTTTTTTAAATTTACATTATTTAGGAATACGTATGTTGCGGATGTATAAAGCAACAGATTCACATGGTCGGTGGTGTGTTCCTGGCCACAGGATGATCGGGTAAATAATAAATAATAAATGCAATTTAGTCAAAGTGGGGCCTGGTTATACGCTAGTTTTTGAATTGACGGCTCCTGAAACTCGGCTTTAAAAGTTTGTTGCGTGCGTGCGGGAATTCAGATATGCAGTATTATTTGTTTTTACTAATGCTCATGACGAAAGGGCACTGTCGCTAGAGACTGCCTTCGTGCTTGAGGTATTGTGTTAAAAAAGCGTTGAAATCGTACCGTGACGGCCATCGTTTACGGTATTCTGAGGAAGCGGTGACATTTTTGTCTTCAAGTTACCGCCCCTACTGTGATGTATAATATTGATGAAAACTACTTCAAATGTCAATATTTCCAAATTATGTGTGTGTTTCCAAATTTTGCCCACATTTCGTCAAATAAATAGTTACTTATTACTTACTTTATTTATTATGTAGTTACTTATTAGTTTTCGTCAAGAAGATAGTTGCTTACTTTTTACTTCTTCCGGTAGAGACAATAAAGCCATACAAAATTAATAATGCATAATTCGCAGTATGCAAGATAAAGGTGTAAAAAGTTAGAAATGGTATTTTAATGTCTTAGGGACCACTGGTCAGTGAAGACGTAGACGTTTGTAAATATGTATGGTTTTCCAACAGTTTTCCCGATCAGTTCTTTTGTTTCCTTCGTGTTTGGGTTCTTTTATTGGGCCGCTTAACTCAAACGTTACCTTTCAACTGATTTTTGCAGATGAAGAAAGAGAAGTGGTGACAGAGAAAGTGGTTCCTAAAGCTCCCGATGGTGGCTATGGATGGGTAAGAGGTCGTGCATGTGTCCCCGGTACCTTAATTATCTAGTCTGGACGTTGCAGGTTATCGTTGTTGCCTCCTTCTTTTGTAACTTTATCGTGGATGGTGTCGCCTATTCTTTCGCCATATATCTGACTGACTGGTCAGAAGTGTTCCCGCACGATGGAAAAGATAAAATATCTTTGGTCGGCTCACTACTCAACGGAGTGTACCTTTGCATGGGTAATTCGCAACACATCACAATGTGAAACTGATGGTTACATATCTGTGCTGTTTTTATAGGACCTATCTCCAGTGCTCTTACCAATGCCTTCGGTTTTCGAGTTGTAATATTTTCTGGTGCAATAATTGCGGCAGCGGCATTTGTCGGAAGCGCTTTCTGTACCAGTGTAAATGCGTTGATCGGTGTTTTTGGAATACTTGGAGGTGAACCGGGTGTCATAATATTATGAGAATTTTAATACGAGTACACATTTCTAATGAGAGTTTGTATGAATGGACAGGTATTGGTTTTGGTTTGATTTACTCGCCATCCATTCTGTGCGTGTGTTATTATTTCGAAAAGAAGAGAGCATTGGCGGTGGGAATTTGTGTATGTGGATCTGGTGTTGGGGCGTTCGCGTTTCCGCCTTTAATCGGCAGGGTGGTGGACTATTACGGATGGGCTGGCTCCATGTTCATCTTAGCCGGACTGGTACTACAAGTTTGCATTGCTGGTGCGTTCATGAAAACGTTAGCCGTGGAAGTTACCGATAACGTGGAAGTGCGCGAGACACCCGAGGAAGCACCTCTTCTGGAACAGACGACGGAAACGTATGTTCGAGATGCTAATCCGCCGTTAAACCGTACTTCCTCTCTCAATCAGCCGACAAATTACCGGGACTTGAAACACCTGAAACCACAACGAATGCGTAACCGAAGCGATTCGGAACCGGGTACAGATGTGGAGATCGTCCATTCGAGGAAATATTATTCGCAACATGGTATCGACGTTCAGACTGTTGAAAAAGGTAAGGAAAGGAATATTTGGGAAAGAAAGGGAAGAAACTGTTAACAAATTTAAAGCGCAAAGCATGTTGTTTGAACTTGTTTCAGTTTGGTTGTTTAAAGAGTTAAAGAGTCTGATCTTATTTAGTTTTGTTAAAAGTAGATGCAGGATTTGCTTTTTCAAAGAACTGCAGGATTTACTTGTGATTTTCCTCTTTGGAACGAAATGTTGACTTTTGATGTCTACTTGCAGGAAAAGTAGAGCATCGCTTTGTTGCCGGAACTCATCGCCACTATTTCTCCACGCCGGACATTTCGCAGGATATCCGCAAGATTAAACGAGTGGAATTTCTTCCACCATTTGCTCGTAAAGATATCGTTGTGCAGGGAAGCTTGAAGCATTTGGACCGAGCGTCCAAGGAAAAACTGGAGCTGGACTCATTCCGACGGGACAGTCAGAGCGGCGTGTCGCGTCGCTCACAGACTAAGACTACTGAAACCATCGTGACAACGGCCCCGGCAGAACCACCAAAGAAATCTTTCCTACCTCCGGAACTCCGTCAAGCGCTGAAGGAATTGTCGGATTTTAGCATCTACACCAACGTGGTATTCCTCATTTTTAGTCTGGCTAGCTTCTTCGGCATGGTGGCTTTCTATATCCCCTTTATGTTTATTACTGATTACGCGAAGCTGAATATTGAAGGAGTTTCTAATGATCAAGCCAACCTACTCATATCGGCAATCGGGTTGACCAATATCTTTGGTCGTCTGTTCTGGGGTTGGTTATCCGACCGGCCCAACATGGATCCCCTGATCGTGCACAACTGTGCCATTACCGTTGTGGCGATCGTCTTGGCTTTCATTCCAGCTTGTTTGGATTATTACTCGCTCGCGGTGGTTTGTGGAATATTCGGATTTTTCGTTTGTGAGTAATTCTTGATTTCACTAAGAAATTTCTGGCTTTGTAAGTATAATGAAGAACGAGATTTTTTCAGCGCCATTTATATCGTTGCTGTCAATTATTTTAACAAGCCGGATTGGATTGGACCAGCTGCCCAGTGCATTCGGGCAGTCGCAGTTAGTTCGTGGAATTGCATCCATGGTTGGATCGCCCTTTGGAGGTATGATAAAAATACACGCTAGTCGATAAATTTGTCAGCAAAACTTATTGAAATGTGTCTTAAGGTTTCCTGTACGAAAAAACGAAAAACTACTCCATGACCTTTTGGGTCAGCTCAGCGGAGTTCATCTTGGCGGTGGTCATTGCTTCCATGATCCTTGTTAAAGAGTTTTTCCAAAAACGGCGAAGTCGCGGAAGAGCTGTGAGCGAAGTGCGCGCGTAACAGCTGCCGGAAATTCGTTCCTCTCGTCGTTGCCCGAATAGCGATTGCGATTTTTTCCTTGTATAGCTCAGGCTAAACTTCACAGTGGATTATTTATCCCGATAATATGTTGCAGTGTTCGAAAATCATGGTGATACGATGCTTATGGTTAGGTGCTAGTTTCTTTTTGGTTTCGTTTATCATTACCAGCTGTGTGGATTGCATTTTTTCTTTGGTTATGCTGTTAATATCACCGGGTTTTTTTGTGTCGTATTCTCACAAAGAGTGTTCGCATTTACCTCTTCTCATGCAGTGATGATTTTTTTGTTATTTGTTTGATAATTTATTCCTTGGTGCTTTTGACCTGTATCCATTAAATAGTCTCGACCGGGAAAGATTCTGAAACGGGATTCATAAGATGATCTCCAAATTCGTTGCCAGATGCATATCAGAGTTACAAACGAATCTAATGTCTGACGAATCTAAACTTTATTTTGTTTTCCACTTTACTTATTAGGTGTTAGCGAGGTACTGAGGTGGTATACAGATATCTACACTTATGGTTAGTAGCAAAAGTCGGAAATCACAAAACAGTGTTGCAAACAGCTTGGTTTGTTACTGTTAAGAAGACCAGAGTATTATGACAAAAATTTCGTATGCCATAACAGCCATGCTGTGCAATAACGGGGCTGGCGGTTGTACATCGCATGGATTCGCACCGTATGCACACTGTGCATACGGTTTGATTATTATTATTATTATTTTATATGGCGGGGCCCGCCATATAAAATAATAATAATAATAATAATAATAATAGATTTTAAAAGTTTTAAAAGTTTTAAGACTTGGCCCACTTTGTACCTACAGTGAAAATATGTATTTAAAAATCCCGAAGTAATCCGAAAGATGGCTGTCTTTCATCCAGAAAGGCTTGTAGTGTACGTAATAGCACAGTATCGCTGTAAGCGTAGCTGCAGAGATACAACTTTCGAAGTCAACTATATAATATTATGTCAACTGGCTAATTCTTAATTTCTTGTTTCATGATTAATTAATGATTAAGTACTGCCTCTGACAGACTGACACAATGCTTGCCATTGCAGTCCCGCAGATCGATTTGGCAAAAACGCGTTCATGCTTCCGCCGAGCGGATAGATGCATTGTCGAAATGCGGAGAAGACAGGCGGATGGATGCATTATAACTGCGGTCGGCAATGTCCTTGTATTTAATTATTTAACTTGTAAGTTAAAAGAATCTGACTTGTCCAGAGCGGACCGGAAATGCTATTCGTGCGATAAATTAAAGACGAAAACTGCGGAAAACATTTCAGTTTCTCGTCTCTTTCGGTGCGAATCCGTTTGAAACTTGGATACACATCCGAGTCTGTCTGGCGAATCGGGTGTACGATAGGTGAATCCGTGAATGTAAATCGAGTAGCTGAATGCACCATCCAAGGTCACTTCTATTTGTATCTGTAGATTTCCATTCCCATTTATGCAACCGGCAAAGTGCTGAACTACTTATATAAACATCTGGATAACAATCAATTCACAAAATTAATGGAAAGCCATTCTCTTTGTGCAACCAGGTAAGTTGACATCGCCTTATATATAGTGTAACGATAGAAAATCTCAGTACCGCCAGTTTGGATTGTTGATTGCTTTTCTACATCAGTTATTGGTTCATTCGTTCCTTGTCTTCCTCATTAAGATCATGTGAATCAGCATCTCATTGTCTTAACGATTTACCGCTACAATCTCGATGCTCTTGACTTTTACTTTTGCGCACTAGATTTATTCTTGGATTTGCTTCTTGCCAGCTAGCTAACCTTGCTTTTTGCTTTCTTGCCCTGTGTACTTGCTAATAAGAATCTTGCCGTGACTGCCATGTCTTGCGTTGTTGTTTGTAATCACGTTGAGATGAATCGTCTCATCTCACACAGTGTAGTCGTGTAATTGTCACCTTACTTCCGGTCAGCATCGCTGCTGACCGTGCCAGCCTTTTGATTGTCAGTTAGCATTAACATCCGCTACATCGTGGTACGGTGGATTAACCATCCCACTAGAACAGCAGTTTAACCGGCTGCTGTTGCAATAGATATCGCCTGTTTTCTCGTGTCGAATGGCGATACCCGTGGTGATACCCGGAGGGTTGTCCGGTCTCCAAAGCTTGGCGATCATTTTGAGAGACGAAACAGGATTTTGTTTGTCTGTTGCATAAAGCCATAAACTAAAAACTTGCAATTCGTATGTACTGTAACTGTTTTTGATGGCGTCATAAAAAACTAGACGCTCTGACGATTCTTTGAATGCCGGTATAATTTTTAGCTTTGCAATTGAAAATTTCAGAAATTCGTGAGTCAAAAAAAGTGTTTTTGGTTAGTAATTTGCGATACTGACCAGTGAGCCGCAGTAAGTACCAAAGTCTTTATTGATAATTGATCGTGAGCAATACAGTACTAGCGTACCTACCTAGTGAAAGTGTCGTACATATCCGTCCAATGAGCCGATTTCGTTGCAGTACTCTGTACTCGGTTTCGATTTGTGGCATGCGGTTTATGGAGGAGGAGCTACCTGTTGCCTGAAATTATTCATATCTTTTGGCTTATGTGAGTGAGGGTAGCTGCAGAATGCGGATTGCGGATGCTTGGATGTTTTTCTCACAGGCTGAAAATTAGGTACTCCTTTCGATTTTCTTGAAGAAACGGTTTTGGGATTGAATAGTAATGTGTGTTTTATAAGGAGTACTCAGATTGCTAACAGATTCCTTTTGCATAATTGTTATTGAAGTGGTGTATCTCCTTCTCGCCGTACGTACTGCATGGAAGGAGGTGGAGTGGATAGCGAAACGCGTATAAAATCTGGAATCACTGAATCTGGATGGTTATAATTGTGGACTAACTCAGTCTAACTAGGAACTAAAAATTTAAGTAAGTCACTGTAAGCTCAGGTCATATATTTTATAAACGTGCTTATTTTATAACTTTACATATTTATATTTTACATATCGAAATTATGAAATAACTGTGTAATGGATATACTTTGAGATTGCAGGCGTTCGCTTCTTTCAAGTTTCACATAATACAATTATTTGAAAACTAGGAGTTACAGTTTGTTTGCCTGTTGTCTCTCTACCCGTTGAACTAATGCAAGTAACAAGTACTTTGAAACGTAAAAATTGTTAAATGTGACTGTGTGCATAATTTTTAGGATTCGACTCAAGTGACTGGTCATCTGTGAGTTTAAATCGTAATTACTGATTAAATCTTTGCTTTGGTATTTTGGTAGACTTTGCTTTGGTATTCTCAAAAAACATTAAGTATCGATGCATTGTTTGCGTGTGTTTAGCGTGAAACCGTAGATGCAATACGAGTAGTTAGGTTTAAATGTTGATGGTTGCACCTGATAACTGTGAACCAGATTTCTATGAATAATTATAATTTTTTTCATAAAAATCGATATTAAGTATTAATTTTGTTGCTGTGAGTGGTTGTTCGCCCCCGAGGAAGCGCAATAGTAGTGTCATTCTTCTATGCATTTTCTGTTAATCAAATCGCATAAGTTATCTCTTTTTGACTGGCTTATGGTGATAATGAAACTCTATTGTATTGTGACAGATGGAAACATTTTATACAGTTTTATAAAGCTGCAAAATGCAGACGTATTATATTCTGCAATGGTAGAAACAGGATTATTGTAGCTACTCTGACTCATACTACGAGTAAACCATGGAGTAAGGATGCTATCGTTTTAAGATAACATTATAGATCTGTATTATTGGTTGGAGATTCAGATTACAGATCTTTTCCAGCATTTTCGATAATTTTTCTACGACACAAATAGGTACCCAGATCAGATCTAGAATTGATTGCAATTTTACAATCAAGATTCAAGCCGCAGATCGTCTTGCATGTAATTATAGAACTCCGTCTGGCGTCTGAAATATATCTGTTCGAAGAAATGTGCGAGTAGTTTTTTTAATTTTCGATTGATTTCACTTATACACTACTATGATAACTTGATGAATTGAAGATCAGTACTTTCAGGTTAGCGGTGATTGCGATAGATACAAGTACCTATCTGCTTTATACGCTACGCTACCTGTTATTATGACTCTTCCAAGCTTCTTATCTGTATACCACCTTTGGTATAAGAAGCTTAGAAAACGAATATTCTACCTGTTAATATTATAATTGGTGCATGGTATAAATATATGATAATTATCATATATTTATACCATGCACCAATCACAGATGTGTTGTCATTTTTGTGAAACAGTGTGTTGTATGAGTGTACCGTATGAGTGTTAGCCGTGAATTATCATAATAATATTAAAAGTGGTGAGTAGTATTGAATTGAATTGCTGTTACAGATGCAACGACGTTAAAAAGTTTGGAGCATCAATACGGAAGCTCTAAACACCTTGAGCAAGCACCGTTTATACCCAGCATTTTGATATCTACAAGACTTCCAAGAAAGCATGACGGAGGCGTGCGCGTACCCGTAATGCCAGGTAAGCATCTTTGCAGTTTGCTGTTTTTCGCATTTCCGATTTAATACCGTAGATTGAGAATCGCTTTACGTAATAGGAATTCCTGAATGCGTGGTCGAACATATGTGTTTTTCAGTAAATCAGTTAAAATTTTCGACTGTGTAGTTGTACTTATAGTTGATATTTCACGTGATTATACTGTATTTTGAATAAATAAGTAGTGGAGTTATGTTTTTCATATGTAAAATTATTTTACGTTTTGATCAGCAATTGAGGAATTTACTAAAAAGAAAACTTCAAACCCCGAACTTTTGATCATAATGCATTCTACTGAATCCGTTGAATATAATTTATAAATATCTGGCAGCGCAAAGAGCAAATGAAAACGCACCATCGCATGTTTTTTGCAGTGCGGGACATAAAAAGTTCATTTTGCTAGTGATCGACCATTCAGATATCTAGTGGAACTAATTTGTATGTCGTTATGATGACTGAATAGGATATTAACCATTTTTTGCTGTTGCTTTTTTATAGTCTTGCGGTGCTTTTTGTGACCAAAGCAGATAAGCAATAAACTTCTCTCGATGATGGTCAGAAATATGTGATAAAGTGCTTACCACTAACTAACTAGTACTTCGCGGTTTCTTTTACTCATTTCGTAGATTACTTGGTTTTGCACAACTTGAAAGCGGAAATCTTCGTTGAATTGCCTACAGTCCTTTTAGACTGCTGGAGGCTGGGAAGATTATAGCACCTTTAATTACAGTTACTGATCATTTTTGTTTTTTAATTCTAGATGTATTCACTTTATACTCATACAAAGTAGTTAGTAAATGTGAAATGACCGTGCATTGTTTTTGCATTATGAGAGACTTCATTGCAGTGGAAAGATGAAGATTATTATTTTGGTTTTCTTTTGTTCTGTACGAGTAACGGGAAAATTTCTTCGACATTCATGCACGTTCGTTGGTGCTTGTGTATTTTTCCATCCAAATAGCTGTCAACAGGTTTTGAATCGCTGATTGTACGATAGATTGATACGGTATGTGGCATCGTTTTTTTACCGCCTTGACCAGTTGTCTGCATTATCCTTCCTGCCACATATAATGAACCAGTAGCCGTGGTGGTTATTCAAGTTTGTTATGTGTTGCTGTTGCAGCCAAGGTTTTCCACGAGGTGCTTTTCCGTCGTGTAAGAAAGCACTGCGATTTAGAATGGAAATTAGAGCGTAGAGACACCGAGAGAAAAACCGCTCTCTGTCCACTTCATTTCCCTGATTTATCAACGGTACGATACTACAGAGTACAGATGGTGTTTCTACATGGAGATACAGTACCATCGTGGTCGGCTGACGAACTTAAAGGTCTGCTGAGCGAGTTTGCCAACTCGACCCAGAATGTCTTAATTACTGTCTTTTGAAACAAGTGGACGCTTTGTAGTCGTGCGAAGAGGTTGTTAGTTTCACTTTCGGATCTGTTAATGTCGATCTGTAAGTTTTTCCAGACTATCCGGCAGAGACACTGCCAATTATAAAATTACACTGTATGTTCTGTAATAAGGGTATACTGCAAATGTCATAGTTGTTGTGCGCAGCCGTGGATATCTGCAGAGTAATCGTGTTTCTCACCAGTCAGTGGATGGCAGGTATTACCTGGCAGGTAATTAATGGAAAACTACAATAAATAAATATATAATTCGTGTGGTATATTTTTATAATTCGTGTGGTATATTTTTTAATTAGCAAAACGTTTTCCTGGTTCGATGTGATTAAGGATACTTTGTTATATAGTGAATAATTTATAACACACACTCAAAATTAATCCATATAATAAGAGTTCTTTCTGGATAATAATTTTATTTTACCGACAGTATTTGTCTTCGTTAGCTTTCACGGTTCCTTACTGCTAAATGTTCACTTCATATTGCACGCACTGCATAGTGTACAGTGTGGTTTGCCGATGACGGAAAGATGAAACAAGTTGGAAGGGGTTACACTTGTGTTTTTATGTAAATATCGCAAACCTGGGATTACAGCATTCGCACAAGTGTGGGTGGCAGCAGACTAGGTATGATAACCTACTCTGGATTATGTAACAATCGCACCGAAACGTGTGGCTCAATAAATTTTACTACGGCAGTTAAATTACATGTTGGGCCAGAAGCGTGAGATTTTGCATCGTTTCCGGTTGCGTATAAAACTGCACTAGCTGACAATTTGCATTGTGATTTGTGTGTAAAACGGTGGTGTGAACGCGATTCCAATACAAAGTAAAAACACCGAAGCGATCGCGACATTCTGACAGTTATTTTCCATTTGTGTTGATAAGTTGTCGCTTCTGTTTGGCGGAGGGGGTATTGGAAAAAGCTTTTGCACAGATGAGTTATTTTGTGTCGGCCTTTATATGAAAAATTGGTTGTATACAAAATATCTGTCGTAGCGGTCACTGTGCGCCGGATACTGGCGGATAGTGCGGCCTAAATTTTTTTGAATGATAGACAAGACCATCTGCGGATGTGTCGAAACAGTTGATCAGTACTAAATTTTAATTTAATTTTCACGCGTCCAAATTTTTGCTGTGACTTGTTTGAGCCTGATGACTGACAGTTGAATGATCCTTATTTTATTCCTCGGAGAAGGGCTGTTTTGCGCTGATTTGGTGCAGTCGATATATAAGGCACACGCTACGGTTACGGAACCACTTGACGTGAAATGGCAATATTATTAAATTTTCACCGGTGTGTTCGGCAGTTATTGATCTGTTTGGGATTTTCACTTGCGCTTGTAGGTTAATGGTGTGTTATTTATCGACCTTCATATGCACAGCGGACACCTGTGCCGGTTATGCATAAAGCGGCCAACAACTGGAGAAAACGTCCTTGCAGCGGGGTATCGCGCAAATTTATTGATATTTTCTGGGAGAAAATCGATTTTGCGTGAAGCTGCAAAGCTCAGGAATTTTCAGTGCTCACCGGTGAAGCGTACTTCATTTTGGTTTTATGGTTATGGCAGACTAGCAGTCTGGAAAGATTGCAGCTTATGGGGCATCGTATAAAAATTCCCAACATTGCATAACGCTATGAATTTTGCAAAACCGAGGAACTGATATCAGATTATGATCTATAATATCTGATCTGTCGGCCTTTTTAATTGTGCTGATCGGCACGGTCGTTGTTGCGGCGCTGTAAAGTGGCATAATCTCTTCCGGAAGTAATGCTTATTGAATTATCCAGTGTGCCGTGTGTATGCAGTATGGTTGGTGTTTTTTGCAGGATTGTTGGAGAATTTGTGAAGCATTAAGAGAGCAACAGTGTTGACAGGATCATCTGATTGATATTATTGCATTCGTTACAATAATCTTGGGTGGTCGATAATTCCAAGCCCGTTGGACCCAAAATGAGCGTGGTATACGTGAACGGGAGCAGCTTTGATCCCGTCAAGTTCCAGTCAACGCGCACAACGAGCAATGACGAGGAAACCGATTCGGCCTTGGGCAGTTCGCACTCCAATTCCACACATTCCCCTGATATTCCCGCATTAGACAGGTCGGTGTTGGCTTATCTTACTATTGTACAATCAAGTCTGTTTTTTTTTGAAATCAAGGCGGAAATCCTCAGAATTGTTTTATCACATTCTGTTCAGTTGTTATTTTGGAAGGAAAACATTATGTGCACCAAATACGAAGCTGCATAAGCAATCTGTATTAATATTATTTGCACTTTTATCACAATAAGTTAGGATAAAACAATGTAATTACAACAGCTTAAAATTATTTTCCGGTTGAATGATAGAACGATATACGTCGTTGGCACTGAAGTTGCACGGCGGCGTTGTAATTTGGAGATGTCGATTTTATGCATTTTCTTTTGTAGTAAATGTGTGTGTTATGCAGAAAGCATATACATAAACTGAAATGTTATGTTTTGTTAACAGAAATTTAATATCGAAATGAATTAACTGGTCTTTCGCTCGCCTTTGTAACTTGTGTTATATTTCTGGCTGCATTGTATTTTGGCGCTTTCCGATTAACGCCGTTAGCATTGCACTTTATCTTGTTGATTGTAATTTGTAAAGTTTTGCAGAGATGTTCACGGAGAAGAACGGTTCGAAGATTACGGCGCAGCCGAAGAAGCGGAGCCGGAGCTTCTGGCACCCTTCGGCGAGAAAAAATCAGTCCTGTAAGCGATTGTTACACTAGACTGGCTTATTTTTGCGTGTCATCAAACTGGCGATGATGTATAAATTGGCTCATTTAACTGGTTATTGAAACGATTAAATTATATAGTGATCCAATTTGTTTTGACAGTAATACGGTCAACGGTGGTGGAGCTGGATTTAACCGTACAGCCTCGGTTCGACGCTCATTCCGCCGTCCCTCGCCGGCGTAAGTTACTTCGCTGACCATCGGCATTCTGCGCCGCCATCTGTCTGATGCGGCCTTGTTGTTGTCGCACATGCAAAGAGATCTCTGACCAGATTGTGTTTTTGTTTGGGTACATTATAGCACTGTCAGACGGACGCCATCGTTCGGCATCTCAAAGTAAGCGCTTGACATGTACACACAATGGACATGATAGGCGGTATTTTGATATTTTTTCTGATGTAATGGTTTACGCAATGCATTCAGTCAAAACTGTACATTGACAAGAGTAACCGCTCTGCCTAAAGTGGGGGCAGAAAGAGCATATGCATTTTTGATTTCCATAATAATTATAAATATATGTATATCATGAGCGGCAATAACAACCTCACTGCTTTTAATTTTTGAAGAAAGGTAAATCTTATTGCGCAAATTTGTACTGCAAAGTGTATTACAATACTTATTTACTGCGTAAAAATTAGTTACCAATAAATTTGTAACATTGATTACTCTATACTAAAATGGAACTATGCCATAGCGGAACAGCACTAGTATCAGTGTTCAAGAAGTGTTGACGATGATTATTGCCTTTTACCAAAAACTTTCGTTGTGTAAATCGTTGATGTCGTAATATTCTTTGAAATTTGTTTGCATGTATTGACTATCTGTATGGTTATTTAAATTTACTAAAAATTTCCGTTGTGTATATTGTAAATATCGTATTTTATTGTACAGTATGTAAGACGATACGTATTGCGTAATAATAATAACCATTAACATGTTATGCCAACGAGGCAAAAGTCAACAGTAAATGGCTTATTTTGTGTACAGTTCGAGCATGAAAGGTTCACCGGGCACCCACCCTCACGCCCATCATGACGATCCGGATGCCGATGACTGGAACAGTGTGGACAGTTTCCAGCGCGACGACGATGTCTACCACTTGACCCAACAAATGGAGAAACTGCAGAATCAAGTGTCGGTCCTGGTACAAAGTCAAGCTAACCAGGAAGACAACGTCAGCAAATTACGCCAGGATAATGCCGGGTTAACAGAACGGTACGATATGGAAGATGTATTGCGTAGACAGCCTACCGCCTTATCGCTGAGATAATTTACATAGCTTCCCATCGTATTTATCTTTCGCTGGTCATATTTTGACACGGAAATATGATATGACAAAATGTACGAGTAACTCACTTACTTATGTTGGTGGTCTTTAGGTGCACTTTACTAGAGGAACAGCTGAGAGAACAAGAGATGAAATATGAGGAGCGACTGAAAAATGAACACAGGAAAAACATGGATTTATTGGTATGTATTTCGCAGCTGTTTTCTAAAGTTTATATCGCCAGTTTTGGAGTCAAAAATTTATTTGATGTAAAGTAATGCACGCACTGTTTTCAGCAACGTCTGGAACGGGATAAAAATAACGAACTGGAGAACCGTAATAATAGGTAAAAGCATGGTTTATCGAGTAGATTTTTTGTTGGATCAGTTTATTACTGTAATTATATCTTTGTAGAATAACTACCTTGGAAGTGGAAGTCAATCAGCTACGAAACGAGTCACTCCTGGTGAAAGCACAAGCAGAAAAGTTTAAGCTGGTATGCGTAACTCTTTACTGGGGTTGCAAAAAACCACCTACAGTTATTTAATGATTAATCACTATTGGCAGATAAACGAGATTAATGTTTGTCAATTTTTGTGCAGGAAAAAGCGCATTACCAAGATAAACTCATTGAAGCTGAACGGCAGATGAGTGAACTGAGTGAGGAAGCGGGTCGACTCAAGGAAACTCTACGTCGAGAACGCGAAGATATCGCCAAGAAAACCACAGCGCATGATCAGGTAAGGTTAATCTGCTTCGCTTGGGCAGCGTGTGTGCTTTATTCAACACCCACTTGATACTGTGATAGCGATGCACTCGTAAGTGCCGGCCACGCTATCGTAATTTTAGTATGGTAATAGCGCGTTCAACAGTTCATTTTTTGTTAGGAGCTAATTGAGTTACAGCTCGAGCTGGAGCAATTGCGCAGTTATAAAATCGAAAATGAACGCTACACTTCCACCCATAACCGCATCGCACCGGAACGCGTACGTGAACTGGAAAGCGAGTTACAACGAGTTAAACAGGTACAGATTTTATGGTGTTATGCTCTGCTAGTTTACAATTAGCATACTAATGGTCAAACTATAACCATGCTTGCAGAGAAAATAATCGGTAGCGATACTAGCTAGATCTGTTGTGGATTATGATTGTAAACCGGCATGGCTGGCACTGTCTTTTCACTTTGCTTTGTTTTTAAGAATGGTTTATTGCTTTTGAATATTTTGTGTATTTTATTGATTTTTGTATTTTTTGGTTTTGGGTATTTTTTATTGTGTATTTATGTATTTTGTTTTTGCTTACGAATAAATGCGTACAACGTGCTTACGAATGAATGCATTTGGATGCATTTTACTCTGATTTTAGGAAAACGTTAAACTGGAAGAGTCGAATCAGGAGCTCAACACCCACCTTCTGCATAATCAAGTTGAGCAAGGACGCGCACTGCTCAGAACTGACATGGGCAGTTTGTTTTCCGAATTTTCTGACACGACACGAGACGAAGTAAGTGATATAATAATTATTTGGAAACTTAGCCTTCGTGAGTGTGTACTTATTTGCGATTATGACTGGCCATTATAGTGAATGTATATTTGACATTCGGGTGTTTTCTCAATTGCATAGGCCGTTGAAGCACTCAAGGAGTACAATCGTCAACTGAAAGAATATGTTGACCGGATTCTGGCCGGTGTACTCGAGAGAGCACCGGAACTGTTGGAAATCAGATGGCCAACTAAATAATTTGACTCTGCTGCCTGTGTGATAGACCAGTGTTAAGCCTGGACGCCTGTTTCGTACGGACCACTGTGATGTTATTCGGCGCGCCGGGCGCGCTTCTACCCGTTTTATCACTTTTATTTTATTAGGGATTGGAGGTGCTGTGGGGCAACCAAGGATCTCAGCTCACGCTACAGAATGGGAATATTTAGAAAAAGTTTTGCGGTGTTCCTGTTATTTGATTGACTTTTCCCATCATTGACCCGGAAATCTTTCTCCGCGCGTATTACTGCACTTTTCTGCCGCCTTTGTCAGAGGACCTTGTATTATCGTTCACGCTCTTGTTATCCGTCGAATGGATGAATTTTTATCATCTGGCTCAAATTGGGCACAGTTTGAGTGCTGCTAACAAAGGCATTGCGGAATGCACCAGTCTTTTCTTCCATTGTGATTTCCAAGCACCCGAATTTTAACTTAATTTTAACTTTTAGACAATATGGGGTTGTTAGACTTTATGTATACTTCGTTAGAAATGTTTGGTTCGTATCCAAATACCCCAGTTTAGTTCTTCTTTAGTGTTACTTTTTATCTCTTTTTATGGGTTGCGGCTCTTTTCTGACACATGATTTTTCGATGTTAAGTTTTGCTTACTTGTTCTTGGTTTGCTAACTACAGAGTATTGTAGCTAGCGATTTTATGCCCTGACACTAATTTCTGTGGATTTTGTAATTACTGGACTTTGATATATGCGCTTATTTTGGCAAAACATTAAAAGTGTATCAAAGAAAATTAAAGAAAGCAAATGATCAATCATGAATCCAGCACAATCTGCGAATGCGATGCACACTTTGTTATCCGTTTAGTTTCGTCAGCTTTTAATGCATACAATTCTGAAACCAGTTACTGCTACAGTTTGAAAAAAGCCGAAACCAAATATGCTGTATATTGTGGTGGTATGTTACTGATCAATTCAATGGCTTAATCATCAGTGTATGTAACACAAAACTTTCGAAACACCACACAATCAACAAATCCATTAAATGACCCGCAACACACGATCACACTCCCTTATGCTAGGAAAGAGCGATCCCAAACGTTATTCCTCCTCTTCTTCATCTGTTAGAATATCATCACTTTCGTTATCCATTTCCTCTTGCTCGTCATCGCTTAATTTATCATCCTCTTGATCACGATACCTGGAAACCAAAGGACAGATTTAAAACTCGGCCGTAACAACTCATCGCGTAAATAAAAAGTTAACCAGATCTAAAAATCTATCGAAACCACAGAACTAGACGGATGTTTCGGTACTCATAGTCTACGACAAAACCATAACCAAAATTCCAAAACCGCCGGTAAAAATATATAAAGTGGTATACATACTGAAGGAACTGCACCGCCCGAGACTGCATTAAACGCTCGGATTCCGCACCATGACGTAAATGGGGATTCGCGGCTTGCACGCGAGCAAGAAGTTCCTGAAACGGAAAAATAGTAAGCGCGCGCAATTACAACTACTGATCCCGAAGGGTAAATGATTTTACTGTAGACTGATTCCTTTCAAATTTTTTCAACGTATTCGTACGTAACAAATCAAATTTCGATGAAATTAAAAAATCTGCACCTGTTGCGCTTTACGGTCTCTTTCAACCAAAACCATAACTTCTTCCATGGAAAGAAGGGCAATTTTCGACTTGGCGGCCGTGCTTGGAGTTTTTGGCTGTCCTTCCCCAACGGTGCTTCCTTTGAGATTCTTCGGGGTACTCCTAAACGATCTGAAAATAAATACATTCATGAAACACGTATACAAATACTGATGTAGAAAAAACACCAAGGGATAGTAGTCTGCAGAAAATTATTATTGTCATTATTACACGGTATAATAAGGCCATCATTAATTTAATTTTAAATGTGGTGTCAATTATTGACACCACATATAACGAGCCGTGACCATAAGTTTAATTTTTTTGTAATCATGGATTTTTGCTGAGCTTACGCAGGTTTAGCGCGGCTTGTAACGATATCGCGACTGTCATCCTTCTGCGCATTATCCGCTGGATTTTTTACTACTGTGATGTCAGATCCATCGTCACATGGCACCAGCGAAACCTTTGGACGGGCCAAACTATTTCCATGGATGGAAGACGATGCGTGCGGAATGGGTAAGGATTTCGGCGCTTGATTGTTCTCTATGCAGATAAAATATCTCCTAATTCTCCTTATTTAATAAATTCGGGAACAAAGGCATGAAAAACAATTCACAATACACAATCTCTGTACCCCTGGCATGATCCTCCGTTACAGACTGCGAAAAATCCGGATGAAGACGGGAAAACGCTTCCGTCACACTGTCCACATCGTTCAGATCGTTTTCACCTGGCACCAGGGATTTCTCTTTTGGCGATGCGAGAACTCGAAAATGGGCAGCGGTCTGCCGAAGAGACTTGGCAGATAGAGTTTCCATACCGCCGCTGGCATCTAAAAAGTATGGAGGATAAATCACCACTGGTAACCGTAAATATAATTATAATGCAACTAACAGCGACTGTGTGCATTGCAGTTTTTAGTGTATAAATCCGTACATGCAGATTTAGTTAAGTATTATTCACTATTCACGTTAAAATTTGAAAGCGTAATTTTTTCAACCACTGAGAAGTGGCACTCAAAAACGTTTAGCAACTATCTAAGCACGAGTGTAAACTAGAACTCCTCACCCATTCGCGAAGAATCCAGCAGGGATTTCGAAGATTTAGCTTTAGCAGATGAATTTTCCATCCGATGCTTATTAAGAAGAGATTCAATGGCTGCAACATTCTTGCGCAGCTGAAATCCATCGTCCGGTAGACCTTCAAGAATGCGTCTAACAAAAGACAAAAGCCTGACGATGATCAGGATTTAGATTAATGGTGTTCTGGGAAAATTATAACCGAGGAATGCAGCTGTACCGATCAGCAAGAAGCTTCTTCGTTCCAGCCAAAGTATGCTCCAGCTTAGCAACAGACATTTTGTCGAAAGGAGTTTTTTGGTTTGTGGCCATTTATCCCCTAAATCTGATAAAGCCTATGAGATCAACAGCCTAGGAGGATATAAAAAACGGTTTATGAAAATGTGACAACAAAATCTGGAAAAGTCAAGAATTAAGCATGAGGTATACTCCAACTGAAACTGATGGGAACGCCCCTACTGGAGCAACTGGAGGCCCGAACTGACGAATTGAACCTGTTCATTTCATCAGTTTGACTGGAGCTCCGCCCCTCCAGTTGGAGTATACACTATGCTTTAGAGGCTAAACAGACTAGAGCCCTGCGCGAGCGCCGAGCCTCGGCTCGGCTCGTGAGCGCTCGCGGCTCGCGAGCCGAATGAGCGAGCTTTTACCGCTGCTAGCGCGAGCCGAGTCGAGCCGAGCGGTCGTTTATCGATGGGCGAGCGAGCCGAGCGAGCGGCAGTCAGAGGTCACGAGCGAGCTGAGCACTGCTTTCTGTCCCGTACTATTTTTTATAGAATTTCTAGCGATTTTTTCCAAAAATGGGCGTTGGCTTCGCGCTTCGCGCGAAATAAACTGGTTTAAATGCATGCAGCGGTGCTGCCATAAAAATGCCAAAGTACATTTTTACAATTAATCCGCATATAACTCTTGCTCGCGAGCGGTCTGAGCAGAAAAATTTGAAATTGTCTACGAGCCGAGCGATCCGAGCAATAAGAAATCTGGACACGAGCCGAGCGAGCGAGCAGACGATTCAGCACGCGCGAGCTGAGAAAAATTTTACAATAGTTAAAATGACACGAGCGAGCGTGAGCCAAACATTTGACGCTCGCGCAGGGCTCTAAAACAGACTCTAAACTGATGCTGTAAACCATCCAGAACTGAAAACTACAAAACCGCATCTGAGGGATTTTGATGACGTCATAATAGTCGACCGGCTATGGAGCTGTTTTTCTGCGTATACACGTTAGAACTCATGACATTGATTTTAATTTCCACTTTTGTACTCTTTCGCATATCGCGATGGATTTATAATAGAAGGTTGTGGACTTGCCTGCCATGAGTCAATTACAACCATTTCCGGTAAGTACTTGATAGCTTACATACAATATTGCATACGAGTAGTGTAAAATCAAGAATTTCGAGAATCGAGATACATAAAAACATTTCGCTTTCACCGCATTGTCAAATCTGTTACGTACTTATTTATCTTCGCCACAATACAGCGCATTCTGACTGATATCACAGCTTCAAGCGACAGAGTTACCGAGCTACTCGTAAAAGCACAAACAATTATTTGTTCACACTCAGCCTTGTTACAAACAGTCGAAGAGGACAGAACTTAATCGTAACAATGTCACTGCTCTTCCAAAGAAGCCAAAAGCAGTTACACTTCATATACATATAGTCTACGGGCAAACACGACAATTTTCAGTTATTATCTCCAAACTGTGCAACAACCCATGCCAATCCCCATTTCAGGTTCGTTAACATCCACTTCAATGCCTTCGTCCACTGTTCCACCGAATTGAACTGGGCGCGAATGGAATAACTGGCGCCAGTGTGCACATCACGAATCCTCCCGTGCACGGGATCGATATCATAAGGCAAACAAAACTGCGAGCCACTCTTCTCCACTTGTATCTTAAATTGATGCAGACACTCCAGAAATGCTGCCATAGCATGGTCAAACTTGGAGTCCCAGAAGAACTTGAATCCACCATCCCCGTACAGCGGCAGTTTCTTATTCTGCTCTTCCAGACACTCAATGTATGAATGGCTTCCAAACGGTACAAGTTTGTATTTCGTGAAGGCGAAACTCATCTTCTTGGCCAGACAGTGCAACAGTAAAACGGTTTGGCCCCAAGCGGCATTGATTTCCGGCCATTCTACCGGTGAGCCGGGAAGTCGACCGAGGCGGAAACCGTTGATTGTGCCGAACTGGTCTTGATGCCAGATATGAAAAGCAATGTTGAATACGTTGGTCTTTTTCAGCTTGTCCAGCAGCATTTCTGCTACCCTCATTTGATAGTTCACACTTTCCTACAACCGAGATTTACATTAAAATTCAAATACCTCGCACACGGGATCAGCTTCGATTAAAACGGATAAGAAATAATAGGAGTAGTAAGCGAAAATTTGTTGTACAATACACAATATGAATACACAATAGTGCAATACACAATATGAATTTCAAGCAACTCCGAAACCAACTGTTCGCATGCAATCGGATACAGCACCTGTAATTTTGTGTACCCACAATTGTTAGACATTTCGCTACTTTAACTCATCTACCTCGACTGCATTTCGAAAAACGGAAAAGAATCAGCGAGCAAATGCAGCTGCTGCTAAATTAATTTTCAAGTCTACGCAATACATTCAATTACATCAAAAACTAATACGTAATGATACGACAAACGCAGTACCTGTTCTTCTTCTAGCTCATCGAGTTCTCGCTCGTAAGCTGCCCGCTCTCGATAATAATCTTGTTCCGCTGATTGTATCTTACTCCGCTCCTTTTTCATATCATCCAGCTTGTGCAACAACTCCTTCTTCTCCTCTTCCGACACTATGAGCTGTTCTTTCAACATTTTCTCCTCGTCCATTAATTCGCTCAACTGCTGCTCCAAAGCAGCAACATCCCCTTCTTTCGGTCCACTCTCCCCGTCTACCAATCCTTTCTTAAACTGTTTGAGAAAATACTCGTATTCCACGCACTCCTTTTCCACAGCCTGAATCTCCAGTTCCAGCTCCTCCATTATACTGTCGGTGCACGAACTGCAAATGGGATGGTCGACGGTGGACACTGACGAGAGCAACTCCATTAACTGCAATTTATTGCTTTTCTCTTGTGAACTCTCCGCGGAAAACACCAATTTTTTATAACCTAGTGGCAAGGCATCTTGGTCTTTCTCTGGATTCTCCATGGAAGCTAGCTGCAGACGTTTTTGAAGATCCAGTGTTCCGCTTGGCTCATCAAACACAGGTGCATCTTTCGGCTGGAAGGAGGGTGCGCGCGACCGAGCTGGATCCGCGGATAGTTCCGCAAGGATCGCCTCTTCTAGTTGATAGAAATTAGCATCCACATCCAGCATCTGATGGCAGCGCTGGCAGCAAACGATGCGATATTTCATATCCGCAGAACTGTTGGCTGTGTTTGTGGTATTGGGATCCGGATCGCTGGCCTCACTAGTCTTACTAGCCATATTCACTGGTCCGCACTGTGGCTGTCAAGATGAATTAATGAAGAGAAGAGCGATGTTTTTCTCCAAAAATTTAAACAAAATGCAATAGTTTCTAATCGCTAAGATAAGAACGGTACGTATAAGTTAAATAGCATAAATTTAATTATTAATTATTAAAAACTGACTTTTGAATAAGACCCAAAACATTCGAACAGTCGTACGACCACCATTCTACAGAGAATTACAATGTTCAGCAGCGATATTGCACCCAAAGCTATACAGAAAATAAAAACAAGATGCCTAGGCGGTCATTTCCCTGTAGATTTTATTTTGTTTTCCTTTTTTGGTCTCGCGCTCTCGCTGCTCAGATTTCCTTTGACGGGAACTTGCGCACATTCTGGTTGTGCCTGGTTTCGAAATTTAGGAAACCACGGTGCCACAAAAAATGTTGACGCGTACATAATGGTTGTGGTGTCATGTTGACTTTATAATTGTTATCTTTTTTAATTTTCTTGTTTTAATCTTCTGAGTTGTTTTGCTGTGATAGGCTTGTGGCTTTTACCTAATGGGTGTATAAAGCGCTGCGCTCAGCTGATTATTAATCTCGATCGATAACTCTGAGCGGCGATCTTTTTTTCTTTGTTGTTCAATGTTTCCTTCATTTAGTTTTGTCGTGGATTATTTTACTCGTTTTAAAGTACGTAAATGTAATGATGCGTTATTGATTGGAGCTTTTGTAGTAAGTTCCTAATCAGGATGAGCGGAGAAAAACCCCCAGCGGAGCGTCGCCTGACGCTGGCTTGTGTTGTGGACCTCTTGGCACCTGAAGGCCTCAATGCCCGCCAAAAGGCATACGACGATGTGGTGCGAGCGGCCAAGGACTACAAAATTAATACATATCGGATAGAATTCGACAAGCTGGAGAATTCTAAAGAGACTGCAGTGTTGGATCTGATGTATAGTGCCGATGTTGCCATTGTGGATATGTCGATAAGCAGTCAGCAGATTGCTCTGTCCGGCCAACTCGGAGCACGGGAGCGCTTCGGGATGCAGGGGAATTTTGTGATTTATAATAGTGAATCTGTCCATGGAGTCTTCAAATCCAGCATCGGTAAGGTTTCAGATACGATATTCTGTTGAATGCGTGAACCTGGGCTCCTTGAGTCGTCCAGCTTGTTAAATTTTGCAAAACTTTCACACTAATACATATCTATATGATAGCTAGTACATGTTTGAGGCGCATTGATAGTTTTGACACTGTTTGTAAAATGTTAGCGCTGTGCTTGTGGTATATATAACCTTATTCTGATACTTGTGCAGTATTTGTTTTACAGTATTTCGTTCGTAATATTATTCTGCAGAGTTGTTAAGTTTGAATAATTTAAAATGTATTGGAGTTGGTTAGTTAATTTATTGATGCATTGTTGCAGGTGGATCTGGAATGAATAGCATTGGGTATTCGTTGTCGGAAGACGGTGAGCGGTGCGTTGTCACCGATTCATGGATGGCCGACTCTGGAATTAATTTATATTCAAAGCTCAAACAGCTGCTCAAGGATGTTCAGGTTACAACATCCACTCATGCGAAGGAAAAATTTCTCGATGATCTCCGAAAAGTGCGAGAGATGCCGCATGATCAGCTGAAACCGGAACTGGATAAACTTCGGCAGAAAATGAACTTGGATCCGGTGTTGCTGTCGCCGGAAATTGTCTTTAATCTGCTTATGTCGTACAGGTATGCGGTTATTGGGATAGTAAACAGGAAAGTGTAGATCTGTAAGAGTTGCTTTATTAGACCTGCCTAAATTTACGGTCTGCAGAACTTGCAACAAATACCTTCGTTTCACTCGTAGTCGAAGTATAATTCAAGTATTACACTATTTAATACTTACCTTTTAAACATCTAATGTACTGGTGTACTCGGTACCGTATACCTATACCGCTAAAGAGCATTTGATGTACCTTGATAGTTCCGATTCATGATTTTCGGTTGTTTTTACTGAATTAATCTTTTACATCATTTTTCGTTTTCTGAACAGAGACATTCAGGATCATGATACCATGATCAGTATTATGGATGGCGTGCAGTCCCGACAGGATGAACCGAACGCTCAGCAATGCCTGCAGCCGGATTTCATGTACTGGTATTGCTTTGCTCTGAATCGCCGGAATAAGCCTGGCGATCGCGATAAAGCGCTGTTGATTATGGAGAGAGACGCCACAGATCTCCAGTACGTTGTTCCGGATGCCCTGTGTTTATGCGGACGAATCTATAAAGACATGTTTGTGGAGAGCGAGTGTAAAAACAGGGATTATATCGCTAAAGCGATTGAATGGTACAGGAAGGGTTTTGCGGTTAGTGATATACAACTTTTCTCGTGTAATCATTTATTTTGTTGGTTTCGTTGGCTTTCAGGGTAAACCTAATGAGTTTGCTGGTATCAACCTTGCTACCCTATTGGTGGTTTCTGGAGACAAATTTGACAGTTCCAGTGAATTGCAATCAGTTTTGATGCAGTTGAACCATATGATCAGTCGCAAAGGCAGTCTGGAGTTGCTGCAGGAATACTGGACAGTGGCGACGTTTTTCGAGATGCAGGTGCTATCGGATGATTATCGTAAAGCCTGTCAGGCAGCGGAATGCATGTACCGCTTGAAACCGCAAGGATGGATGATCCGCACTACCATGCAGAATATTAGATTGATTGAGCAATCGCGCCGGGCAATTGCGAAGGTACATATATATGTGCATCTTTTGTGAATGCCCCGTATAATTTATGGGCGAATTATGATTAGATAATTTAGATTGTTATATGTACAGTAGCACCTAAGAATATTAATTACGAGACCAAATCAACTGACCCTTCCTACATGACGTTTTCATGGTGAATACTCGTATCTCGTAATTTGGTTTAATTCAAACTTTTGCAGGGAAATGATTCTGTAGCCAGTTCTCGTAGTAGTTCCATCGCAGTGGAAGATGATGAGGATCTGTACCGGTTTTGGTTGGAATTCTTCGAGGACAGTTACGTGCCTCGTCCGGATACGGCTCACTTTCCCGTGTTAATTTTAGACGACAATCCTGAACGGCACTACATATCGTTTTATGTGACTATCAATGTCACCGAAGAAACTGCCGCTGATCGGACCATCAAGTTCTGGCAGTCAGGATGCACGGAAGGGATTGAATACTTACTGAAGCCGGAGCATGTCAAGAGCGCGGCGCTTAATCGGCAAGACGAGCGTTGTTTGTTTTTATATGTCGCCTATCCGTTCTCCGAGAATCTGCAAGTGTACTTCTCGTCTGGAAATCAGCGCGATCGGTTCCATGCATTGTGCAAGGAATTTCTCAGTTCCACTGACGATTATGTAGATCTGGATGATGATGGCCCGGCGATGATGTACGATTATGAATATGACAAGAATGGGCAGAGAGTATTACTGGGCAGTGGCACATTTGGAAGGGTGTATGCAGCGAAGAACGCTAACACCCAGGTGAAGATGGCAGTGAAAGAGATTCGAGTAACGAACGATGCTGCTGTACAGCTACTGCACGATGAAATCAAACTCCACTCGAAACTGCATCATAAGAATATCGTGCAGTACCATGGATCCGTGTACGAAAATGGCTTCTTTAAGATCTTCATGGAACAAGTACCTGGCGGCAGTTTATCAGATTTACTACGGGGATGGGGTCCACTAAAAGGCAACGAAATGGCCATCGCGTTTTATAGTCGGCAAATATTAGAGGGACTGCGATATTTGCATGACCAAAAGATTGTCCATCGTGACATTAAAGGAGGCAACGTGCTAGTGAACACTTTTAGTGGCGTCTTGAAAATCTCTGATTTCGGTACCAGCAAACGTTTGTCCGGTTTGAACTCTAATGCCAGCTCTTTCAAAGGAACGTTCCAGTATATGGCACCGGAAGTTATCGACGCCCAGGGTCAACGAGGCTACGCTGCCCCGGCGGATATTTGGTCATTCGGATGTACCGTCATTGAAATGGCTCAGGGAAAACCTCCATTTAGCGAGATACAGTCGCCGGTAGCAGCAATGTTTTTAGTGGGAAGAAATAAAAGCCATCCTATGATTCCTGAAGAACTGGGTACTGAATGCCGAGAATTTATTCTGTCTACATTCTGTTCCAATCCGGCGGACCGGTTGACGGCAGCATGTTTATTAAAGCACCCTTTTTTGCGGGAGGCCAACAAGAAACGGCAACGCAACAACTCGGTGACTTCTCTGAACGGCAGTATGTCGAGAAGCCATTCGGTACCGCCCGCGGATTCTGTTGATGCTAGTACACTAGAAGCTCGCGAATTGGTAAGATACGATAACGAGTGAAATAGTGATTTAGAGTACTAGTACCTAATTTGAAAAGGCAAATATTTATATATTGTACATGGTATAGTACTTCTAGCTGTCTATCCGTAAATCGCCTTCTTACAATGCGAGTTCATTCGTCCGTGTTGATAATCTTACATATTAAGCGGCAGGAGTCGTAACGCGACCGCCTCCAAATCCCTCTCATTGGTCAAAACCAAAATATATACTAAACGAAGTGAACCTACTGAACAAACTCACAACTGTAGTGAACCTGCTGAACACACTTACTAAACACAATGACAGCTGAACCCACCAAAACCTTAGTGAACCAGATGAACCCAACCGAAAAGTTGGCGAACCGACTGAACCCAACCAAAGCCTTACTGAATCAGCCGAACCCAACCTAATCCTCAGTGAACCGACTGAACCCAACCGAAAAGTTAGCGAACCGACTGAACCCAACCAAAACCGTACTGAACCAGCCGAACCCAACCTAAAACTTAGTGACCTGACTGAACCCAACCTAAAACTTAGTGAACTGACTGAACCCGACCAAAACCTGATTGAACCAACTGAACCCAACGGAAAAAATAGCGAACCGACTGAACCCAACCAAAACCCTACTGAACCAGCCGAACCCAACCAAAAACTTAGTGAACTGACTGAACCCGACGAACCTGATTGAACCAACTGAACCCAACGGAAAAGATAGCGAACCAACTGAACCAACCAGAGCCTTAGTGAACCCGCTGAACCCAAACTAATACTTCGTTAACTGACTGAACCCGACCAAAACCTGATTGAACCAACTGAACCCAACGGAAAAGATAGCGAACCAACTGAACCCAACCAGAACCTTAGTAAACCCGCTGAACCCAAACTAATGCTTCGTGAACCGACTGAACCCAACCGAAAAGTTAGTGAACCCACTGAACCAAACTAAAACCTTTCTGAACCAGCCGAACCCAACCGTGAGCCGACTGAACCCAATCAAACCTTACTGAACCGAAGGGAACTGACGGAACCCAACAAGAAAGTTACTGAACCCAACCTAATCCTAACTGAACCGACTGAACCCAATCGAAAAGTTAGTGAACCGATTAAACCATACCTTACTAAACCGACCTACGAATAAACATCTGAACTTATTTAATTAATTACTCAACAAAGTGAACCTGCTGAAAATAATAGTAACAAAATAAACCTGCTAAATTCACTAACTAAGCGAATTAAACCTACTATACGGACTTACTAAACTTACTACAGAACGTAACCTACTGAACATCTTACCGAATTAAACTAAATTACTTCATTAATTTCCCACTTAATAAATCGAATTCACTAAATAAATTAAATAAAATAAATTAAAATGAAATATCTTAATTAAATAAATAATTGATAAATAATTTATTAAAGTAGTTAATTTTTTACTAACTAAATTCAAGTAAGTAACTAGATAAATTGCAATCATTAAAACAATTAAAATTAAATAAATAAAATAAATAAGTTGAATAAATAAAACAGCTAACCTAAACAAATTAAAATAAAATTAATAAAATATTTCGAATAAAATAAACTATAATTAGCTGAACCAACGAGATACTATAAAGTACGTAATTTACAACATCGTTAACCCATTGAACTAATTGAATAGACAAAGTAAATCTCCTCAACATACTTACTAAGCGAATTAAAATTACTAATCCAACTCATTAATGTAACTAAACCCACTGAACTAAACAAAATAAACTTACCAAACAGCTTGCCAAAGAAAAATGCTGTAACGGATATAACTTACTAAACACAGTGCACTTATTGAAACAACTGAACAAACATAGTGGACCTGCTCAATAAACTTACTAAGCGAATTAAGGGTGGGTCTAAGGTAGCACACGGGTGGGTCTCAGAAAGTAACCCCAAGAAAGTAAACGGCGTAATGTAATCACGCAAGAGTAAGCGGCGTAACGTGAGCACACGAGAGTAAGCGGCGCAAAGTAACCACAGGAAAGTGAACGGCGTAACGTAACCACAAGAGAGTTAGCAGCGCAAAATAACCACAAGAGAGCGAGCGGCACAAATTAACCACAAGAGAGTAAGCGGCGAAGAGTAACCACAATAAATTGAGCAGCGCAAAGTAACCACACTAGACTGAGCGGCGTAACGTAACCACAAGAGAGTCAACGGCGCAAAGTAACCACAAGAAATCGGGCGACGTAACGTAACCACAAGAAAGTCAACGGCGCAAAATAACTACAAGAAATTGAGCGGCGTAACGTGAGCACGGGAAAGTGAGCGACGTATAATAATCACAAGAGAGTGAGCCGCGTGACGTGAACACGGGAAAGTAAGCTACGTAACGTAACCTACGAGTGAGCGGCGTAACGCAACCACAAGCGAGGGAGAGGCGTAAGTTGACCACAAGAGAGTGAGCGGCGTAACGTAACCACAAGAAAGTCGACGCCGCAAAGTAACCACAAGAATTTGAGCGGCGTAATGTGTGCACGGAAAGGGGAGCGACGTAACGTAACCACAAGAAAGTGAGCTGCGCAAAGTAAACACAAGAAGTTGGGCGGCATAACGTAACCACAAGAGAGTGAGTGGCGTAACGTGATTGCAAGAAAGTGATCGGCGTAACGTAACCACAAGAGACTGAACGGCGTAACGTAACCGCAAGAGAGTGAGCGGCGTAACGTAACAACGAGAGAGTGAACTGCGCAATGTAACCACAAGACAGTGACTAGCAAAACGTAACCACAAGAGAGTGAACAGCGCAACGTATCCACAAGGGAGTAAGCGCCGCAATGTATCCACAAGAGAGTAAGCGGCGCAGTGTAACCACAAGAGAGTGAACGGCGTAACGTAGCCACAAGAGAGTAGGCGGCAATGTAACCGCACTAAAGTGAGCGGGGTAACGTAACCACAAGAGGGTGAGCGGCGTAACGTAACCACAAAAGAGCAAGCGGCGTAACGTAACCACAAAGAGTGAACGGCGCAACGTAATCGCAAGATGTTGATCGGCGTAACGTAACCACAAAAGAGTAAGCGGTGTAACATAACCCCAAGAAAGTAAGCGGCGCAACGTAACCACAAGAGTGTAAGCATACGCGATTAATTAGCGTAAGGTGCCTTAAGCACACACGAGAGTAGTGGCATAAGGTCACCACAAAAGAGCAAGCGACGAAACGTAAACCAAGAGATTGAGCGGCGTAACTTAACCACAAAACAGTGAGCGCCGTAACGTAACCGCAAAAGAGCAAGCGGCGTAACGTAACCACAAAGAGTGAACGGCGCAACGTAATCGCAAGATGTTGATCGGCGTAACGTAACCACAAAAGAGTAAGCGGTGTAACATAACCCCAAGAAAGTAAGCGGCGCAACGTAACCACAAGAGTGTAAGCATACGCGATTAATTAGCGTAAGGTGCCTTAAGCACACGAGAGTAGTGGCATAAGGTCACCACAAAAGAGCAAGCGATGAAACGTAAACCAAGAGATTGAGCGGCGTAACTTAACCAAAAGAGACTAAGGGCCGTAACAAAATCACGTTAAAGTAAACGATGTAATTTAACCACACGATAGTTAACAGCGCAACGTAACCTTCGGTGGATACCGCGGCGCGTAGCGCGCCGCGGTCGTTGCTAGTACTGTATAGTGTATACTATGATGTACATGATATTCTAGAATAAGAATCGAAGGATGTTTGTTCGTTGTGTCACTTGTATGTAAAATTGTTTGTCATAAAAATTAATTATCTGCGAATAATGTTATATCTCAAAACAATTTATAGCAAAAACGAATTTAGCTAGAAGCAAACGTTTGTGCCTTGGTGCGCAAATTGAATTTTGATGCAAAAGCAGACAGTCAGAATTATTAATTTTTTGACTTCAATTTAGTTCTCTAAAAAATTAATCGTCTTGTCTGTGGTTGGTCACACGCATTTGTTTCAGGTGGAAAAGGGTGTCGGAACTTCTAATCCTTCATCTGCAGCCGTTCCCACCAGCCCTCAACCCGAGCAGGAAATATCCGGCTCGTACTGGAAACGTAAGCACAACGAAACCCAGATCGCTTTGCTAGCTCTCTTGGAGACGGAGCGTCCCGTGTTGATTGACCGCATGATGGAGTCTTTCGAAAACAACAATAAGGATGGCGGAGCGTTGATCGATTGTGCATCCATAGAAACTATGATTCGTTTGGTGGAGAAGTGCATTCAGAGTGAAGAGGGTGGTCGTGTTGGAGCTAAGATTGTGATTGAAGATTTTAAGGGATCCATCGCACCTACTGAACATAATCGCTTATTGAAACAGCTGCAGTTGTTTTTGTTCCTATTGAAGCGCGAAGTGCAGGATGTGCTACGGAATCGCAGTATTAAGCCGCATTGGATGTTTGCGTTTGATGATATGATCTCACGTAGCGTACAGATTATTCTGCAGCAAATGGGGATGAGTTTTGATGACACTGACTCGGAGCCGGAAAAGCGGGAATACACGTCACAAACATCGACTTCGCCCGGGAGTTACGGACAGGCACCGTATGAACAAGCGCTGGCCCGGTTCATCAAGATGCAGTGCGGGACAGCGGAAATTTTTGAATTGTTAATCAAAGCGGAGGAAAGGTATCAGGCGGTGTTACGACAAATGCTGGAGGAGAAAAATCGTGCAATAGCGTTAGCGGAATCGCAGCGTTTTGGCAGCACGGGATCCACAGGCTCGCAGTGAAGGCATGACGAATATTTGAGTGTGTTCTAGTTTTTGTTACGAATAGTTTGATTTGTTACTGCGACAGCTGTGATTTATTGTACGCAAGGAACGCTGGACCGTCTAGTAATAACTGGAATTATGATATTGGTTGTCAGGACTGACCTTCCTATAATTATGTTGCGGTGTATAATATTACCGTTGCGTACTTGGAGTAGCCAGAAACCGAACGGACTACAACAACGATGGTGTTAATTTTTAATTCAGGGTACGTCTACATGCTGCGCGGGCAGAACAAACGGTAGGACCAAGAATAGAAAACTTTCATGTTAACAAGCACATTTATCAGCCGCCGGCGTGCTGTGTGCACTGCTTCTTTCCATCCTGGAGCTTGGCCAGATTTGCTACCGTATTTGTTAGACTGCGCACCGCATTTTCCAACGTATGGACCCGCCCCATCAGATCTCGATTCTAACAACAAAAATGTTAGAAATAATTATGACAAGTTTGTTCAGCACGAGTCAGATTTCTCCATTGCTTAGCGCTCACCGAATTCTCCACCGTACGAACGCGGCGCTTCAGTTCGGTATTCTACGATTAACAAAGTTAATGAGGTAAAAGTACGCAAATTCACATTGAAATCGGTTCATTCAGATTATTAAAATTCCGATTTACACGAACTTACTGAAACTGAAAACAGCAACCGACTTAAATTTTCATTCTGTTTTTTGTAAACCACACAATTTAAGATTATACGATGAAAACATTAAGGAATTCCAAAAAATACACTGAAATTACCATGTTTCGATTACCTCTGCTCGCAACTCTTCATTTTCTTTCTTCAAATCATCCAGAGCATGTGAGACGCCGTAAAAGCCGCGGATGATCCCTTGAGCCACGGGCGACCATTCTGGGGCACCCGCTTGCATGGATACCTGCAATTCCCAGGGGCCAAGATCGATGCTCGCGTTGTTTTATCAGTTATTAATGTTCGTGAAACTGAAGTTTACGACTGATAGAATATAGTAGTACTGTAGTAGTACTTACCATGGGAACTGCTGTTGTTTGTGGGCGAACCAGCTGCACTCTCTGCCCGCCATAAAAACCAGCCGCCAAGATGTTCGCGTGCTCGTTCAGGTTTAAGGGACCGTCGGGAACATGCTGCAGAGATGGATGGAGATATCGCACGATCCCGGAACAATGTAAGCGCAAGCGTTCTCCGGCTCCCACACCGCCTTCGTTTGTGGCGCTTCTACCGTCACCTCTGTTTCCAAACGCGCTTTGAATGGCGGCCATGCTTAGTTGTAATCTCGTAGTTTTACCTACAGGATCAATTTAAAATAACACAATTTCAGTACGTCAACGAGCTTAATAAGCAAACTCTACTAAGACGAAAGAGAATCCAGTTCAGGAAACTTGAAAAGGTATGTAGCACAGAAAATGTAACGGCGGAGTTTCCGAAGACGTTACGAATTCGACAAGGCACACAACCGAACCGTCATAGAAATGACCCGAAACGCAACAAATGTCTGTTTTGGCCATTCGCCATGACGTCATGTTGATCGTGGAGTGATGCAACTTATCATGGGCGTTTCACCGGAACGCTTTTCAAGGCAGGACGCCATGACCTCAGCCCTTTTCACTCCACGAGGGGTGGCGGCCGGCCACGGGCGGGTGACCACGAACGGGACCGAACGGGATCAATTACTGTTGTATAGTACTAACTAATTATCGCCGTCAGTGCGTGGTTACGTGAACAACCACTTCTATGGCTCGTGTCTCAGTGTGGCGTAGAATTGCTCCATGTGGTTGGTGTCTGGTGTGCGCTTTTTATGCTGTTGTGAGCCGCCTTATAATATATTCCCTTTTTGTCGGGTGTTGAAGTTTCATTCTCGTAAACTTGTAAAAACATATTTTGCCTTTTTAAACAGCAGTCCACCTTCCTTCTTCAGTTCTGTTTTAGTTTGTAGCTATTTGGAAAATGGCGAAGAGTATGCGAAGCAAGGTGAAACGCAAGAACCGTGCAGTGAAGCGAGAGAAGTATGCCCAGCGTGAACTAGAACGCCTGAAGAAAACCACAGCCCGAATACAGCTTCCGTCTCACCTCACTCCTGACCAGGAGATCAAGAAAGAGATGTTGGATCCAGCAGACGTGTTCCCAGGTTCGTTATCAAGCATTGAGTTTTCATTCCTTGTTAAATACTTGCTGTTTGCACTCTGCGTCATGGCGGACCTGAAGTTGATTGACGGGTTCTTCGCGTTGAAATATGAGCAGACTAGAACCTTGGTTGCTTTTTTGGTCTTTGCATTTCTCAAATGTATGAGCTGTCATGTTTTTACTGAATAGGACTTCCGTCGGTCGATGATGACAGTATAATGGAAGTGGAATGCGTACGACCCAGGAATAAGGCCAAATTCAAGCTGAATCCTAAATCTTTGAAGAACGAGCACGGCAACTATCCCGGTTGGATGAGCCAGCGCCGTATTCAGCAGTTGAGGAATTGTGGCAAGCGGAAAGGGAAGAGCAAAGGTTTTGGCAGGAAGAAGATTGTGAAACGCTTAAGTAAATGAATGTGATGTGCAGATAACTTCGCAGTAATATGTTGTTTGTAACGGTTTGAGTGCTTTGGAAGTTTCCATGGGTTGTTTCGGTTTCCTTTGTATGAGTTAGAATTTGGAATATCAGAGAATTTAGTAAAAGCAGTATGTTGTTAGCACAGTTTCATCGTTGTTGATTTTCGTAATTATCATTCTTCATTTTTTTCCCCTACAGTCTACATCTGTCTTCGCTTTGGAATTCCTGCTTCCCATAAACTACTCCTTAGTGAGCAGTGCTTCTGGAACACTGTTCCACATTGTTAATATTGTAACTTTATAGCTTATAGCCTGATTTAGTCTGATATAAATACTGATGTAGTTTATGTATCTGTACTGCATAGTGCATACGTCCGAATTTATTGACGCTTATTTCGAACGTGGATTTCTAATTTGTACGGCTCACGCCACTTCGTACTTACTTCTTACCTACCTGTAAAATTACAGTACAGTGCTATAGCCAATAAGGAAATTTTCTATGCAACTTGCTGGTGCGCTCTTCTCTAATGAAATTCATTTCGGTGTTGCCCCAGAAGGTATAATACATTTACATACAGTGTTCATGCGAACGGATTCGCAGAGGAATGGCTGACAGCCGACAGGCACTGAAAAAGAATGTTATATTAATTTTAATAGTCAGTACCTCAGTGCACACACCCAGACGAAATCGCCGAATTGGACGAGAAAAAAATTAAGTACTTACCAAATTACTGATTTTTTAATTATAACGAAAGCCATGACAAGAGTGACTACAGCCAGGCGAACTGGTCAGTGTCAGTCTTAATTAATTGACAAAACAAATGTATTTTTGGTTGGAAAGTGTGGAAACTGATTTTTCCTTTTTTGGCGGCCGTGTGAGGTTATTAACAAGAAAAAAGTAAAACGGGCGCATTGTAATACACATAACAGGGTGCTAATTTAATTAATAAGAAGTTGCATATTGATCGGAGGAAGGAGCTTACTCGTATTTTTCAATACTGGGGTGGAAACACTGGAAAGGGGTAAGTACTGCCTACCGCGACAGGTTACACTGCTACAGTGTGATTTGTTTAACAAACTTTCGACTGCGTCCGCGCACTCGCCGGTCGCTGTCTTAACTGATGGTTCCCATGCAAGTCAAAATTCCTTAAACATCCCCACATTGATTATTTGCCCAACTTAATTCCGGTGATTTCTTTGTAGATTTGCAAGTAATTGTGCTGATAACAGTCAAGTGTATGTGGCTGCATATACAACGAATTTCATTGCCTTTTGACCCATACCAGGTTAAAGGTCAACAACAAAATCTACGTGATAATCTACATATTAGTATGCGTAGCCTAGTTTGCAAAAGCGCGAAGTGATGATCTTTGACCAGGTGGTTTTACGGGCGATAAGCGCCAGATAGTAACTGCACTTTTTAAAATATGACAACTCCATATTAATGACCGCACGGACCGCGGTATATCACGATAGATTCGTTAACTGTGCCTGCATGTGCCGTTTCCGTTCTAGCCGTATACAGCGCAAAATTACTTTGTATAAGTAACACAGCCATAAAGTATTGCTTATTGTAATATTCTGAAGGTAAAAACCTTCGTATACAGCAATGGCACGCCATTATTTAAACAAACTTCTGTATTAGCAGCCAGAAAACAGCAAAGCAGATGCATATTAATACGGAAACCAGAATTTAACAGCGGAAATGCATAAGTGGCTCGCTTGCCAAGAATTTACCTAAATCTACGTTAATAGTCACACATACACTGTGATAACGCTGAATAGCATAAATAACATTATGGCAAAATAATGCCAAAATTTCTGCCGGCAGCAAAGCCGCTATTATGCGAAACATTTACAGCCACTTTTAGCGAAAATTTTCCGAAACCATCCACACTAGTGCCTGTACCTACGTTTTATCGTTCATCACCTGAACCGAAGATTTGTTTTTGCCGGTTGTGTATACACAGTTACACAGCATGCCGGTGTCAGAGCGTATTTAATATTTATACGCACTGCGCTGTACAATATAAAGTGTAAAAGTAGTAACTACTGTGCCGCACGAAGAATCCAGCAAAGAGCTGCACTGGTACGGAAAATTTTGTGCAAATCAGCTCGGAACGATTAAGATATCATATCTCCGATTGGTGGATAAGAATTTGATTGGATTGACACAGAACTTTCATTGCCGGCATCATTTTACATTCGTTTGCATGAACATGTACCCTGAATTTAAAAGCTGCGTATGCATAGCGTGTACGATATAACTGTTCTACGTATATGTAGATTTCATGCTCAGTTTTCCTTGTAAGAAGTAATCCATTGCACGACCATTATTTTTTATGTGTACCGAGTTTTCGGTATTTCTGTAAAGGGTCGAAGTTCGTAGGCATTTCTGGCAGAACACGCGATTTTAAAAAAGTCTGTTACTATGAGGTTCATTGAATGGAACTGTCCAGATTAACCCCTGCGGTAGCAAATTAAATTGCTGGAGATTAATTATTTGGCTAGTTATCGAGTTACATGATCACGATAAGCTGAGCTTGTTTTTTCTTCATACATTTTATTACTCCTGATTTTCATACGGCATACGCACCGCCAGCCGAGCGATCGGTCGTGTTTTACAACGGGGTGGTCCTTCGGTAGATATACCGACACTTCGACTGCACTACACACGCTGCCGAAAATACCACAAATTTGGAACATGCTGCGGTCTCCGGAAATGACGGATGAGAATTTTTTGCGACCGGCGACAAATTCGGGCTTAATGCTGGGTATGCTGCAAAGTGCAAACTAAACAGTTTACACATACTGTACAACCGAAAATGCTTTGATTAGCGCAGAAATTTCAACAAATTTATTAAGCAAATTAATTAACAGTTCAAGATGTCCAAGTTTTGAGTGCTTTCAAATACAGGGGGATCATACCGATACCGGTGCAATTTGTAGGGCCGGTATAGTACTGTACTTAGTACTTGCAGTCTTGTAGCATAAAATTTTTCTGTGTGGGCAAATTTAGTCCTTTTAATTTTTACTTTTACCTAGTGGCTAGTACGCACTTCTAGCTTGCAAATAAGTTGAAACAACTGTTTCTGCTAACAACCTAAATTAGAGACAGGTGTGAGAAATCTTAAAAATTGTCCTCTGTTCCCCGTTTTAAAGCATCATGTCACAGGGATATGATTTAAAATCTGAACTGAGTACAGATAAGCTGATAAGGATTATCATGCGCTGCGAAAAAGAAGATCATTTACTTTTTTCGTATAAGTTTCGATTAGTTGTTCCTGACAAAACTTGTGACGTTTCGTAGAAAGTAAATTATTTTTCAGATAAGTACATGAATCCGTGGACCGTGGAGGCAAATATACGTTTATACATGTGATTCACGTACAAGTTAGAATCTTAAAATTAGAAAGCAGTGTAGTCAGGATACGCATTTTCGTAAGGCAAAACAGCAAAATGTTTCTTTTTTTTTCTACATTTACGACCTTTTCACCATTGCCAGTTTATATTTATATAATCGCAAAACTGTAAAACGAATCTTCGAAACATTTGCATTCAGATATAATGCTGAAGGGCGTGCCTTATTCGGGCGCGATATTCCCATGGTGAATTTCGTGAGAATGTATGCCGTTGCAGTTGGCGGTACACTAGGATCACAGATTCGCATTAAATGTGTGTTTTCCAGTCGCAGCACCATCAGCGCTATACGACGTTTAAATTTTTAAAAATCAGTGGTTCTTTCATCATTTGCACATAACATTAAGTGTAAGATAGCACCGTCACTTGTTTAACAGCCTTTGGGGAGGATGTAATCAGAACAAGTTGAACAACTAAACACTTCTTTCAACAATTTCAAAACATATTTCGTAAAACATGAAATAATCACCGCTCATTATGTGCTAACCCATCACTAATCCAGTTTTAAACCGATTTTGCCTTTTTTGGACATAAATACGATGTTACATGTTTAAGATTTGTTTTTTTTGTAATTTATAACTGTGCAAATGAAACTTTTGTTGTTTGTGCTAACACGCACAGGTACCGGTCGCACAACTAAGATCTGCATTTATTTTAATACAAGTATTTGCAGATTTTCAAGGCGCTATAAATTTGGTACACACTAAAGCTAGCTCTTAACCGCTGGTATTCAAAGCGTCGACAGGATGAAAAGAAATTATATGCGCATAGCCGGGATCTCACGTAATAAGAAACCTGTCAGTCGAGTTTGTAACTTTCGACTTCAACATGCAAATGATCTTGTTTGTCGAAAGCGAGAAAATGTGCGGAGGCGTGCATTTACAGATTTTATGCGGAATATTATTTCAGTCCGGCTTTGCTGGAAAACTGGTCGGCGCTTGATATTTTGCATATCGGCGGTTATGAATATGAATTTTCTCCATCTAAACTAGCACAGCTAATCTCCGGCGCATTTCCTACATAATAATAAACGTGGATGAGATTGGCCGGTTTGAGTGTCGCCCAGGCAGTGCGCTCGCGGTGCAGTGTGCGCTACATCACATCTATACATATTTGAGAAGCATTTTGTTAATAATCACCACCGCAATTCTCAAGGAGTTGGGGTCGTCAACAACGCCAACAACGGCGAATATTCATGTGCTGTATACACTTATTATGCAAGAGAAATATGTAAAAGCTTGCTTGAAATTCGCAGAAAAAAGGTAAACAGCCTTCCAGTTGTGAAGTGTTACCTGCCAGGCTGCCATATCATGCACGCGCTCATATACATATCATAAGGAACCATATGAATAATGGAATATTCTCCACCTACTCAAGCGATTATTAATGTCATATCCATAGTTTAGTATGCGTGATGCTGTGCATGCTTTTTCCTTTGATTTTTAAATCCAGATACGATGTTATGTGACATTTTGTGTAGCGCATCCGGTATACACAAACTGGCAGCGTGTGGTTGCCGGTAACCGTTTGGATGTCCCCATCACAAAATTTAATGTGGGAGCCACTAAAAATTGAGATAGGGTGTTACTTCAGTATATTATTTTACCGTAAGCAAACTACCTATTTAACACAGTGAACCGGCCCATACTTAAATTTTATCCCGGAAATTGTCCAGGTTCCTGATGCAGTTTTTCTATCTTCATTATTCCAGTTTAATAGACTCGAATTCAAGTGGAGTGAAGTGTAGACATAATTGCTCGTTTGCGTATGCAATCCGTATCACGCTGTCTAGCACCTGCTGCAAGATAGCACCTGAACCGTCAATTTCGAGACTTATAAAATTAATGAATTTGTTAACGAGATGATATGACAAGCAACGCTAATAATTATTATGCTATGCATGGGTTGCTTATGCGACATGTTCTTTAATAAGACAACTCGTATGAATTCACAACGTTTTCTGGTTTCCGTAACAAGCGACAATTTTATTATTGCAATACTTGGGATAACAATGGTAGTTTTGATGAAAATTTCGATACAGTGATATATCCGCATGTGTTGACTGTGGTCGACTACATTTTTTGGAGAGACAGTTTCCGAAATATGCTATAAGCAGATTAAATGGATACGTGCCGACGAAACATGTTCCGAATATTCTAAGTTTATCTATAAGAAGTATTAAGAACGTTGTACAGACGAGTACGTTTGTGGTATAAGACTGCTCGTAGGTGTACGGCAACATTTTGCTACCGGGCTGTCAATATCACGGCTTATTATAGGGTGTTTTATTGTTACCATACAGCTCCGATGGAAGACTCAAGAAGCTTTTGCCGATTTAGCGGACAAACGCGCTGTTTGGCACCACCTTTTACGCATAATCTCGGTTTCATAAAAACTTCGATGCAGAAAAGAAAACGTCATTGTTGCAAGACGGCGCATATTTAAAGCAGTTTTATGTATAGATTGTACGCGTACGCATATATGAGTGGCGGTAATAACAAATGTATAATAAATCGGTATTCTTACATCTGACAACCTCGCCGTTGATTTCTTAACTGATACAATAACTGCACGTACAGTCGCATGGATTGTCAAGCCGCTGCCTTGTAATTCATATCTGCGACAGAGTTATGAAATAATTTTAAAGCCTTCTTCAGCGTGATCTGTATATTTATGGATCTGGATTAAAAAGTATTCCACAATATGCTGGAGAAAATCGCAGATTCCACCTAAAACAGTTTATTGCATTGGTAAATATTTTGAGCTAACGGTAAGTACTCATTCAGCATATTATTGGTGAATGTTTTGAAATCTGTTAATTGACTTAATTCTGAGTATTGAAAGTTTTGTATTATGAGCGTTCAAGACCGTTTAATTATTGTCTCCCAGTGTTTTCTTTTCTAAATAATTGATTTTGTCCTGCAACTGTCTCAGTCTTTCCGCAACAATTGTATCAAACTGCGTATAAAGTAAGAGGTTAACGAATTACAAGTGCGAATCGGAAGTTTTTTCGCTTTATGACTTCAGCCACCACATAAGTGCTCCACGTGTGTGTGAAAAGTGCCGGGTCAAGTTGTAATATTATGGCGATATGTATACGTGTATGATGTATCTGCCGCATATTGCTACGATTGCTATATAAACGAACCGACCCACTAATTCGCTTGTTACAATTATTTTTGGTATGTTTGTGTTTACGAACGTCAGTGGTGTACAAAATTAAAGCCAGAAAGTATCTTTTAAACGATAAAATACGCTAAAAGACAATAACAACCTAAAATCCGAGAATCTTTGGTTTTTTATGCTTCCTGTTGCAGAATCTTGATTTCAGATATATTGCTAATGATACATTTTGCTCATAAAATAACAAGCTGCAGTTGTCAAGCTACGCACTTAATTTAGAATTTTACGCCTACGTCGTACAGTAAGATAACATCAAACTTTTGTAAAACGAAAGGACGCATGATTAATTTTCCTAAATTCTAGCGTACAAGTCAAAAGTGCGCATATATTAATTATATCCACAGTAGATACTTTAGGTTAATCGTTGCCCTGAAGGACGACCGTCGATATTTTTGCGCACCATCTGACTCTTTAATGAAAGTTTCGCTACTTGTTGGGAGAAAATTTGAACTACAAAACCAAGAAAACTTGTGCTCGTGATCGTGAAGGTACAAATATTGTACCTAAATGTGCCGCAATATCAGTGAACTGTACTTTTGCCGGTAGATGAGATATACCGCGCATAATCAAGTGCAGTGAGTTCGAGATAGAATTGGATGCACCGCTGGTCCATTACGGTACTGGTCCGACAGACAGCTTGTACGGTACTTATACAAAATCGGAATGATAGTTATAATAAATATATGAAAATGCGATGAATAACAACCGGCATGATCGAAAATTTGCCTGCCAGGCTTTGATTTTCCAACTAGCGAGCGGAAGATCTAGAAGTAAAATTGTTGAATAATGATGGCGTACATCTAAGGACAGGTTGCAAGTTTGGCGGTCAAAATAGCTGCGGCATCAACATGATTCTTTGGCCGATGCACCTGTCTTCGCGTGAAATTTTGAAAAACTCTACCCAATTTGCATCGAATGCTTGGTTCTACAGGTTTATCTTGATACGGCTTTATGTTTTCGTCTTTATCTTACTGACTCTCTGTTAAAAACACTTAAATTTGTGCTTGGTTATTATCGTAGTCATTTTACATAAAAGCACCTGCAAGTGTGAATACAGAACATGCTCCACGTTATAGAAAGGTAAGGCATATTCACAAATTTTTTACACTAGTTAACATGCGTTTCCTTTGAATCTTTGATTACAAAAGTTAAACTGATTAGCAGCTAATGCACAACTGCATACTGTAAACGTTTTTTGCTGTTTGCACAGTACTCCCAAAATAAACGATCTAGTAAATATACAAGTACCGCATCGAATTGTTTACGGACAGCCGGCACAACCATTGTTACAGTTAAAGGTAAACGTTTGTGGTTTTGTTCTTGTACAGCCTTCTGGTTAAATACTTGTACTTGGTTAAATATTGGTTAAATACTGGATACTTGTAGTGTATTCTGGTTAAGTTTTGTAAACTGCAAAGCTTTTTTCAAACTTGTGCTTTACTTGGAATCGGTGGTTATGTAAGAGTTCGCAATTCCGTAATCAGTTTAGGTTATACATATGTATACATTTTTCCTCTGTATGAGACCGAAGGTTTGCGGCGTATGCCTTAATGAATTAGTTTTTACAAGATTTTCTAAATATATGAACGAAAAATTGGTTGATATCTGGATGGCGATGACATACACTTGTTTGCCCACTTGGTTTATGGAATTAAGCGGGTAAACGATACACCGCCGTCATTAGCGGATATGATTTCGAATCAAAATGCCCCCAACGTTCAATCAAACAGCCACTTCATTTTCTAAAAACAAGATGAGTAATCGCCGTAAACCTTATATGCAAAAATTAAACAGCATTAAAAGCTGCATATATGACGAAAGTTCCAAGAAGAAATTATTGGCCATATTGTGAATCGCTATATGCATAGATCCCTGGGGCCATTATGCATAAAATCTTTAGTCAGTTAAGGAAAATCTGAATACTTAGTTCAAAGTGTACTAAGCATGCAATTTTTTATGATTAACCCTACTGTGATGCATACCGGCATTAATCGCGATCCGTTTGATGTTTATGCATTAGCTGGGGATTCCCAGACGGCCAAATGATCCTTACTTGTTGTACTGCTGCAAAATAACCATTATAAATTGTGCTTCCAAAACTTACCCGAGATATACACATCTTGGTTTCGCGTACAGGTATATCATTTATTATTTCCATCAGAACGTGCTCCATCTCACACTTCTGACACTATAAGGATCCGTTTTCTTATACACCGGTACGATTGATAGAATTAAATTTAATATACGGTAATTGTATAGAGAGCATTTGCTAACCAGGACATAGCTAATTGGTTAAAGATTACGGCAGTTCGTTTAGTGAACACGCTTATGGAAATACCCCAGATACCGTAACCGTCGATATTCATAATATTAAACTTGCAGTAATTATGCTTATAGTTTTTTGCAACCTGTTGCTTTTGCACTTTTAGGTTTTTAGAACTCACAGTTTGCAATGTAAGTTTTTTTGTAGCATGGTGATTTCCTGTTTAACAACGTGTGTTTTAAAAACGCGTTTAACTGTTAATATCTATATAATAAACCTGTTCCTAAACATTATCAGATGTATTTATTATTATAATAGACGTACCGAAATTATTTTGAAAATATTACGTAAGATAAACATGTTCGGCCTAGAAAATGTATTTACTACTATGATAAAACATGGTACGTTTTGGTGTAAATCTTTGTATGTTCAGCTGGGTACCAGACTACCCGGTATGCATATGCCTGCGGAACGACAGCATTACCGATATGAAATGCATTACGGGCCAATGACCAATGATGCAAAACGTAAACCATGCAGCTAGGTAACCTTATTGAAACGTAACGAAGCTTTGCGACTTGTTCATTCGGTGGCTTCTTCGTCTGCCTTACGAGCTGCCGAGATTCCTAAATTTTATGGAATATGTATGCATGTTATTGTAGATCAAGTTCTGAATGACCTGTGGGCATTTAGATGATTGCTGTTTATGACAAGCATATTAGTGATCATGATGGAAATTCATAGGGAATGCGAAATGGGCACTATTTTTCATGTTTTTCACAGAAAGATCAGGTGTATTATGAGTATCCAACGATTTGCGCTGCGAACTCGTCAGTATGTTGTTACTATTTGTAGTGAATCCAAACATACATATTCTGAATCATATGTGTACCTTATATTACCCCACGTTGTCACCATTGCGCATTTGACTCTACCTTTACTAAAAGAATTTGTACAAACAACGATTAACCATATCCAGCATTAAACTCGTCGTACCCCTTTTTGAGTTTCTTGTGAAAAATGGAGAAACTGTTAATCCACTGACTAAAAACATCTAGAAAAAAAACTAAAGGTCACCGCTAGAACCGGCAGAGGTTGGTAATGTTTCTACTTTTTACTCAACTTCGTTATTGGAATTTGGTTTAGTAAAAACATATGAGGAGGCGCTGAACCAAATATTATTTTATCAATCTCGTAGGAGAGTAAATCAAATAATTATAACAAATCCGGTTGTAATGTTATCACTGTGCGAGTAGTGCGAGTAGGAGAACAAAATGTTGTTTTTTTCTCTTTGCAGAATTTTATATTCTGATAGTGTTAAAGTTATAATTATGATTATGGTAACAGTCGTACATGTAGATTCTTAAGACGAAGCAGTGATGCGTTCAGTGGAAACAAACACATTTACGGCACTGCAACATCGTCACTGCGCTTAAAGCCGCGTGCATGGAGAAAGTCAGGATTTTGGCAGGTGGTTTGTAATAATTTCCTTCAAAAGATATTAATCACAGACAATTTTGCATTTTATGATGGTAGTTTTGCGGTGTCTTCTTTTAATCTTGAAGCAAAACATTCCATTTGGCACACATGCTTCGCTTGTCATAGTGGAAAACGGATACGGTAGAGATCCTGTAAATCCATTTATGATAATTAATGGTACAATATGCAGCTGTATGCGCTACTCTAGGCTGCACTGTATTACAGCAGCAACAAATATGCTGCTCGTAGCTGTGTGACCAATGTACGCCAATACGTAATCTCTGAAGTACTCATCGGTTGGAAATTTTGATATGGATCATTTTCCAAATTAATTCGCAAATCAAAACTTTGAGCCGGCACCTACTACGACTTACGAGTAGTCTTTCGGCAAAAGTATGGATCACTCTTTTCAAGGAGATCGATCGAGAGCTCAGTACAAGCATTGGCATTGTTAATATTATATCAAATAATTATTATGACTGCACAGTCTGCACTTAAAAATCTGATACGATTAACAGTAAATAATATCATGCTGCTTGGTTTTCCGCAGTGGTGACCGAACCGCCGTCGTTCCCGTCGATATGATTGTCCGGGAAAGTTGATGTTTTGGAAACCTCATTTTTCTTCCTGTTGTTTTGTTATCATCAGTTGGACATAGAAACATAACGGTATTCCACCGGATGTTCTTCGGGGTCGCGCTGCGACTCGAGGGGCCGGAAGTGGAACGTGGGACAGATTTTGAAGGGTGCCATAGACAGGGCGCTGCAGACCAATGTCGACAGTGGCAATTATGGCAGAACGCGAAATGCTCAAGAAGGACTTTCCGGAGGGAGAGTACATGTCCGGCAGCGGCAGTCATCGGCGCTCACCCGCCGTCGACCATGTTCACCGCCGGCACACTGCACCTCCCGTGCGCACGCATCACTACCACCAGCACCACCACAAAGGTCACCACTATCCGACCAGCCATCCCTACGCGATGCGGCACACCCCCCGAGGCAGCGCTCCGACCGGAAGCAGCAGCCGTGACTCACCGTCCTCCCGGTCATCCAGTTCCCCCTCCACGGACACTGCCGCCATGGGCGGCAGCCATCTTCGCAATCATTCACAGACCACTGCTCAATTCCCGCCCCAGACCCCGTCGGCCGTCGCGTCTTCCTCAAGCAAACGACCAAAGCGCTCACCGCCTGCCGGCGAATACAGTCGGCAGGATGCTGAGTCCCCCGCCAATCTCTCCACATCTACCTCCTCATTCCCGTATGATCGCACTAGCAACACCAGTGGCAGTGTAATCCACTCGGCCAACACTCACCGGTCGCCGTCCGCCGAGCCGGCCGTCCGCTCAGGGTCCGATTCCCCACCCGCCGTTGCTCAAGCGCTGCATGCCGGGCTGTCCGCCGCTGGACACCAGCCCACGCCCAGCCTTCCCACTAATCCCGAACTGGCTAACGTCCTCTTGGCCATGTATAAAGCTCAAGAAGCGGCAATACGCAACCAACTCGCTCAGGTACGTAGTACGTTCCTAATCGACATTTACTTATATAATATTGAAAATAACATTTTTATAATAATTCTATATAAATATAGTTTTCCTAATATTACTTTGATTGCTAAAAAAATCAGGGCTTATCAGCTGTTGGCGACTTGGCGGAGGTTGACTTTCTCACACTTTTTCCCTGTGTGTTTTTTACGGTCGTTGTTGTACACCGCAGTGCCAACAACTTCTAATCAGAGCATGCAAATCTATCATTCGCTGATCAGCTGCCGTGGTTCGTTTATCGGTTATGCAATCGGACCCGGGATGGCATACTTCCGGTAATAACAAATCCACCATTAAGAAATCATCCGTAGTACGCAGAAAGTGCAATATTTGCATCTGATTAGGGCACACTTGATTAGAGCAGCTTCAATGGTTATTTACATTCTGCAATGTCACTTAAGGACAGCTAGATTAGCCAGGCAAAAGGCATGATTACTGCGACATACCGTGAATGAGTCGGCAGATTTTATTATTTTAACATCCAGATTTTGCAAAAGCGCAGAATATGGTAAATTCTGTTTTGTTTTTTTGTAAAATTTTTCATACTTCAAATCTCTGATATGCGATAATGTACTAGACTACTAGTACACAAAATAATACGCCCTTCAACGAAGTAAGTACTTACGTAACTGTCAGTTAAATAGGATGCGTGGTGGTAGGTTCACTTGGTGATCATGTGCGTCACAATCAGTTCATGCGTCAGGTGTTAGTTGACGTCATCAAACAACGTCATCAAACCAAAACCAGCGGCCAGTGCGCTGTTTGACGATGTTTGTGAGCTTGCGCACCAGTCCCATCGCTGCGACAAGTACCCGAGCTGTGCAGTCATTAAATACTAAAATTGCGCTGTTTTTTTCGCTTTCTTAAATAAAATATGATGCAGTAATTATTAATTTTATTTTTCGTACTGTATTCCACATCGGTCTTCTAAATATTTCAGATGCCAACCGGCAGTTCATCGGTTACGATGCCCACACCAACCATGGAGCAGCTCTTCATGCTGCAACAAGCGTGGAGCGCCGGCCAGTTCGTCCCTAACCTCAACCCAATGCTGCCGTTCATGATGGCGTCACAGGTTCGTCTCGGTTTTGCCCCTCGGAAATTTCACGCTGTAGTAAAAATTCCCAACGTGCAGGTTATGCCGGGAGCTGCCGCCTTCTCCGCCCTGTCACCCGACACGTTTGCTCATAATGCGGCCAAACGCCGTTCCACCAACGACTCCCCCACCTCTTCGGCCGTCATCTCCCCGTCGCCGTCGCGCGACGCCTCCCTATCGCGCAGTCCCTCTCCGACCGCCCATCTGTCCGCCGGTGGCGGCGCTGACCGTCAGTATTCGCACGGCCGCCATAGCCGAGCGGGGCCAGTGTACCGGTCCAGCAGCGGCGGAATGAACGGATCGGGCGTGGTCACGGTGGCAGAGTCGTTGAATGGGTTGCGCCGGTCGCGCAGTCCGGGCCGCAGCGAGTCGCCCTACAGTCCCCACATCATTCCGCGCAGCCCCGGCCGGCATCGCGTCAATTCGCTGACGCAGCAGCGGCAGGGCGGCATGCCGACGCTGCCGAAAACCGTGCTGCAAGCGCGACAGTTTCAACATTCCACGACGCATTTGTCCGGGGCGGGGAGCCGCGCGCGGGATGCGCAGGACGCACAGGACCAGATGCTGGATTTGGAGGAGCTGGAGCAGTTTGCCAAATCGTTCAAACAACGGCGGATTAAATTAGGTGGGCCCTCTTTAAATTTGGAATTTCTTTACAGTCTCGATTCAGAAAGCCCATTTATGCTTGGATTATGATAACCTAATATAAGCAAAGCTACTTGAATTCATTTATTGGTTACTGTTTTGGTTTTTTTTCGTTTTGCGTAGTTGTATGCCTTTTTTTACTTCGTTATTGTTTTTGCAGTTTGAAAAATCGATTTCATAGTGCTTAATAATCCACAATCGAAAATTGGATTTTGCATTTGCATTGCATTTTTGCTTGTGGATTTTTTTGTAACCTCTGGAGCACGACGTTTATCAGAAACTTTAGGATTTTTTAAGATCTGGTGATTCTTGCACGTTCGAACTGCAAGTACGTTGCAGTTCAATGGTAGATACTGGGCAGATTATATGACATTGTGTCTTCTGTTTTAGATTTCTTATAATACGTATCACGCAAGTTCATGCTTGCATTTGCACCCTTTTTGTTTCTGACAGGATGTTCCGTGTTTTACAGTATGTACGACTTATGACAAATTGGCGCTGTTCTTAGGGTTTACACAAGGTGATGTGGGATTGGCCATGGGAAAACTATACGGCAATGACTTCAGCCAGACTACCATTTCCCGTTTTGAGGCATTGAATTTGAGCTTCAAGAACATGTGCAAACTAAAACCATTGCTGCAGAAATGGCTGGAGGATGCTGAAAACGCCAGCCGGCATGGCGGAACGTTGGTGTACACAAATCCAGCACCGCCCGCTATTGAGAATATTGGACGACGGCGTAAGAAGCGGACCAGTATTGAGACCAATGTGCGGACGAATCTGGAGCGAGCATTCCTGCTGAATCCCAAGCCGACCTCCGAGGAAATTGCTACCATTTCCCATAATTTACAGATGGAGCGGGAGGTGGTGCGGGTGTGGTTCTGTAATCGACGACAGAAAGAAAAGCGCATTAATCCGTCATCGGCAGCGGCCATGAGTTCGCCGTCGCATCCGGATTCACCGGATGATACTGCTCATAATCGGCATTCGGGTAGTCGTTCGCGCTCAGTATCCCCGGTTGCTCAATCAACGGACCAAGAATTTAATCAACCGCTGCAATAATCTAATCCGTATTATTTCGTGTTGATTTGTTGTTTGTTTTTGGATGCGTGGATGTGGAGATTGCCGTTTTTTTGCCGGTGTCAAGAATAGCCGACCGAATGGGGCTTGGATGACCTTTGCCTTCACACGGTGGATATGAAATACATTCAGCACTGCTTCGCAGAAGAACTGAGCCATTTACGTGTGCCTTGTATTAGGAGTTTCCTGTGTGTTGTGTTTTGTCTGTAATTCAGTGTATTGCATGTTTTGTTGTAGTGTTCGTTTCTGTCTTGTTCGTTGTCTTTTGCCTAGAACAATATCGGTATTAAGTGTTGCAGGATGGTAGATGATTATTATGAAAATATAGACGGGATCTGAGTAATGTTCCCGACAGGATTCGGTCTTTACGGTGACGTTTGGTTTGTCTGTTTATATCACGTAATTGTGATGGGTCCGTGGCTTAGAACTAGTATTCAATTAAGTGTGGTGCAGCATAATTTTATGTCTACTGTTGAATGTTTGTCATTCCTGCGGGTACAGGCGGTTTACTTTTTGCGAGATAATTCGTATGTCAAATCTCTATTTTCCGCATTAGTTAATTAAATTTTTAAAAGTCTGGACCCGCTGCTATAATTGACCGAAGAATCAGTTTTACACGAATGACGAAGAAAATTCCAGAACCGTTATCATTATCAGCTACTCTAATTTGCAAATGTACACTGACAAAAGGCCCATGCATAAAACTGCAAAAAATTCGGTAAATTTCTCTTCTCCTGACACAGTTCTACTTATTATAGTTGCAGGTGTAAGGTGTTGCACATAATAAATCCAAGCAAAACCAGAAAACTTTATTCCACGACCCACGTTACAGTGACCACAAATGCGCATTAACAGGCGCAGTTTACGACCATGAGAACTGCAGCAAAAACGCTTTGTGAAGTTGTAAACTGTACAAAATTCGAACGTCATAACCTGAAGTTTTACCAGAAGAACCGCCAGTCATAACTGATAAAAAGAATCAGAAAGGAACCCAAAACTGTTCAAATCGGAATTAAGTCAATTTAATATTGTTAGTGCTTATTCGTAATACTGGGATTCAGCCCTGCCAGACATGGCACAGCACCGACATCAGGCACCGTTAATCATCGAAATCCGCTTCAAAATTTTCTTGCTCTTCAGCCTCTGTCGCCTTTTCTACCAACATTGCTTTAGCTTGCCGTTCTTTCGTTCGTTTAATGCGTTCACTGCGTTCTTTGACTAACGTCTCGAATTCCGTGGTGTCTTGATCCATGAATCGGTACACCATATGCTCCATGAAAAGCTGCTTCCCAGCTTTAGGGATTCTCACCAAAAACTTCTCAAACGAATCACGATGCATCTCCACTCCCGATGACGCCGCTGCCCGGTCGAAAAGAGTTCCCATGGAGTTCTTTATAGTCTCCGGTTCCCACGGCGGCAGTCCGACCAGGTAAAGGTAATCGCTAACTTCGCCCGCTGTCGAAAACATTTCCGCGATGAGGACGAAAGAAAGAGAACGAATCTTCTTCCCCTTCTGGTTCATCACGTAGCAGCGCTGGAGGTAATGTGCCAAGGGGATCAACACTTCAGGACAACCAATGTAACGGATGCCGTCCGTTGAGAGATTGAGGTTCCCCAAGGAAGCCTACAGCAATAAATTAAGCAGATCTAATCAAAACTAAGCTTGCTACAACGCTATACACTGCTGCTTAACTCTACTAATTTACAGAAAAAGGGCGCTAAAACCAAACATAGCGAGAACAAGGTAAATAAAATAGCCTAATTTTCGTTTCCACAGTCTTTATTTATTACCATAGATATACCTGGAAAAAACAACCATGAACACCGGTAAACAGTTTTTCCTGGATAGCACTCTTGACGAATTCCCGTATAACCATCAACTGTTGTTTCCCCAGATCTAACGCCGCGTCTAAACGGTAAAGATGGCGTGGATCAAGGATATCCAGCGCCTGGTGAAAGTTATCTTTCGAAGAATGCTGCTCACGGACCGTCAAACACGCAAACAATCCCAGCGCCAAATCACAGATCTGCAAAATCAAATTCCAATTCAAAAAGCAAGGTTTTACTGCTAAAAATACAAAACCAACAATGTAGTAAAATATGATCGCCTAATCCCTACTACAGCAAGGAAGCTTGCAGTTAGACTGATTGATTACACCGGAAACCATCACAATCGTGGCGTAAAGAATAAAACCGCACGGCATATACCTGAAACTTCTGATTAAATGCATAGGATGCTATAAAGGTCGGCTGGATGACTTCCGGGATATCGTGTTTATCCGCCTTCTCCTTAAACCAGTCTAAGAGACTATTTCGCACCGTCATATCCATGGATGCATCATTGTAGTTCATCCGGCACTGCGACAATGACAATCCCATATCCACCAAAAAGTCCTGCAGATTACGCTGTCCCTGCTCTTCCCAGGGCCGGAAAGTAGCGGTAGTATAGGGAGTATGACTAAGGCTCTCAAACACCGACCACTGGCGGTAGAAATGCAGCGCCAGGTCCCTGGTGTAGGAGATACGCAGGGTCTGCTTGTTATTGGCGTCGACACGGTGCAGGAGACGGATTATATGGCCTTGCAACGCTGCACTCTCCTAAACAAGCAAATAAAGCCACAACATATAATGGTATGTTAAGCGTTTCTCATATTGAAGACATAAAGATAAAAATGCATGAAAAATAATTCTCTACAGTGCAATTCCTTTGGGAAAAAAACATTAAAGATGATATTATTATTTCTACGTGCATATGCACTTCCCTGTTCCAGAGCATACTTCTTCTGCGAAAACGGTAAAGTTTAACTGAAAATACATGCATAAAAGAAATATAACCGGAAACACGTACCTACAAGAAAATTCCATTAAAAAATTCTTTTTCGAAAAACATAACTCCACCATAATTTTAACCAATTTTGCAGGCAACGCAAGTAATCCTTTAAGCAATTTAGCATCCAGTGCTACGCATTATCTGGCTAACAGCGAAAAATTTCGTCACTATTCGCGAACCTCTTGGAAAACCTTACCGTAACGAAATCACTCTTGAGGATCCTCTTCTGCATGTACATATCACAGATTCCCGCCAGCGCCCACAAAAATAAATTAACATCGTCTTTATTGAGCATGTAGGCCAAATCGAACATTTTCAATGCAGACGACCGCTCATGCCAGGCGTTCTTGTAGTACACCTTGCGCCAGCGGTCCGCTCGCTTCTCCCATTCCTTTAAAGTCTTTTTACTCCACTGCTTATACATTCGCACATCTTCCTCCCGCTGCGTCTCCTTATTCAACTTCTTAACGAAATACACGTCGCCCCGCTCGATCATCTCGTACTCAAAATCGGAGCGCTCGGAATCGCGTACGGGATAGTCTGTTTTCTCTTCGTCGCCCCGACGATACACGTCCTCGAAGACGGGCGCCGAGGGCACGAAGAAATTATCGGTGAGGATGTAGACGCTCTGCCCGTACAGATTGGACACGTGGATGGGCCGATGCGTGTCGATGACGTACAGGCGAACATGATCGCGAGGACGCAGGAGTTTAGCCAGATTCTCCGTGGCTCCGCAGTTGATCAGGATCACATTGTGAACGTCCTTGCCATGGACTTTGACGGCCTCCTGGATCTCCGTCATATTGGTGCATATGACCAGAGAATAGTGGATCTGATCGCATGTCAGCAGATGGAGAAAGATTTTCAAGGCACACAGAGCGTCCACATCAGCAGCGCACAAGATCAAATTGCGTTTTTGTTCACCACTGCGACTGCTACGCAGCAGACGATTGTAAAACCGTGTGCACAGGCTCTCCTGATCGACTGCGCTATCTATCAACATTCTCAAGACGTCAAAGTTAAATGATCATCCGAAAAGACGGGAAATTAACCAGAAAATGGTGCATTGGTGCTGCACGGCTGGAGGATCTCGTTTTCCTCCTCCATTCACCTATTATTCTGCACAAGCTAATCGAGGCAACCGTTCTGCAAGCCAGCAAGCATAGAAATACTCATAGCTTTTAAGTTTCAGGTAGTCAACAATATGGCACACGAGATTTGTTTGGATAATACTACTAAATAAAATGTCAATAAAAATTACATAAACTCGGAAAACTGAAAATCTGCTGTGATGGTGCTGTTATTGACGATTCTCGCCAGGATGGTACCCTGTGGCGGTTGGCAGCCGTGCGCCTACGGTGCGCCGGGAAGTCATCGGAGGCCCATAACATCAAGTGCTTATCCCGGCACTTTTTAAACAGTGCGCGCTCGCAAACTATGTTGTTGATTAATTGGACAGATACATGAAAATTTACAGAAAACCATTCTCTGCAAACGACCAAAAAATGTGTGATAAAAATGTTTACGGTTTTCTTAAATTTAGCGCTAATGCTACGGCCACGGTATTCCATTACCGCCTCGAAAATTTTAGCACACGAACAGAAACAGAGCGAATGCATAATTCTCTGTTGGCGCACTCCAAAATCCCTGTTTGTTAGTGACGTCAAAATGACACACTGCCAGTCTGCAGTCTCGGCGAGAATCACGAATTATGTTGCTATCAAATTAAAATGAAAAATTTGACTGTTTCCTATAAAACTTTTACAGTACTTATAAGTTATAAGTTATAACTTATAACTTATTTGTTAAAAAATGGCTATCGGGCTAGAAATGCATCTGTATGTTCAGAAAAAGCGGGACAGATGTTCTTGACGTAACTGCTGGCCGTGGAAGTTTCTTTATAGCCATGGCAACTGCCTCCTCGGCGCGACCACCGCTAAAGCTGGCTGATATTCTGCCCTGCGCCTTGTTGGTTGGTGATGTTTTTATAGGCAAAAACCGTGTCGAACTGTCGATTTAATCGCCGGTATGAGTCGCTTGCCGATCGCTGCATTATTCAGACGTTGTAAACAATTTGCCGCCTTTGCGCAAGTTAAAGCATTTGCATTTTGCTCTGCTTACAGCCTTACAGCTTACGTAATTTTCATCTTTTCGTTTTTAATTTCTGCAGTTTAGACGATAATATCATAATTCCTTTCGACAGCAGTGTAGTATTATTACTGTTAAAGTGTTGAAGTCATGTATATCTGACTCCTCGTGCAGAATCTAAGAACAACAGCCGTGTCATACCTGTGAACCATCATCCATATGATGGGTGATCTTGCTGCGGTAAATGCTGCAGCTACAGCTTGTGTGTAGTACTTATCTTTTGAGTTCCGCTGAATCGTATCACTTCAAGCATTTATCGGCTGGACGGAGCTTCTGTTCGACTTTATTTGCCTATCCATTTACCGCGTGTTTAAAAGCGCCGCTTCAGTGACAGAAGTGGTACAGTATGGTGGCGTGCTGCTAACGGCGCTCCGCGACTGAACATTGTTGTTTCGGTTTCTGTGCTACTTCATGATCGAATTCCCAAGGATAGTGATTTGATCATTTGACAATTCTATCCCTTATTGGCGCAAAATGTCGGATTCTCCGCAAATTGCCACCACACGGTTTAGTGTGACTCCGGTTAAAGCCGATGACCAGCAGGAGATCTCCGTTGTTCCGATTACGACCATCTCCCCTCCGATGGAGGACGAGGAAGTCCCTCAGGTTGGTAGCCAGCTGCTGCTTTATGCTGCTACCGTGACTTTCGCGGTGGTTTTGATCGCATTACACTGTGAAGTGCTTTACTGTGATGTGTGGATTTTGTTTCAAAACTTTGGCTTTTGAAATCTCTCCATCGAGTGCGTTGAATGGAGTGCGTGAATAAATTGATATTTTGGCATTTCATAGATGTAAAAAATGTGATTTATATAGGTTGAGATTTTCTGAATTTCTGTGCGATTTTTCTGAATTTTGTATTTGTGAACTAGAATTTTGAAAAAAATTTTACTCCATGAATTGTTTGATAATTAACGAAAATTATTTCATAGCTAGCAAAATTAATATTGACTTTTACCGGTTTTTGTTGGCTACAGCTGTGAAAAATTTTATTGTTTGTTTTTCTGTCTGAATTGTTCTGTCCCTTTGTTCCGTTTTTGCGCTTTATCTTTATTGTTAGTGTTGTATAAGCATTGTTATCGTACGAGACTTTCTTGCTTCCGTTCCGGCAAATTTCTCCTGTGATAATTAAACAATCGGAGAAAGGAGGTAGGAATTTGCGGTTGTCCGTTATCACAGTTGGCGGTGTAATGTTACCAGAAAAACGCATATTTCGGGTTGTTTATTGCCCTCTATTATTTTATGTATGATACGCTGCTCGAATTACAAGTTTACAACCTCTGTATCAAAACTCGCGTTCCTCGACGCAGGATATTGACGATATCGGATACATAACGTGTGAAAGATATGATAAACCGCGGCGCAATGAAGACGACAGTGACGATGAGGAGGCTGGCTATATGACTTACGAAGCGATGCCGCGCGAGACTAATTACGTGCTGTCCTTGACCCGCGCCGGCAAAGCACGTCCAACAATCATGGAACTTCGGCTGGTACGTTTCATACGGTTATCGGATGTGTTTTGCTGCAGTCTAAACTATTTTTGGAATTACGACTTGGACTTTGAAATCATCAATGAGCCGTGTTGTGAACAAAACGTTTAACTTTCTTCGACGAGGGAAAATTACCGTTTTTCGACAACCATACCATCAGCCGAGACAGTTTTGCCTTTTTGGTTTACTCATAACATTTGTTTACTCGTATAATATCACTCACAAAATGCAAGATGAATCTTTAAAAACACAATTTATAGAAACCCACATTATAATACTACCGCCATAGGAAATTTACTATTTAGCGTTATTTAATTGTTGGTATCCATTGCGTTAAATTTAAAAAAAATATAATTACGAGTAATTTCGCTTGGATATTTATCAGACTGAAATCGTACCTAATAGTTCAGCTGTATGTTGGATTATCGAATCATAAAATGTCGATATGAAAACTATAACAGGCACCGGAACCGTCCGGAAGGTTCCGTCATCTTTCTGGCAGCACAAGAAAAACAATTAATTATTATAAACTATAAAATTATTATAAATTTGTAAGTTATTATCGAAAGCCGGTTTTCGAATATTTCCCAGATTATGGTTGCAACGAATGGGAAGCATGGGTGTAACCGAATGGTTGACGGTAAACTTTTGTTGCAGAATAAATCGTCAATTGATCAGGGCGAAACAGGATCGGTAACACAACGAGATTCAAATGCTTTGCTCGTGGAGCCGGCCACTGGCGGTATGAAGTTCGGCTGGATAAGAGGTGTTTTCGTAAGTACAGTAGCAAGAATTTATGGTATTAGAATTCGCAAGAGCATATTCGCAAACCTCGATTTCATATTATGATCCAGTTATCGGTTTGTCGTAGATCCGATGCCTTTTGAATATTTGGGGTGTTCTGCTGTTTATGCGCTTGTCATGGGTAGTTGCGCAAGCGGGATTAGGTTAGTGCAGGCCGATTTAATACAAGTAGTTTGGGTTTTCCTTTTGTATTCCGTTGCTTTGCGATTAAATTGTTAACTATTCTAAACAGGATTAATCTAGAACCAGTCCACTTTATTTGTGCGAAGTAAAATTTGTATGATGGATGTATTACAGGTTGTTTATGTTATTAGGATTAACGGTGGCCATTCTCGTGCTGGCATGCGGTAAAGCTTCCGTATTCATTATTTTCTTATCCATCTACACATGGTAATATTGATCTTGTTTGTTTTTAGCTGTCACAACCGTCACAACTCTTTCGATGTCAGCAATCAGCACCAATGGTGCCGTCCAAGGTAAAGATCGTTATGTTTTCCTGGCAGTTTGGCGGGATGTACCGAAGGGATAATTATTGGATATACTCCGTTACGCAATTGCTGATCTCTTTCTTAGGTGGTGGAACATATTTCCTCATATCACGTTCCCTAGGTGAGACCGGCTTTGACATCATCGTTTTTCGTCGTATATGCATCATAAATATTAATCACCGGATATGGTAGGTCCGGAATTTGGGGGAGCTGTCGGAATTGTTTTCAGTTTAGCTAACGCCGTCGCTGTCGGCATGAATACGGTGGGATTTGCGGAGGCTCTCGTTGAACTTTTAACGGTAAAAATTGCGCAACCGAATAGCCAGTCGTATTGCCACCATAATGTAATTAAAGGGTAAATGATTGGCAGTTTGCTGGGTGCGCCGCTATGATCGCGAAATAACAACCAATGATTTTTTAATGTTTTTTTTTCGTCAGGAACATAACGTTTCTATGCTTGATCCAACGAATGACATCAGAATTATTGGATTACTGACAATGTTACTCCTTTTGGGAATCACAATTGTGGGCATGGAGTGGGAAGCTAGAGTAAATTTTTTATACCGACCAGCGGAAATGTACGGAAAATGACGCTTTTTTTCTTGTCCTTTAGACCCAGATTGTCCTCTTTGGTGTGATTATTGGATCTCTTATCAACTTTTTCGTGGGATCTTTCATCTCCGTATCGGATGACAAACAAGCCAAGGGCATTACTGGTTATTCGGCGGATGTGTTCTCGGAGAATTTCTTCCCCAGTTTTCGCGACGGGCACAGCTTTATGACGGTGTTTGCCATTTTCTTTCCTGCTTGTACCGGTATAATGGCTGGTGCTAACATTTCCGGTGATCTTAAGGTAGGAAATTGTTAAATCGGTGTTAAGAGGACGATAAGTAGTTTTTAAAAGCCATTGAAGTACTGCCGTAAAGTGTTTTAAAAACACACGAAGTGCGCAAACAAACAATCACATCAAGTGCTCTCTAAGCATAGTGTATTTTCTGTAACGATTAGAACCCGGCTAAGGCAATTCCAAGGGGAACACTGGGGGCCATCGGTGTATCCGGCATATCGTATCTGGCGTGCGCTCTCGTGGTGGCAGCGGTGGCAGTGCGTGATGCCAGCGGGAGTGTGAGAGATTTCTTCGATGGCAATGTAACGGCGTGTTACAACGGAACCAATGGAGCTAATACATGCAAATGGGGAACCGCAAACAGCTATCAAGTAATACATTAGCCTGCGAAAAAGAAGAGAGCGGGTTGCATCATCGTGTGGTATTTGTAGATGATGACGGAAATCAGCGCCGTGGGACCAATTATCACGACGGGTGTTTTTGCCGCATCGCTGAGTTCGGCTTTGGCATGTCTGGTCAGCGCCCCGAAAATTTTTCAGGTACTTGTGAATGTGTTTTCGGGGCGTTCGCTGTTATTTAATCTCAGCGTTTAAATGATAATATGACTGTTAATGCCATTGTCCATACCCGATATTACTTATTGTGTCACAAATTCTACTTCCTGACATTCTGATTTAATATAGGCATTGTCACGGGATAATATTTTTCCTTACATTGAATTCTTTGGACGTGGATTCGGCAAAAACGATGAGCCCCGATGGGCTTACCTGTTAACGTTTGTGATCGGATGTGGAATTGTGCTGATAGGTGCGTCTGGACAAATGTCTCGGCCATGTGATGTCGATGCTTGTTTTCATTTGGTTACGCTGATTTGCTGTGTAACGTTGTTTTGTTTTAGCTGATTTGAATGCTATTGCTCCCATTATTTCCAATTTTTATATTGGAACGTATGCCTTGATTAATTACGCCTGTTTTGATGCTTCGTTATCCGCGTCCCCCGGTGAGTTGAACACGTGGATATTTTTACACCTCGCGGATGTTGTGTAGGATCGGTAGCGTGCTCTTGGGTACACAAACAGGATTTGGCTAACGTAAATATGTCAGCGCATGATCAGCAAATATTTTGATTTGATTTGGAGAGGCAGTTTTGATCAACAGAATTCGGCATACCTGTTGTAACATACGGGCACACAGTTATTACATAATGGGGCTCATGCTAAAAGATATCGTACGTTTTTTGATTATCGTTTATATTTGCTGTCGGCACGTTTAGTTTGATTTGTTTTCGTGATGTTGACGTGATTACGCTTAATTTTTGGCATGACGTGTGGCATCCAGGCACATTTTTGTGTGTATAGGTAAAATTTTGGAGCCTTTTTTCTCTGGACGTTACTGAGACTGTTTGGGCGTCGTTGTAGTAATTTTGTTTTCAGGATTTCGACCGGGTTTCCGATATTACAACATGTGGCTGAGTTTGCTGGGATCGGGATTATGCGTAGCGTGCATGTTCATGATGAACTGGTGGGGAGCACTGATTACCATGGCCGTGATTGGTAAGGTCACTACTTTTATCGGTGACTATGTAAACGGAATTACTTCAGACTCTTACATTGATGTTTCAGCGTTTTTGTGGGGTTACGTCCACCACAAGGCCCCGGACGTCAACTGGGGATCATCAATTCAAGCACGTGCCTTCAAGTCGACTGTTCAGTCAGCACTGAAGTTGATGGGTGTCGAGGATCATGTCAAGAATTTCCGGTACATTACTGGTGGTGAAAAAGAACTATTTCTGAATGTGCTGATTGCGGACGAATGTACTTATGGTAATTTGGTTATTTTTAGACCACAAGTACTTGTTCTATCTGGCCTGCCGTCTTCACGGCCAGCGCTGGTGTATTTTGTCAACAGCTTCACGAAAAATACTGGAATGATGATCTGCGGAGATGTTTTGGTGGTAAGTGAGCGGTCAACATGAGAGCATATCCGAACTTCCGTTTTTTATAGCAGCATTCGAGCAGTTAATCAGAAAATAGGATTGTTTTGTTAAGATCACCAAGCTCATTACATTCGTTATTGTGTTAGGTATTTTAATCATTAATGTACTAATATGAATCATTAATGTACTTTAACTGTTGTACAGGGTGCAACTAATTTGCACATCATTCCCCCGCTGCAAAAACAGACATATTCGTGGTTTCGCGAGAAGCACATCAAAAGCTTCTACAGTGCCATTGTGGCGAAAACATTCCGTGAAGGTGTGCGTGCGCTTATCCAGGTAAATCATCGACATTTTTCGCACGGCTCGAGTTCGTGTAACTTAAACTTTAAATTATGGCCGTTCTTACAGACCGTCGGTATCGGCAAGATGCGACCAAATATGGTCATGATGGGTTTCAACAATCTGTGGATGTACCATCCAGCGGAAAGCGTCGAAGACTACCTGGACACGATCACTGATTCATTGGATGCCAACATGGGCGTTGGTATATTGCGCGTCCAGGAAGGCATGGACGTGTCGCAGTTGCTAGATTTCACCGGTTCTACTTACGATTTGTTATCATTGTCCACGAGGGACGAGACTGTGATTCCCCAGACGACGAATGGGCTCCTGGCGGCACCGGCGTCTCGTAAGAAAACTGTTCTTTCTTGAAACGCTATGTGCACAGCAATAGCACTATTTGTTGAAGAAAAAGTTATGTCTTTCCAAATGAATAAGAAATTCATTTGTGCATAAACACTAGAAAAAATTGCGTTAGCGAGAGGAGAATTAATAATGTCCACAATATTATTATATTGTGCGGCAACTGTTATACTGGAAGTAAACTATATTACTATTATAGCTGTTCTTTTTTAATATAGTTTTATATATAGACTTTCGATGTTCTCTCGTGGCATTGTTGGAATGGTTTTGTTGCAGAAAAACGGAAGCTTAGTTTTCAGGACACCAGCCGGGGTTTTAGCATGCATCCGTCTGGACTGATGCCGACTGTGAACGAGAACGGCCCACCGGCTGCTAACGGGCTACTCCAGCCATCGTCTCCGCTCATTAGGTGCCGATCGGAGCTGAACATATTCAGTGTAGAAGCGGGAGAAGCCCCGGTATCCCAGTCGCAATACACATCCCGCCTTGATCTGGCTGATAAGTTTCATAATAAAACCAAGCAGAAGATGAAAGGAGAGATCCATGTCTATTGGCTGTACGACGATGGCGGTAAGCGGTGTATCTTTTCCGCATTTCCTCGACGTGCTACTTTTTCGAAATGTCAGATAAATGTGTGTTCATTTGTAATTAACTTTGCGCATTTGTAGGATTAACGTTGTTGATTCCTCATCTGTTGAGTAAGAAACAGCCATGGAATGGCTGCAAATTGAAGATTTTCTACCTGCAAGGAAAACCCCACCAAGTAGATGAAGCGCAGCGGAATATGGTGGCCCTGCTCAGCAAATTCCGGATCGATTTCGTTGATGCGGTAGCGGTTAATTCGAACAAGCCACCTTCTGAAGAGAGGTACATAATCATGCGGTTGTAAAATCGCTTGTGATTGGCTTGTACGTAATTCTGCATTCCCTTCTGCAGCGTGATATGGTTTAATCAAATGATCCAGCCGTTCCGTGTTTCTGATATTTCTGACATCAAACCGGACGAAAGCGTCCCGACCCCCATTTCTAACGAGGATCTGGAATCATTGTTTGAGCGCACACAAAGACAGATCAGGTTCGTTGAATTCAACGCATAAAAGACAGAATTTGTTCAAAATAATTATAACTCCGATTTTTTTATGAACCTGCTGCTCTTTCTTAAGCGTATTACGTGTTCTTTTTTGTGAAGTTTATGTTCATCTGCAAATGGTTGTTCAATTCTTACGAAGATATTTACGTGCGTCTTATTACAGGCTGCGCGAAGTGTTGAAGGAGAATTCATCTGATGCTGAACTGATTGTGATGACCTTACCCGTGCCCAAGAGAAACTGCAACCCCACCTTGTACATGGCTTGGTTGGAGACGTTGACCAAAGATATGCCCCCCTTCCTCTTGTTACGCGGCAATCAGCAAAGCGTTATGACCTTTTATACTTGAATTTTGTTTATTTTTTTACTTCTTTAATTGTGTGCTGTTGATAGTTAATTTTCTAAAAGGTGACTATCGGTTTTGTTACAAGTTGCAGGTGGGTTGTACAGCCGGTTACAGTGCGGTTACAGTACAGCCGGTTACAGGGAGTTGTACGAATCGGTACATTTTGTGATTGTCGTGTCCTTTGCACACGTACGTGCCTTGGCAGTTGCCTTAATCGGTTTTTTACCTCGGTGTATAAAGAGTACGGAAATTTGCATTGTTACCGCAAAAGATGGGAAACATTTAGAAGTTTTCAATTTAATTACTTTTGCGATGGAGAAGATAAGCCGAAATTCTTGACCGTACCACTGAATCGTGCACTGCACACTTCTTTTCTTCGGTAACTGTTATCAGTGCATACCTGCCAATACAAGCATCTGTTTAAAAAGCTTTAATTGAGTGAATTTAAATTAGAAAATTTCTTTTGTAAGTTTAACAGCGATGCAGTACCAAAATACGGAGCAAAAAAATTACCAAAAATGACTACCAACACACGAAATGCATTTCTTATATAAACGAGTAATCTAATGGGCAAGAAATGTATGTGAAAAAGACATTCAGTTCAGCTGACCACTCCGTTCAGCCATATGTACCTTCATATGCCGATTGAGATTTCCGGATTGAGAAAATTTTAATAAACAAAGGTGACACTGATAGGGCTTTTCTCCGCTGTGTATCCGAGTGTGTTTTGTCAGTGTGGAGCTGTCACTGAAGGCTTTCTTGCACACACGACACCGATACGGCCGCTCACCACTATGAGTCCGCATATGTGTGGTAACGCTGGAACTCTGCGAGAAACGCCGGTCACACACGGGACACAGAAACGGCTTTTCACCCGAATGTGTGCGCATGTGAGCCGTCAGATTGGCCGCTTGGGTAAATGTCTTAGGGCACAGAGTGCAGGTGTACGGCTTTTCGCCACTGTGTGTTCGCATGTGGGTTTTTAACGTCGACGGACGGGCGTACGATTTCCGACAGATTCCGCAAATGTTGACCTTTTCGCCATGCTGATTAATGACATCGCAACCAGATCGGCTGTGTGACAGCAGCGAGCTGCCATGTTTTTTTCGATAAAGGTCATGGGATGTTTTGGGTAGTGTTGACGGGAGTGCGGGAGGATTGGTCGATCGCTGGTAGGGATTTGTAACAGACGCCACGCCGCTAATGCAGGACATGGTCATCTGGAAGTTTACACTGACCGGCTGCGGAGTGTACCGGTGTCCATATTCGACAGTCGCTGGCCTTTGTTCGTACTGGATGTGTTGCGGTGACGGATAACTGTAGTGGCGGTTATGGTCTTCCCCGAAATTAATTTGTTTTAAGGACAGCAGCATTTCAGCGGTGGCACGCGAGACGTATTGTTTGTCGTCTGGATAATGTTGAATATATGGATCCCTAAAAGGAGAATCGTAATATAAATTTAGCCACTTTGAAATCGGCTGCTTAAGAATATCACCCACTAAGCTTTGTCCACTTGACAAAATATCAACGTAAACTTGCACGCAGTTATTTTATCACCATAGGATGAAAAATGTTTTAAAGAATATGGCTTCCTGTGCCTTCGACTAAATATATGCGCAGGTTCTTATTGTCTAATCTAACAAATTTTCTAATCTGTAACCCTTAGAGTAGATGTACATAGAAAGTGCACATATTGAACAAAACAAATTTTTGGTCCCGGTGTGCATGTGTTTACGCGATGCTTAAGGATGGTGCGGTCTGTACGGTTTGTACACAACGCTAACAATGCACAAATATGAGCGTTTCTTTTCAGTAAATCGCAGGGTTACGATTACGAATGTTGGAATATGTTGTTTTGGTAACAGACCTTGTGTGATCATATTTTGGCTCACTGGACCCGAGACTTGGACCATCATTATAAACAGGGAATTCCGTTTCGTACACAGGAGGAGCACTTTCTTCGTAGGCATTATGTGATGACATGGCTACATTGTGGTAAATGGGTGCATCTGGCCATGACGACGAGAGGCCGGCCGATGAGATGGTATTGGCTTTCCAGGCATTAAAGGTCACCGGCTGGTGATGGTGCACACCCGGATGGGCCGAATGGGAGCCGCCTGGAGCAGCCGTTAAAGAAGAGTAATGGTCGATAGAAGGATTAGCGATGTGAGCTGGATGGTAGTAATAATTAACAGTCGGAGGCGCTTGGTGGACTGGTAAAGTTGCCGAGTTGACTTCCATGGTATGGTTAAAACAACTGCAAGATTTTTAGAAAAATCCCGAATATATGGAGTGGCAGTAGTGTGCAAATTCAGGCACACTCACTTCATTGAAAATTGCAACAACTTGCTGCGCACATCACACTAACAAATTCTGTACAAATGATTATTATTTAGCAATGATTAAGTTTAATGCCCGCGCGCAAATTAAAAATCCGATCAGATGTGTTGTTGGAGCCGTTATGTCCGAATTCAAAATTTAATACACACAGCGAATCTCCGCTTCGACTCCATATGCCCGTTGAGCGGCGCGCTGGCGCAACCTGATCAGCTAATTTCCAATTTCGGCCAGCTTCATATCCAACAGTACTGCGGGGATTCATTTGTCTATTGATTTGATCGACATTTGCTTTGTTTATCGTTTAACATGGAGTCGCCACATACGATGCGCACGCGCTACGATTGGTTGAATCTGTGTGTATTATTTGCATCGCTGTAACAGAGAAATTGCATGACGCTGGATGCCGTAACAGTGCTGTGCCCAATGGTTTCTGATTTCCTTTTCCAGCGGATATCAAAGGAAACATTTTAATCCATTGCGTAGGTTCAGAGTCGCAACATGGTCATCGTGCATTGGCCGTCGGAAAACAATCTCCGGTAACCTTCTGCTTCACTAGACTAATCACTGCCACACGCTACGGGGATGCGTGAGTATCATCTCCGGCTTAGCAGCGCAAAACAGCGCATCCTCTGCCTATCGGGCTATAGCCGGCTGGGGCTATCATCCAGGGAGTATGCTTGACATACGTAATCGTTTAGTTCATGAACTACGGCTGCGCCGGTTGAGTGATTAGCCACTGCAGGAGGAGGCGGTGACTGCTCAATTATCGGCTTTGTCGTCAAAGCTACCGTGACAAATGCGACGAGTGTCGGGCACTGATTTACTCCCGGTGCGAGCAAAATAACCATGAAATTATTAGATAACTCTTTTGTGCGGGTTAATGATGAGGTGCAAATGGATTAACTTGCTCTCATGGATAATGTCATGCAGTACGACTGCAATACATTGACCTGAAGCCCGGAACGGAAAAAAATGAGTGAATTCTGGAATAATTTTAATACAAGGCCACAAGCTAGGGGCGAGCGCAGTTTTTCAACATTAACAAATTAAATCAAATATTTCGATGCTTAGTGCTATATTTGTTACCTAATAATAAGATTAGGCCACCATTATATTATAAGGAGCAACATTTAGTCTTTTTTTAATTAGTACAGCAGTATAAATATTTTAAGAGCTGATCAGCGACGACCAAGTATTCACTTTGTATTTCACAGAAAAGAATGATGCAACGACTGCAGTCTACGAAAGCGTGTATTATTATCATGGTTTGCGTATATTCTTCTACGTTTGATTCCAAATTTTAAGCATTTCTCTTTTTCTCTAAAACAGCGTAAATAAATTTTGTCGATGACGGCATAATTTCAGCGTAGCACACTCTTCCTCGGCAAAGTACTGTCCAAATAGCCGTAACCACGAAATTCGTCGCAGCTGGTTTGAGCTTGGCCGTATTTGGCTTCTTGTAAGGTTTGCAAATAGGCTTGAGCTTCCGCCAATTCCCGTTCTTTGATTAGCACTGCCTCCTAAAAATGGCAACGAACTAGAATCAATTTCATCACATTGCAGATTTTTATAGCCACATACCTGCGCTGCCAGTTCATCAATAACCGCATTTTTGCGCGGTAAAGTGCCGGCCGGGGAACCTTTCGACTTTCGGGAAAGTAAAAGTATCTTTTGAGCTTCTTCTAATTCTTTTCTTTTGATGGACACTTGTTCCTGCAAAATACCTGACATATTTTCTGGTCGAAAGCAATACGCTTAATACATGAAAATAAACTTGCATAAAATTAAGAAAGAACGAAATTATCAACATGATGAAATTTGTACCGTGGCTTTTATTTCTTGAGCAATCCCGCCAACTAACTTTTTGTTGACAACCACTTCTTGCGGAGCAACATTAATCGCCTGCAGACCCCGTCTCTTCTTCAACAAAAACTGCACCAAATTGTCCGTGGCCCTTTTCACATTTACTCCAGCCGCTAACAGCTGTTTCATGGTTGGCGAATTGGGGTCACCCTTGACTTTGCAGGCCAACAGCAGCTGCGCCGTGAAACCTGCCACTTGCTTGGACGCCGAGATGAGCTTCTCCTCCGATGCTTGTCCCGACAAGAGCGCATTGGCGGCATCGCACAGTGTTTGACAGGACAAGCCCACCGCTTTGGCGGCCGAGATGAAACCCTGCGACCACTGTCCATCCTGTGAATAACGACCGGCCCGCTCGCTGACCAGTCCCAATCGGATTAATTCCGACTGCGCGGAACCGGCCGCCGGGATTAAGGCCGCACTGGCGCGCATGATCATGCGGCAGAAATCTAAAATCTGGGCGTCGGCTTCGTTCAGGCCGGGTTGCGCCTTGGGTTCCATGTACTCAAACTCAGCGTCCGAGTCGTCGGTGTCGGAGTCGGTGGCGGAGTCGATGTTGGGAATGTACACTGTCTTGCGATTCTGGATTTCCTCCAGGCGTTTCGTGGCGCGTTCGATGTTGGCGGCAGCGCCGGATAATTCCTGGTCGATGGTGATGGTCAGTGTAGATGTTTTCCGTAGAGTGCCGGTGGGTGAGCGGAATGCAGCTGCTTTCTCTAAAATATTGAGTGAATGCAAAAGCTCGGCTTTTCTGGCTTCCAGCAAGCCAGTTTCTGCTCCGGAATTCCCGCTGAGAAACTGCAATGGTTACAGTATCGGTAAACATCACGGTGGTCAATTTTTTACTTTGCTTGTCGTGTCGCAGTAATCTTTAAAATTACCAGATAAACGGTGGAAATGTACGAAGTAACTTTCTGGCCACAGTCATCGGCGTTCCGCGAAATTGCCGTATTGATATCTTGTCCCGACGAGGCGGCAACCTGAAATTGAGTGGACACCACTATAGCAGATATGCATTTTGCGGTAAATGAAAAGATAAAGTTACAATGCAAACGGGTCATAATTGTTGAGAAGAAAATATTAATTACCCTGGACAAAACAGTGATTTGACTAATAGAATTTTGGTAGGAATTAACCAATCCTAAAATATCCTGAGGTTTCTTGAATTTCAAGGCAAGTTCAGCATTGTCCACCAAAAGTTTGACTTCTTTAGTTGCCGTAAACAAATTGTGGTAAACTTCTTCGTCGGAAATTTGTTTACCGGAATTCGAAGACACCGGAGACTGTAACACGAATTCGCGCTAGAGTATAGTAAAGTACAGTAGTAGTAAAAGTATATGGCATATGTCTGTTACACAGCCGTTTTTAAAACTGAAAAAAATTTCAAGCTGAATAAAACATAATCATACTTTAATGGTGTTTTGAGACGATTGAACCAGTAGCTGCAGCACAACCAAATGGCTACCGCGGTTAACTGCACTTGTCAGCTCCGCCAACAGCAAGATACAGCTGGACGCGTGCATCTTGGCATTGTGCAGTTCATTGTCATACTCCTGCTGTTCAGCCGGCGACATTTCCGCTCGTCCAACGCCTTTTTGCAGACAGCGCATCAACTCCGCCACAGCGGAAGCTGCCATCTTCTGCGCCCTTATCAGTATCATCTGCAAAATATAGATTACCTCCTAAAAATATTTTTTAAAAGAGCCTTTTTAATGTACCTGTGCTTCCGGGTTTGTGGCCGTTTTGCGGCTGGTTGTTTCTCTAATGAATTCAACATATCCGGTCAGCAGCGCAGTAGAAGCATCCACGGTTTCCGCCAGCACCATTTGTTTCGCATTGGTTCCACCTAGTTTCTTCAAGCTTCCAATCAAAGCCTGTGCTCTGCGCATAAATTCTTGTTCTAAATCATCGTTTGTGGATTCTTGATGGCTGGGACGCTGCTGTTCCGCGTCTTGACCGTCGGCTTCGGGAACGTGCCCTAATTTAACAAAGGTCAACGAAGTTTCTAGCTCTTCTTCCATTTCGTCAATCGTGGAAAGGGCGCGCTGAAGAGACTGCGTACCACAATCCAACACATGCAGCAGCTGCAGTACATAGTTGATCTTCTCGGCCGCTGCGCGACACGCTTTGGGAAACGCTTCCCGTCCGGATACCTTCGTCATGGCCGCTTTTTTCAGCACATCCGTGCACGAGTGGCCCACTTGTACCAGTGCGGCATGCACATCTTTTTTAACCGTTTCATCGACGTGGGTAACAGAAGGCGCCAGTTGCGCCCATACACAGCACACTTCTTTATATGATCCACAAAATTTCTTCCCGAATTCCCGTAGAGCTTGTTGGTTGGTTGTCACTCGCAGATCCACATTGAGGACTATATCAGACATAGATTTTAGTAGACTGCGTAGATTTTTTAACAGCGCCGTTGCATCGGCTGATGGTGATTGTGTAATGCTGTGACTTTCTTGCTCTTGCAAATCTTCAAGTGTCTCGTCAATCACCGGCAGTGTTTCCCGCAAGATCATTCTTCCGGACCGTTGTGAATCTAACAAATTTGCGTACTCCGCAATGCTATCGAGGAGACTCTGTCCTTCTTCGGCACGGGTTGATTGGTCTTTAAAAGCGGTGATGTACTGATTGGCCGCTTCCAGAATCGTCTTAAGATGATTGAGCACAGCCGCTTGTTCATCCGACCGCGATACCTCCGTGGCCTCTCTCAACACCGTGTTCGCTTTGACAAGATCCTGCAGCAGTTGCATTAGACCATCTAAATCCTTCTCGGCTGCTTCCGCCCCCAACCGGTCTTTGATGAACGCCGCCGCTTGTTTGGCCAGATCCATCGGTGTCTGGTAGTGCTCGTCATTCGGTCCCACGTGGAACTCTTCGGGCGGCGGTATAATGCCGTCGTTCTCTTCAATGGCGATGATGTCTTTGTCGATGTTGCGAATCCACTGGTCAATCAAGAATAGCAGGTTACTGTTGGATGCTGATGCTTCCGTGTCCTTTGCCGAGGCGTACGTGTCCAATTCCAGCAGGGCATCCAGTGTTTTTCCCAAAAGTTCATCTAGATCTTTCAGCGATACGCTTAATTTCTCACCCGTCTCCCGGTCTTCGATATTCCACATGACACCTTTTCCGCTTTCCAGTGTGTCTTCTTCCAGCGCTATCAGTGCTTCCAAATTGTCCTTCAAGGGACCTAGACTATCCGACCCTAAGGTTCCGGTTAACACGGTCTCTACGTTGCCGCATAACTTCTGCGCTTTTTCAGTAAGTTTTGACGAAGTCACAGACAGGCGCTCGATTGCTTCCGGACTTTGCTTTTTGTTAGTTTTCTCCTTGTTCGATATTTTTCCTATCATCGAAGAGGCAAATGCGGTTTTTCTCAGAAGTTCCTACACGAGAAAGTACGGTAAAAGTCACAACGTTACTTATATGCACTTACGATTTAGTATACATTTTTATTAAACTTCTACTTACGCTAAGACGGCGTAGTAGTTTGTATTTTCGGTCATGGGACGTCAGGGAACTGACCAGGTGCATCATTTCTTGTGCATTATTAAAAATGGCTTGTCTCTTTGTAGTGTCCGTTGGATTCCGATTAAAATCCTACCACATGAAACCAATTTATAATTTTTTGCATCTGAAATCCGCTCCCTGTAGTTTTCCCTTTGAAAGCTCGTATGAGCAGTAACACAGAGAAGATACACTGGGACAAACTTCTTACCTCCAAATTATCCGACAACTGGGAATTCAGAGTTTTCAGTTGATTGATGGCATTATCCAGCCATTGCTGGCGTACCGCATCCCCGGACGGCACATTTCTACGCTCATTATCCAATTTCTCAATCAGTGCCCCGGCCGCCATAACTAAAATGTGACCTTTCTGCATCACTTCGTCTGTGGTGCAGTCAGCGCTGGTCATTTCTCCCGTCAGCTTCTCAATATTATCCACCACATCCTGTGTACGTTTCTTCTGGCCAGTCTGATCCATTCCGTGGAGTGACTGCTGAATCCGACCAATCAGCTGGGAGAATGACCGCACGCCGTCGGACAGTTCGTCCACGTAGTGCAGACTGACAGGCGCCACGCCCAGGTCACCGTGCGCGGTTTTATCCAGACCCCACAATGCACGGTCCAGAGCGTCTAAGGCTTCTTTGAGATTGTGCCGGCTTGCGGCCGAAGCGTCGTGAAACGTTGGACACATGCGCACTAACTTGGCGCAGACCATGACTTCCGCTGTCCGAAACGGAATGTCGGCGGCCGCGCTGAGTATCCTACTTTTATTGGCTGCGGAGCTCGTCTCACCAGCAATTAATTTCGCCTTGCGGACAATGTCTGCGGTGGCGGCACTCATCTGCTGCAGCAGTGCGGTCAAGCCTTCGTCCAGTTCGGCGTCTTTTTCTGTGGATATTGAGCGCAGGAGATGTGGACGCCCGTCTAAATCTTCCACGGCCGCCGTTAGATGTTTGCCCTTTTCGGCTGTTTTAGAAGCCGCGGCCAACAGTGCTTGTCGTTTACCGGCTTCCGGCTAAAATATATCTTAATCAGGGTATGATAAACCGAACAGATAATGGGATAATACCTGTCCTTTTCCTTCTTTCTCACAGTTGGCAACGGCATCCAAGAGATCGGAGAATGACTGGCAGAACCCTTCGGCCGAAGTCAGCAGGTTGGATCCTTGAGGAGTATTCTTATAATTTGCCGACATTTTCTTAAGAGAATCCGCGAGATCTTCAAGTTCATCAATTCTGTTAAATATAAACAAAATTTTAGACATCAGTATACCAGCTTTGCATATGGAGTTCTAATTTTCTTCGTACAAACTCAGAACTTTTTCTCCAGCCACAGCGCTTTTAGCTGGGTCAGCTGCCAAATACACCAACTGTCCGACCGACGCTGCAACTTGTCCCATTCGCTCCGCGAACTTCTCTTCATAAGCATCCATGGCAGATATGCTGGCCATCGGCTAATTTAAATTAGTTGATCAGTAAAGTAAAACAAGTTACTCAAACTGAATTTTACTATACTTTCAAGGTAGAGTGATGCACCATAAACGTGCGTGTCTTAACATTATTTATGTATTAGTAAAGCTTTTATAATAATAGCATCTAGCTATACCAGCTGTTGTCCATTTTCTCCAACAGATGTCCGAACGACCGCCGCAAAACTCTTGACAAGGTTTGCAATTTTTGCTTGTGCACCGGCTAAGTAGTTGATTTTGTGCTCCGCAATTTTCGTGTCGCCTAAAATGCCCGGCGTGGCCAAGTTACCGGTGTAGGCCTTTTGCGCCAATGAAACGTTTGACTGATTGGTGACAAGCCTGAAAATTGTTCAATTTTATGCATTTATATATTTTCAAAGAAGACTATTTTTAATTTTTGTCATTTTGTGTACAATACGAGTACAGAAGTTCATTTCCATTTGAAAAGGACACATACTTGATATTTTGTTGTGGGTCCACATTTTCTTCTCCAATCTCGGAGATCTTCGCGTTTTTCCCGGCATAGTCATCCGGTTTTGTTCGCTGCCGAATGAGATCAATATAGCCGGCAATCAGCTGGGCTATTGTCTTCCCATCTTGCGTCTGCATGGAATACCGGCCGTCGGAATAGTCGCCAAAATCCAGACTGAACGTGTTGGAGGTCACAGCCCATCGTTTAATCCAAGTCATGGGCCATGTGTCAAGAATCTCCTTACTCCGCTCATCCAGCCGCATCACGGCGTTCCGACTGACGCCAAACAACCGCGGCACCATCTTGTTCTTGCCTTTCATCTTCTCTTTGACTAGAAAAAAGGTCACGCCGTATGTTTTCAATGAGCGCGCCATCTTGATGTATTTGTTTTTGGCGTCCAGTTCGTTAAGATTCTGATGTTCTTTCCACTTGTCTTGTGCCTGCTTTTGATAGTCCGCCAAGGTTTTCTTATCGACTTTCTTCGGATTGACGTAGGCTTTGGGCAGCATCGGCCGGATATCGACGGCCCGTTTGCTATCGTTAAAATCACCATATTCTGCTTGGGCTTGGAGACTGGCGAAAACTATGGCTTCCGCAAGAGTAATCGGATGAGTACCGTTTACGATGGCATCTCGGCACTAAATCGAATAGAGCAAATAAGACGAATGTCAGATCCATGCATTTATTTCAAAATTTAAATTTTAAATCAAAGCATGCACGAAATACTATTAATAAACAAACCGACCGCTTGCAACTTACCTGGACAAACAGAAGATTGTGTTCCACGGCATCCTTTACATCTACCGTCTGGTCCGAGTAGAAATAGCGTCGCTTGAGGAGAACAATATCCCCTTCACCAATGCCTTGATCGATAAAGGTCAGTCCATGATCCAACCAGGTATCTACCAAACGGTTACATGTGTTAGTTACATGTTACCGCTAAGAAATCGTAACGTACTGTACTGTAATTATGCACAATCATTAAATTACTTTCGTCATCGGTAGCAAGCTTTTCTTTGAGTTTGACCATTTTTCGCTGATCCCGCGCTTTAAGATGTCGCTCAATTGTAGCATAGTTGAGATGAGTGGGATCGAATGAGAATTTCCGTCCTTGATCCTCCGGGTTCTCGGACACATTCGTTGTCTGCTTGGTGAGATCATATTCTTGATTGTTAGTGATTCCTTCAAAAACAGTTATGGCACGTAATTGAAATATTTTTGTCAGTACGCATTTTTAATACGTATTTTTAAGCCAGAAAGACTGAATAATCCATAATTGTTATTTTAAACGATTCTATAAGAGCGTAACAAAAGCGGTTGTCAAAATTTTGATTTACTTTTAAGAACAGAGGAAAAGATGCACAAATGGTGAGATTAATTCTAGTTTTGTGTAATTTTAACGTCTACCAACCAATTTTTGAGCAAATGTATGGCATCAGTTCTTTGATTGGTTTGCTCAGGTCGAGTTTGTAGGTTTTCACGGTGTGATCCAGTAAGCGCACTTTTAGTGTGCCCCAGCGTTTTCTGTATTCCAGAACGTCCTGAAACATCAAATGCCAGGAATAAGATGTCGCATTATCCGGGTTGTTGTGAAAAAGTGAATTTGTGAAGTGTGCAAGCGAACTAGCGAAGTAACTTTTTCGGCCGGCTTATCTGTATATCGAGCGACGAGTTATATTGTTAATTATACTCGTACTGTAATTTGTAAATACCGTATAACTACCTCTGCGGTAACGTGGTAAATATCGATAGGGGCATCATCTTTCAACCAGTGTTCCCTGTTTTCTGCTGGCGGACTGTGACGAAATAAGCCGTATTCAGCTGCTGCAAAAAATATTACATAAATATTAACTGACAAAACACATATAAAATTTTGTGTCAAGTTCAAGAGGGTGTAACACGTTTACACCACATTTGGAAATTGCTTCTGCAGCCAATATGTCCCGGATTTTAATTAGGAGTTAGGTTTGCATAGAAATTTTTTTATTGTCTTATGTTTAAATTTATGATATTATTCCTGTAATTCCACAAACTTACAATAACCTCAGTTACTAGCTACTGTGTATAACGTAATACAACTGCCACAGCCGAACTATAATTAATATAAAATTAGCTATAGTAAACGCTATATATATAGCAAACGCTAGATGAATATGTCCTAGTGCGATAAAACTAAATTTAAACAACTCACAGCTGAGGCATGGACAAATTCAACTGTACCTGGCGAATCCTGTTTCGACGCGGCAGCGGCCGCAAACATCCGGTCGAAACCCGCCGCCTGCCTGACCATACGTCCCACCTCCGCCACAGAGGAATTCAAGGGCACATGCAGCGCATACTGCGTTCGCTCTCCACTGACGGGATGCGTGACAAAGATATTTAAAGGCAGCAATCCGGACATCTTGCAGTTTTTATGGCGATTTACTTAAATTAATCTCAGCTGCTGCAGTGAGCAATTGTAACAAGATAAAAGTATAAAGCTGCACCGGATGTCGCGCAACATTTACTGGGAGTAAGTGAAAGTCGTCCAGTTTTTTCGTTTCCAGTCCGCCGTTCAAGATTGTTCTAATAAACTGCAGCCGCATAAACTGTAAATCACAAACAACATGCCTATACGTACGTTTAGAATGTAAGTACTAATGCAAATAAAGCTACATTCTGTCATGGAGTGTGCATACAGTATAGCAACATGATGTTAGGCCTTTATTTTCGTCAATGAAACTGTACTTCAAAAATTCCATTACAGTATCTATGTACAAATATGTGTCTACAGCTCAACTGCATATGCTGCATAATAATATACGTACGTACATACCACATACGCATACTATATTAATAAAGATTATCATTTCCGGCGGTTCTCTCACACGATTTCCGCTATCAAGACATGTAAAGTGTGTACAAATGTAGGAGCACTCTTATCAAACAACCGGCACCGGTTAAGTGATAAGTACACAATCATGAACAACCGCTGTATGCACAGTCGCATAATTTTCGGTCTACTAATGTATAACCTTGTTGCCCGAGAAATTAGTGAAATCACTAGGGTTGCGACTAATAGAAATATAGATATGTACAGTAATTAATATCGGCATTCATGTAGTGAATCTTCTACAATGAAATAAAGTTTATTACTTGACTGACAATAATACAAGCAATTCAAACTAGTTTTAGTTTCTTGCGTACCTAAACCACCAACTATTCCGATGAAACAAAAGTAAAACAAACGGCTTACAATTTTGATGAAGCCTTGAAAATATCAAATTATAACACCACTGACTTCAAATGTTTTCGGTAGAACGATGCTTGATCAAGAAAGTGCCGGAATTCCGAAGTCACCGATACAACAACGTGGACAAGAAAAATATTATAGAAAACTTAGGCCTAGAAAACGATTGATTTGAATACTAGATTATTCAGTATAGAATTGCTCACTAAGCGCGTGTCATTGCCCCACCTCTGGTTCAGTTTAAATTTTGCTATACATTTGTACTCCAACATTAATATCGTATACTCGTACTATGTGTACTGAGTATAGTCAGATAGCTAGACTAGATAGTTGGCCAACCGATATCGATATGCAGCCGATATGGATGTCGACTTGATATATTGGCAAACGGCAAGGATGGTCCAATGAGTAGCGGGTGTATCAAAATGAATGCCTGCAATTTTGTTTAAGCTGTCTCATCGAGATTAGTAATATCGTTGCCCCGCCATGCAGCACGATTGTTTGCTGCGTTCCAAAATTCCCTAAAGTTGTTTTCACTCTTTGAATGGACTGCAAAAGCTAATTACGATTAGGCTAACTTTGACCTGCAGTCGTATGGTTTTATTATGACGACAAGATTGCTGCATGCAGGCTGTGGTCACTCTCAAATCAAAATCAAACTGCACTGTTCAACTAAAGGCCGGAATAACAGCTGGACACAGCGCGGTGTTATTTTCACGGTGGTGTAAGAGGCTACGACTGCTAAATAATGACCCGGAATATGTGCAATCAGTAAACTCAAGAAAAACAGAGTTAAAAAATGCATCCTCAAACAAACATTAGTAAAATGCACAGAATTTTAAGAAGATGTGTACGAAGTTTATTTTCGCCATTACTAGTACTGGTACTTTTGTTATTTCAAGGTACACCTGTACAGAAAATACTTACTTACGATGTATATCGTGGCATAATTATGGTTAGCTTTGTTTTAGTTTTTTACGTTTCTGATTTAATAGCATCATATCGCAATGAATCCTTACAGCGGCAGTCTTCTTCCAGTAGGTGTAAAATGGCAATATGGACTCATGGGAGCTGTATTAGGAATACAGCTATTATTATAGGCTTTTACTTACTGGTTAGTATTTTTGAATCGCATCATCTACACTATCATGCAGAAATTTTACAACTTTAATTGAATCATTTCGCTATAGCTTCATGCGTGTTCACAGTTTTGGTTTCTAAAACCGTTTTTAACGTAATGCAAAACGCGAAATCAAAAAACACTAAATGGGTAGAATTACTGGGACGAATTTCCGGCTAAACCGGCATCCTGCGCGGTTTGAGCGATTCGGTTCAAACTGGAAGCACCGGAAACCGCTTCACTTGTACCGGTGCTGGAATGTTCGCTGTCACGAGAATCCATATGCTGGAAATTCCTTAAACCCGTCATTGACCGCACAGAGTTCTCCCGGTTGGTCAAACGCGGTGCTCTGCCGGCTACCGGGGACGTCTGCTCGGTACTAAAGCGTCCTTTATTCCCCATGAAGCTGAGCGGACGCTTCCTTGGTCGCTCGGATACCGGTCGCGAACGCCGCGATGCTAAAACATTTGCTAAAAGTTATGACACTACAACGACTATACTATTCGATGTTTTCTATATAGTTTCACTTAATTAATTGTGAAAATAAAGCAATTATAAGGTTGAAAATCTTGTAAGTAACGAATTTCTAGCAGCTGTAATGGTGGGAGTTTTGTTTCTCCACAAGCTTTGCCACTCCCTCCAATTACCCACGAATTCTATATGTCACGTTAACAGCCTGCAGCGTTACTCCCGTTGCTAATGAAAAGGGGTCACCTACTTCGGCTTTTCACCGATAATCGCTCTTGATCAGCCAGTATTTTCTTAATGTTAGTTGGGCCAGCCAACAATGTCCGGAGATGATGGGTAAGGTCATGAGGGTTAGCTGTTTCCAACTTCAACACACCTTCACCAGCAGGCGATTGTCTAATAATAGCAACAGGAGAAATCAATATGCCCGAATTAAATCCAGTTTAATCATTTTAAGAAGTGCAATTCAGCGCTGGCTTATGTTTTGTTGAATAGGCGCCTTGCCGAATCAAATAATAGTATATGCCCGAAATCGAATTGCTTAAGTATGGTACCTGCGCAAAACTTTGTAGCATTAGCCTGCACTGATTCGTACTAAAATTAATAAAGCAGCTTCTTGGGCCTTTTTCAACATTATAAACCCTGGTTCCTATGCTCTGCTTGTGGTACCTTGTCGTTTCGATGCATACCAGATCACTGTTGGGAACCACATCGGGATTTCCGCTGCTGCTTTCCAAATATATTTTCCGCATATGGAGCAGCGCAATCTGTACCGGCATAATCTCGTGGTTGCCGTCGGCGGAATGAAACGCCACGTCTTGGGGCGACATTCTGACCTCGTATTCCTGATCAAAAACAAAGCCCAGCTTTTCTGCCAGCGGACTGGCCTTGGCCGTGCGAACTCTCACAGTGTAAGTAAGAGGAGGAACCTCTGCAAATTTAAGACTACACCATAAAGCTGATTTATTATTTGTGCTGGCCGGGTAACCATCACTGTGCAATCCATATACATTGGGTATGAAATATACAGTTTTTTGTTACCTGCTCCAGAAAACGGATTAATGGGAGAGCCGGAACTAACCGGCGAGGCAGCTGCCTGTGAGTCGTTCCAGATGCTGGAGTCGGTATCGGAGCATATGCTACCGGTTTCACCCAATGCCACGGTCAACCGGAAAGCCGCCATCCAGTCGGTCATTTCGGTTTGCGAAGGATGTTTGAACAATAGTGGCTCGCTCAGCGTATCCAGTGTTAATTGAAGAGCTTTAGCGCTGGCTAAATCCTGCTGGCCACTGTAGTCAATCATTTCAATTTGGCTTTCCTGGCTTAGATTGAGCAAATTCTGTGAAGTATGGACGGCGTTACGAGTGTCGATCTGCAGAACTGGTGTAGCGTTGTTTGATAGATAGCGCAGGCAAATCCATCGTTTCCGCCACACCTGAATAGGGAAATTAATACGCATTTATACGGTTAAGGCAATACGATATTATAATTTTGATTTCATTAGTATGGAAATTATGTATGCATTATTTGGAATTGCTGAGTAACTGCATTTGCTATACTTCTATTCACGCAGTTAGTCTTCTAAAAACTGTTTGGCTTACTGATTGTGAGAGAAATCGTAAAAACTTATCATGGAGCGATTCAGATTAATTTCGATAATTAATGCACATTTTCTATTATTTTTTATCGATATATTTCGATAATAAACACCGACTTGCCAGTTTATGGTTACACCACTCCTGTCTAACCAGGGCACATACCGAGGCTATAAATTCAGAAAAATCTCATTTTTGGCAGAAAGGTGGAACAACTATGTAGGATGTTTAAAGAAATTATTTCATGTGCCATGGCCAATGGGCGTGGCCAAAACAAAATTTAAAAGTTATTCCTACACTGTGCTGTAGCCTATAGGAAATATCACGAGATTGTACTTTTGATGCAGGACCGGTTTTCACTGCTGTTTACTTTAATTGTGTATTTGAATTTTTCTTAGGAATTTTTCGACAAATCCTAGGTAACACGCGCGTACCGATATGTCTCGACTAAAAAAAGTTAAAGCATGCGTTGCACCATTTACAAAACCATTTCGCAGGCGGCTGAATTGGCAATGCTTCTGTGTGTTATGACTTACAAGTTCCCCGTAATAATCGAAAAATTGCTTACACAAATCAAAGTAAATCGTTTCTAATGAAAAAGTACAGATAGATATAAAGTACAGCATAAACAAAACATATTTCGAACGAGTTAACTGCCTTCGCTGCCGGATTGTCCAGGACTCCAGTATAAACGTTATCAGTCTCACGGCATTTCCTATCGGCTACAGCACGGTGCAGGATTAACTTTTAAATTTTGTTCTGGCCACGCCCATTGGCCATGGCACATGGAATAATTTTTTTAAGCATCCTACATAGTTGTTCTACCTTTCTGCAAAAAATAAGATTTTTCTGAATTTATAGCTTCGGTATGTGCCCTGGTAAGCACAACTAAACTGAGATCATTGAAACTTAATTTAAAAATTGGCAATTTTAACTTATGCTTAAAATTTATTCGAAGCAACCAATACTTCGACTCGTATTAAGGAGAGTGTGGGTCGTACAAGATCTTTTAATTTTGTTAAATCGCTTATTGATTTTGCAGTTTACCTTTTTAGCCTGCTCTGTGTTTTACTTGTCTGGAGATTTCGCGATACAGAAATAAAGAAATCAAATTCTAATATTTCCTGTGCCGTGTACATTGTTTACGCATTCAGACGCACAACACTGTCACTTTTTATGCGCAAAATGGTATACCAAATTTAAGTGTTACTGTCTTATTATCTACAAACACAGTTTTTCTGTATTGACTTGTCTGATTCTGAATTCAGGATAAAGAAATTTCCACAAAAAAACAGGACGTTACCAAGTAGCCGTCATGTGAGAACTTAAATGAACATCTACAGCGCATACATAATAGATGCAATAACGCATAGGTCACACGGCGGAAGTTGAGGTGTTCGGCTAATCTGGCATTCTGCAGCACGACGAACCGGAAGTAATCAGCTGTTCAAACAGTCTGCGATCGATTTACACTTTTGTCAAATAGGACTTCTCGTATCTGATATTAAAATATCACACTGACAGTCCGTTATTATTTTGCAATTTCGTAAGAATAACGGCTGAACCCCTGCCGATCGATCGTGTTTGTGATGTTTGTTATGTGCCCGTCTTCTCATAACACATATTTAAAAGGAATTTGTAAAGCTGCATTGATCATAACCGTTAAGCAACTAACAATGATGGATTGAGATTTGGTAGTTTCTCCTCCCTGCCCGCTGATTTCAGGGATATTATGGAATGCCGCATGCGGTGACTGACGGAAGCGAGGAAAGAATTACTACGTATTACAAATGCGCAGAAAGTGTCTCGCATAAACAGCACAGTCAACATTACGATAAAGGCGTTCGAATACAAAACTCTAATATGTATACAGTATTTAGCTGCACGCACAGACGGGAAACAAACGGAAAATGCATCAAAATCTTTGATTATACATGTACTTGTAAGGGCATAGAAAATCTCAGGATACAGTTATTTCAGCGTTCTTCCATATTGATATCCTAGAGGAAGGTGGTTATTCTTGACAACATAATTGTTTTTCGCAGTTCGAGAGTAGACGTAGCTCTTTGTCGGTTAAGATATTTCAACTACAATGCGAGCAAGAAAGGAAGCTACGGGTTTAGGGTATGCGTTGTAGCGAAGACAGCGAAAACCGGTTTGTACAGCTAGTACGCGCACAGACAGCCACACTCATAAGTGTGCAAGTGAATGCGAGCGGATTTACCCACTCACACACACATGTGCCGATCGATCGATACAGCAAGGCAGCACTCCGCTTGCGCTTTTTGGCAGCACCGGAATGCGCTGTCTTCGGTCTATTTATAGTCACAACAGAGAGGCTGCATTGATCAACCAGCCTCAGCGGGCAAAAAAGGCTGTTCGCTGGCTTTTTAACATAGACCGTAGCCTCCTCATTTAGTCAGATTGTACGTACGCAAATAAATCGTGGGTCAGCCTGTGGCTTCTAAATGTTTTCTTGTTTTGATTTCATCTGCTAATAATTAACTGGCTTGGCAAACACGATGAAAAATAGTGTATTTTTTAAATCATAACATCTAAACCTATGCTTCAACGCTGAAGTTTTGTTGCTTCAACACTGGAATATTTTGCCTTTCCGGTTCATGTTATCCGGGATGTTAAGCAGTGTGTGGCACTACTTCCGGTTGTCCCATATTACAGGCTGTCATCATGTGTGGAATTAGGAGGAAATTCCACAAATGGTGTGATGAATAATAAATTTTAACGGGCAGTTATTCTGTGGAAGTAAGTAATTAACGGCTTGAAAAATTGCTCGTTACGCAAGCAGTCAACGGGCTCATCATGTACGTACGTACGTACTTTAAAGATAGAATTTCCCTGTACGCTTTTATTACACCAAACCCCCAAACGTTTCGTGATGGACTTCATAATACACAGTTACATGCATATTGTACCCGTACCTGCATACTTCCAAGCATTCTCTAGTGTATAAGACATTGTTGTGTCAATTCAACGATCAAATCATTTTTTGGAATAATAATTTTTTCTACTTCTGGCAAAAATTAAATAGCGACTAATTTATTAGTGGCTTAATACCTTCCATTTCATAAACAGCAACTTTTTGGTTTCTTGTACAAACAGATGACCCTGCTTGATAATGACTCCGTTCTTCGGCGGAAATTCTGGATCGCCCAAGGTTGCACTCGTATTGGGATTCATTACACATACCATTAGGGAACAACAGCAGCGAATCCCTAATGGCCTTAATGATCATCCACTCCCATTGCCAGGGAATGGCCTGGAGTATAATAGATGAACTTTTCCCACGAAAAAAATCACAACGCACATCCAACTCCGAGACACAAATAGTGCCTATGTACACGTTTGTCAGGCCATTGCGCTACATTATGCGCACCGGCAAAAACACAACCAGACCGGCTTCCAAGCAATCACTTCCAGCAAAATAAATAATCCAGCATCCAATAAAAAGCCGGGTGTCAAGTTCACTATCACGCTATACATATGCAACTCCGGAAAGTGGGTAAGGTGAACTATGCAGTCGAAATGCCAACTGCGTGATAAAATCGTGCTTTTAATTTAATCAGCCGATCCGGGAAGTTTACAAAGCTCTTCTCCCTTGAACAAGCGTGAGTAGTGCGTGCCCGTAAGAAAAGCGCGGGATTAATCAATGGTTTCAGGCTTCGGGTTTAAACATTAATTGAGCTAAAAGAAACGAGTAAGAAATAGCACCGAGGGAATTACACCCAACGCGACGCTGTAGCAGACGTAACGGGATTCCAACAGTGGGGGATTATTAGCAGGGAACTGAGCCCCAATGATCCAGTCCAGACGCAGTAACCGTATTATATTCACTGTACCAGTACGGCTGCGCAGCGGCTCACCAATGACCAGCTGTCGGCTAATGGCCCCACCCAGTCCTACAAACCCAATGTGGCGTACAGTGTACATGTTATACCATGTTTGGCCGGCTTAACGGGATGAATGTTACACATGCGTGCTTTACTGAACACTGTAATCAGACGGAAGAGAGTGAATCAAGTGATTTAATTTCTTTTTTTCCTCAGGATACACTAGCGGGTTGCGGTACCCTACGTGTAAAGTAGACATGCAGTGCTTCGTCTTCTGCAGTCTCGGCATAAGCTGTGACTGCACTGTCAGGCTCATTGATCGTCAACAGCCATAACCGGGAATAAGTGCTGTCATGGGCGCTAAAATCACGGAGAAGAACACACTTTTCTCATCCAATGTGTTGACGGGCTGATACGTCATCCCGCTTCCCCAATATACAGGCGCATGGTGGGTTCGGTGCGGCGTCATCCAGCCTAACCCATCCGGCTTTCCCGCCATATACCAAGCTTCATTACGGGCCGTGGGACTTTTCCGTCTGAAAATGTCGCATGGTTTTGCATCAAAAAGCTCGTTAACGGCATTGTTTATGGAGTGTAATACATTCCACGGCACTTGACTCATCCTGCCCGTGTAGCAGTTGAATCTCGCTCATCCGGAAATGACTAGCACTGGACATCTGCGGACCTGTTGGCAGATTAAACGACAATAGATAAGCCGCCAATCAGCTAGTTAAGAGTTTGCGGCAATCACGGGATTTTCTTGGACAGCAGCTTTTTCCTTATATTTTGTTGATCGACGTAAAAAGGAATGATCCAGAGTCTTCCAAACTGCACATGCTTACAACGTTTTGTATATACTCATAACGTGTCCAAATTCCCGATTTCCCGCGTGTCTTTTTGACAAGTAAAGAAAGTAAAGGTCAGCCAACAGCGTTCGTACCATCGATGGTACGTGTGTGCTTCTTTTTAGCGCTGCTACTGTCTAACTTCAAAAGCGCCACACTTTGCGCTGTACAGCTTATGACACGAATCGTACGGTCATTCCGAGAATCATTACAGACATACAAAAAGACTGCATCAAGTTTCCAATTTTTACGTACAGTCGCCCGACACTTTAGACTATGATCTTTCGTGGCTCCTTCTTGAAGGGTATTCATTCGAGCGCTTTAAGCTAGTTGAAGCATCCTCAAGTACTTCAGACAACCTTCTGTAATTTCGGTAGAAGAAAGAATTCTAAATTTCTAATGCTCAAAACACTTTGTAAAATAATGCAGTAACCTGGCAGTTACTACTTGTACAGATGATATTACGCTGATAAAATTATGCAGAAGCCGGTCTTGCCGACTGTTAATGCACTTGTGTATGCGATAAAAAAACTTCTTTTTTTGCAGCTATCTGTGTTTCTAAACAACGTCCGCTTTTTTAAGCGACCCTGTGATCAAATATAAGCATGTTTCCTGGAATCTTTATTCTAGCTGGATTCGTTGCTTCTAGTTATTGTATAATCTTACAGTCTCGTCTTCCTGTATAAAATGACAGCAAGTTAAAAAATTTGTAAGGCTTGAACCAGCAATATTAATAAATTTTTTTCAAATTAAATTTGATTGTTGAATTTATCACAGTGTGGCAAGCATAACCAGCACTTGGGAAAAACATCACAAGACGACCACGAAAACTGTTTGAAGCGAAGACAAATATACTACTTAACGCAGGAACAGAGTTCGCAACACATCTAATGCAAGCATAAGTACGAGTACATACGCATTAGCACTTCTATTTTTAAGATTAAAAACAAGCTCTAAACAGCATGATCAACAACGTTTTGTTTGCGCTCTTTCTATACAAAATGGAGATTGTATACGTACTGCAACAAACAAAAGAAGACATTGATAAAAGTAGTTGCCCAATTAAATATCTTGAATACTGTTAAGTGTTGAATATTCATCTGCAATAAATGTGTTATATTATTAAACCTGAAACGAAACCAAGCAGTGCGTAGTTTTTGTGCAATCCACGTACTTACGCACCGGTACTGCTGGGAAGCGCTGAATCACTATGGCGTTTCTGCTCCACCCGATCTGGAACAACCATATTCTCGCCGGATGTCTCGGCTTGTTTGGGGGAGGAACTGCTAACATTCTGTTCGGCCTCCTTGGATTTCTGATACTCCAGCGTCAATCGCGCACGTTCTGACGCTCTATCTTTAATTCGTCCTTGAAGCATCTTTATCTTTTCTTCCTTCTGTACAGACATTCACAAACAATTGCGCGCCATATAATACAGCCTTACATACTTTGGTGACTTTAAAACTGCACAATTAACCTCTTGAATCTGCTTTTTCAGTTCTTCATTTTCTCCAAGCAATTTTTGATATTTTTCCTCTTCCTCGCGAGATGGAATGGAATCTTCCAATTTCTTGCTGTCAGAATGTTCTGTTTTCCTTCTGTAGATCTCAATAATCTGCAAACGTCAGCGCGACCTTTCTTACTTTATTGCTTTCTCACTGCTGAGAAATCTGGTAAGATTTTTTATAGAAACTTACCTTTGGAACGAAAATTAATCCCATGCTGAGGAAACTGCAGAACATAATCGAAAGAGCAACGAATGCAAACTTTGCATTATGTTGCCTGCTGATTATCAGCGACACCGGTGCCGTAATGATGCATAATATCTGCAAATGTGGAAAAAGTTTGGAATTACTGCGGATAATTGTGGCTGGTTAAAGCTGCTACAGCCGTATTTTGTACACACACCCCTCGACCAAACAAAGACAGTATTTGATATAAATATTTGCATCAGTTATTATTATTTTCTTAAAAGTAATTGATTTCAATACATAATTAACAAATAATTTCAGACAATTACTAACTCGCATTTGTTAAGATGTACAGTAACTCACCACGACATTATATATACTCATTCCAACGAAGCGGGAATCATTCAGTTCTTTGATTTTGACACTCCGCGTTTCATAAGCCAGGAAGAGTCCAAATATTAAAAAGAGGCCCTTGTATGCGAATATGACACCTGCAAACATAATAGTGCAGTATACGACCTTTGCCAATGCAGCTACAGTAACGTCAGTAAGTAGTTGACTAATCTTGTTATGCAGCTTCAGACGAGCACTTCTATAAATTATGTGCTGTGACAAGAAAAACTACCTTGATCGACACTGCATTCTAAGCAAGCTCATACCCATCCAGATGGTGTCGTGGGGAGAAGCACATTGCCATAGTACAGGCTCATACTCAATATCTTCATCCGTATCTGTAGCCTTTTCCGGTGGGAATTTATATGGAGCCAGATCCATAGGATGGATACCGGCCCATAGCGCAAGAATAAGAATGTCCACTACTAACAGTGCGATCACCACTATGTATAATTGCCATGATTCCACTTTCTGAAATATTAAAAAAAAGTCCAGTGTACCTGCATTGCTTTCTTGTCAGAAAATTCTGGTTTCACGGTTATCGTCATGCGGATTTTAAATACAGTAAATCATACATGCAGAGAATAACGAATAACCTTTAACTATATAATGACCTTTACAAAAAAGTTCTTACGCACACGTTGACCTACGTGTATGTACAGGCAATCAAAATTAAAACTGGAACTGGTATACGGGCAAAACGCAGCCATGCAACGATTTTGCGAAAAGGAAAGCAGACAATCTGGGGATGCAATAAAATTTATGATCATGCATGAAAATAAAGAGGACAACACAAAAGTGACGGAGCTTCTAACCTGGGTCTGCACAAGGGAAGAGAAGGTACGTATTTCTGCGAAGCTGGTATTATTGCGAAAACTGCCTCTACCGGCTGATCGGCGAGCTTCGCGCTGCAAATAGGGTTGGGGGATGAGACCGAATAGGTGAAATAAAAAATGGGTTGGTCGTAAGGGTAGGTTCAGCGACACGTGGGGGCCAGATTACGAATTAAACGTAGAAATTAAAGGAGACATGAGTAACAAAATATCGTGGGTTTAACTCTGTACTCACCTATTTTACGACTAGGAAGAGTGTACAATAAGCCACGACTTTCACAGTTAATTTTGTTAAAAATAATAATCTCCTTATCTATTAGACCTGTACTGTAATAATATAGATATTCTGTTGTATGTATTTCTCTTACAGTTTTATACGAGTACAATGATGATCCATACTGAGTGCATTTTGTATGATAATACAGAATATTCATAATATGTACATTCATAATATTATATTCATAATAATATTCACACTGCATCGTTAAAATTGAATGTGCTCCTTAAAATATGCAAGCTAAAACGTAAAACGTAATTGTTATGACCTTATTGTTAGTACAATAGTTCGGAAATAGTTAAGTGTGTAAAATGGCGACTCCTAGAGAATTCTTTTAGAAAATGTAAACCGAAGCGAAATACATGGTCAAATCTGAAAAGATGGAACAGATCTTCTAAATCGAACATCTAAAAATCTCATTGAGTAAATTAAACTTGTTTAGGTTTTCTTGTTGCAACAGCCCCAGGGCTATGGTACCTTGCTTTCTTTCTTTGCGTAAGTGCTGAGTCTATGGACGTTCCAGATTTTCGAAAACATTGATCCATAGGACAACGTAAACCCGGTCATTAGTATCCAGGCCCGTGCCTACAGTAAACCAAAAGTTGGCAACATTAAGAAACTCAACTTTACGAAAGGTGGCTTAAAAATTTAAATTTTCTTACCTGGCATAGCATATAAAACCTTTCATTTGTGATCAATGTATCGAATGCTTTATCGAGTCCGAGTAAGATCACAGATATCAGACACAATACGATGCCAAAAAGCATGAGATTGTTGATGTTTGGATGCGATAGCTGAATCAACCTACCATAAAAGTTTAGATGAAATTTTGGAATTGCCTCCTATAGAAGAATGCGGAAAAACTTAAGCTAATTTCCCGCATCTACGAGTAGAGATATACATGTCTACCGGGCGCATGTATTGTATTTTAAAACCATTACACAAATAGCCGGTATGTATATTCATAGGAACTGACAGTATACTGTAAACTACAGACTGTAGCTTTGCGTATAGATGTCCGGAGTTTGTTAAGTATATGCTACTAACCTGCGCATGCGATGCGTGAAGTTAAAAATTAAGCAGCATATCGCCAGAACAATGCCGAAACCCGCCAAAGTCACCATGGACCAGAACAGAAAGCGTTCGACAATGCGGAATTGTGGATATTTTAATGTTTCATGACGTGGCGGCTTCCCACCAATCCAGCGATCACGAGGTCGGCCGTTCTCCCAGTTGATGACATCGATATCCGGGTCGTAATAGCCAAGAATCTTGTAGTGGCCATCCTGCATCTGCTCGATTTGGGTTTGCGCTATTCGATCGCCTTCACTCGTGAACGAAACCCGACCCTGTCGTAATTATATAACTCCCAAATTATTATTGTCGCAAGAGGAAAATTAAAAATCAACCAAAATCAGCGAAGGTATACACTTACGGAAACCCCTTCGAATTCTGTATTCTGCGTTGCGTTATAAATGACTTGTGATGTGAATTCGTCGGAATACGTAAAATCTTCGAGCAGTTTCCCGTATTTAGCTAACTCTTGAATGGACCGGTTAAATGCTAGCGCGATGGCCCAAACCGCATCGTACGCCAGCGGCGCTTCCACGTAACCTGGTGTTTCCGTCGGTTTCGTAGTAAGCCGAGATCCCAGTTCGTTGAAAAACTGCTCCGTCGTCTGATGCATTAATAAAAAGAACAACCGCGTTAAATTTATGCATTAGCAGAGATACTTACTAGAAAATTATTAAATAAAATGGCTATGCTCCCGCAAAGTCGGGAACAAATTAAAAATAAAAACAAAACGAAATTAGGCAGAGTAAAAATAAAATATTTAACAGTTTAATATACCCTTACCCTTCCCGAAAGGGTGGAGACATTGTTGGAATTTCTAATTAACGATTCCGCTGTAAGATGGCCTTCCAGTGCTTCTTTCAGTTCTTCCTTGGTGCAATTCACATCCGGATCCTTATCCGGATCGACTTCGTACCAGTTGTCGGCATACCAACCGATAATCAACCATACAACGCGCTTCCCGTACAGATTATTTTTGTAGGCTTCACAGAATACCAAACGTGCCGGTTTCTCGTAAAACAGCCCCACAATAATCCGGGCATCCGAGCGATTTAAATTTCTCACTGCTTCCGCGGGATCTTTTAAAAACGACTGCCGCGTGACCACCTCAATTTTATTCTGCTTGCATAACCTTTCCAAATTTTCGACGCTCTGATAAAACGATTATTGGTTAAAACCGATATACTCGTATAACTAATAAATTATTACGACATACCGACACAAATACTTCCTCTGCCTCTTGGATGATATTTATCTTTTGCCAACCGTAGTGCTTAAAAAGCTGAATATAAGCCGGATTATTGAGGTTAGCGGAAGGATGTGTCCGAAAAAACGTTGTAAACCGCCGTCTGTCCGATAAAGCTGGAGAACTAGATCCATAAGACATCTGCAAGAATGCTAAGCTAGTTAAGCATCAATATACAGTAACGTGTCGTCCAATTGCGCATATTATGAACACAACAACAAGCAGCTGTGTATACTGAAAAGCGATGATTGACCCGCTTCGACATAATGATACCACGAAGTTTAATTTCAAACTGGCGTGCACAAAAGATGCTCGCACTTCGCACAGACTTATTACGTAGGACTCTAGGAGTCAGAGTAAGAAATTATCATTAGACGCTAACTTACTTTGTATAAGTAACCAAAAATTGTCAAATTGCCAGCGGAGGTTAGATGTTATATATTTCGTTTTTGTGACAATTCATATTTGCCCAAAAAATCGCGCATTTAGAAATTAAAATTGCAATTTGATTTACTAAAACTTTATCTAAAAATTACATAAGCTGCTGAAATTGTATTACTTTTGTTGGCAGAAAGCATTCGATTTTGCAAATCTTAGTATGCTTACAACAACGAGATTCCACATTTTGGCTGCTTCTGCAATTGTTGTCGTCACAGTAGAACAGCCTGGACCGAGTAGCATTATTTTCTGGGGCTCATTATATAAAAGGTCGTATAAAATCGTTATTCCTTTTCCCGGTTCGCACTATAAAAAGATTAAAATTAACACGATTTCCAACTAAATATAGTCGATATACAGCACCGGCTTACCCTCCGTGAATTAAAACATTTTTGCCAAGTACTGGTTAATTTGTACTTGTGTGCAGTTACGTTACCTACTAATTACTCTATTTAGTGTTTAACTCGTGAGCGCTTACCTCACTATCGTTGTAATGCATAGTGAGATGGTATCCCGGAAGGAGACCGGAATGGTTGTTAACATGTTCCAGCGCCAACTGGGCGGCAGGGTAACATCCCACCCCTCCAGCCCAGCCACCCTTTCCCGTTATGGGAAATATGCCTGCAAAATCGTTTTTCATATACGGTCGTAGTTGCAGATGTCTGGCTCTTACTTACCAGCAAGCACTAAATCCTTCACGCAGGAACATATTGGAATGAGGTAACATGTACTCAGGATGCATAATGCATACACGCTGAAAGAAATATATCGTCTCTGAAACATTTTAAATTAAAAGCTTCATTGTGCGGGGATGTTTTTGATACTGTATACACTGTTTGCAAAAAAATGCGTTCTTCAAAATAAGTCATAGCCGAAGATTCCTTGGATCGAAGAGTGCCGCCTGACGTCAACAGAACGGAGCATGCTCACAAGTCAGGCTGCACTGGAGTGAAGAGTAGCACACTGTACATACGCGCAATACACTGCCGTGTGATAAACTTTGTTATATAGATAGTATGAGAATATCGATTTTTTTCCGTTGTATATTTTCCGTAACACTGAGCTAGTCCAGAGCTATACGCCACAAATTTTGGTCCAGAGCTATACGCCACAAATTTTTTTCCTATGCCAAAGTACGTATATACACTACTGAATAAGCCTAACAGTTCGAAGACATCAACGAGCAAGTTTAGGCGAAAAAAAGAGCGGAGATTATTTTAAATGATGCATCACAATAATACCGTTAATCATGAGAAGCGATCATAGGAACTGGATATGTAAAGCCTAAGGAAACGCGAAACCACAAAGCATTATCTGAACAAAAGTAACAGCATACCAACAAGGTGACTTGACGTATAAATGAGGTGACCAAAATATAATCAGTGTTTGAAACTGAAAAACGGTTAGTAGAAGACTATAAAGTTATAGTGCCAGCTGCATACGTCGGATTAAATACGAACTGATAAGATCGCAACATGTACGCAAACATATCCCAGCTTTAAAGGGATAGGCCGTATGAATTTTTCCGTATGAATTTGAACATGCAGTTGATCAAAACTGGCAGTCAAACTGGCAATTCCAAACCGTTAATTCCAAACTGTATTGCTGTTTCACGAAAGCCTCTTTGTGTGACCTGGCGGTTTCCCATCAATCCACCTGTCCTGAGAGAGACCGCGTCTTCCCAGCCAATTTCATCGGTGTTTGGGTTGTAACAGCCAAGAATTTTGTATTCGCCATCTTGCATCTGTGCGATTTGGGTTTCCGCTATTCGATCACCTTCATACGTAAATGAAACACGGCCCTGTTGTGAAATTAAAATTATTAGGATGCAATCAGAACATATCGGAGGTAGGAGAATCTAGAGCGGTTCGGTTGTACACTTGGACTTACTGAAACTCCTTCGAATTCCGTTCTTTCAGTTGCGTTATAAATGACCTGTGATGTGAATTCGTCCGAATACGTAAAATCTTCCAGTCGCTTTCCAAATTCTGCTAGCACTTGAATGGACTTGGTCAGAGCTAGTGCAATAGCCCAGACAGCATCGTACGCCAGAGTGGCTTCCGCGTAGCTCGCTCTTTCCCGTGACCTTGTGGTCATCCGAGGTTCCAGCGCTTTGAAAAACTGCTCTGTTGTCTGCCTCAATCAGAATCAGAGCTGTGTTTTAGCAGCGGTATAACGTGGTTAAGTAAGAAAATTATATCATGAAATATAAAATTGTATTCTTACTAGTCCGGAAATCGTCGACACACCGGGGGAATTTTTATTGAACGGTTCCAGTGTTAGGTGTCCCTCCAAAGCTTCTTGGAGCTCGTCTTTTGTGCAAGTAACCCCCGGATCGACTTTAAACCAATTGTTCGCAAACGAACCGTCAATTAACCAAATAGATCGGTTGCCGTACAAGTTATTTTTATAGGCTTCGCAAAATACGAGTCGTGCTGATGTCTCATAGAAAAGACCCACAATAATTCCGCCATCAGACCGATTCAAATTTCTCACCGCTTCCGTGGGGTCGTACAGAAACGACTGCCGGGTGACCACCTCGATTTCATTCTGCTCGCACAATTTTTCCAGGTTGCCCACAATCTGGCATAATATAAAAGAAGGGCACAGTAAATCAAATTCGAACGCAACATTTACTGATAAATTCCTGAAGTTACCGAATTGAACCCTTTTTCCGCCTCATATATAATATGAATTTTTTGCCAACCGTAATGTTTAAGTAGCCGAATGTAAGCGGGATTGTGGAAGCCTGCCGAAGGAACCGTTCGAAAAAATGTTTTATATTTTCGTCTGTCGGAAAGCGCAGGAGAGGTGGAACCATAAGACATCTACAAAGCACTATTAATTTTAACCATTTTACGATTAGCATTTGCATATAAAGTCATCTCACGTTACGATGAAACTGATTGTGAACATTACGTAAGTACTATTAAGTTACCTAGGTGTAAGTCAAAGTAAAATTAAATGTGTTCTTCCAGTATGCGTCGCTTTGAATCGCTTTCGGTCTCGATAACCTGTAATTACCGCTTGTATTTATTGGAGTATGTTACAAATACTTCCAAGAGCAAAAATGCAGTAAAGCGTCCAGAGTACTAGTATAAAATAAAGCATTTCAACATACCGTACTTGTGTTCAGTAGTTTCGCTGCTTAATGTTGCATTACATTCATCACAGCTGCATTCAGCTCGTTACATTCAACACAGCTGCAATACGAGGAATTGTTATCACACACTTACGACAACTAAATTCCACATTTTTGCGGCTTCCGCCACAGTTTCCGTGACGGCAGAACAACCTGGACCCAGTACCATTATTTTCTGTGGCTTATTATATATCAGGTCGCTAAAAATCGCCATTCCTTTTTCCGGATCGCACTATAGAAAGATAAGAGTAATAAGCACTTATTAGCCGTAAAGAACCAGTCGTTACGTTTGTGCTCGTATAATGCTCGCACATGGATCGTGGGAACCGGAAACATATGCTTTTTAGTACTGCATCATAAGTAGCTTATAGTCCGTATACACGCAAATATGTTACAAATCTTTGTAAATCGTGAACAGATTAAAAAAACCAAAATATGGATGTACAGTTGAAAATTTATTGTAATTAATATTTTCTCTGGGTCTGTGGAATCTGTATGACATAATAATGCTTAACCTCGCTGTCATTATAACGCATCGTGAGTTGGTATCCCGGAAGGAGATGGGGGTGGTCATTAACATGTTCTAGCGCTAACTGGACGGCGGGAAAACATCCAATTCCTCCGGTCCAGCCACTTTTTCCCGTAAAGGGGAATATGCCTAAACTAAGATCGTTTACTTGAACTACAACTAAAATTGTTGTAACATATTGTTTCCGGAAGGAACAAAACTAGTATGATTACCAGCAAGTACTAATTCTTTCAAACAGAAGCTTAGCGGAAGCATGCTACATATGCTCAAGAATGCGAATCCAGTAGATAATACACCGACAGCAAACCATCTCTGTGTCATGATGAAGAAAACGAATCTTTTGTAAAATTGTTAATATTTAAGGCAACATTGATATCGCGTTGTTTCTGTTGAAGTAAATATATCGGCAGGGTTTATTAATTAGAAGTTAGAATGACCGACACAATAATCGTGAGAAGATACTATCAGTTAAAACTGAAATACCGTTTTATGCGGAGAAACATACCTTACGCTTTGTACAACTGCAATTTTGTTTGTACATATATTCTTTAATTTGCCGCTGTTGCGCATTTTATTTTAGAAATGCACCGTAATATCAATTTTAAGGCTACAGCCCGTCAGATTTTCGTTCTCCATGGTCATGCGGTGTACAATTTTTTGAAAATAGAGCGCAACCAAAGAAGACTTTTGCACCATGGTCGATGGTTTATAGTACATCATTCATTACGAAAACTACAAAGTGCTGGATACACGTATTTTACCCGCTCCATTAGATGGGTTTGAAAAGCACTACTAACAATTTCATTTGTGTCTTCTGCTATTGTAAAAATGGCGTAATTTTGTACTACCCGAATAATTAACGAAAGCTGTTTGTGGCTTCAGTGTTCTGCCGACTTCCGGTTCGAACTGATAAAATGTCATGGTTGTTACGCATCTATTTATTCCGAAATCTTCTATTGTTATCGAGTAACTAACCTAACATAACTCAGATGTCAGGTGTTACTATCGGACTGACAGATCACAAAGTTTTCAATCATACTGTTTGACGAGAAAGATCACGGAAAAGGTTATAAGTGAGTTACTGTATAAGCGCTGTTCATTTCACGCGAAGAAAAATTGAACGAAGCGTGTAGTCTGAATATTGTCTCACTTATGACAGGATGTGCAATGTACATGTACAGGTAACGTCGAAGATTCGTCTCAGTTCTATTGGTAAAACGTTTTATACAGTTTTCGTAGATTCATGTACCTGTGACACGTAGAGGAGGATTGTGCAGTACATTTTGTTTGATTAACCTGTCAGACTTAAAAGAACAGTGCCACAAGAAGTGTACTATGCAAACAACTAACACAACTAACAACTCCAGCTCAATTTGTATAAGTGACTATTTCGATTTTTCTCTAGTAAAGAATTCTTTTTCAGTTGGCTTTTATGAACATCATACGCAAAACATCATATGACTGAAAATGAACGCACCATTAGAAACCACAAACCAGCATTCTGGAAAACATTCCACTCAAACGATGCACCTGTTACGTCTGCAGCGAAACTAATAAATAACTTAATTTGCGCTTCTGGAGCAACCGGAAAAGAAATATGCTAGCGAGAGTGCGGATTTCTTTTCCAGCCAAAACTACTTATGGAAGTTCATCAGATCGTTAGCTTCTCTAATATGACTTAAAATTACGCACATTTCGTTTATGTGTAATTTTGGGCGTGCATGTACAGAGTACAGCAGCGATGTTATCAATTACCAACAACATTTTTATTGATTCTCTTTACGATTGTGCGCATGCAGGTTTTGTTATTAGCTGTAGGACTTTTGCCGAGATGTCAGAAGTGTAGCAGGAATCTATATAAAGTAACGTACTCAAGAAAGTTGTAAATGTATACTATTGCCAGAGAGCATGTACCGTATTATTTGTTCAGAATACGTTGGCATTACGCTGAAAATCTGTACATAAAAAATTAAAGGCTGCAATTAAATTTAACGATTGTACCAAAAAATTTAAAATATATATCATACTTAGATAATCGAAGTTTATTAAAACATATCAGCGTGATTATAGTAATAGTCAATAGTGGTGTCATTAAAGTATGATTAAACAGATACCCCAGTAAAACAGAAAGCAAAAACTCAACACCATAGTTCAGTGTCATTTCTCATCGTCCACGGCATTATACATGTACGTAGTAACTATTTCATTAAGCCAGCTCACCGCTATAATCTTCTACATAAAATAGCTTTTTGCTGCCACCACGGTGTAACCCGGGTAATGTTCATTTCCAATTAAATGGTTATTATTGCTCTTATCAAAACGTCGACGTACGTAACAAGCAAATTAAAAATGTAGATTTAGACAGCTGACGACACACGACAGATCCCATCATACGGCATCCACTTCAAATTGCCAACCGGTGCTTGAAAAACTGCTACATGCTGACTGGCTAATGACGTCAAGTGCGCATAGTTCTCTGGTCCAAGTTTTTCTTTTACCGGCGCGAGACTTTTTTCTTTTTGCGTTTACCAGCGTAGTACAAGTCAATCAGAGAATTGTTCGGGACTGTGTACACGCTCGGCTGAATCTATTGAAGATTATTGTGCTGAACAAATTTACTCCGTGTGCTCGGCACCGAATTCAACCAGTGCATGCCATTCGAAAGTATACACCAGAAAACTTATTCCAGGGATTTTTCATGGCCAACATATAAAACACTTCGACCAGGAAGAGAACCGTGATTAGAAAGCCCCGCCCTCCTGCACCACGTACGCGTCCCGTACAGCAGGTGCCGAAAGTGGGAAGTGGCGCGCATGTGTGTACAACTTGCCCAGTCCGGTCTTCCCGTATTCGCCGGCGCGCTTTCCGGCCGGTGCAATTACGGCCGGCTGCCAATCATGCTTATTGGCATGGCATTCGCATAAATGATCGCGTGAGAAACGTCGACCGCGGGACGAAGTACCGGCATCAGTCTTGTCTATCAGGATTTGCACAACATAATTGGGAATAATCTGGCTCGTGCACATCATTAATTTTAAGTCGGCATAGACACATATCCTGGACATTATCTGTCGGAAGGCGTGTATGTATGTGTGCGGCCCCATCTCTTACTGGAAATCCGCTGCGTATATAGCGTGCCGGTGCATCGGCACATGTTGCGGCATTTTGCTGTGTTGTTGTGTGTGGATGTAATAGCTACTCACAAATCCCTTACGTGTGTTTTCGGTTTAGCCGTACATCTGTACAAGCTATACAGGGATCAGGCTTAGCTGTTGATCACATGCATAGTCTGACAGCTGGGAGAAAGGGGGAAAAGTGGCCGACCGGAGCACTCAGCCGGTGTTTTAAGTGTTGCACTTTTTGTCCACGCCGATTGTATTCCCGGAAGTAATTCTCCCGGCCACTCCGTGCCGGCTGTGTATAGGACTTTATACACTGCGAGTCTGCGCGGGTGCTAACCCGATTTCCGCTTTTTTTTGTCATACGACGCAGCATGAGTGCAAATCATTGGGTTTCACCGACCGAAATGATCTTTTATGTAATCCCTGCTTAAATATATACTTCGTGTTAGTCGACATCTGATACCGACTCCGGGATCAGTGGTTGGCAGTGGGGACCAGGCCTGTTATTACCCATATATATTAGTCCTTATCATCCCCGGCGAATGAAGAAGCACCATCCCAACGTAATGCCGAGCGGTGCGTCTTCGTCTTATTCCGTGGAATCCTCCATTTCCTCCATATCCGAATCATGCAGCTCCGTAACCAGCTGTCCTAGTATTAGCACTAATAAGGGCAATATGAACCTCGTTTCCTCCATGAAGGCATCCCTGTCTCCTCGAAAAAAGGTGCGTGCCTAGGCCTGATTACACCAGTATTGCATACAACAATTAATTAGGCCAAATTTAAAAAGCATTTCTTTTTTAATGTCTGGGCTGCTTAACGTATGGTGTTCGCCCTGTAATGATACAAACAGTGGCGTTATAATCAAAGTATGAATGCAGGTAGGAAACCGATTATAATCTGATTACGCTCATCCGATGAGTTCACTGAAAAGGTGTCTTCGTATCAATATTGATATCGGCAATGTACGCAATCGCCGGATTCAATAGTGCGCTTATATGCCGACGTAAGCATAATTATTAACCACATGCTATTCTCTGCTTCAATCATTCAATCAGCTTTCAACAAGCGTGTTATACGCAGGCGGTCAGTGATTATAAATAGCCAATTGGCGCATGGAGATTATTTTTGGAAGATATTTTGGGAACAGCATTGAGAGGAATTGCTAATCCCAATGTACTCTTCAATGACGATGCCGTCTGTAACTTGCCAATGGTCGTGTACGCAGTATGTGTATTATTGATGGCATTCGTGTCAAGTAATCGCCAGCGTAGGTGTGGATTGCATTACTGTTATAACAAAAAAAATTTGACGGCGCAGTTTAAGGTCAAGGCCAAGACTTGACCCACGTGTTCACGCTGCACAGTGTGCAAAAACAGCGCGTGAGATGGCGAAAAAATCTGACAATGAGATAAACCAATTACCATATCAACAACTTAGGATGCTCCACGCAGCGCACGCGTATGCAAATAGAAAAAGTTTTCCGTTATTACGTTATACATTTTTTATATTAACCGCCTAGATAGGCTGTTGCTCTGAGGGATGCTGTAGTCGGCAACGCCAAAATGTCAAATGTCACTACTAAGCAATGCAAATTTTGATTTGCTAACCCTGTTTTTAATAACATGCATGTCTAGACAAAGTAGAAACCAGTTGTTCTATGTTTTCCAATGCATTTATGTTTCACGATAAAATATGTGGCACTGCACCACCTATCTATAACCGGCGTTTCTGGATAAAAACAGTGCGGCGGAGGAACGGGTAAAGGTTAATCCTAAGCTTACTGCTATCAGAGGCAGAGGCGCCTATAAGTATAAATCCATCCGCACCTTTTAAAAACCTTTTTTTGATGTTTCTGACGGTGAAATCACCCAAAAAATTGTAACTGCATGACATATCTTTACTAACATTTATTGTCGACTGCAGTTTTAATGGCTGTTGCAAGTATCATTCGTGAGTCATGGCAAATACGTAAATGCAGACCGGATGTGCAATACTCGTATTACTGCAACTGTATTTACACAGTTGCAAAACAGCGAGAAAACAGCAGCTGATTGGCATTCTTTTGATTAATATACAAATGCATCATTAGCTTTTTAAAACCTTGCACGAATTGCTTAGTAATGACACTAGTAACAACACTGCAGACTGCAGTTTAACGCTTACCGTTTTGCTACTTGTGCTAATCAAATGATGTAGAAGTTGTATAGATCACCGCTTACAAATTTGAATTCGGCTAAAATAACAGATTTGCAAAGGAAAACATATCATAATTAAAACAATAGCAAAATGCTTAGAAAGGAATGTCCTACAAATATTTAGACCGCTTCGACTGTTTGTCACTAGGCGAAGAGAGATCAAACTGTTTTCACAAGATCGAGGTCATTAATTGGATAACCAATGCTAACAAAATATTGTCCTTATGCATAACTATTTTTCCTAAAAAGCTATTACATCACATGCCGTAATACCATAACCCAGTGCAGGGAGCAGTACGGACTAGAGAACGTAATTTGTTTTAAGAAAAATACCAAACTCGCCGATGCCGAACCGCCATTAGCGCATTTTAGGGCAGAATTGTTTGGATAAAGTTTCGAATTCTGGTTACATGAGCCGTTGCCGATTACCACATTTGCTGCCACCATATGTATAATAAAAACGACGCAACGCCAACCACCCCGACCGCGGTCAAAGTGCCTGATCTCCAGTGGCGTTTCTTAGCACTTGGTGTCCCTGTGCTGTCTATCGACCTGTTTCCACAATCACTTAAAAAACTGTTCCCTATGACGTCGTCGGCGGCTTTAGCATATAGATGACCTGAATCTGTTGGCACTTGAGAAAATATGCCGCACTATGTAATGTATCACTTGAGAACATCCGAAAAGGATTTTTCGTGCAATAAAAGCAGCTTTTATCGGTGTAATAACCGGGATAGTCATCACATGGGTTGTGAGTTGTGACATCAATGGCGGACGCATGTGGCATTGGTAATAATCCGTGTCGTCCGGCATTTGTCAAGTCCAATCAGTGTTTTTTCCTGAAGCCGCGCATTGTTATAGTTGATATAATCATTATTATCGCCGGCATAATGTCGTGTCGTGTGATGCTGTAGGGTGCACCGCCTGCCCTTAATATTCCCACAATAAAGGAGACACATGATGCTTCCGCACTGCATAAGAACAAAGCCACGGTGGCATTGAAAATTCCCATTGGTGCCAGCTTATCCGATCCCAGCCGGAGATTGTCCTTCCGTTTGGGCTCCGACGCCGAGGAGAGCAATAATAGCTCCAGTCAGCGGACAACGCCGAGTTTTTCCACGGGAAATTCGGTTTTTGATTTTGAATACAGTTTCGCCCAGAGTGACAGTTCCTGTACCACTCCCTCGGTAAGTACCAATAACAAAGCGCTACTACATATGCCAGTAGTTATTGTATAGAAAGCTTTGGACAAATGCGGTATGGCGCATAATGATAATTATTATTCCATTCAAAATCTGCCCTCTAATATTCACAGCGGCAGGCCGGTCTGCAGTGATTTACAGGTATAAGAATGCGTAATGATAATTTATAGATACTAGATACAAAAACATTTTACTCTGCAATTACCCTAATTAGCGGCAGTAACTGTCGCTTCTGTTGCCTTACTATATAATCCTACTTTTTTTATTCTGCTAAATTTAACTTAAATTTCACACATTTGACCCTAGCAGATTGTTTGTAGCTGCTGTTTGTGTTTTATATATGTGCAAATACATTTGAAAAATAAGTTAATCTGGAAAACACTTTAATATTTGATAGGTGCTAGCCATAAACAGACTTCGATAATATTGATTTTAATGAACTAGATTGATTTGTCACAGTAAATCAAATGCTGAGCTTAGTTGTAAGCCACAAAGAAAAACTATTGACAAAAACGTTCAAGCAAATATATCCATAGTAAAGTTACCCGGCGCAAGCTTGAATCCGTTAATTGCTGTGACCTTTTGGTGATAACCGATTTTTCCCAAACATTGACAAAGAGATTCCTAGTTGCGCCAATTTCTCTTATATAACAACATAAGATGTAACCTATTATTTGGTTTGATGTGACATTTTCATTTAATAACCAATTCTGAACTAAACTACTCTGTACATGTTATAAGAAAACAGCTGCAGAAGATGTGTACTCGTACAATAACATACACTAGTATCTGATTACAAATCAGTAGCACAAAGAACTTCAAATATATTTTGATTTAGTGTGTTTTCACTGCTAACAAAATAAGTTTTTTTTAAATTTTTATTCAGTGAGTTATAAAACGGGTGCAAGTTAATTTACTGTAATCAAACGACGTGTGTGCTATATTTTGCTGCAAACAACATGATGGAGGTACTTACATGTGTACTACTTACATGTTGCAGTCTTGCAGATGCAAGATGGTGTTTTTAAGGTCTAAATTCTGCAGGGCGGAACATTGGTTAATTGTGCGTTAATATTCCTGCGCGAATAGTCGTTGAAAAGGGGCATTATTAACGCGTCCTTATGTGTATGTGAATCTTTGTTGTCAAGTGTATGGAAGCCGAATCAAGCGCACTATTTTTAATTGTAGCCTAAAGTATTGTCGGGCGCCAATTCGGGCATGACTCCTGGAGCAGTCTTTCTTGCTATCCCGAGGGATCCTTTTCAAGTAACATTTGGACCGATTACTAACAGTCATAGTTCCGACAAACTAGCCAGCGGAAGCATTCCCACGCCGCCCATTTCCAGTACGGTTCCTGCCAAAACTCGCATCCACATTAGTCGCAGCTGCAGCATGTTAACAAAAGGTATACAGCAAGTCAGTCATACAATGCCGTCAGCAGTTCAAAAAATTATTATGTTTTATTCTGTAAGAGTTACTTTTCAAATTTGATATTTTAAAAACTGTCGCGCTTTTTTCAAGCCGAAAAAACTACGTTCAAGCATTGCTAAATAATACAGTAAAAATTGTAAAGCATGGAGATAAAATAAAACATACAGTAAATAAATTTGATATAATCGAAAATTCAAATACTTTTGCTTGCGTGTATTAATGCATCACTGTTCTAGTAATAATACGGTTGTTACGCGATCCGCAAACGCAGCAAAGGCAATCATGATTGATTTGGACAAATCCAATGTTTAAACTTTCCACGTACATGCGTGCTTGTGCATCTGCAGGGGTGCAGCTGAGCAGTCTGTAGTGGAGAAATGATTTCATTACAGCTTTTAAAGGATGTTTGCCTTAATGCTCGTGTAACTCATTTGTGTTTACAGGCGTATTTGGCGGTGGAAAGGGCTTACGCTCTAAAGAGCGTTCACAGGAGAAAATCCGTCGCTGTTCATCGCAAACCGAGAAAGACGGGGAATTATCGATAAAAAGTTCCGCCAATCCCTCACGGAAATCCTCGGACACGGATGCCGCATCATCGGACAGCTCCATATTTGCACGCCTTATGCAACGCTGGCACACCTATCAGAACGGTAGCAGTGCCGGCTCGGTGCCGGCACACGCATTGTTCCTTCGCTACAACCTCAACAATAAGAAGAACACGAAGGTTTGTACCGGGGAATTTTCCCGTATTTAATGTCAATACAGGACGTAATGAAGATTTAAAGCAGTTAATTAAGTGTGACGCTGATAAGGTCAAGGACCGCCTCGTGCGGCACATCTGCCCTCGTATATATATGTGCAACCGTGTGCGGAAGTATATTAAGCAATTAAACCAGGGATGTCCGTTAAGTGAGATGGTACGCACATTAAATAAAAGTGGAAAACATCGTTAATTTCACGAGAAAAGATAATGTTTCCGGTGGGAGCGACTTAATCACAGGAAGACGTTAAAAAGTCCACACGCGCACCGACGAGGACGATTTATCTATGCCATACGTGATTAACTTCGCAGAAATCGTGACCTATACACAAGTGCTGCTGACGTACTTGTCGAATTCCAGATTTAAACCAAAAACGCAAATCAACTTCGTTGATGGACTAATTTTTATTTCGTGCTTATTACAAAAATATTTAATAAATCTAATTTTCAAAAATCTGTCCCTTAACGCGTCAGTGCAACCGCAACAGCTGCAATTTGTACGTGAAAGCGTTATCGTGAAACTGAAAAAAGACTGACTTTCTCCAGAATCGTTTAAATTTCTTTTGCTTTTCTTGTTGATTATTGTTATCGGGGCGGCACATTTTTGTTAATATATGCATAATTTTCAGAAGTCGTCACGATCGAACTCCGAAACCGATGCTGTGGAAAAAACGGTTAAACAACGTCTCCGGCACTTGGTCAGGCGGAATACCGAATCAGTATTAAAAGAGAAGCGCGTGCCTAAAAACGGAAGAAGCCCACGTCCTAGTCCGCGCTCGTCCAACGCCGCATCGAATCGTCCAACCGCCGAGGAAGCCAGAAGTTGGGCCGAATCCTTTGATAATCTTCTTGCTAGCACATGTAAGTGGTTCCATGAATCCAGTACAGTACATGTAGCACATCCATCATTAATGGCCACTAATCCCTGTCATGACCTATAAAGCAGCACCAATAAATACAGTTATCTGGAACATGAAAACAGTACATCTGAACTAAAAAACGTAACTGTTATTAGGACAATGAAAACTTTGTGTTACAATTAAGATTTCTGCGAAGCTTCTTGCAAACGTACCGAACAACAATCTTCATAAATTGATAAAAAAAATGAAGAATTAATTTCACTATACGCAACACTGAAAAGGACAGTATCAAAGTATCATATGCAGTTGATGAGTTGAGTAAGCGTAAGACGAAACAGAGTGTCTGTTAATTGTTTTTATTCTTATAATTACCAATACAATAAAAGTTTGAGCTAGTTTGCCGCAAATCTATAAAGGTAGATTCAGCTGCAACATGTTGTGCGCTTGCGCGATAGTTTGTTAAATTATAAGTCAAGTATAAAACAATTAGCCAGATCCAGTAAAGGTAATACAAAGTAATTGTATATTTTCATTTATATAATGAGGCTAAGTGTGATTATTCGAGATTTGTCTAACTGCCAAATTCGTTAATTTTTATTTTTATTATCGAAATGTTCAGCTGCGTTCTGTCGTTGTAAATTAATTTGCACCGTTCAACATATGTGCGGGGGGTTAAAATGTAGATTAATGTGTGGGTTAATAGGAACGTGCTGAAACAGTAAAGAGAAGAATATCAAACGTTTCCGACACGTGTAGCTAAGGTCACGGTAGTTTTCGGTTAAGAGGCACGTTTTAACAAAACCAATTTCGATATACGACTCTGATGTCCTTTCCGCTTATAAGGTCAGCATTGCTTGTTAACACCCAATTAGAAGGTAAATGCTCTCTGCCGGTGATTACGGCGGTCGAGGCATTGATGACTGTTCCAGGTAATATAATTAGGGAAATTGCGGTTGATTGAGAAAAGAATGAAAATTGTAATGCCGCTCAGTGGGTCTCCAATCAGTACTTGCGCATGGTACTGAGCCATTTCCTCAGTCCAGGTGCGTCAATCACCGGCTAAATATGCACACTCGCCTCTTTGGAATGTTCAGTCAATCAAAAAATTGGAGATTGGTGCTTTGTATAGAAGATTTAGGAGAAGGGAATTTTGAAGGAAACTTTTCTTGTCCACTCGTAAGCAACTGCAGTTGCAGTTGATAGATTAATGTACCCCGGCAGCACTTTTTGTCCAGCTCCCAGAAATGGGATAAATATATGTTTTAATTTGCGCGCAACAGTGATTGACAAAAACGTGAGGGGATCGTGATGTATTTAAATATATACTTATTGCATTCGTGCAAGCCTGGATTCTACAGTAAAGGAGTGTCGAACTGCGGAAAAATTGTACGCCCAAAAGCTAGTGTATTAAAAATTAATTTAGGATAAACTTAATTGGCATAATTTACAATGTGCAATTGACAAATACATCCAGCTCAGTTAACATAAAAACTTGCATTATTTTTCTTTGCTACATTTCTCACTTACGCGTGCTTCAGCTGCTGTCAGTTATTTTACAATACTCAATATTGTAGTAAAACTATTAGCTATGACGCAATGGTCATAATCGGCAAATATTTCCAAGCGTTCCTTTATAGCAGAAACTAACGGTTTTCGACAGTAAAACCTTTCTTTAAGTAATTTATAAAGCACGCACGGTTGACGTCATTAATTTATCGTACATTACAGCCAGTGTAACCGGTTTTTTTTGCAGATGGACTTGCCCTTTTTCGAGCTTTCCTAAAGTTAGAATACAACGAAGAAAATCTGGCATTCTACTTGGCATGTGAGAAGTTTAAGCGTCTCGATCCGTCTAGCCATCGGAAAATCCACTCCAAAGCACAAAAAATCTACGATGAATTTATCCGTGTGGAAGCCCCGCGGGAAGTGAACATGGACTCCCTAACACGCGCCACAACAGTGACAAATTTAGCTAATCCTAATCGACACTGCTTTGACCACGCGCAGCGGCGCATTCGGCATGTTCTGGAAAAGGACGTTTATCCACGATTTCTGCACTTTGATCTATATACGCGACTGCTGCAGGATACATCATCAGTTGCTGTCCCGATTAACGTTAACTGCACTGTCAGCCATTCAAATGGCTCAAACACTACTGTCAAATCGTGATTACGATCAAACGTGTCTTAATTATTTACGATGCGATGAAACACATGTTTTGCTAGTTTTTGACGTTTCATGTGAAAGCAAACTGTATTATAATTCAGCGTAACAATAAATTAAAAGTAAATGTGTCTCCAGTGAAACACTTCAATAAAGGTTCACTTTAACAACTGCCATAGTTACCGCCGTTCATATACAATTATTGAATAGTTACTATGCAATAGTTACTACGCTTCTTACGTTAGGTTTGGTGCTTCGAATTATTAATGCTTCGAATTATATACATAAACAAGTCTTTATTTTTTCAGTTAAAGAATAAATTTTATGCAGGGTCACAGCTAGTGACCTCATATGCAGTGGTGTAGCTCGTGCCCGGTGGCGGTATCTTTGTCGGTAAACCGTACAATTTGCAGATACGTCATCGATATCTTTTCCTAACAAATTTTGTTTATTAAATTTCCGTTTTTGAACGAGAATGCGTTTGGTTTTGAATCCAAATTGTACCATCCATTCATACGAGTGCGTTCTCGGCAATCAATGCAATATCACTCGTGGGAAGTTTGGAAAGTCTGCCCTTCCAGATCCAGTATATTTGGCGATAATACAACAGACGAAATATCAAGACATGATAGCATGTTATCGATAAATGATACTAAAAATAGAAGTGCAATTTATACGTACGCAATACTATCAATTACGATAATTAAGGAAAACACCGATTATAAATCTCAGAAATCTCTATTTCTCCTCACATATGTAGAGAGCATACAGTATGTATTGTTCATCGTTTGGTGAGGACCATTGCACGGTATACTTTTAACGCAAAGGTTAGTAAGTTGTCCAGGCTTCGACATGGTTATTATTGCTGCAACAATAGAATATGATACTTATTATGCAGCTTTAGTGATTATGTAACAATCACTAATTATAAAACAATAGTGTCTGAATGATTAAGTTTCTATGCCTGCAGTGCTACTGTTGCCGCTTTTGGAACTGCAATCAGTAGTTGTAACATCTGTCAACTGTTAGACAGTTTACCATTTAGCTTTTATTTTGAACGGAAATGTCCTTTTGAGTTTTCAAAAACTGACTTAAATTAAAAGATATGTTATCATTATTAATAATACTAATAGTAAGTCTAAGCAAGGTGCTAGTGAAGTAAGTGAACACACTACTACATTCCACTCAAAAGCCAGTGTGCCTTGCATATGTGTACAAAAAAATTAAAATGGCTTGAATGTCAAGCAACTTACTGTATTACTCGTACTATATAGTTTAAATTTGCCAATTCGTGACAAAAATAAAATTGGAGCCATCTGCATTCGGCAGCAGCCGTCCAAATGCATGCATGCTTCTTTAAAACTTGAGCGATAACTAATAATACTTAACTGAGTAATCACTGATCCTTTTTTTCCTCTTGTGTTTCTTCTTTAGTACCTGGACTGGCATCTTTTTGGCAGTAAACTGCCTCACCGCTAAAACACCCGCACGAATAATTAAACATACTGTAGTATTACATGCAACTATAGAAAGTTTACATCTCAGTTAACGACGAATAATTCAGCCTCGCATCTGACACTGCTGCAGATTACGTATTTATTGGCTCGTTGTACATAGAACACATTACAACTATGATATTAATATTATCAGATCTGGTATCGCAAGACATGAATATGCAAAGTTACTTATAACGGCAGGCATTTCGGGATAAGAATATTATGAAATTAGTGTACTGGTTCCACTCCATTAATTGCGAAAAGCAGTTGCAACACATTTATTGAAGGTGATTAGATTGCCGACATAAACACACTTTATCTTCGCGCGTTTAATTACACTCGCAATTATAAAATAATGTTTATGCCCAGGTCTTATACAAAATGATTAAATAGTGGCGCCATTACTTTGCAATTGTGGTTAGCTCAAAACTGCAGACAAACGTACGATATACGAACTTCGACAACATCCGTTCCCCATACCCATTAGTGTTCTTCGAAATTAAAATTAGTAAGGCCGGTATGAAACATATAATATGTGCTTATGAGTTATAAACTTCGTAAATGTTTTCTCCAGAAACAGTTCACACCCAACAGATCTACATTTTTTATTATGGCGGTAGCTGATCTTATCTGTGAACAAGCTGAAATATGGTCGAGTACTTACAATTAGATGACGCTGACGGTGAGTTGGCTCTGTGAGTCAGCCACACAGTTGCGCTTTGCGGAAGTATTGCCATGGGTGACCGAAACAAACTTCTCGAGTTTAATATTTTGAAAACCACTTGAATGAAGCGAGCTATGCACTCAGCAAAGATTTTACTTTTTTATATACAAAGGTTTTTAATAAGAGTTTCCAAAAAATTGCAGCCTGTGGTATATTTCTATCATTCTGGAATGCAAAGCAAATGGCAGCACTCAAACATATTTATATCTATATGAAAGGTTGTCAGATCCTATTTCAGATATACAGCATGCGCCTGCAGCCCGGTGCGATTGTGCGCATATACTTATAACATAATTTTATGCGTTTTCCATCGTTGCCGTTTGCAAAAACAATGTGCTAAGTAACAACTTGAACAACTTTGAAGATTTTATACTTGACGGGGCAAATGCACGCTTCTGTTTTATGAATGTTAACACCTTCTCTGTTTTTTTAAAAACTTCGCTGCACCGGTGCGTTCTCTGTGTAAGCATTTCCAGCTCTGCAGAATGTGTGCATTTTCATCATATGACCGAAATTCGATTGTTTATTGTAACAGTATTTATATATCTATGCATATAAAAACGCTTGAATTAATACAATTTATATGACATTCAATTATCTCCCATATGCACGGGTAGAATGTTATCGTAACTCGCCGGAAACCTTTGGATACGACAATCACAACTATACAGTTTAGTCGATGCACCTGAACAACAGAATACAATCGCTTATTTCTATATAAGTACCATTCGCGCCGCCATTCTGCTGATCCACATAACTTTGCAAATAGTTTTCTGGATTCCACGTTTGAGAGTTCACAACAACAGTTCTTTTGCCGATTAAAATTTACCGCGTACATAATACGGGTGCGGTCACCGTCTAAGGCGTAATATGCGAAATCTACAACGTATTTCCCCTATGACTATGCCGGTCACGGTATGAATCGCAGCTACAGTATAGTTACGTTACGTGTGTGACAATATCATATATATCGGTCGCGCATGCTTCACGCGCTGACTCGTCCGCTCCAACATTCTAATTCGAATTTTTACCGCTTGCCGCTGCAAGAATTTGTTTGTCTTTTATTGTCAAGTATCAAATTCTATATCGCTGGCCAAACGTCACTTGATGTTTGAACTAAACATTCTCAGATGTATTAACACAGCGCTGTACCTGCAGCCGGTGCCGGCAAGAGTCTGTGAGCTGTACGGATTATGATTATTCTGCGTCTTCCTTGTACGTATCTGTAGCATCTGCAGAATGGTGGGAGCTGATTTCCTGTTTGGATCTTCTGTGTGTATGGACTTCGTATCTTCTTATTATGCCTCTTCATTCTCCTCATTCACACCCACAAACAATTCCTTCTGGCAAAATCTTGAGGTGGAACTTAACCGGAAATCCTCGCCGGATCCGTGGGGAGGAACAGATGATGACAAGGATATAGAGATAGTCATCCTGGGTGAAAAAATCCATACTGTTTTTGAATTATCGGATCCATACCCTTTTCCTGCTTTATTAGTAAGTAGCAATAATATTTATTGGTTTAGTGGCGCTAGTAACAAAATTTTTCTACCTGCCGGTTGAATTTTTCTACCTGCCGGGAATCAGTTTCTACAAAACTTTTTATGCTCTTGATATCGATCTTCTGCATAAATTGTGTCAGATTGTGCTTTGTACTTTGCTCAATTGTTTTCGTTGTAAAGAAAGGCATACCCTTTGTTTAATTTTCTAAAAATGTTTTTACATAACTTTAATTTTTCATTTTTTTTAACAGAAAACAATGCGGTATCCTTCTGATACAGAAAACATATTGTGACGAAATTATTTAAGAAAACCAGTAATAGAAGATCATAAGTTGTTGTTGCCCGTGACACTTTAAGCGCTGTCATCTGATTTCCGGGTAACAAAACGCAAGTCGAAAAGAAGCGCTCATTGACTGCCTACGGTGCTTTATTACACCACTTATGCTAACGACAAGCCGCACGGGGAGCTTGAATGTTTACCTAAATAACAACTAAACTCGAAATTGTGCGAATTCCTAACTACATATTTGCAAACTGCGAAATCATGATTAAGCGTAGTTAAACTGCAGGCACGGTTATGATTATTAGTCATAAAAGCTGATTATTGGGAAAGCTTGGTTAAACATCTTGGTATCATGTAGTATTGTGCAAACAAGTGCTCATATGCATATCGGTCTGATGAGTGAGCGATTTTAAAAGTTTCTGCAGATCAGGTTTACTTTCACCTAATATGTAGAACTACATTAAACTTATTCAGTTTTGCCGGATTCGAGGAAAATATTTCCTAATGCGTTCACTAGTTGCGTACAACGCGCCAAAATGCTTTGTTTACCGCAGATGCAGGATCTGGAATGCCTCTCAGCGGGAGATGATTCCTCATCGCACCTATCAGTACAGAGCCTAAGTGCGCCCGGTTCACCGACATCGGTGAATTCCTCCGATGCATCCGTGCTTTCCTCCGACAACTCTTCGGAGCCTAAATTATTTCAGTGTACACATCCGTCATGCGGAAAGGTCTACTCCAAAAATTCTCACTTACGAGCACACCAAAGACGCCATACCGGCGAAAAGCCGTTTATATGTAACTGGCAAGGTTGCGCCTGGAAATTTTCCCGCAGCGATGAACTGGCTAGACATAAGCGGTATGCAAGATGTGCGCCAGTAAATTTTACAAATAAACATATGTACTTGCGCTGGTTAGTGTTTGATTAATGGTATCCATTTCCGTGTTTATTTTGTATTCACTATTGTGTTTATGCATTTTTTGCTCCAAGATTCCCCTGTATACGAATATTGTTCTCTAATCCAGGTCTCACAGCGGAGTAAAGCCATACAATTGCCGACTATGCCAGAAGAAATTCAGCCGTTCAGATCACTTATCTAAACATATGAAAATTCACCGGAAACGGGGTGAGATTGTGTAAACGGTGTGGAAATTTATATTACTAATACCCGGACTTTGTTTATCTCCTACAAAACATTTTGCTCAAGTCAGTGTGCAGCATGCAGCAGCAGTGCAGCGCAGCGCGCATGTGGAATGTATTCGCTATATATTACACAGATTTCGTGGTCCAGATGCTATACATTTCTATAGCGTGTGCATTTCTGACATTCCAGTGCGGATAATCTGAAAAATATCATGCCGTTTCCTGTTAACTTTCTAGTCAATGATGTAACAAAGTTGTTGTTTTCTAAACCAGTTTGTGTCAAAAGAAATTCGGTTATATACTGCAGTGCAGCGGCGGCAGAGCTGTATTCCTTCCGTCGTTGGCGAACGAAGAGTGCATACCGTGCCGAAGAAAACATTAAAATCATGCAGCACATTATGTATTGCCGTCCCACTCCGCAGTAAAGAAGATAAGAAATTTATGGGACAAACTGCACGTATATCTGGCATGCATATACAGCTGGCAGGAGTTTATCGAGTGCAAACAGTATAACTGTCTTTATGTGTATATTACTAATACGCGTACGACTTACGTATATATGCGTATAATTGCAAACAATGCTGAGAAAAAAATTTTAATGTAGGTGTGAACATTTACTCAATATCAAAACATGCAGCTGCAGTCTATTTGTCATGTGCCATTCACCGGAATACAATCATACGGCGCTGCAGATTTTTCAAGGTGCACGCATGACCTGATGCACACACTGAAAGGTGAAGCAAACGATGCGAGCCACCATCATTGAGATTCGTACTTGTTTGAGCAATTCGGGTCGCACGTCATATTCAGTTTTTTCTCATAAAAATGAGTACATGCCTGGTGTGATTGTGTTATGTCGGCAGCGGTCAATAGATATGCTAGTGGAGTAGTGGTCAAGGTAAGCGGCGAATTTGTACAAGAATTACTACTACTATGTATCTGTAGTACTTGTGCAGTCCCCATCGCTGCTGATTTCGCATATCCATATGGTTAATCAAACATCTGCATTTTGACGCGGTTTTGTAGCCTTTAATAACGTTACCTAGAGTAGCGACTTGGGTAGACTCGGTCTTGAGTAGACTTCAGAGCAAAAAACAGAAAAGGTGATAATGAGCCATATGCACTTCATGAGGTTTGAACAATTGCGGTGTTTATTGTATATGGTTGTGTGGTGACAAAATACTGTACGCGATCATGAACAGAAAAAAGTGTGCGATTTTCACCATTGCAACTCGCGAGTATTACGGAGAAAAAGGCGGAATTTGCACATCTGCGCTCGCACCGGTTGTTTTTCGGTACATGTACTAATATGGGCAAATTTGTTTATCTGATTTGAAAATGCTTTAGTTAATTGCATTGTGTACATTTTCACAAAAGGAGTGGTGCAGCCTAATGTCTATGCCAGTAGCTTGGTCGACGTCACATAGCGTTCAGCGCTGCGTTTTGCTATAAATTAAGGTCCTAACTGTAAGTCTGTGTCACGGAAAAACTGTTGATAAGATTAACTCGTGCAAAAGAATATATTTTTATGAGAATCAGAAGAAATACAAATGCTTGAAATATTTTCAGATTTCGGTATGCGGTATATTGCACGTACGGAAAAAGTTCAAAGGTAAATTCCATGCCCGTCGGTTTTGACAGTAAGACCATTAAGGATGTACAGATTGTACCCTTAACTGCAGAATTCAAAGACAACACTTGAATGGCTGCAATTTCACGAAAACTGACACTTCAATCTTCAAATGTGTACTGGTATTTTGCACTTTGTTATAGATACTATGATAAATGAACATAAGTCGATATCGCGACCACCAGCATTCATAACGTTTTGTTTTCCTAATTAATACATTTCATAATACGGTGTATCAGGAACAAGGGACGCACTTATCAGTCCCTTTCAACACGCTTTGCAACATCACATAATTCGAAAATTCCGTACAATATTACATAAAAATTTGTTGCTGATTTCAAAGAAATGCGCCTAGACGACGTAACAAAGGACAGTGCAAAACTATAACGAAAGCTCTCAAAGTCCTCGTTCTTATTGGCACACCAACAATTAACCAGCAATTTCTCAATAGTAATTCAACGACAGCATTATCAGTTTGTGAATGCGCGTATTTTCTTGTTGTCCGATAAGATACATAAACATAATCCAGCAAGTGTCGGTCTACAACACAGCCAGTGTCGAACCCGCAGAATGGACGAGCCTAATCACATTCCACTAGGCGTCGCTTCCTTTTGTTTATATTATTATTACCTACTTTCCCGTTATCACTGGCTGCTTCCTTGAATTGCCTAAGGTCAGCGGTGAAGAGAACCGAATGCGCCCAGCCAGCCATACCACCGAAGCGATTACGATAAAACTCCCCAATCTCATTATACACGCGTTTCGTCACCGATTTCACCTGTCGCAGATGGGGTAAGTAGTGTTGTGCGGTGACCGAAAACACGTGAGTGTCCACGGGAACGGCTTGGTGATGCCCCAGTGACATCAAACAAATACAATCAGCCACCTTCGCTCCCACACCGGGAAGCTCCATCAGCAGTTCTTTGGCTGTTGGATAATCAGCACATTTCGTTCTCGAGATCCATCCGGAATCCCTGCATCAAACGCAACAATATGTCATTTACCGCGAACTGATCGAGTTCTCGATATCAATTGCAACCACATTAGGTGCCATTTTATTGTAGGTACAATATGCATTTTTCGTGGCGCATACGGCGTTTACGCGCAACGACGGCGCAACGTACACAAAGATCGCGTATTTATCACAATACGCCAGACACGAACATGACCGGAAGGGACAAATGAGAACGAGTCAGCCGACTGCAATCACTTGACCACAAGATCATCATCTACTATGCAAGGCTAAAAGCAGCATTATTATTAAGGTAGGGATTCAGAGTACTATAACAAAGCTAAGCGCAAAGGTCGTGTGGGAGCGCCATTTCCTTCACAAAACCCGTTACGGAAATGAACTACCATTAATATCACTAAAAATACTGCATGTTACAACCCAAATACAAAGAAAATTACGAAATGTTCAGACAATCAGATAATGCACAGGCCAATCGATTTCAGTACGATGACATGTTCTTTGGGATCGTCGAAGCAACGAGGGCCAAATAACTTCAAAACACTAGGCAGAACAAAAGTTAAAATTTCACGGGAAACCTTAGTTTACACTTTACTTTACAAGCATCCGGTTACAGACACATGATGCACCGTATTTACGATTTTCACTAAACAAAACTTCACCAAAAACTGTCAGTCCCAATGAAAAACATAAACCTTTCATAAGTAAGGGTGTTAACGTGGGCTTGAATGAGTCTAAGCTTATTTCCCAACATAGTCTTCCCAACACAATAAAAACTGCAGAATTTTGCAACAAAAGCTGCAGAAGAAGAAACTGCAAAACTGCTTAAAGTTCAAATTATTTCCAACATAACATAGCAAAGATCAATATCACAAAAATCAAGAATATAGAAGGCGGAAGCGATGTAAGATGCAACAGAAAAAACAATTTCGGCCATTTATTTGTCGTAATAAGGGGCGTCTCTCGTGTAAATTCGCGGTTCTTATCCTTTTACCTCGTAATGCTAAAAAAACTTAAATGTTTCGTATCACTTTCAATACGTCTTCGTGTTATACCCGACTGGGTAAAATAATACAGTACCCTTCAGCATTAGTATATCACCTTCTCTACCAAAACCTACATATTTTGATTCAACTGTTCAAAAACAGACGCAGATTTTGATCACTCACCCAGCGATGTGTTTAGCAGCACCGTGAACAAACGCTGCCCGGTAACCGAACCCCATTTTCCGCAGTTCCTCCTCAACGCCTTCCTGCGCCAGTCGTTCGACAGCCGGAAATGCGTACATCTTCTTCCCATCAACTTCACAGATCAAATCTCCATATCTCGCGCACAGCTTTTCCACCATTTGTTGGATTCTGGCTATGTTATTGTTGCTTGAGCAAATGAAACTGAAGACGTTTTCGATGAAATCCTGCTGCAGAATTCGTATGCCGCCATACCGCGGCGCAACATGGGCGAATCGTTCATCGGCTGCCGACCACTGAGCGTAAAGCGGCTGGAGAAATGTGTCGATGGCGAAGTACTGCTTAAGAACAGCGTGGTCGCCAGACTCACCACCTAATCAAAAGTCACAAAAAAGTAAAATACGCAATACTTCCAAGAACCGCTTTTGCAGAAAGCAGTCCCCGAAAATATTTTAAATTGTTATTTACAGATAAACCTCTTTTAAAACACCAAAAAACGAGATAAAAATAGTAATATAATAATAAAACGTATATTTAACAAAGCTTAAAGCATGATAAGCTTAGCTTATGACAAGCTTAACTGCTTAAAGCATCAAATGCTTAAAATGCAAAATCTCACATATGTTTCAATTCAAAGCCCTAAGAAGCCAGGGGGCAGATTTTTATGATCAAGAAGGTACAAGAAGATCATGCTCATTAAATAATATACTTCACTGATATCGGCTACATCTTGTCCGGTGGCAAATCCACGAGATCTTTTGGCAATCTGGATTGCGGATTGAGGAGCCTGCGTGAAGACTTGGTACTCCACACATTCTTCGGTCTGTTTCATCTTCCACGCACACCTTCCGATGACTCCTATCCATTCGCCCGATGCATTCTTCGTCCATCTATAGAAAAATCAACCAGTTTAATTTAATTGTCCAATAAAACGATCCCCTGGAGCAATAAACATTCTTTTCAATGGACTTACCGAAAACTTTGACCACATGCCAGCACAAAATCCAGCATCACCTCTGATGTCGAGCAAGGAAATTTCGACCAACTCATCCTATTTTAGCGGCCAATTCTAATATTTTCCAAATAACTGTAAACATCAAATTTTAGAATTTTCTCGGATTTTTAAGTTTCTGTTTTGACTTTTGTTATTGTAAATCGTCGTTGAATTTTTATTTTGCTCACACTCAGACTCATTGACTGAATAAAGCGGTTCGGTTGCATTCCGGTTCATTAGCTCCTGCTCAGCTGGTAAAATCGACTACGGACTACATATTTGCCTATGTATGTACGAGTATTTATTGTCGGCCGGGCTGCAACCAGGCAGGTCGGCTTAGCCGATTTCTCGTTCACAATAAAACACGTGCATGGCGTTTCCAGGCTAATCTTAATCCGTAAACTGAGGAGTGACGACGATCAAGAGTCAACACGTACGAAAATAATTATATTCAGGTGTTTTGTTATCAATTGGGCACAAAAGATAACTGCGAGATTGTAGGTAAATTCTGGAGTTCTTGATGCCATTCTGGAATGGAGCTGATCCGTGAAAACTGGCGCTTTTGCTAATTTTAATATCCGAGTGATTGCCAAAAGATGGACTTATCTTGGTGAGACGGTTCACCACTTCGTTTGATCTGTTCGTTAGTCGCTTGCAGTACTTATCAGTTCCTGATAAACTATAAAGTAGTTGCAACTTGCAACCACATGCGTCAGCATTTGATTTGAATATCGGGACTTTTTTGGATCGTCGTGGTACAATACTTTAATACTATTAAATGCTTACTATTGGAAGTATATGATAATATCGGATCCGAATCCCTAGTTGGGCAGCTGTTCTTCGTTGTGGATTTTCTCTTATCACATCTGCTCGCGTTATCATTCGCGTGGTTGTGGTTCTGCTGGCTGAAGTTCGGGAAAAATATCAGCCATGTTATCGTTTTTCAACACCAGATCTCAGAAAAACCCTGTAGATGTGGTGCGCTCGCTCAAGGATGCGCTTTCAAGTCTGGATCGCGGAGACAAAAAGGCTGAAAAGGTACGACTTGTCACTTTCACCTGCTGGTGTAGTTGTTAACTCTGCTCCCTGCAAAGTACTGATGTTGCATGCTGTATTGTATCGTATTGCTTCCTGTTTATTTTTTATTTTCTATAATTGCATAATATCATTTTGAAGATAATTTAAACGATTTCATAATTTGATTAGGCCTCGGAGGAAGTGTCTAAGTTGTTGCAAGCGATCAAAGGAATGCTGCTTGGCTCTCCTGAACAGGAACCTCCCACGGAAGTGGTCGCGCAGCTAGCGCAGGAGATGTACAGTCAGAATCTGTTGATTCTTTTGCTGCAGAACCTGAAAAGAATCGACTTCGAGGTGAAGTGCACAATGCAGATGCATTTGATTTGAATACAATTGGGAGTCTCATGCTGATGATGGCTGTGCAGGGTAAGAAGGACGCTGCACAAATCTTCAACATCATACTACGACGGCAGATTGGCACACGGACCCCCACTGTGGAGTATATTTGTACGAAACCGGAAATTCTATTCATGCTGATGTCGGGGTGAGTTATGGGTCTGTTGCGATTGTTTTTATGGCTCACGGGAACTGGCGCCTTGCTTTTATTGATATGATCGACGACTGCCTTATTCACCAGACGATAAACGATTCGACCACGTAACCAGACATTTCGAATGGCAGCCGATTGTTGTAATGCGGTCTCTCCTGGATTTTGTTGCTGACCTAATATTTTAGACAAGAAAAACTGCTGACCTATTATTTTAGACAAGAAAAACTATCGAAAAAACGTTGGTTAGAGTTCCTGCTGGAATCTGATAGAGTTTTATGGTTTGCGTGTTTTTAATTGGCACAAGTTCTTGTTTAAACATACAACATACACACGTGTGATTGGTTAGGCATTTTACAAATTTCAGTTGGTTGCGTTTTTGTGTCACAGGTATGACAGCTCAGAGATTGCCTTGAACTGCGGGAATATGTTACGCGAATGCATCAGATTCGAGGCACTTGCGAAACTTATCCTGTATTCCCCAGATGTGTATAGATTCTTCCACTATGTGGAAGGCTCAGCATTTGATATCGCTTCCGACGCCTTCTCCTCGTTTAAGGTAATTCAGCTTGGGTGAAAAGTTTGTCGCCTCTGTTTGATCGGTTCAGTCTGTTTTATGCTCGGTTATAGCATGTGCCATTTGGTGTTTTTAATGTTTCTGTTATTTGAACTCATATCGTTTGTGTTTCAGGAATTATTGACGAAACATAAATTGATAGTGGCAGAATTTCTGGAAGCGAATTACGATAAATTTTTTGAACATTATCAGCATCTTCTGGATTCTGACAACTATGTCACACGTCGACAGTCGTTAAAGGTGAATTCGGGGAAAATATTATAGACGCCTATGCTATAAATATTTATTTAGTGCTTAATGCTTTATTTTTACGGTGATTTTTGTCCATAATAATTTTGGATTAAATTTCCAGCTTTTGGGAGAACTGCTCCTGGACCGCCATAATTTCAATGTGATGACCAAATATATCGGAAATCCAGAAAATTTGAAGCTGATGATGATCATGCTTCGCGAGAAAAGCAGGAATATCCAGTTTGAGGCGTTTCACGTATTTAAGGTGTGTTAGAAGTCATTTACAGTAGAATGCTGAATGTTTATTTGTTAGCTGACTGAAAATTTGGTGTGAATTTAACCACAAATCCGCCATTTATGATTTCGTCTGTCTCTCTTTGCATACGGTTGTTTTAATTTCTCCAGGTTTTTGTTGCGAATCCCAACAAACCGAAGCCAATATTAGAGATTCTACTGAGAAATCGCGAGAAGTTGATTGAGTTTCTGAGTAAGTTTCACAGTGAGCGGACGGACGATGAACAATTTAACGACGAGAAGGCCTATCTTATAAAGCAGATCAAAGAACTTAAAGCGCCAGCGGAATGAGCTGCGAACAGCACAGTGATCACGGGCATGTTTTGTGAATTACCCGGTTTTCTGCATTCGCATGTATTTGCTCCATTCGGTTGGGTCATATTTTCAGAAATTCAAATGCAAGCCATCCTGATTGTGAGTGGCATCTTTCAGTTTTTTACCAGCCGCGTTGTATATTTATAGAAAAGTCTTTGGCTTTGCTGATGTTAGAAATAGCGTAATGAACACATACTGTATAATGGAAGTGTTTCTTCTATTTATTGGATAATTAATGGCGACTTTTTTATTGGTACGAATGGTACCTTCGTACAGATGTACTAAGTGGAACGTTTCTCCTTGTCATTTGAATTCGCAGTGTGACGCTACTACAAATGGCTTCGGTGACGTCGTAGATTTTTACCTTTACGTAAACACAATAATTCTGTACTCGTATTTTATATCTATATTCATAGTAGAGCACGCTAACTGATTCAAAATTGAACGAAAAGAACAAAGACCAACTAACCGCTGACCAAACTACAGCAATGAAATAAAGACCGCTAACAAACGACAGGCATAATCAAGAGCGATATTTTTCCTGTACTTAGCACCAGATACATGAAGCTAAGTCGTACAGGTACTCCTACAGAAGATCAAGATCATAATACACACGTCTAACAAAAGTGTTTACTGTCCACAATATTACTGTACTTACGTTAGTACGTGCAAGCTTAATCACTGTCATCCGAAGGTAAGGCGGGAAGATTTAAAGCACCACGGCTCAAACGTTTGCCCCTTTCTCGACCCCAAACTGAACTGCCTGCCTGTAAACTGTTTCCGTCTGCAGCCACCGTTTTCTTACGCTTCTTCGTCAACTCTTTTTCTTGGTCCAAAATGCTGCGTAAATGCAGTCGATCTGCTGCCTGCGCGGCGTTGGACGGTATATACTGCTTCTTACCCGACTTCAACGCTGATTTCGGTCCGGCCGACATTCTGAAGGTCCGGGTGGAATCAGTGAACGTCACGGGAGTGAAGTCGTCATCCATGCTAGCGTCTGCCCAGTGTGGCGTCGGCAAATCCGTGTGCCCATCCCCAGGGGAGAATAACACGGATGCAGCCATTTTTCTCGCGGAAGGTACACGCACAACCTGCTCCACGGCGTTTTGGTACCATTTAACCGTGCGTTTCGCAGCGCGCTTCTGGGCCGGTGGGATAACTGTCTTTCTTGGCTCCAGTGGACTGTTAACAATACTCTTTTTTGGCAGCAGTGACTTTTTAGCAACAACTTTCGTCTTTGGGCTTACTGATTGTTTCCCAACACCTTGGTTGGGCTGAACTGGTTTTCCAGCAGTAACTTTTTTAACCGTGCGTTTCGCTGCGCGCTCCTTTACCAGTGGGACAACTGTAGTTGGCTCTGGTGGACTGCTAACAATACTCTTCTTTGGCTGCACCGACCGTTTAGCCGCAACTTTTTTCTTCGGAGTTGCTGACTTTTTCCCAACACCTTTGACTGGCTGCAACGATCTTTTAGCAGCAACTTTCTTCTTTTGGCTTACCGATTTTTTCCCAACACCTTGGAGTGGCTGCACCGATTTTCTGACAGCAGCGCTTTTAACCGAGCGTTTCACTGCGCGCTTCTTCGCTGGTGTGGTTACGGGCTTTTTTGGCTCCGGTGGAGGGTTAACGATACTCTTTTCCGTCTCCACTGATTTTCCAGAAACAACTTTCTCAACCGAGGGTTTCATACTTCTCGTTTCACGCTTCTCGGCTGGCGGTGGAATCGTATCGGCTGTGTTTACTGACTCTGGTGGACCGTTAGCAATACTCTTTTTTGGACGCAGCGATCTTCTAACAACAGCTTTAATCTTTGAGCCTGATGATTTCTTCTCAACACGTTCCCCTCGCACTTCAACTCGAGCCGTTTCTTCCACAATATTGGCGGTCTTGCTTGGCTCTTGTGGACTGCTAGCAATACTCTTTTTTTGACGCAGTGATCTTTTAACGACAGCATTCATCTCTGGAATTGGTGATTTTTTCTCATCCCCTTCCGGCCGCACTTCAACTCGCACCGTTTCTTCCACAATACTGGCTGTGTTTCTTGGCTTTGGTGGACTGTTAGCAATACTTTTTTTTGGACGCACAGATCTTTTAACAGCCTTTTTGTCGGGGCCTGAAGACTTCTTCTCAGCACCTTCCCGTCGCACTTTGCCTCGCACCGTTTCTTCCTCAATATTCGCTGTCTCTGGTGGACTTTTGGCAATACTCTTTTTGGGACGCAGTGATCTTTTAACAACAGCCTTTTTGTCTGGGATTGATGAATTTTTCTCAGCACCTTCCCGTCGCACTTGGTCTCGCACCGTTTCTTCCACAACATTGGCTGTCTTTCTTGGCGCTGGTGGACTCTTAGCAATACTCTTTTTTGGACGCACTGATCTTTTAACAACAGCTGTTCGGTCTGGGGTTGGCAATTTTGTCCCAAAACCCTCCCGTCGCACTCTGACTCGCACCGTTTCATCTTCCACAAAGGTACGCCAGTCCGGGGGGAAGCCAACGCTAAAAAGCTTGATGAAAGCCGGAGACCACTCCTCGGCTGCCATTCGCGTCGTATCACACGGATCCATCAGTTTGTAGCACGTGCCACCATCTGTGCAAGAAACACGAAATCGTATGGTTTTGGTTATCACAAAGCAGACAAATCCTTGAGACACTCACAAGTCTGGTCGTTATGTATGCAAACATAAATATTAGAGAACATACAAAATAGTCAGCAGCATTACAGAAATGAAACCAGTGAAAAACTTTGCTGTCGTCAGAGTTTAGACTTTAGGCATCACAGTTTACACATTTGTATCAATTTGAATTGTATGGCAATATTTTTAGGTCTTCGGCGACTCTTCGCAAATGTATTTAGCTCTAGATATTCCGAAAAGAATCCAGCTCAACCACTCACAAGTCATTATTAGTAGCTTTGTCAGTCTTTTCTTCAAGCGGCCAGTCGTAATAAACTCCCCAGTTTCCGAATTCACTCCGTGAATACGAGGAAGCTTGTCAGATGCGGTCATATCAAGGTACCAATTCCGAATGGTCGCCTTCGTCGGAGTGGAATTCTCAATCTCCTCTGCATGAAGTATGGAGTACAGATCTTCTTCGTTCATCGTGACGCTATGGACCGATAAAATAAATCAATCAATCAAGACGTCAACGGCGAAATCACAACATGGAGGAAAACAGAGAAAGTAAGTACTTAAAAATTGAAAATTAAGGATAAATCGAAAAAAAACAGACAAGTCACAAGCCGTCTGCCGTCATAAGCTCCTGCCGTTAGGTCTTCAACGGTACCGCCAACAAAGTGGCTTTATTTGTCATAGCGCACAGCATGACGGCGGTGTCGCAAGGCAACCCCCATGGCAAGCTGGCACTATCCTCTCTTGCGAAGCAATGAATCAGTGATTTTACAATTTCCATTTTAAAACAAGTTATTAAAATTAGTAACTTGGTTTTCAGATTACTTCTGTGCCTACCAAATATTTAAGCTTGCGCTATTGAAGTTCTTTTGTTGTTCATTAAGACAATCATTTCGTCATGGCCTCTGCTGCTACTATGAAAACAGTTCCCGCTGCTGCGGGAGGAAAGCGAGCTTACAAGGACCGGCAGAAACCCACCGACATCCGCATGAGCAACATTCAAGCGGCGAAAAGTGAGAATCCTTTTCCTTGATTTTTTGAATACGTATCACCAAAGATCCTGGTTAGGTGTCTCTGATGCGATTCGAACTAGCCTGGGTCCGCGTGGGATGGACAAGATGATCCAGTCGGGCAGTAAAGGCGAAGTGACTATTACAAACGACGGAGCAACCATTCTCAAACAGATGAAGGTTCTCCACCCTGCTGCCTTAATGGTAATGCTTGTGATTTGACATGTATGTTTTAAAACCTTCAGTTAAATGTAAGGTATCTGCTCCAGTTGGTAGAGCTTTCTCAAGCTCAGGACGTGGAAGCGGGAGACGGAACAACATCCGTCGTAGTTGTGGCTGGCGCATTTCTGGAAGCTGCGGCAAAGTTGTTGGAGAAAGGTAATTTTTATTTTGTCCAGTGAGACTGAAGGCGTACCGTAGGAAATACAGTTCTGTTGGTTGATTAGGCCTTCACCCCATGGTCATTTCGGAGGCTTTCCAGCATGCTGCTGATATTAGCGTCAACATCTTGAAGAATATGGCACTGCCAGTGGATTTGAAGGACCGCGAATCGTTGATTAAAATCGCCAGAACATCCCTGAATTCTAAAGTAAGTTCCATCACCAACGAGTGGTTATTGGTGCGATTTATTGGGTTTACTCTGCGAACAGCAGGTTAAGCAAAAGATCTCGTACACCTCTATCACTTTAACACATAGTAGTGATTATTTGGATATTGATTACGATAGCTTCCGACAGTGTTCTGAATTCACAGCTTTAGGTTGTCAGTTTCGTTTCATGAGTCGATGCTAGAGAAAAATTTTATAAAAAAACAATAATTCATGGCTGATAAGAAAAAATAGATTTATTATTGTAATAGAATGGCTCAACTTGAGCCGCGACTACGGTAACTACTAATTACTACTTAGTACTGATCGTTACAACTTACACAATAAGAATGCAGAGTTGTTAAATCTCCATGTAGAATGGTTGTTTGTTTTTCAACGTTTCTTCGAATTTCCATTAGTTATGAGCATGGCGGAATTATATGGTGCATTGTCTTCTTTGTCGTATAGAAGTACATATGTCGGGATACGAGTAACGACTTTTAGGCTTTCACTGATCTTGTGTTTCATGTTTTTAAGGTTAGACTTGTTGTTGTGCGGAATTTGTTTTCGAAACCTGTATTTCATGTGATTAAGAACAAATTATTTTGACTTTTGAAGTATAATACAGTACTTTACAACAAACGTACGTGAACCTCACTGGATTCATCTTCTTATTCCTATACTTTTTTTTATTTCTATACTTTCTAGGTGGTGTCACAGTTTTCCGACACCCTGGCTCCCATTGCCGTCGATGCGGTCCTGAAGATCGTTGATCCCGCTCAGCCAACGATGGTTGATCTGAAAGATATTAGAATTGTCCAAACCTTGGGGTGAGTTGTGAACTTTGTCGCGTTACCATTATTACTACGGATCCAGGAAAGTAAAGTTTAATATCGGCGCTGAGTTGGTTTGAAATTTATTATCCCTTATGCCTCTCGTTGTGCAGGGCGACAGTGGACGAAAGTGAACTTGTCGACGGTTTCATTCTGACCCAGAAAACTCAAGGTCCACCGGACGCTCCTAAAAAGATTGAGAAAGCAAAAATTGGCTTGATCCAGTTTTGTTTGTCGCCGCCGAAAACAGACGTGAGAAAACGGATTCGCCTTGATCGTGACTGAATTACGTGATTTTTCCAATCCTTTATTTTCAGATGGAAAACCAAGTGATAGTATCGGATTACACACAGATGGATCGCATACTGAGGGAAGAACGCGCTTATCTCTTGAACATCGTCAAGCAAATAAAGAAAGCCAACTGTAATGTTTTACTCATACAGAAGAGCATTCTGCGGTAAGTCCGACTTGTCATGCAGTATGTTGTCAGTTTAACCTAAAAATATTTTCTAGTTACATGAGTTTTGCGCTTATTTTCAGTGACGCTATCAGCGATATGGCACTCCACTATTTGGCTAAAATGAAAATCATGGTTGTGAAAGATATTGAGCGCGAAGACATCGAGTTTATTTCCAAGGTGCGACAGACAGCTTTCGATTAATTTATTTTTAAATTTTAGAAAATTAACGCTGATTTATTGTGGTAATAGACGCTAGGATTACGACCAATCGCTAGTCTGGACCACTTTTTACCGGAGCACTTGGCATCCGCTGATCTGGTTGAACAAATTGAATCCGGCACTTCTAAGCTTATCAAGGTAAATTGCAGCCTTTATTATCTCTCACTTGTTCCATATTCCTAAATGACCGTGAATGTACATTTCTAGATATCTGGTATCCAAAAGCGAGGACGAACGGTTTCGGTTCTTGTTAAAGGATCGAATAAGCTGGTGTTGGAAGAGGCCGAACGATCTCTCCACGATGCCCTGTGTGTCATTCGTTGCTTGGTTCGAGATCGGTAAGCCTGTTAGCTGGAACAATCCCCTGAAAGCTGGGATGTCTTAATTGTCCGCTGATAACGGGATTCGTGGTCGTGGCCCTTTTAATAAAGAATATTTTGTTTGCCTTTTGCTTAGATTGTACTGCGACTATTCCTTACGTTGAACTATTTATTTACCAGAACCACGTATTATCGTTTATTAATATTTTTAAATAAGTGAGTTCGCTTTATTATTATTGTTAAATAACGTGGCTGACATTCTGCCAAAATGGAATAGTTATTTTTGGAATTTCTTTGCTCGTCTCTATGAATTTTGGTAATAAGAAATTTGGCATGAAGCCTCTGACATGGAGTAATCTGCTCGACGGATAACAATATTAGCGATTGATCTTAAAAAGTGCTTAGTGCGGTCTGACTTCCGACATCTGATATTTTCTTCTTTCTCACAATTGTTCATGGCATGTTTACTTGATAGGCATCTCATTGTTGGTGGTGGAGCGCCGGAAATCGAATTATCTCTGAAGTTAGCGGACTATTCGCGTACACTGGTTGGCGCTCAGGCACTATGCGTCCGGGCGTTTGGTGAGGCTCTGGAAGTGATCCCTTCTACGTTGGCCGAAAATGCCGGTTTGAATCCCATTGAAACCGTAACTGAACTGCGCAATCGCCATGCCAGTGGGGATCAACAAGCTGGCATCAACGTGAAGAAAGGCGTCGTTTCTAATATTTACGAGGAGAATGTCGTGCAGCCTCTTCTGGTCAGCACCAGCTGTGTGCAGCTTGCCTCGGAAACCGTTCGCAGCATTCTAAAAATTGATGATATTGTAAGTGAACATTGCTTTTCTTGCTTGAAAAAATTCCAAATTGATTTATTGCAGGTGAACGGGCGAGGATAAAAAAACGATACGAGTCTGCCGGGAATTTGGAACGGTTTTTTACATTTATCTCTCTAGTGTTTGACTTTGTTAATGTTGCCTCTACGTTCCTTTTAGATTTTGTTGTAACGTCTACGAATGCGGAAACGTTTGTACCGTAATTGACAGCCTTCTAATCTCACTGTCAGTAGCTACAGTGCTAAACAAGCAGATTTTCGATTAACAGTGTGCTCTGCGGCGGTTTAACGCCATAATAAATCAATGAAAATGGCAAACATCACCCCAATCAGTCATCAAATTGTGCACAGAACTAGGAACAACAGCAAATCAAGGGATGTATTCCCAAATCACAAAGCGACAGAAATAGGAACTCGTTAGTCTGACGGACCCTCCGGATTTCACAGTCCGTAAACTTCACTTTCTTGAACTTTATCTTCCGAATCAATAGGCGAGGGTATTTTCGTCATGTACAATGGCGGCTCGGCATAATGACAAAATGTCCACTTGGAAACGTCTTCCTTTGGCAAAACAAAGGGCGAAATGTCACGTAAAAACGATTTTATTGACTGCGATGTCGTTGGCATCAATTCCTCTTCCGCTCGAACTACGGTATCCTCCATTGCCGTGGTGCATGTGCGCGCGGTTGAGAGCATGTGCTAAAAAAGTTGAATAACACCACCAGTCCATATTTTGCACCATCATCTGCATACGCTAACGAATCATGGAAAATCAAAATCTAAAACCCCATCGATTATTCGCAACCATGATAAATATTAATTAAAATTTAAATCAACAGAAAGAATAAAAATACTATATTTTGCGAATTTTTTTTGTAATTTATTAATCTTTTATAATACTTCAACAAGATTACGAACAATCGCTGCAGCATTCACCACTGTTTTTAACCGAAGAGAAATTATAACTGTTTTTTAAATGTTAAAAGTTTCCGAATACGAATAAAATGCTATTCCTGAATATTTTCTTATTTCGATGGCTGCTTCCGAACAAAATTTATGCTTGAAAAAATTCACATACCTCAAGCTTATCAATCCTTCCATACATTACTTCCAGATCCTTGACGATCTCATAACAACGAGGAAGATTCAGATTCAGCGTTTCCGAGGTGTCGGAGCGAATCTGATTCAGAAATTTGCTGAGTACTTAACTTATGTTTTTAAAAACATAATGGAATTGCATTATGAACAGGTATCTTAATCAATTCAATTTTCAATTACCTTACCTTATCGATAATTTCACAATAATGCACAATTTTTTCCAGCATGTCTTCGGTGGTCCGCTCCATCTCTTGTAACTGTTAAAAACAAATATTTTGATAAAAAAGTAAATATTTAATATAATGAAAAACTAGTGAACGGCAATCACATGGCTGAGTCAAAGCAGTACAAAACAAACGGAATTGCCTAACACTGATTTGAAACTTCAAACAAACCGGGGCGTCCTCCTCATGCACCATCCACGCTGTTTGTTTTGACTGTGGTGTTGGCGTTCAGTGCGCTTGTTTACCAACCTGTTGAGTCAAGCTGGCGTCGGCTCGCTCCGTTGTGGTCCTGAGAAGCGGCGTAGAACCAATCAAGTCATTATAGATATCGGCCACATCTTTTGTCAACTTGTCAAAAAATCCTCGATGGACATCAGGTCTGGCTTGATGGATGTCGTGAGTCACTTCAGATTTCTTCGCTGCTGAAAATTCATCCGCATTTGGCGTCTTCGGAGAGGATCCATCGAGTTCTGTAGAAGTCATTTCCAAGGCGTCCATTTTGCCACGACGGCAAAACAATATCAAAACGGTTAAAGTCGTCTGCTGCCACAGCTTCCAGCAAAAACGACGTTCAAAAATTTCCAAAACAACACTTACAACAGCAATACAAGTTATGCCACCGTCGTACGTACGTCTATAGAAAGAAAATTCTATTTTCTGACTAGCACACTTTCTGGCTTCGGATAAGCAGCAACGTGAATGAATATTTTTAACACATTACGTAAGGCTTGTTGATTGTGAGACATGAACAATTAATATTATTATTGTCATATTTTGTTAGGCTCTTATCGGTTTCATAAAACTGGATAATCAATAACAATCGATAGAATAATAAATCAAGTTTGCAGCGTTCGTCCAGACTACAGGGCGAACGCACAGGGTGGTTAAACGTCCATTCGTGCAGAATAAATGTGATGAATCATCCAGCCAAGGATTGCTACTGGCCAGTTATCGTCAGGTAGGCGGTATCGTGACGTCACTGACTACAAACAAATCACAACCTTATTCTGGCGCCCTGCAATTCATTCAAAAAGGAATGAGTCAAATGAAAACGTCTCAATTCATTCGTGATCGTGTCCAGACGAGAGTGCAGTCGGCGTTCAGGGAAATTATTATTCCCAACCGTTACAATGGAATTACAACTTTGTTATTTCTGAAAATTAATACAGACATTGTTGGCTGTACGAGTACAATATAGTAACCTTAAGCGACGGAATGAGGACTTGGTTACGTTAATGGTCAACAGCGGGTACGTTAAACCTTGCCCATTCGTGTCCGCTGACCACTCTTGCAGCAGTAGAGATTTGGAATGTTAGCTTCTTCGGGCGAACAGCATTATGCTTATCTGAGAAATTCTAATCCGGCTTATTAATTTTCGAGCGTTATCATCCTGGAACCTATTTTCAGTCCATTTTTGTGCGTGTGTGTTACACAATCATATCTGGATGAGTAAAGTCTGTGTCGAGCGGCCAAACATGATGTTTGCATAGCAGGTAAGCTTTGGAACGGATGTGCGTTTTATGTACAGTACAGGTCTACCATCGCGTTCGCGGTAGCTTTTTGGGCAACACCGGGAAAGAACAAGATCAATGAGTTTGTTCCGTGACTCACATAGCGCGAGTATGCGGATTTCGATTGATCCGAGCGCATCATAACGAATTGTATTCACAAGTCCGACAGTTATTGAGATTTTACACTTGCTTGATTTTTTGAATACACATATGTAATATGCAAAGCTGATGTGCAATGAGTGCATCATGACGCTGTATTTATAGATGGCAGTTTACATCCCAATGTCCGTACCAGTGTCCCTTATATATATAAGTATTTTCCAGTTTTGAATAAGTTTTCCAGTTTTGAATAATACGGGACAGGACGGTTGGCGCAGCTACTACGTACTATAGTAGTGGCTTTTGACATTCATTTATTTAAATTTACACGTGTGAGCACAGGCAGTCGAGGAATAAATGCTCCCATGTTTTGGAAAGTTCACTGCGTATGCGACACCCGGCGCAAGGAAAATAAGCAGGATGTTAAATGGTAAATTGTGAGACGACCAGAGTAGCGATAGCAAACAGTGCGAATCGAGTTACCGGTTCTTGAATGTTGATTTTTTGCAAGCGGCATTTACTATATTGTCAATAATGTGTGTGATCCTTTGCATTTAAAAATACGAACGTAATCGAGAAGCTGCCTGCAGTTAAGGGGTGCAATATTTTCGCCGGCACTTATGTGCGCTTTTCAGTTTTGACTGAGAAGTGGTTCGGCTTGGATGGCGATTTGATGGCTTATTTGCGTGATAATTTAGGCCGACTGTTCGGGCAGCGGCCAGTTAATATCCTTATTCCACCCGCGCCATTACAGGCCCGTCCATGGTAACAGCCGGAAAATTAGAATAAAACTTAATTGCTGGGGAGAATGTCTTTTAGTTTAAGCTTACGATGGCTTTATTCCAATGTAGCAGAATCGCTTATCGTTGGCTGTAAAGATTAATTAAAATGCCATGCGGTAGCCGTTTTGCACGGTGCTGCTGAAATCCGTATCGATTAATTCTGGTTGCACCGCTGGCGTTGGGTGCACTACCATTAGGATTTATTATCGTTTTATTAACGAAATAATATCGTAAAGGTTTTATTTACCTTAATCGTTAATTCATGAATATATGATTCGGAAATGAAATCAGTGCATTCCAAAGTTCGCTTGTTGGTTGACTTTAAACCGGTGATACGGCCCATGCTAATTTTAATGCTGTGAAGTGCCGAACCGGCCAGACCAAAAACACAATACAATTTGCCGAGACAGCCGTACATGTGAGAGGTGGCAAAGTGGCATGTAGTTCACTAGAATCATATTACCCTATCCATATGAATATAAATTCTGAAGGATTTACAATGAAGAGAAAAGGTGGAATTGATGTGTGGATTGTGTACATAGTAAACGGAATGCTGTAAATGATGCTGGTCCAGTTTTCATTTACAGACGTCGTCTATGAACTGCTGGCTATTCTAGTTTTGAAAATGCCTGATTAAACCAATACACTGGATGACCATTTTATTGCTTGTTTAGAATAACAATTCGCGAGCCCCGGCTGGCGGATTGCTTCAGCTCCAATGAATTTCTGTCGCTAGCAATTTACATTGCGCTTTGACCAGTCAATTAAAATAAATATGCTCCTTGCGCTCTAAGCGGTATTTCTAAAATAAATTTTTCAGGTAGAAAATGCTTATGTCTAAGAAAGTGTGCGACTTTGTTGAAATGATTAAGTTGATTGAAAGGCTGAAAGCTACCATTTGTAATTAAAATTGTATCTCGACGTCGTTACGGTACACGTTAGTTTTTAGCATTTGCGATTGTTTTTTCACATCAGTTCAGTAGAACTACTGTAGACCGGAATGTTGTTGCAACATAAACTGCTTATCATTGTGTCAGTTTTTTTTTTGGATGTTCAATAAATGTTTGCGCTTCCATTTAAAACCGTCATGTATCGATCAATTTAAAAATGGGTCAAGGTGAGGAAGATTGAATCAGTGCGATTTAATGGTGAGAGTGACTCTATATTATAGATATGTGCATATAATATAGATATGTGCACTGCTCGTACTCGTATGCTAGATTATTGTAATCGAAATTTGGCTTCCAAATCCCGATATCACGGTACGCTGTTAAGCCGGCTTCTTAATGTGCATGGCGCATGCCACAGATATGAGCGCATATCACCACGTTTTTCGCTTTAAATGCACAGGAATAAAGGTAGTTCTAGCGTTTTTCATAGGTACAACGAAATTTATTCACAGTTTAATGTGGTCGTGAAATATTTCATGTGTAAGTACTCCAAAATCTGTTTTAAAACTATAATATTATATAATTGCACATGCAGCTTTTTGCCTAACTATTCCTGAAGGTTAACATCTCGTACCACACTGCGGAGTCGTCGTATTCTTTCGCGCGATTTTCTGAAAAACATAGACTGTAACTGAAAATAAACTATATAAGTAGTAAACTTTTAAACTGCCCTAGTTTATGAATTTCGCTCGAAAACAACGAGTTTGGAACAGGTGTTATTGTCGTCTCGTAACGTTATGCATGCGTAGGTTTAACAGCATACGGTCAGTAGACTTTCACCTGGCAAACGCTTTCAACTGTAACGTAATCCACCGGCACTGCACGTTAAAGTTCTGACAGTTTCTTGTTTTGCTTTTGCACATAGCACTTCCATCCCGTCCTCATCCCAGGGTTCTGTTAAATTTCATAAAATAACGTTGGGAATTTATGCGTTGTGCTCGGAGACCATCAGTATATGCTATATTCGGCGCACTAACGAAGGTTTTTTCACCACAACCAGACATGTGCATAATACTGCGCCTTTTAGAATCAATATTGCGTCGTCATTTACAATTGTTAGCTACAAAGGTTTAGGCGTTTAGCATTAATAAACGTTTGAGCGTGGTGTGTTTAGAGAAATAGCAACGAAGCAAAACTTTCAGTGTAAATGATAATACGTTATTGTTCGAATAATAGGTCGTAGTGTTAGTTCAGTGAGTAAGTCGAAGAATTTACCGCAGTATCATTGTTCAAAACAGTTTCCATGATGGTGCGGTCGCCTAAGTAAATAATTACTAATAGTTAGTTCACTGATGTACTGTATGGAAATATGACATTTGCATTTACGATTTCAGGTGAATAATTGAATGCATTTGAAATTGAACTGATAGAAAGAATAGGACATTTAAAAAACTGTAAAAACTTTTTTACAAAGCTTGACTGCTGCATAAATTTTATGTGGTACGCTGGGAGCCTGGGTGATGTTTTATGAAACAGTAAATAAAAATGCTGATTAAAATAAATACATATCTGGAAAACGGTACATGTTCTTGTCTTCTGTTTCAGTGGAGTTTCTAATAAGAGCTGTTTTATTTCTGTGCTTGTAGATTCTCTGGTGATATCCGATGAACCGGACAGATGTTCTTCCGTAGCCTAGTATGGAATTGGAACTAATGGATTTCCTTTGGCGGCGACGGCCATATATATTTCACTCGGTGTTGATATTAGGGATCGCAGCATTTATAAGAATCTCAGGTAAGAACAATGTCAAATTATCTGTTTTCACCGGTCTGTGTTAAATTGGACACATGGCATTCTCAAGTGTCTCTTTGACTCCGTTACAAACAGCAGTTGTAGTTTCATTTTCAAGATGTTGTTACTATAAGGATACAAGCGGCTCATTAAAATATGCTGTTTTAAATTTTATGCAGTGGGGTGAGTGTGATGAAGAAGCGTTAAGTGCAACTCAACGACACTTAAAGGTTTCTCTGCTTCATTCTTTAAAAGATGTACGCCAAATATATGCTGAGTATTCTACGTTCTTGTATAGATATTATGACGTGCAGATTTTTTGGTAATTATCTGTTTTGAACTGACTGTTTACACACACAAATACAATACTATGCACTATATATTTACGCAATCCTGGAAATAGTGAAATAGCTCTTCTGTGAAAGTTCAGTTTATTCGTTTTACTGATTGGTTAGCACGATCCCCTTCATTAGAATTGTTTGCATAAGTAAATCATAAGACATATCTATATGTATAATTCTATAACCATTTACTAGTGAGTAATGGATGATCATGGTGTAGGTACTGGGTGGAAAAAATTCCGCAGTATTAAAGGATGATTTTTTATTCTTTTATTTGTTAAGCACGGAGGGTATTGTGATTATGTATGAATATGGTAATCGTCAGCTCCAGCTCCGTAAGCTGGCAAAAGACTGATAATTACGGGCACGTGCGGCATCTGTAGCACCCGAAATGTAACTGAAGCGTTGCGCACACAACCTCCAGCTTTTTATAGAATTGTAGGTTATAAGTGCTCGTCAATGGAAGAAGTAGGAGACATATAATTTTATGTCTGAGCATACAGCGTGCGCAATTATCCTTGTAGCTAATTTGACGTTTGGCCTGTAAACAGGAAAGCTACTGTGTGTTCAACTTTGCTTTGCTTCATGATCAACTCTTCCAGCAGAAATGAATTTTGCTTGGGTTTCTTAACTTTGCTCCAGTTTTCCCTAAAGGTCGTTCGAACTTTGATGGGCACGGATAAACTAATTTAAGAATAAGTTTTAGATCAATAGAAAATGTGTCAAATCGATCGCTTCGGGTAGATGAAACTTTGCAGTGACCAGTACTAAAATCGAGGCGTATAATATAATATGAAATTGGATTGACAGATAATAAGACTATTGTTAGATTGTTTCCCTGCTGTTGTGTGCACTGTGCAGTATATAAGCGTGTGCCTGCGATTACTGTCCTGACCACCGACGATTGACCACTGGATATGGAATATGTGACTATCGATCTCCTGTGCGAGCACGCTGGGTCGTTCCACTCGTGGCAGTTAGCTGTCTATTTTCTCACTCGTTCGCCCTGACGGCTATCTGATGCGCTTTATGTGTGTATATCCCGATCCCGGCAATGCTGATAATGATATAATCGCTCGTTATGAATATTTCAACAGCTTCATCGTAATTACAACTGCCAGTGATAAGCAAATATTGCCGGTCAGTCAGTCATCGTCTGTATTTACGCTTACAAACAACCCGTCAGAGTGCGATGCCCATTGGCTATGGTCCCAGCAGAGCAGCCGTATTAGGCCAACAATTCCCGCCAGATGCTGCCGGCCAAACGATATTCCCCGATCGCTCATATTCGGGTGCTTTTGGAATTCGCCCAAAATACCAGGAAATGCGAGTGCCTGCAGGCAGAAACCCTCGAATTTTTTTAAGTACAACATTAACGAAGCTTATTAACCGGTATTGCTGTACGATGTGTTTGTCGTGTTTTTGCTCCGTCGCATAGACGAAATTTACGATTATTGTGCCCGTTAATTGTACACACGTACAGTACATTGCAAATTTGTTCAAAAATAGTCACTGACCATGAGAATGGAAATTATTCAACCAAAGAAACACTGAAGCATAAAAATCGAATACCTCTGTAGATCCACACCTGCATTATTAAAACTAAGAAGGACGCGCTTATTATGTTACTAAAATTTTGGAAAATAAGAGGCAATAACAATGATTTGCATTTGCGAGTAATACCACCTAGTATTGTTTTGAAATTGTTTGCAGTGTTAGTACATCAAATTTACAGCAAATAATATAATTGTTAGGACGTAGCCGAAAATCTTCTTACAATTATTTGGTTTTATCGGTGCACGTTTTTTCGCTCAGTTCTTTCGAGCCGATTACCTAAATTCGTAATTTGGGCAGCTGTTGCCCGGTGTTTGGAATACCTAGTTATTTAACAGTTCATACCTGTGTCCGACTTCATAAATTTTTACTAACGTCCTATTACATGAACGGGTCATCCATTATCTTAATCCATAACACAACCGACAAAACAGTCCAGGAGGTCCACAAGTGTGGAAGGAGCAATTTATTTGAAGACGTGTGTCAGAGATGTAAAAGTAGCCGGTATCATCTCTATTCAGGCGAAGACAACAGATGGTCACAGCAGGCCAAGTGTTGATTGATTTGTTGCCGGCACTTGTAATGAAATGAGCTGGAAATCTTTGCTCCCTTATGCTGTTTTGTTCATATCCCCCAATGTCAGATTGCATAACGTTTTGGCTGTCGGTATCCTAAGGCCACCACACAGTAGCCCGTGCGGCTCATGTTTTCCTTAAGATTAACCTTACTCTCTCCATTTGTCCTTGTCAGTTAATGCTAACAATTAATAGACAGTGTATAGGTTGAGTTGCGCGCAGCGGTTTAGCACTACTGGCGTCCTGCTGTGACAAACTGTTGTTCACGATTTGTGCTCGGAAAACAATTAGCCTAGACAGAAGGTGATGGATTATTAAGTTTTTCTTGATGGAGAATGAACTTATAGAGCATTTAACTAAAGGGCATTGTTAATGTGGGATGCATAAATGTGTAGATATGGCTTTGTGTTGCAGATGCCTGCAGTAGCAGATCAATTCCCAAAGTAAGATCGCCACCGGCGCTAGCTGTGCCACCCGCGCTGTCCGTTCCCGCATCGGCGTCTGCTCATCACCAACTACAGACAACGACGGCAAACTATACCATTCCGCATTATGATTGTCCAGACAAGTACCAGAAATGGTACTGCCTCAATGGCGCTACCTGCTTCACTGTGAAAATTGGGGAAACCATATTATATAACTGTCGGTAAGGGTTCACATTTTTCTTTTTTTGACTGCAATATTAACGGTTTCCACTTTCATTTTCGGTTCGCATTTTTCAATTTTTCTATAGTTCCGAAAAATTGCAAGCCATTGGCTGTTTGATTAAATCATAGCATTTTTATGATTTTGCTGGCATATTCATGTTTACTTAACAAACTCAGTTTTCCGAATCAGTGACACGCTCCGTCTAGCCAACATCCGCTTAGGACTTCAAAAAGTCGCAAGCGGAAGAATGAATCACACGTGTTTCCTTGCGAAAACACAATACTGAAACGCGCGATTTCTTTGACCATCACGCACCGCTTCGCAGAAAATCGAATTTTATGTTTATGAAAGAATTCCAAATTCGACTCCCACGCCAGTGAATCAGTATATGCGATAAGCGAAATAAAAATATGTCAAGTAGACGATATTACCGTTTGTCCATTTGTTTGTATCCTAGCATTCTTTCGCAGTATTTGTATATTGATATTTTCTTTAGCATCCTGTTTGTTTTGCAGATGTCTCGTAGGCTACATGGGACAACGCTGTGAATTTAAGGATACTGACGAGTCTTACGGTAATATACATACCACGACACATTTTTAAAATCCGTGCTTATGCTTCTCCTTTTCAGAATATGTGAGGCATAGATACGTGGTGAAAACAGCCAGCGTAGCCGGTGGAGTAACATTAGGAGTCATAATATTAGCCGTGGTCATTGTGGCAGCGACATATTACGCCCGGTACGTTCTGACTTTGTCGAGCATAACATTTCCGGTTGTTTATTTGACGTGTGCTTTCTGCCCTACAGTCGACGCAAAGCCAGGACAAAAGAGACCACCAATCCACCGTCGATCAGTCCCGAGCAGCTGCTGCGCTCGCCCTTTGGTCGTGCGCTGAGCCGCACAGACAAAACCTTCCCCATTGGACGGTCAACTTGGAGTCCAACGCAACCCGGTGCATTTCTGCCGTCCATCCGTGTGGTCAGTGAACAGGAGACCCTGCTGAAGAAACTCAACACGGCACCGCCACGACGCGCACCCAAGGCGTCCGTGTCGGATGTGTCGTTGTCCGGCATGGACAAGGACGCCGGTGGTGATGTCCTGGTGGCCGTAGATGTCGGTCATCCGCCCCAGGAGGGCGCCGCTCGAGCGCCGAATAGCCAGTTCAGTGCTGGTTGAGTGTTTTTTTCTGATGGTTTAAATTCCCCCCGCCCCCGCGCATTTGGTGATCCTGTTTTTTAGTGCATTTGTATAGATTTTTTGTTATGAATATTTGAAATGTGCCTCGCATTTGCAGCGTTTTCCTGTTTCTGCTGTACAGATTTTTAATTGTTTTCTTTTATCTTTTTACGGTTTTAGCATAATTTTATTGATGTTTGGATCATTTCTGACTTCTTTTCGAGTTCGGTGTCGACATATGACTACGAGCTAGGTAAAAAACGTACTTAAACACCTGATATGATGATATAGAACAACATCTGAATCCTTTTAAACAAAATAAATCGCAAGTGAAGACTGGATGTGCTATTCTCGATAGCAATTTAAAAAAAACTAGAGTAAAATGTGGAATTATATAGAGCCGACTACTTACGAGCAGTCAAGCGCAATTTGGAAAAAAAACTGACTTAACGTCAGACACTTCTGCATATAATTTTGCGCAAGATTATAAGGTCATCGGTTTGGGACCTAAGGATTTCTTGGTATTTCTAGTTTGAAAGCAAACCTTTCGAAAATCCTTTATAAAATAACACAGAATCATTCTATTGTTACCGCAGTTTTGGCCAGATTAGCTATGTTTTGAGCCTCACTGTGCCGCATAAAAAAATGATTTTCACGAAGCTGGGCCGCGGTTAATTCTTCTTAAGCGCGTGAGAATTAAGGCCGGGGATAGCGTCAGCTTGATTATGAACTGCACATCACACTACAATTGATTTCGAAGTATGGGTCATCGTGCGTCTTTTAATGTCATTTTAAGTAAATCAAATAATTTATCCAACTTTGGTTTATCCACTTTATCTGCATAACCCGGTCGAGCGTGCAACGGCCGGTTAGCTGTGAGTTTAGCTAACGTTTTATGTGGTCGCTCATCGAAATGGCGTCTTTTTCCCAGAACTGAAGAATTAAAAGCCGCAATCCTTTGGCGGATGGAATCAATATATCGTTTATTTTTCCCATCTGCGATCAACGAAAACCATATCGTGTCCAGTTGACGGTACGCTTCAATCTTTTTCCGGTGCCAGTCACTGGTCAGTTTAGTCAGCACATTTTCCTTTGATTTCCAGGGGAAGTGGTCCAGTCTCAGCTCGGACAGCGGTGGTTCGGTGGTGTGACCAATCAAATCCTGACACCAGTGAATATACACACTCCGGCAGCGATTGGCTTTGAAAAGTGACTTCCCGATGTTGTGCTGGCAGAGTTCCGGGTGCGCTGTCCCATCGCAGATTTGGTGAAACATTTCCTGGTAATTTTGGTCTAATTGTGGATGCGGTGCCCGCCGGGGATTAGCTTCGAGAATGACGGGATACAGTCCACTGCTGACATCCCGCGGTTCATACAGCACACGCAGCCCGACCGCCGGTTCAGCATGCAGACGAACCCGGAAGTCATCGATTAAGCCGGCCGTTCCGAACCGGACCGGCTGCGCCATAAACTCCGATACGAGATGCGCTTCGTTAACATCGTCCGCGGTGTAATTGTCGTAAACATTGAGAAAATTTTGGATGGTCCCGTAGTGCGGCGAATACATGAACTCGTCCGCGTCAATAATGAGGAACCATTCGCTGTGATTCCGGTAGCGAGCGAAGCAATGCTGGAGAATCTGCCGCTGATTGTGATCGTGCTCTTTCCATGTGTGATTCGATAAGCGGCTTTCTCGTAAAGCATTCGCGGGCAGAATTTCAACTAAATCTGGATGGCCGATGGATGCGTACAGCAGCGGGAGGAGGTGAATATCATCCTCGCTGGCGTCATCGTACAGGACGAAGTGGTCGACTCCCTGGATGCGGTGAAATTCGATCCATTCTAATGTGTAGGCGAAGACATTTCGCAACATTGCGCACACGGTGATATTCCATTTCCTACCCTGGTTCAGAGCGTCTGCAGGATCGTTTTGGTTACAAAACCCCGAAGAAACACAATCAATGAGAAAACAAAATATCACAAGCAAAAATCTACGTTTTGTACATTTTGTCATGGTAATAAATAGTTGGACAAATACTCTTGACTGTAAGTTAATGGTTTAGTCCGATTTTGAAAGATTTGTGTGCATCATATCTTCCGTCCGAAAGGCCAACGGCGTAATAATACTCGCTCTGCAAGGTTTTGAAATAAGGTGTATGACCGACATGTTATTACTTGGGCATTATTGTTGTTCATTTTTTCAAGTTCATAATTACAGTAAAATGTATTCTGTTCTGTACTCTAATTCGTACAGTATGTTAAGTTGTCAACCGTTTGTAACGCTCATTTGTACAAGCTTAAGAAACTTGAGATAACGGAATGCAAATCTTTTCAAAGTAAAATTAATTACAATCATTAAAATTACCACAACAGAAGTTGTAGGTAGCAAAAATTTTACTGTAATAACAATAATACCATTTGCACATTTGCGGCGCCATGCGGCATCTCCAAATTAACGGACAATTATGAGCACTCTTCGTTCATCGGGAGTAATACTCTAAATTGAAATAAATCATATCGTCACGGAAAGGAGAAGCGCCTAACTTGCACTGCCGCCGGGAGCTGCATGGGGCTTGAATATGAGAAGCTGGAGGTCAACGGGAACAGACAATTTGCCATTTGTACAGATATGAACATTTTTTAGAACAAGTCAGTGAGGTCACTGTTAAGTCAGTGTTGGCAGGGATACTTTCCTTGCGGTTCAAAAGCAGATTTACTAAAATATTCAAAATTGGAAACAAAGATCGTTCTGGAAAAAGTTACCGCCACAATTTACAATCAATTAACGATGCAACTTACATACCACGGCCCTGCAGTTCAATTCTGCTACAACTGGCCCACAAGTACAGAGTACCAACACAACTTTTTCTTCGCTGCTTCGCATTATAAAAAATTAAGATTCAGACGAGCGACACTGACCGGTGGAGTTTTAGCATTTACTTGCAAAACGATTTGCCAATTTTACCCATTAATTAGAAATTTGCCAAAGCGATTACATACACTCGCAATACGAATCAGTCTTCACCCACTCAAATTCTTTATTGAACTCTTTCGCGATGTCACACAACAGTCACGCCTAAGTGTTCCATGTTCGCGGCGTCGTAAAATCAATCGATGCAGCTTTGTAAGGAAATCCTTAAAATATGTTAAAACGCCTATGTATATCTAAAATGCAGGTTAACGTGTTTCGCAGAATGGACACCCATCAGACTGATGCTATCTTATTTTTGCTCCAGGTTAATAGGATCCAGTGCGGGATCTGCAACGAGAAAAAAGCATTGGTTGACAACCACAGATCATAATGGTTAGGCTGCGCTTGGTTTAATTTATATCAATATCTATCTGACACACTGTCACCAGGCACAAAATTCCGACAAGAACAACCTCCATACTGCAGTAGCCAATGAAACACATATCCAGAGATACGGAATGAATCTTAAAATCCGAACCCACGTACTTAAGCACAGAATCACATTAAAATATGATGAGCGGATGGCGATAATAAAACAACACAAAAAAATTTTAAACAATAAGCAACATACTTGTACAACCCAAGAAACCTAAAAAGTTATGCTAATAACTTAGCAATAAGTAATTTCCGTCGAAAACAGAAAACTAAGAAATTTTCCTTCGAGGTGTAGGCTCAAAGCGAGTGTAGCTCGTAGGTAGGCTCGCAGCGCGTCGCTAAGTATCGTAAAACTTGAAAACAGAAACTGAGAAACGCTAAAAATACTTTTAAACTTTAAAACGCTAAAATTAATGCTGACGAACGCAGCCAACACGCATCATCAAATCCATTTCCTCCTGCATGCAGTACAAAGTATGACACTCACCTTTAAAATTGAACGAAGGAAACTTTGACATCTCTTCTGGTGTTTTTCCTCCAAACTGACGAAGAGTTCGTGCCAAGGATTCGTCTAATTCTCGCTGTAAATTATCATCCGCGTCGACTAGCTTTCCCCCAGAAGCCCTTCGAAACACACCCACGTAAGGATTCTGTTCCATCTGGCATAACACCCACGCTAACTTACTTGCTTTTCTGGTTATACTCCCGAGCTTTGTCTAAGAATAACTGCTGTATGGGATCGCTGGCTTTCTGGAGGGCGACGGAGGAAACCGCCAGGTTCCTGGTAAGGATCTGTCCACAAACCACGCGTGCTGGTGGCAGCAGCTTCGAAAGGTACCCCGTTATCATTGCGAAAGTGATAACTTGAATCCAATTGTTAAATTTCAATCGGCCAGGATGCAAAACTCGGATAATTATTCAACATGAACAAGTAAAAAAGTGAAATCAATTCTGTTCTAAAACCGAGAAGTAACGAACACCCTTGCTGCCTTGCAGTTGAGAGTAGCGAGGCGAACAACAGGGAGGAGGTTTCAAAGCCAGGCAACCACCCAATACGTTTGTCGCCCGACCGGTGCCGTCAGTGGCCCGTCACTCCGTAATTTTGCGGCTATAATATTTGCGGCTATATTACAGCTCTATTAATCTATTGGTTTTAAAGTCTTAAAACTTTTCATACGTACATACCTCTGCACCTTTTCTGAGAATTTAATTATTTACGAGTGGAATACTTATGTATTCTGAAATGCACAAAATGTACTGTACTTTAATGCGGACCCATGTTTGATAGTAATTAGTATTTTGTATTTACGGTTAAAGTTACTTCTACAGTTGTACGATGTACAATACCAGTAGGCTGTACAGTGTACAACGCACATGAATTATTTTTAATTTTTAGTATGAAATGCTACAGAAATTTTCCGCTTACTGGTTAGGTTTCTCGCCATTAAGAAATGTCGCCGCATAAAAATTGTTGTATGCGGCGACATTTTTCGGGTTCATGAATTCGTTTTTCAGTATTTCCCAGTAATTCATTTCGTGCAGCTTAAATAAACCGCAATACAAACTGTGGAATTAATTGGAAAGCTTAAAATTTAAATCGTAGATTTAAGCGAAAGGAAAGAAACCGGAAAGCATTCAGTTTAGTGGAAGGCGGAGCAAACAGTTTCGATTGGACCTCTTAAATATCGCTCATTCTATAAGGTGCTTGTTATCGACAAGTATTTGTTATAGATAGCTACAGGGAATCCAGTGTGATCAAACATTTACTTGTACGTACGATACGAGACCGCTGCACTTGCATTAATTTTGCGTCTTGACTCTGAGTCTGGTTCAGTCGGTTGACTTGCTTGTTTGCAGCGGCTGACTGCTGTTATAATTATCCTATTCCGGTGTGGAGACGACAACGGAAATCCAGTGTTCGACTAGACTAGACCATCATTCATATGCTTCTGCGCTAACAATCAGGTGAGAATTCCTAATCGAGCCGAGTGTGAAGAGATTCTGGAAGCTGCATTTTGCAAGCAATTTAATTACCCTTACTTTGCAATTAGCGGACTGGCTTGTTCAGGTAACAGGTTCCACAGAGCCAGCGGTTCAAAATCACAAAACAACAAATAACGGTTTCACCTCCATGTCCACCTTCCCCTCATGTCTCATTACTTAGATGGTTTTATTCTGCAGAACGATGCGTAGCAAGCGAACCCGTGTTGAAGGGGAAGCCAATGTGGATGACACCGCTGTGCAGGAACCGGTTGCAGTGGACGTAGTGGAACGCGATCTGGTTTCCGACGGAGCCCATGAGCCGGAAGTCAAGCGCAGAAAATCTCGACCCAGTAAAGCCGAGTCAGGATTCATTGACAACGCGGTCTCGGAGGAGAAATCAGAAACAGATCATAGGTAAGCGAATTATTTTCACATGTACGGATGCGTTTGATCGTTCTCCCCCATAGAATCAGCTGATGGTACCATTATGACAGCATTAAGTACATGCGGAGTACAGACAGTGTTGTGCGAAATTTGGCGGGCCAGCTGCGAGCTTGCTTCACAAAGTTTTCTGCTTATGGTCCACTGTGTATTTTATGCACGCTGAATGCGGTCAATTTACACCAATACTAACGATTTGAATATTTAGTTGTCACTCACCACATTGTGACTTATCAATAAAAAAGTATTGTATTAACTATTGTTAATTTGTTACAATAATAGCAAGTATTAGGAAAAGTAACAAAGTTTATTCGCGATTTTGCAGTTTTGTTAAGCTTATGTGCAATGCTGCCTACAGATTTCTTTGTAGTAAAAGCACGCATCTATTGATAAAAAACACATTTTCCTGGAGTTTTGCTAATAGTAAGTGCACAAGGGATAATTTGCAAAGGCTCGATAGGGTCTTGTAGTTTCAATTTGGGTGCGCTCACAAGTCAGTCAGGTGTCAGAGCAATATGTGGGTTAAGTCTGAAGGTCAGAATATGAATTATATTGTATGATGGATGTTTGAGTTTACCTGCTATGCCACTACGCGATGATGGCTCGGTGCTGTTTGCCACAGTAACGGCTGATCATTACGGCCGGAAATGATTGGACTGCGCAGCAGTTGCTGCCCTGCACCAACCGGCTGTTTGTAATGATGGTGCATTTCAGTTTTGGGCCTTAGGGTGCGGAAATTCGCGTTTGATAGTTTAGAAGTCACATTCCAAGCGGAAACATTGTACCCGGCAAATTTTGCCGATTCGGTTCATCCACAAAATCATAGTTCCGGTGCCTGTACGAGCCATTATTAATATTACGTGGTTCTTTAGATGCGAAGTTTATGCTAACATTAAGGTACAGTATGTTAATCAGTAATTTTGCACTAACAAGTAAGTAAGTAAATCAGGGTTTTATTTTGCATGATTTGAATGCCATTTTGGTGTATGTACAGCATTATGTCATCCTTTTATTGGATGTTGGCTAAAGATTTTGTTGGCTAATTGCACTGTTTTGGGCAGTGATTCGCAGTACACACTGGAAGTGAGTTGTTTCCCGCGAGGCATTGAAATTTCGATTGTATTTGTTTTGTTGCGTGTGAGCACTGAGGCACCGGTTGATGTGTGTTAGCGTTACGGTAACTGCGAAGCCAATCCTAACCGGAAGTAGTGGTGCATACGAACTGATACAGTACATCGATCATCAGGTTGTAGCGTACCGTGGTATAAGCGCACGGAAGCTGTGCTCAAGTGCAATTTGTTAGCCAGCGTCGAACACGGATATGCAGCAGTTTTCTTATGCCGTTTCCGCCTTATTGTGTGATGGCCTTTTGAGCGCTTTGTTTACAACGGTGTTTTTTTCTTGTCGTTTTTACTTTAGTGCACAGAATCTCCCTGTAAGTGCTGGTAAAGTAAAGAACGGGAATAAATCCCCGACGGAAAACGGCACCATCATGAAGATCACCGGGTTCAGCCAAGAGTTCGAATTCGAAGTTAATCTCAACGAGCCCATGCAGAAGCTGATCCGTACCATCCAGCCGTCGCTCAATTTCGATTTATCCAAAGCCTGCATCTATCTCTGCGGTGTTCAGGAGGTAAGGAATGCATTTTGTTTTGGAAATAGGATAAGCAAAGCAGTACTTTTTCATTTCTCTAGCATTGGTTCGAATCAAAAACTGGCGACCCGGTGCAATCAAATTATATTGAAGCATTTTGTAAATTGTACAAGTTCAAATTGTAAAATCTGTATTCACTCGAAAGTCAATCCAAACTTTGTGCTGTCACATTACTCGTATTTAATTTTGTTGATTAGGTTCGAATCAGGTTCAAATCTTTGGCGGCATGTAATAACAAACTTTGCGCAGAACGTTATTTTAATTAGACCGGTGTGCTGACAGTTTCGTCTTACGGGGTGAGAATCGTGAATAATTGTTTGGTATTATTTCTAAAATTTTTCTTTTTTCCCATATGGTTCTAATATTCAAGGAATTCTAGCTCTCATTATACAATATATCATACGTATCCGGTTAAAACATGCGCATGCGTAAGTGAATTACATGCGCATTCTTCTGTTGAGAGCCGTCGACTGCAGTCTAGCTTCCTTTCTGGCATGCTTTTGAAACAAAGGTGTACACATCTTTAGTCAAGCAGGAAGTGGTGAGATGTGATATTCAACCGTTGCAACAAGCGACTTGGGGTGGGCATTCATTTTCTCTGGACGGATTATCGCATGAGAGTCATGCATCCGTGCTGGAAAGCTGATTGCCGATGGTAGGCGCTTGATAAATAAGAGAAGCTCAGGCCGGGGCAAGCAGGACGCCAGAAGATTACTTCCGAGAAGGGGGCCTGACTGCACGGACGGAAGACGGCCATTGTCCTTCCGCTGTGTGTGCCGTGGCCGGTCAGTGTGAATTGAGAGGAAGAGGAAAAGAGCATGGCTGGGTGAATATTGGTGTGGCAGCGGGGAATTTGTCTGTGTAACTGACTCTGTGTGTGCGCATTGTAATTGTTCCAACCGGAGAGAAGTTTGTACTTTTGCCCTGCTTGCGATAGTGGCTACAATAGAGGTTAGAACGGAGAAAGTGGCGCGCTTTCGGCTGGGCAGATGCATTTTGTATACACATGTGTGTGCCTGCTAGATGATTTCTGGCATATCCGGTTCACCGACCTACTGGGCTTTATGTGCATTTGAATTTTCTGTACGAATTGACTTTGCAGCAGCCAGCAGTGCACCGGTCGGAAGTGCTGTATGCGCTTGTATCGAAAAATTATTACGATCATGTCGCACAGTGAAGTACGGTACTCAATGTAGAAATCATAATAGCATTTCCCTACCGATATGTTTCTTTCGGGTCTGAAATTTTCTGATTTGCTTGTCTTCTCGAACAAGCTTGTGGAAGAAGAAAACAGTAAATTCCAGAAAATTGCGCCGTATTTTTTAAGTCGGCGCAAAAGCTCTTGTCAGATTGAAGATAATGTATCGTGATAATTTCTGTGGGCACTGGTTTATTTATGTATTTGCTGGTTTAATTAACCTTTAAGCAAGAAAGAGCTCGTTTCCGCCGGTATTGCTCAGTTGGGCTGTAACAGTTAAATGTGCCGTTGCAGTCTGCACTCTGCAGTAAATAATCCTGAACTATGCGTTCAGCGCACCGGTTGTCAACAAGTTGGCGGTGTATTAGCCAGTGGGTTTGTTTTATGCGTACCGGAAACTGATAAACATAATTTTAGGTTGTCGGTTAGGTCAGGTTAGCTTTGTATGCGTGTTGGTGAGTAATCCCTTAAAGGTACCAAGAGTAGCCGAGATGATAAAAGCCCTGCATTTGGGTGTTGTAAAGCAGTTGAGCGGAACTTGATCAATTGCTTTCTGAACGCTGTTCCATATGTATGTCTAACTGCTGTCAGTTGTGCTTTGCACTTCCGGCTTACATTGGCTCGTTTAATTACATTCAGCTGGTTAGTGCCAGATCATCGTATTTCTGCTTTCCTTGATCGCTGATCACCGCCGGAAACACGTATTTCCTGCGACGTCGAAACACATTTCGACAAAACACTCGTTGGTTAAGCTTAACTTTCCGGTGTTTATGAGCGGGCAATACAGCAATCAGACAAGGGTCTAATCATAACACATTTACTAAATAACACGAAAACAATATTAGCAAACAATAGCATCAATATATTATTCTAATCTAAACTCTGATTTATGAAATACATAGCACGTCGTAATAATTTGAATATTTTATGGACAGCCTGGACATTTCTAAACGTTAATAATGATAATTGAGGTAGTTTTGCTATGCGTTTTTGAATTGACGTGGTAGTTGTCACGTTGACAATACTATAAGTCGTAAAATGCGTACTGTTAGGTAATTATTGGCGATTGATTGCAGTTGACCCCGGCTACTTGCTTGAAGAACTGTGTCCGTGACGGATCGGAAGGATTCGTTAAAGTGAAACTGAGTGTTTCGTACACCCAAGGCCAGCGCCCAAGTATTAACATTGAGGATGTGCTGCAAGCCACACAGACCCCGCAAGCATCCGTTTCTACGCCAGCTCCTGTCAAACGATCTCCTCTCGGCGCTACCGTGGAGCGTAAGTGCAGTCAGGCTTTTCTTTTATTTTTGTACACATTTCTGTATGTCCAACAGATGTCAGCCTGGGCAAAAAGTTGAACGGACGCAAACGTCCAGTTTCCTCCCATCGTGTATCCGCGGCCAAACGTAAGGCGGCTAACGATCAAAATCAGGAATGGATTGAAGCGGAAGATTTTCAAGCACTCTGCCGCAGCAACAATATTCCGCAAGGTTAGTAAAGAGATAGATTAGTGAGAGTTAAATCTTCCTGTGTTGCATACTTGAAATTCTGCATTATTGCAGACGTGCATGACTGGTCAGCAAGCAATGTGGGGACTTGGCTAGGCTGGGCCGTGAAGAATTTCAGTCTGCCGGACATCAATATGCGTTTATTTTCGGAAATGGACGGGAACGCTGTCTGCTCATTGGGACGTGATATGTTTCGGCAGTTGGTCGGTCGGGATGACCGCGATCTCTTTTGGACGCATCTGGAAATTTTGCGCTCAAAAAATTACGCAGGTATGTAACCAAATGGTATTCATTACCTTGAAATCGATAGATTTGTAATGCAGTTTTCTTTGCAGAAATTCCTGTGTATAGCGTTGTTCCGGCAGTTCCTGACGCTGAGCTGAGCAGTGAGTAAAAGCAGGATAAAATATTTTATGGGGAATAGTTGTGTAACGCGTTGATCTGCAGGTCCGAAGGCTCGTGTACGATTGCCCAACAAATCACCCAGCGCCACTGGATCTCCATTTGCCAAAGATTCGGGTAATGTTCAGTTGTGGACATTCCTGTTGGAACTGCTGATGAGTGGTCAGCACGCCAATGCTTTGGAATGGACCAGTAGTGATGGAGAGTTTCGGTTATTGGATCCGGAACGTGTGGCGGAATTGTGGGGTCTGCGAAAGAACAAGCCCAGCATGAATTACGAGAAAATGAGTCGTGCTTTACGGTAGGTGATGAGAGCAACTGCGTTTTTCTGGTTCTTTTACACTTAACCTACTATTTGTTATCGCTGTAGATATTATTACGACGGGAATATTCTGGCCAAGGTTCAAGGGAAACACTTCACCTACAAATTCCTCAACAACTTGTCGGAGCATGCTAATATTAACAAGCGCATCAGTGATCCTGCGGTACAGAATCTGCCGTTGAATCTTTCGCCGCGTGCCAGTAATCCGTCCTCGCCCATGACGCCGGCGTCGCTGCGCAGCGAATCGGAACTGAGTGTGGAAGTGCCGCTGCCGCAGGAGCGTAAATCCATTGGAACGGCTCTCGATCTGCGACGTCTCAGTAGCCATAGCCTGTCGCAGGTGGCTGCCTGATTCGGGATGTCTTTTTGAGTTTTGTTAATGTTTCGTATCGTTTATGGCCATATTTGCCCGTCCATTCCACAGAGACAGGATCGATACGCACTATTTTTGTTCTTACGCCCGATTTCAGTTTTGGTATCTGTACAGTATGCCTGCTAGCTTGTTGATTTTTTGTTACTGACCATTGGACTTAGATTTCTGAATTATGTTAAATTTGGGTCGGCTGGTCGGTGTTTGGTACGATATTTTAAATGCTAGCAGTATTCTGATGTTTTTCGATGGAAGCAAGATGTTTTTCGATGTTAGCAAAAGCTCTGTTTTGACGATGCATATTTTGTGACTGGATACAAATGCACTGCTTTGAAATCTCACGAGGAATAATGACAGATTACATAAGTTTCGCGATAATACGAGTGCAAGTTCCGCTTCGCTCTAGTTACCATTAATTTGTTGAACAACAGCGAAAGATTAACATCATCCATAACAAGCAGTAGACGATAAACAATTTGCGTAGACACAATTTTGAGCACAAACAACAGAGAACCTTTTTTCTTGGTTAAAAACAATTCAAATCAACGAAGAAAACCTCTAGAAAGGCTTGTGAAGCGCAGGGCGTCTCATTGTTGAGGCTTCTGCCCAAAAGTATTCATGGAAAGCATCCACGAGACCGTATCACACAGAGCCGTCATTTCAAAATGCCTAAAAACAGCATTTTCTCGATTGACTTCTGAGCCGAAATACGTAAAGCACGGGTTGTTAACACTTAATGGTGTGCACGTACCTGCTGATATTCCCCAGTATTCTCAACTTATCCAGAAAGGACTCCCGTGTCACCGTATTCCGAAACTGTCCAGCGCAGGCGCAATTCTTCGATACATGGCGATCAAAGATCTAACAAGAATGCATAATTTTTAAAGTTACCAGCAAAGTCGATATTTGCCGGACGACATCAAGGTTAACCTGTCGGCATTTCGAGCAGACCAAATCTTGCAAGTGGTAAGCAACGTTCATCTTCTTAAGAGCTACAAACAGGCGCTGCTGTATCTCTTCCCGAGAATAAGGACGCCCGCACTCTGCATTGGCGCAAACCCAAAATGTGCTGAAACGAAAATCAGAATGTTTATTAACGTTTTAACGCCTGTTCTTTTCAAAAAGTCAAGTCGTACAAACAAACGCTCACAGTCTTGATAGTCTTAACTCCAAAAACTGGGAGAATTTTATACCTATCTTCCACTGTGATCGGCTGATCTTTACAAAGGTCAAGATCGCGGCAACTATTGCATTCCGAGCAAATGACTTCCGGCAAAGTGTACGTCAAGCAAGGATCAATCCATTCTGCCTGGGGGGAGAATTCACCCACTCCAATCATCTTTAGCAGATCACGTTTCATCCTACGCACTTCATCCTTCACATTCACATGTAAACTTAACACCTGCAAAGCCAGACTTTATTGCTGCATTATTATCGTCATCATCGTAATCCTCGTCATGACACATAATTTTAAGCCATTTCCAGCTGTTTTTGCTTTTTAAGCCGGTCCCAGTGATTCATCCTTGCATAATCTGTTTTTCTCTTTCCATAAAATGAAGCTAAAAGATACTACTATTTTACCTTGCACACAGCTTTCGTCAACTCCAGGGCTGGATTTTGCATATTCAGATGCGAGCCAGGCAGAACAGGAAACAGGTTCACTTCTTTGCCGCCAATTCGACGAATGCCGGTTGGCATAGTGCGCATGACTGTTTGGATATTTCTGAAATGATAAGTACTCTGCATTTCAAATCTTCAAACAATTGAAATTAAGAAAAAAACACATACTGTAGTATGCTGTGATGAACGCTTCCCAGCAGCAGCTGCCGTAGGTACACCACAGGCGCTTCTGTTTCGTGATCCTCATCCTCGAAATACCGACGAGGGACAATTTCGCCTTTGGCAACTTTCTTAAAATACTCTTGATACTGCAAGTTGGCCTGCATGACGTAGCCCGTAACGACACCTCGGAACATTTTCTGGCATTCGGTTGGGAGAAATCCTATGAGATTCCACACCCACCGAATGTCCGGATTATTCTCGTCGCCTTGTTCTTGGCTGAAATAGCTCATATCCCCGAAGTAGTCTCCGAATGTCCGATCATGTATACGACTAGAATCCGATTCTTCGGGCATTCTCACGGAAACACCAGCATAGTTGGACTGTTCCACAAAAATACATGCACAATAAGACATGCACGGAGAAACAAACATACCATACCGTTCCTTATCGTAAGTTTTATATAATGTTAATAGTAAATTAAAGCAAGCTTTAAAGGATATATAATCACCGATTGTTAACTCGCAGATATAATTATAATAGGAGTGCCAATTGTTTACCGCATTTAACCACCATAATGTAGTCCATATCCTTTCCGGTACAATGCTCAATCCATGAAATAACTGGTCCTGTCGCACACGATCCATGGTGAGTTTCAGCTGCGCCAGAGCTTCGTGCACTTTTCCTTTATCGGTATTGACCACCATCATAACAGCCGTCGCATATGCCACATGACACCCGAAGGGCCGAAGTTGTTAATATCCTTCACCAGTTTGATCAACATCTTCCTCAAGATGCCGATCATCTTGCGGTGCAATGCGGGATGGTACAGCAAGGATGTCGAAGAGCGTATCCAGCGGAAGATATGCAGCGCCATTTCGTTGACGAGCTGGTTGCCCCTTTCAACTTCGCGGGTGATATTCCTTACCATGCTGCCGAGGATATCGAAAGCGTACTGGACGTGGGTCGATACATCATACGGAGCCACATCCAAACTTCAATTCGAATTTGCGAACAAAATGCTACTTCACCAAAAGGCAAAAGTGAACAAAACACTTAATGTCCTGCGGCCGACTCATGGGCCTGCGTCAAAATAATAGGAAGTTAGGAACCTGCTACCTGCAGCTAAATCAGTACGCAGTAGTACGCACTTGGTACTAGTACAAGCAAACCGTGGACATTGTATTATGTATACAGGAGCCGGACTTGTACGCCAAAGTACGACAAAGATCACCATTATTAATTAACAATTATTTACATTCACCAATCAGTTCCTCACGGTCAGTAAAAAATGGATGACTCATGGGCAGACTTCTTGTCTCACATCAGGAGTACACTTTTGATGCGAGACTTTCCATTTAAGAGTTAACAGCAATTTGCTCACCTCATTAGCATCATCTGCACACAGCTGTAACTCGCCTGGAAAAATTCGTCTGCATTGCCGCTGGTGCTGTTCTCATTATAGATGCTGCTTTTCCTCACGGATTTTTATAATCTGCTAATTTGTTGATGAAAGGAGTCTGTTGTTCGCGGTTAGCCTGATTGCTTCTGGATCATCTCTCCCCTAGTACGTTTGCGGTTTGAAACCGGGTAGTTTCTGGTCAAAGTATGGCCGACCACGATAATGGGCTCATTGGGATATGGGTGGCACAAGGTAAGCGAGTGAGAGATTGAAAAGTTTCCTTAAAAACTACGTACGACACGGTGCTTACCAGCGGATTTGAATTAACCGATCAATACGAAATAAAGATAGATTATCGAGTGCAGTATTAACTTGCACAACGATTTTACATTTTGCTGCTTTACCCTATGCACCCATCGTTTCGAAGGAGAGGAAATGAAGTTAACACTTAACAATTTGATAAAACTCCCAAGTGTTTCTGGTCTTTCATAGCTTGTGCCATGGTGGCGGAGAGCCTGCTTTCTAAGACGTCTTGGCGATGTAGGTGAGGGCCATGGTGTCCCGGCAGTTGAATCCCATGCTCAAGTACTTAAATAATTTTGGAAAGAGAACTGAAAGCGGGACCTGTAGCTAGCGCCAGATTCGGAAAAACGACAGGCTAGACAGATTCAATGGTGCGAAAGCATGCAAAACGCCTGTACTACCATACGGCATTATTAAGGCATTTAACGCTTTCGAGCTCTCGGTGTAAACGTATTGCCGCTTGACGGATGCCGGGGCAAGTAGTCTACTGCGCCGCGCGATGTCCGTACGGTGCACTGACGACGAAAGGCAACCGCAGGTCGCTGGGCAGTTCAACACGAGCCGCGCCGGACACCCCTTTATTCACCATAAATCGCAAAGCACACAGGAGGAAATGTGACAATAAAACACAGGAGAACATGTGACAATATGACAACAAGGCTGAATGGGTTTGAATCAACAAGGGCCGGGTGGGAGGGTTGCGCGAAATTTTACGAAGTCTCAGTGTTCAGTTGTTTTTACGATGAATACTGAGCACTTGCGTTACACATCGAACCCCTCTCCGATTTATGCGTGCCTCGTTGCTAAGTACTACGAGAGCTCTGCGTTAACGACATTTAATGCTTTCAGCATTAAATGGCTTTAACGCTTTCGAGCTCTCGGTGTAAACGTATTGCCGCTTGACGGATGCCGGGGCAAGTAGTCTACTGCGCCGCGCGATGTCCGTACGGTGCACTGACGACGAAAGGCAACCGCAGGTCGCTGGGCAGTTCAACACGAGCCGCGCCGGACACCCCCAAACGGAACGCAACCCCCAACCCGGAGCGGAAGAAAGGCCCAAATGACCGAATTGAAAGATATGCGAATACGAGAGATCATATTCAGACAAACGGACAATTTGTGCTGCTGCATATGATTTTGGACAATTGGCAAAATAACAGGTTGTAACGGATAGGGTGGGTGCTAATTGCGAATTCAGGAAGGATCCGAAAATAGGTGCAGAATGCGAATACATATGACTGATATGAGGCGTGGGAATCGGTGGGATCGCAACGGTGTATGTAGGAGATGTAGAGCCGAATGCGGGTAAAGTCAAGGGTCATTCATATCCGGAAGACGGGTGAGCATTCGTTGAGGGACTTGAGGCTAAACTGATTCCATGGAGTACGTACGTGGGAAATGAGCATTGTCATGGAAGAAATCAAATGATTAGGTATGAATACAAGTTGGCACTAGCATGGAAATGATTAATAGGGTTTAAGTGTTTATTCATTGTTATAATTACTAGAATTGTGCAAGCAGATTGAAGCAATTAAACAAAATACCGCCTATCATAAAAGCGATTGCAGATACGTAGAGTTAGTATCGTACGTAGAGTAGAGTTAGTATTAGAGATAATAGCGCATTATACATGATCGTACTAGAGTTAGTATTAGAGATGATATTAGATGATTATTAGAAACAGAAACGGCATCAACCGGTTGAGGAAGTCTCTATAACAGACAATGGCTCATAAAACGCTTCCAACGCTAATTATGCAACATTTAAGGTTTACCTAAGCAATCTGTTGGTTTCGATATACTAATAGTATTATATATTATACAAAAACAAAATTAAAACTTATTAAGCAGCCTGCTGTTGGTGGCTTTTTGATATGGTGATGTGCAGTAGTTGGGTACGCGGTTACTGTAATCTCCATACGAGGTTTGATTTTATACTTATGAAAAATTTATGCAAATGTTCCACTGCATCAGAGAGCACTCATCAGGCGAAAACAAAAGGTCAGCAGGTAAATTATGGCTTAGGAATAAACCGTATCAATCATATACCCTTGCCAACAATGGAACGGTCTAAATGATTAAAGTTATCGATTAACTGGATGAGTACTTATTATGAAAATATTCTCACCGAAGAATCAGAGCATCAATGCAAAATGAATTGTTCGTTTAGAAAAAAATGGTCATAAAAACGCATATCAGAAAGATTTTTGAGAGTGATGACCGTATGTAAAATATCCTTTACTGAAACGGTTAGCTTTAACGAGGGTATATAAAGTAAGCTGAATTAAAGAAAGCTGCGGCTGGTAATAGTAACTGCGTCAATAAACTAAAATAAAATATAAAAGTAATGGTAAATGGGTGAAATAGTATAAATTGAGTCATTATGTCCACTGAAGAACATTAGAAATTTTTGAGTAGTCGCATTACGGAATCTAGGATGCAAGTCAATAAAACTCGAGTAAGCAGAAGTTACACAGATAAATTAGTATTAGTTAAAAGTAGGCAGACATACAAAGGGGAATTATCGTACTAGGAATACTTGTGGGATAATTCTGCCTCGCTCGTTACACATTGGTATTTAGACCCAGATTTGAATCTTAGACCGTTAGCTCAAGCAGATTTGCAGCATAGGTATTTTGCAATATGTCAATAATTGTACAAAATTTTGATAACATTAATGTTAACCATGTTATTTATGTAGTTCTAGCGAAATATCTATAGAACTGTAATCGTACGACAGCACGAAATAATTTAAACGGTTAAATTATTTTTATGTAAATGTTGAGCGACTATTAAGAAATACATTATATTATACAAAAGATTGTATACCATAATGCGCTGCCATGGCGACTGAAGATATAAGAAACAAAGGAGGGAAAAGACACATAAATACGACTTAACGAGAATTGACTGTCATTAAGATGTACTGTACTTGAAATGTACGTAATGAAAATTTCAGATTCCGCAAGGTAATTTTTTAAGGAATTGTGTATATGAAAGCTGCAGTAAAATCTTCGGTGAAAGAAGTAAAGATCGAGTGAATTAAGGAAGAAATCCACACAATGACGAACGTATACCAGGAGCTAACCATAAACAGAAAATTTTAGTAGATCCTATTTGCAGATTAACACTCGAGGAACCCTAGAATAATACTAGTACGGTTGAATAAATTCCTGATAAACATTAAAGGTCAGCCAGTGTAAAGAAGAGAACGAGCAATTGATGGGGAAGAAATATACGAACGATTACCCATTTAAGTACAGAATTCCTACGTTAGCCACAACAGACAGTTAAGATGATATAATAAGTAGTTATAATCATAAGACTGGTCAGAAGGAATAAGTGAAAATGACGTTTATACTGTACGGCCGTTTAGGAGGTTATCATTGGCGGTGCTAGCTTTGCCACGATCTTTTGCACAGTATCGGCAAGTGGTTCAACATCGCCGTCGTTGTTGACCATGTGAAGGGAAACTATTCTGGGGGTTTCTGTGAGGAAAACAGAAGCTCGTGGTTGTGGTGTAGATCCTCTATATACTGTTGCGTAATTTTTGTCTCCTCCGGACGGCCACGGGATCGAATTCGGGCAAGTGCGTTTTCTGGCATTGTCCGGACGTAAAGAATATGATGTTCAGACGGGGATCGCGTGCGCTCATAATGCCGGTATGTGCGCTGCAGTTCCTCGAACGCTGGTTGAGGCAGCCAGCCTGCACGGAATCACATCCGAGCGAAAATATAAGTGGAACTGTATGGGGATCGCTCTAGGAAAATCCGGTTATGTGTGGTTCTTCCAGTATCGATGATAGTACTGTATACATTTTCTCTCTCGATCAAGGACTGGAGTGCAACACGCTGGAAATCCGCTCCAGCATGGGCGGGGTTCTTGCGCGAAATTTTACGAAGTCTCAGTGTTCAGTTGTTTTTTACGATGAATACTGAGCACTTGCGTTACACATCGAACCCCTCTCCGATTTATGCGTGCCTCGTTGCTAAGTACTACGAGAGCTCTGCGTTAACGACATTTAATGCTTTCAGCATTAAATGGCTTTAAAGCTCACAGTTCACTTTATTAATTATGAACTGCCACAATATTATGAGTACTAGTATAGCCTTGTAAAATTGCAGACTTGTACAGTACCTTACGGTTAGTAGAAGCCAACCTATTACGTTTATTCCAGAATTGTAATAACTAGCGGTGGTTGTTAACCACATTATTGCACGAGCGCGAGCGCTAATACCACTAGGAAATACTTGGGATTGTGGAATTGGAAAAGTGTTACGTATGCTCTTCGTGGCGTCAGACAAATTTATGCTTTTGACGATCAGTTAACTGCAGCACCTCGCGCTTCGCGCTCGGTGCAAATAATACAGAATTGTAATAATACTGAGTATAGTAATAATATTGTAATAATACAGAATAGTAATACAAGCAGGTTCTTGCATCCTGGCGTTCAGTTTTTTGAGTGCGGGGTTTAATGAATCTAATAATCCAGTACTTGCACGGGTTATGATCGATCATTCTGCGATCTAAATGCTATACAGATATATGTATGCACTATGCAGTATCCGTGATTCAGTTTCTGGCTGTAATTTCGTATGACTTTTCCCGTTCGTCGGATGTGATGAAGAAAACTGGAAACGCGAAGAAAAATGGGTTTTTACGAAATTCGATGTAAGTTTTGATTGATTAATAATGGTCTAGTTTAGTTTGTAACGCTGAATACCTCGTAAACTGCGGCTCGTTTTCCCCGATTATGTATTTTAGACCGAGATGATATTAGTGGAAATATAAACTGAATTAGTTAGGCATACGAAGTCAGCGTCATATCGCGAAACTACGTATGAGTATGAGCATGAAAATTTAGGTTTTTAGCACGTTCTGATTCCAGGACTACTATTTATGTGAAGTAACAGGAGCGTATAAGATTGTGCTGCTGAAGAATTTTTTTTAAAAAGATATCTAAACCTTTGTCCTGCTACTCTGGCTTTCTTGTGCGGTTGAATCAAGAAAATCGCAGACTTCGTTGATCAGAGATTTCTCACTCGGTAGTCGGTAATTATTAAGTACTTAAGTAGTGATTAGTTATCATGATCATGTATGATGTAGTACAGATGTATACCTACTGCATTCAGCTGCACTGTGCCAGTATACTTATATGAAACGAAGAACAGCTAGTAAACCGTGAATACCTTGAATAGCATCTATATCTAGGTTATATAGATTAATAAATCTCTGGTTGTAATACGCATTTCTTGTAGTAGTACAGTACGCATTTCTTGAGTTTCGCAGGGCACAGACAGTACCGTTTCGCCGTACTCTATGGTGTTTGTTTTTTGTTTCAGCAGCTAATAACCCTCCACCCGCCCCACATCCTGCTGTTCCTGGACCTGCCGGTGCTCCTGCCCAACATCCACCGCGCACCGTGGCCGTCCTGAGCATGATCAGGACAGTGGAGCTGCTCCTGGACATCTTAGGGCAACTGCCAGTTGGCCCTGGCCTGATCCCGACGGCCATGCTGCAGGCGCTGGCAGGCGTGATTGACGCCATTTGCGCTATGGTCGGCGTCCTCTTGTTGCCACAGCCTCCAGGCTTACCAGGCCAGGCCCTAGACGGCGGCAACGCAGGCCCACAGGAGGCTGATTCTGCGCGACTGCTGCTCCTCTCCCTGCGTCAGTTCCTGCAGACCGTTCCTCTGGAGGAATCCCAAGGACCGACCATCAGAAACGCGGTCACGGCACTTCGTGACCGTGTCTATGTGCTCATCCCGCAATATTTACCCGCACCTGAGGACGATGAAGACGACAATGCTTAGAGAATCGGAACTGAGTGTGGAAGTGCCGCTGCCGCAGGAGCGTAAATCCATTGGAACGGCTCTCGATCTGCGACGTCTCAGTAGCCATAGCCTGTCGCAGGTGGCTGCCTGATTCGGGATGTCTTTTTGAGTTTTGTTAATGTTTCGTATCGTTTATGGCCATATTTGCCCGTCCATTCCACAGAGACAGGATCGATACGCACTATTTTTGTTCTTACGCCCGATTTCAGTTTTGGTATCTGTACAGTATGCCTGCTAGCTTGTTGATTTTTTGTTACTGACCATTGGACTTAGATTTCTGAATTATGTTAAATTTGGGTCGGCTGGTCGGTGTTTGGTACGATATTTTAAATGCTAGCAGTATTCTGATGTTTTTCGATGGAAGCGAGATGTTTTTCGATGTTAGCAAAAGCTCTGTTTTGACGATGCATATTTTGTGACTGGATACAAATGCACTGCTTTGAAATCTCACGAGGAATAACAGATTACATAAGTTTCGCGATAATACGAGTGCAAGTTCCGCTTCGCTCTAGTTACCATTAATTTGTTGAACAACAGCGAAAGATTAACATCATCCATAACAAGCAGTAGACGATAAACAATTTGCGTAGACACAATTTTGAGCACAAACAACAGAGAACCTTTTTTCTTGGTTAAAAACAATTCAAATCAACGAAGAAAACCTCTAGAAAGGCTTGTGAAGCGCAGGGCGTCTCATTGTTGAGGCTTCTGCCCAAAAGTATTCATGGAAAGCATCCACGAGACCGTATCACACAGAGCCGTCATTTCAAAATGCCTAAAACAGCATTTTCTCGATAGACTTTTGAGTCGAAGTACGTAAAGCACCGGTTGTTAACACGTAATGGCATGCACGTACCTGCTGATATTCTCCAGTATCCTCAACTTATCCAAAAGGACTCGTGTCACCGTATTCCGAAACTGTCCAGCGCAGGCGCAAGTTTTCGATACATGGCGATCAAAGATCTGAAAGAATGCGCAAATTTTAAGTTACCACCAAAGTCTATATTTCCCGAAGAACATCAAGGTTAACCTGTCGACATTTCGAGCAGACCAAATCTTGCAAGTGGTAAGCAACGTTCATCTTCTTAAGTGCTACAAACAGGCGCTGCTGTATCTCTTCCCGAGAATAAGGACGCCTGCAATCTGCATTGGCGCAAACCCAAAACGTGCTGAAACAAAAATCACAATGTCTATTAAAGTTTTAATGCCTGTTCCTTTCAAATAGTCAAGTTGTACAAACAAACGATCACAGTCTTGGTAGTCTTAACTCCAAAAACGGGGAGGATTTTATACCTATCTTCCACTGTGATCGGCTGATCTTTACAAAGGTCAAGATCGCGACAACTATTGCATTCCGAGCAAATGACTTCAGGCAAAGTGTACGTCAAACAAGGATCAACCCATTCTGCCTGCGGGGAGAATTCCCCCACTCCAATCATCTTTAGCAGATCACGTTTCATCCTACGCACTTCATCCTTCACATCCACATGTAGACTTAACACCTGCAAAGCCAGACTTTATTGCTGAATTACCGTATTATCGTCATGCAGGGATGACGGTACGAGTTGTACGATACAACTCTGTACTACGTCACCACAGGTGTGCAGAGCCAGCCAGGTGGATATGTGGCCAGCGTGGTGTTGTGTTCTTTTAGTGTGTTGATATGCACAGTCTTGACTGGCATATATTTTTCTCTTCCCTTTTGTGCCCTTTCCTCCGCAATGTATTGCATTCACTTATGAATAAAATTCCCATTTTATTCACGTGTGTTGTCTCATATTCATTCGTCATCCGGGATACGAGGATAAACCTCGTATTCCCTATAGTCATGCCACATAATTTTAAGCCATTTTCAGCTGTTTTTGCTTTTTAAGCCGGTCTTCAGCTATTCGTTCTTGCATAATCTGTTTTTCTCTTTCCCTAAAAACAAAGCTCCCGGATACTACTATTTTACCTTGCACACGGCTTTCGTTAACTCCAGTGCAGGATTCTGCATATTCACATGCGAGCCAGGCAGAGCAGGGAACAGGTTCACTTCTTTGCCGCCAATTCGACGAATACCGGTTGGCATAGTACGCATTACTGTTTGGATATTTCTGAAATAATAAGTACTCTACGTTTAAATCTCCAAAAAATTAAAATTAACAAAAAAACACATACTGTAGTATGCTATGATGAACGCTTCCAAGCAGCAGCTGCTGTAGGTACACCACAGGCGCTTCTGCTTCGTGATCTTCGTCTTCGAAATACCGACGGGGGACAATTTCACCTTTGGCAACCTTCTTAAAATACTCCTGATACTGCAAGTTGGCCTGCATGACGTAGCCCGTAACGACACCTCGGAACATTTTCTGGCATTCGGTTGGGAGAAATCCTATGAGATTCCACACCCACCGAATGTCCGGATTATTCTCGTCGCCTTGTTCTTGGCTGAAATAGCTCATATCCCCGAAGTAGTCTCCGAATGTCCGATCATGTATACGACTAGAATCCGATTCTTCGGGCATTTTCACGGAAACACCAGCATAATTGGACTGTTACACAAACACACATGCACGATAAGAAATGCAAGGAGAAACAAAAATACGCTTGCTAATCGTACGTACTACACTACCGCAATAGAAAATTGAAAACAAGCCTTAAGTGGATAAAATTAACGATTATTAACTCGCAAATATAAGTATAGGTAGGAGTGCGACTTGTTTACCGCATCTAGCCACAATAATGTAGTCCATATCCTTTCCGGTACAATGCTCAGTCCATGAAATAACTGGTCCTGACGCACACGATCCATGGTGAATTTCAGCTGCGCCAGAGCTTCGTGCACATTTCCTTTATCGGTATTGACCACCATCATAACAGCCGTCGCATATACAACATGACACCCGAAGCTGTTAATATCCTTCACCAGTTTGATCAACATTTTCCTCATGATGCCGATCATCTTGCGGTGCAATGCGGGATCATACAGCAAGGATGTGGAAGAACGTATCCATCGGAAGATATGCAGCGCCATTTCGTTGGCAAGCTGGTTGCCCCTTTCAGCTTCGCGGGTGATATTCCGTACCATGCTGCCGAGGATATCGAAAGCGTACTGGACCTGGGCCGATTCATCATACGGAGCCACATCCACCACGTGAATGCCCGTTTTAATCTGCTCTTCTAAGCGAACCTAAACACAAAAACATTCAGTTTATAAATTCAAACAAAACAACAATAATCGGCAAAGGAAACGCAACTGAAGTGTCGAAATGCAGCAAACTGCAGTATTCATGCTTCGTCGCATCAAAGTCAGACAGAAAAGAAACGAACACCAAACCGAATTTAGTGGTCGAAAGGTCACTTTAACTTGTTAAAATAAAGCCCAACAGTTAATGCACAAACCTGAGGTGCGCGATCGAAATTGATGGACTCAGCAATCCCTTCGGAACTGTGAATGTGGTGTCCAACTAATATTGAGCACACCGCTAAATGCTCCACTTCCATTTTAACTGTGCATGTGGGATACAGCCGCGGTTGGCTGATCTGAAGAACTTTCTCTTCGTCTTCGGCAATTAATCTACAAAGAATAGATATGTTTATCAAACCACAGCAATTACAAAAGCGTAAATACCTGATATCATCAGTCTCCTTGCCGCCAAAATCAGGACGTTCTTTGGGCGTTCCCCACATGATCAAATTATGTCTTTGAAGGAGACGTGCATAAAATAAATCGCATCCAAATACCGCAAAATCCTGAAAATAATTCACTGTGTTACAGTCCGAACCGCAATAATTTATAACACTGAGCATACTTTTGGCGAATTTCCCCATGGAATATCAAAAAAGCGGCATTTTTCCAGTGAACTCTCCACGACAGAGTGTAATTCTAGAAACCGCTGCAACATTTTCTCCGAAGCTTTAGGCTGCCAGTTCATGTATATTTCCGTATCCACACGCTCGTCCTCATGTTGATACGTGGGAACAATTGGAAAACGTCCCAGAGCCGGAATGTTCTCAATCCAGAAAGACGCAGGATGGCTACCATGAAGGAAAACTACGCTGGAACCGTGTCGTTGTGCGATATAGTCTGTCAGCGACTTGTCCAACATACGATATATCTAAAAAAAAGTTATTGACAAATTTATTTGATAATCAGAATTTAAACGATAACTCAGGCATTGTTTACTTGCAAAATACTTGTCATGACTCCTATGAATAAACTGAATTCACGAGTCTGTTCACGCTTCATAAACGACTTCGCAGCCAGCCTGCACAACTCACTGACAGTCGGGACGAAGCTTTCGTTAAAAATTTCAGGCGTACCCTTTTTATGTCGGTTTCAACATGTTTGTTAATAAACTCCTGATCTTCCGGAGGCAGGCATTCGTCTCCATGTTCTTCGACCAACTGTTGCCGCATGGTCTTATACATTCTGTCCAGCTTAGCCGGGAAATGGTTTTCTTTCCTGATATCTTTAGCGATAATGAGCTCCTTCCTTTGCTTGACGTAAACTAATGCAAACCTGCAATAACCACAACTTCAGGCATACAATTATTCCTATATTCGGTTTCGAAATAAACTTACAGTTCTTTTCTGTCCATTTTATAATGAAAGAAATAAACAGGATTTAAGGATCCATTGGGTAGGTATTCCACATTCTCGTCCAATACCCGTTCGATATCCTCCAGGAAATACACGTCCGACTCGCGTCTTGCGACCTCCCGCCTTTTTTGTGGAACAATCCGGCAGACGCTGCCCATACTGCACAACATGCGAAACATTAGCGGAATCTGCGTCTCGTAGATGCCTTCTACCGACGGATCGGTTAAGTCATTCAGCAATTCATTTTGATGTTTTTGGAAGGCTTCCTCTTCTACTCGGTACTCGTAAACATGGTCGCCGCGTTTCGAGCGAGGCAGAATCTTGTTGACTTTCTGCACGATTCTACCATCGCCAACTGGTTTAGGAAAGCGTCGATTTATGTAAAACAACCGATAAACTTTCAGCCGAATTGTGTGCATAGTATTGTCGATTAAGGCAAAAACGTTGTACAATCCTGGACTGCCGGTTTCGGCAATCTGCAAAGTCGAATAACCAACATCAAAATAATTAGCACGCAATTCAGAAACATAAAAAGCGCGTAAGTAAAAATGGGGCAGATTTTATTGTTAAGCGTAGAAAAATATACGACAAAGTATTTATTAGATTTTGTCCACATCTACAAGATGCTTTAGAAAAGGACACAAAAGAGACTGATGATTTACCTGCACCACGTGCCAGTTCTTTTCGATGACATCTTTGCGCGCTTGCTGCACGAATGCCCTGACACTGGCGCCGCTTACAACAATTCCAGAATCATAATTCAGCGTTCTGGATTTCTTCCGGGTTTCTTTATGACGCCGCATCCACGCCCATTTTTG